ATTTACCAACGGTCATCGTTGCGGATTTTGGCAGGTTCCATGGGGAAGTCCTCACATGCGATATGCGGTTTATCTGGGTTGGCGCACTGGCAGCAAGATCCGGTACCCGAGCGACACTCCTCACGGCTTCTGATTCACAAAGGAAGAATGACTTCAATTTCCGCCGTTTGAGCGTCATTCGTGTCAACGGCAAACGATGTTAACTCGAAGCTTGTCTGGTACGTGTTGACAGTCTGGCCGAGTATCCAAGTGTCGAATCCGGTGATTGCCTCATGGCGTTGCAAATGGGAAAAGATAGTCAATAAACAAAAGGGCTAATGCAGGCGTCACTAGAAACATCACGGCTCACACTCAAAAGAACAAAAAAAGGCCCGAACCTGCCACGAGTGGAGAAACCAGTGGCGCCTCCCGTCGTAACTCTATGCTGTCGTAAGCACATGGGCTACGAGCGGGTATAAACAATTCTGCTAGGTGCCAAACACATAGTTGCCGAGTGGCTGGCAAACGGAATGCCGATGTGTCTAGGCAAACAAACTCGAGACTTGAATGTCGGGCCTTTGTCCGCCACAACTACGGAGCAGTACTTTACGTGCCCAAGCAAAGGCTACTAGGTAAGTTCAGATGAAATAGCCATGTAGCACTACATGCATTCAACTCTCATCTAAGCTTCAAGCTTTCACCCCATACGATATACAACGCACCACGCCCAATCGATCCTCAGACGGCACCTGCGCCGTCGTTCTGCATCCCCCGTCCAGGATAGATGGCACGTTGCTTTCGGGCCCAACTCCGCGTGTACGAGACTTGATGGCAAAGACCCTCGATCCCCAGCAAAGTATCGCGTCAAGGCCAAAAAGATGATGCCTTGGAAGATTGCGCGGCCGCAAACATGCCGTCAACGGCTTTTAGCTTTGTCGCTTTCAGACGATGTCTCACAGAGCGTCAAATACAGCAACGATGATCAAACGGTCAAACCACGGCGTCGTGCTTAACTTCCTCCCACGCGAACCAGGCGTGCGGGAGCCAATTGATTCCATCTGGACGAGAAATTTTCGTTTCCATGTGTATGGACGATGTCGACCATTGGTTTGCGGATAGGCAAACAGCGAGTATTGCGGTCGTCTACCTTCCGCAACATACCGAGACGATGACGACCGGTGTAAGCGATGGACGTCTGGGCTGATGATCGACGCCAGGAAGCTTTCGCACCCCTGGAGCAAGGCACATGGCACAGAGCAACAAAGGACCCGGGCGTCCCGCAGCTTAATGGGAGGCTCCAGACTTGCCGCAACTGAATCCGATCAACCTCTGCTGGCGAAACAGGGGCGGCTGGACTATCCAAATAAGTTTCATTATCACGGTCGATTCGTGCTTCTGGACGGTGTGCACACTCGCTGAATCGCAGGTGGTTAAGCTTCACCAGAATCTGCCAGTAACGTGCCGATAGGCTGATTTTTAATTTATCGAATATTTCGCACAGAAGAAACGAGGCAAGCATACGCGCTCACGAAGCTATTCGCAGCCGAACACCCGATGGAACACCTTTTGTTGGCCAGGACGGGGAAAAGATCACTAGCAAGACCGTGTCCTGTCCTGTCCATTTCGTGCTAGTCGCGTTGATGGGAAACTTTCTTCTTAAGTTGGCGGGATCTACTAACCGCAGGGCCGTTACGTTACGGTCTTTTCTGCACGGGGGAACTACGACACGTTTTTCCTTTTTTCTCCGACTCGAAAAAGCAGCCCGCCTCTAGCTCTAGCTCTGTCAGAGATGGACGGCATCGTCTCAAACTATCTGACCTGTCAACCGCCAGGTGAATGGCTTGCTCTCTAGCGGAATTGGCTGGAATAAAGCGATATGATCTGTGATATATCACCCCACCTAACAGAAGCAAAATCCCCTTGCCAGGATGTCGCAGCTGGCATAAGGACGAAGAAGAAGAAAAAACGTGTACGCACCTCAAGGTATGCACCAGACCGCAGCCACCAGGCACTTTTTTTTGGACATGTTTGAGACCCGCGGTGCGGTGGAACGAAAACCTGTTTGCAGCAATCTAGTTCGCCTCGTGGCGTCGTGCCTTTCCGGCTGCCCGCATTTTGAAGCCTGGACTGCGTGGCACCCCACCCCTTTCTGGCACCCTCCATCTCATCACCCGGCAGGCGACATGAGAAGCAGATAGCCTCCCTTTACCAAATCATCGGTAGCCAGGGATAACGCTTCCTGGGGTGACGCGGGGACTAACAGGAGCACCAGGGATCGGGAACGGAAGCCAATCAGCTCCTGATCCCAACACGGGAAACCAACGACAACGATGACGGCCTTTTCCAACAGCCAAGTTGAATGAGGAATCGTGATACGCGAGTGTCTCGCGAATTTCGGCTACTTTTCTGCGACAGCGTGGGACGAGGCCGTGGCCAGCTCCGGTGGCTGGCGGGAAAGGGGAGATTGCGATCAGTAATACAGAAACATGTGCCCTTTTCGAGCTTCGGGCTGTGCACCGGCCAGTGTCAGCCACGGCGTACACATGTGGCATCGGTCTGTGGTTCGTGGTGGCATGCCTTCTTCTCACTTCCGTCGTTCGCCGCCGTCTTTCGGTCCGGGCCCGCAGGATGCAAGCCTCCCTCAAGACGGCCTCATTTCACTAGGCTCTACTGCGTTCAAGAAGCAACCGCCCGATCCTAGGGTGAGGGTTCCCCCAGGGTCCAGAGATCAACTTGGACGCCCGATGGCGTTCGGCATAGAGGTCAAAGATGCCGATGTGCCCCATTCGAATGATTGGGATAGTCGTCCATCCTTCCTTCGTCCTTCGGATGTTTCTGTCATGATCGACGCCTGCGTTGCTTGGTCTTTCTTGTCCGTCCCGAGAGAGAGGAACGGCCGGTTGAACGGCCGGCTCATCCTTCCGCCCCTGGAGCGCGCCTATTCTTCCTATTTCCTTTCGGGGTGGTGGCATCGTGGCACGCTACGCCAACACTTTTCCCTTGAGGAGGCCAATGATTCCACATCAGCAAGGTCTGAGGGACTTTTTTACCCCTTCGAGATCATCCTCACACACGACGGGCTGTATCTCTGCGACCCTCGCGCATTCGGTCAAACGAACGGCAAGGGGGCGTGAGACGGGAACAAGGAGGCGGCTGCATGAGGATGCGGGAGCTAAGGTAGTGCCTATCGCTCCAGCGAGCCTGCCTTCCCGTCGTTCTCTCGAACGTCCAGCTCAGCCCAGATCGAAAAGAAATACCCCGTAGCTCCCTCCGTGTTGATTTCCCCCAGACGTGCGCGCCCGGTTGGTCGCCGGGTGCTGCATGCGGGGAGACGGGCTCCCGATCTCTCCATGTTTGAGGATCTGTTCGTGCCCGATCCAAGTGCGAGGGAAAACTCGCGACGGTGGCGGGGACTGCAGCTAATGATCTCTGACGCTGCCTCAAGCTAGTTTTGGCTGCCCGGTCCAGCTTTACTGACCCCTTATCTGGGGTTCGATGGAAAAAAACTGAGTGTTCCAGATCCCTGGGGATATTTGGGATATCGAACAAACCCAGGGCTGTTTCAAGGACGCGATGCTAATAATGGATAGAAGGCGCCGTCTGCGGGCGTACTGGAGGGTATGCTTAGGCGAACGGTGTAACGAGGCGTCGGAGATAACACCCTAGTTCAAGATTTGGTCGATGATGGAGGCGAGAAAGGTGCTGATGGTCAGGCTCGTTTGGCGAGCTGTGTGACGAGGCGTCGGAGATTAGAGGCCTGGTTCTAGACGGTGAGGGAAGGGTTGGGTTTGGCGGATGGAATCGGTCTGGATCGTCGCAGGAAGGGCGACGGCAAGCCCGTGGCGACCCCCCAACGGGTAAACCTTGGGAGTTCGGAACGAGCTTAGTGAGGCGATTCGCGGCTGTTAGTGCGGGCGATTTTTGGAAAACCTGGATGGCATTCGGTGGGATGCGGTCGCGATCTCTGGGGAATCTCGACATGACGGCAGTCAGGGACTGGATGTCCCGAAAACGGGCGGGCGGAGAATTCGGATCGCGGTGGCAAGGACCTTGCTCGGGCCGGGTCCATCGCATGCCTCTCGCCGAAGAGCACCTTTCGGTTGGCGTGTACGATCGTCATGTTCAAAGGGTGGAAGCGGGTTTGAAGGGTGGATTGTTGCTTCTGTTTGCGGTCATGCCAAATATCAGATATCGATCACGACGAGAGCAATCTCGGTTTTGTTGTTCAGCTGCGCAGTGTTCAGCTATCCAGGCGGAGGTGCAGCTCCCCTCGAATAGATTCGCGTTGGTGACTCACTGAGAGTCTCGACCTCGTGCCGTCAGTCGTCGCCGGATGTAGAAATTCGTACAAGCGCATCACTCCCCGCAGACGCCATCGCGGTCTCGTTCGTGGTGAAATCGCCGCAAACGGCCATGGGTGACCGAGTCGAGACCCAGACTGTCGGGATCTCGTGGCGAACAAGGAAATCCATGTGTCGAGTTTTGGAAGGATCCATGATGGACGTGTTTCGTCACTCCAGATGCGTAAATCTCCTCTCTCGTGGCCGGGAAATAGGATGGTAGCCGAGCGGCTCCCCCCTTCGGAAGTGTAATGGTTCAAAATTACCGATCTCTGCCGGGCGGAGTTTCGGCGACCCGTGATTGCGGAGTTTGGGGGCGCCGAGTGGGGCCGCAGCGGGCGGACTTTCTGACAGGCGGAGTTTTGAACGCTTCCGCACAACGTCCACCCGGCCCCTCCGACGTTCTCTCATCCAATCCCGCCAATCTCACTCACCACCTACGGAGACTTATCGAACCGCGTAAGCTTGCCTGCCTCCTCGAAACTTGTCGGAGAATACACGGATTGGAAATTCTTCATCGAGCGAGTTTGGAATCCTCTTCACTCACCCTTCCTCTCCTTCGCAAGTCGCAGACGTTGATTCCAAACCACCAAGCCCGGCTTATATTCATTTCGAACAAAGGCCGCCTCTCCACAATCAAATAAAAGCGGACAGGTCAGCAGCACAGCAAAGACAGACACAATGTCCGCAGCAGACCCCTTGGTCGAGTCGGATCCAGCGGACAAGTCCCGGCAAAAGAGCTGCAACGCCTGCGTACGGAGCAAGCGTCGCTGCGACAAGCGGACCCCGCGCTGCACCCGCTGCGCAGAGAAGAACTTCTCTTGCGTGTACCAGAACCTGCCCCCATCCGGTGGTGGTGGTGGCGGTCCATCGTCGTCGGCCGGCGAGGATCCGCTACAGGCCATGGACCTCGAAGACAATACCACAGCCCACCACCTCCCCCCGGCACCGCATCCCTTCGACTTCAACACTCTCGACAGCAGCCCTTCGGGATCAACGCCGGGGACGTACATCAACGGGACTCTGGTCTTGAACGAGCCTGAGACCAACGGTTCGGCAACCGCAACAACGACGACGGCGGCTTCGTCTTTGGGGCTGAACCTGGATCCGAACATGGGATTCGATTTCAACTCCGTCATGGACTTTCTCAATGCGGACCCGGTACAGGGGGGAGAGATGCAGCTGTGGGAGACGCCGCAGGTCCCTACGGCGCCCAAGACGTTGGCGCCTGATTTGCCGTATATGGGATCCGTATGTTGCGGGATGGAGAGGGATGACATTTTGGTGAGTAACTTTGTCTGTTTCCTACTATCTCTCCCCCACATCTCATTCTCATCATCACATCACGTCCTCGATCTCATCGTCGCCATCTATCTCATCCATCTTTCATCACATCCATCATTACCATCCTCACCCAATCCATCTAACATACTGCCCGAAGCCCCCCGTCCCTGACAAACAGCAAACTCAGTGCATGTCGCAGGGAGACTTCCAACCATGGCAGATCCACGAGCCCGACTCGCGCATCGGCTACATGGTGAACTACATCAAGGACCTGCACCTCACCTTCGCCCGGACCAAGCAGACCCCCTTCATCCACCGCCACCTCTACCGCGGCGTCCACTCCACCCCGCGGCCCCTCCTCGCCGCCTACACCGCCATCTCCGCCTACGCCGGCCGCACCGACTCGAACCGCGGCTGGGCCATCCGCGCCATCTGCGAGGGCGCCGCCGAGGTCCTCAAGACGGCCAAGGACGCCGCCGCCAGCGCCGCCATGACGGGCCACGAGAAGCTCGCGCGCGCGCAGGCGCTGTGGCTGCTGCAGACGATTCGGTGTTTCGACGGGGACGTGGCGCTGAGGGCGCAGGCGGAGAGGGACATGGGCGTGTTGAAGAGGTGGTTGACGGAGTTGGAGGGGCTGAGGGATAACCTCGACGACGTGCATTTGTTGGATGACTTGGCGCTGAGGCAGAGGCCGCCGAGGTCGTGGGAGGTTTGGGTGTTTAATGAGTGTGTCAGGAGGACGGTCTTGATGGGGCATATTTTTACGAGTTTGTTTGAGATTTTGAAGGCGGCTGGTGAAACTGGTGAGTTCCTTTCCCACTTTTGTATCTACGCATGAGTTGTGCGAGATTCGGTGATACTAGGGGTTTGCGATGCTGACTGGGGCCGGTGTAGAACCAAGTGTTGCGAACTGGATGGCGCCACACCGCTGGACATTCTCCAAGGGACTCTGGGATTCCCAGTCGTCTCCTGCGTTCTTCTCGGCGTGGAGGGAGAAGCCATTGTTCATGATCAATAGCTTCTTCGTGCAGGAGGTTGCGAAGGTTGCGAGGCCGGTTGACGTTGATGAGTTTGCGAGGTTATTCCTTACCATGTAAGCCCACGCCCCCGAATATCATCGAGTGGTGTTGATGTATGCTGACGTGACTCAGTAACTTCGGTGTCGAGGAGACGAAGCATTTCATGCTTGAGGCTTCTTGAGAAGAAGTGCATTACAGGCTATGTACATCTCGAAATTTATCAGTCTTTCATAATGGGAATGGGATGGGTTGGAGGTCTGGCTATTTCTAGCTCTGTACTGGAGTTTGGTATTGGTCCGAAGCTGACTTGTCACGCTCAAGTTGCCCCTGGCATTGGATGTGCTCATTGTGTTCAAGAACGTCAAAGGTTCTTGGGATAGCTTCGGACGATTTCTGGGTGTATGGGACGGTAATAATGAAGTCTAACGATGTTTTGCGTACGTCCAGATAATTTTCACTACTTTATCAACGTGTGGTTAAGGCGTGGGGAGATAGCCTCTACAAACTTAGGCTGTTGACAAACTCATGCGGCATCGATACCGCTTGTATCGGCTAGATTTTGCAATTTCGTCGAATGATATCGTAAGGAAACGTCCCTGGACCGGTCTTCCTCGATGTTTTTTTATGCCTTGGTCTAGATTGCATCTTTACTTGTCTCTGAGTGGCAGCAACGTTACCCAACAGAATTTATGTGACCGGTACCTATGTGAGACAACTCAAGACACGCAGCCACATATGTTGATAGGATACTGTCTCGACTGGATAGGACGCGCCGGGCATACCGGCAGGTCGCAAGAAAGAAACCGACCATTCAAGAAGGTTTCACTCGCGGCAGCAGCTTAGACGAACTTCTGGTGCAGGTGCCTTAGGAGACTTCTTGCATGGTTACTCTTATCTTCGATTAGAACGTCGTATATCTTGGTCTAGTCCGGTGTTTGGTGGTTACGGTCGAGATACCTGCAAGACTCAAAGATGCTGGGGGCTGCAGCGACATCTATTGGTGCGAAGAGACTCCTCTTGAAATGGCCTACATAAGTTTCTTCTATGAGTCCAAGCTCGGATCTCAGACCTAGCAGGCGGAACACGAACTCGGAATAATGGCTGCCTCTACCTTGGCAGCTGCTTGAGTATGTTAGAAGTGCAAGATTCCCCCTTCCCGGACGAGGCAGCTTAAAGCCGCAAGAATTTATTGAGATTTGTGTCGTCCCATCCATGAAAAAATGATCCTGCTAGGACTCTTATTCTGGCAATTCGGCAAAGGCCTCCGGAGCTGACCCGGGTTGAAAACCGGGACACCGGCCCGCAAGCAACGTTAAACCATATCCAACTCCGCAAGTATCGGTATCATGTCATTATGTGGACATTCCAGAAAATGTAAGGCCATTATTCAGATTCAACTCGAAACTGGACTAGTCAACTCTCCTGCACTTTGCCCCAACCTTCTGTCAATATGCCTATCTTCAAAACCTTCATTCATTGTTCTTCATTGGCTCCTGGATCATCACCGCAGACCCCGCCTCTAGGATAGCAGCACAGACGGCCAGATGGTGTCTTGACCGAGTGTTTCAATTCAACTGCGCGGCAGAAGACCTGGAGACTCACATCAGATACCGTCAAGCTCTTTGCGGACAGTGGTGATCTCAAGTCCATCAATGTTCCACCTCTTGGCGCCAGACACACCTTCTACAATAGCAGACTCTGAAAATGTACTCATTACCGCTGCGGATCGGCCGTATTGGGCCATGTACCGGAAGCAGAAAGGTCTTGAAAGTCCCGTGGATCTTGCAGCTAGATTACTCGGATCACTGGTCCTTGATTTAGCAAAGCAGCAAAGTCGCAGCAAAGAAGGCATTGGAAGCTTTTGCGAAGAAGAAGGAATTATACTATACCATCAAGGTCGTCAGCGTCAGGTGTGCCAGGATGCTTGGCAAGAGCTTTTTGCAGAAACTCTTGTCGTTTCAGTGTTCATGAATCAAGAGTCCCCCGTGCTGGCGTCAAAGATGTCACGCTTCCCCATGTTACTACGGCTGACATGACCCTGATGAGGGTGCAACGACGCGCGAATGCAGGCATGGGGTGGACATCACAACGTGAACAAGATTCATACCGTTTTGCCGAGGCTCAGCCCGGTGCAAAGAGCTTAATGATGACTTCCCCGAATCAGAAGAACTTGAATATGATAGCTGACTACACTCAGCCGATCATCCTGACCAAGAAATGAATGTCTCAGGTGGCTGGACAGAACGTTGCCGACAATACGAAATGAACGAGATAATCGAGCAGCTCCCCGAGCGATGGAGGAAGACCTTGCAACACAATAAACGAACGCGTTATCGTGTTCAAGCAAAGCATTGAGTCGTATGGCTTCGTGACCAGGGAAAACGACATCCCACATCGTCTCGATGGCATGGCTCAGTTCCAAAACTGTGTACGCGGCACAGATCCTTCTAACTTATCGCATCCCATATGCGCCGGACCCAAATCTAATCAGATCGAAGACAGTCATTTTGATTTGACTTTCCATTCCCGCCTCATCTGAACTCACGAGTTCGGATGGCATATGCAAGTCAATAATCAATAAAGTGGCCCGTGATATTGATTGTCTGCCACTGCAGAGAAAGAGAGTATGGCGTCAATAATAGATCGTAAGAATTGGAATTACAACGTAAAGTTCGTGGCGTATTGAACTGCGTGGGTAGGACGGTTGCGCTTGGGTGTCGAACAGTCGATGGAAGCAGAAGCCGCCACACCGCGCAGTTGCTCTGTCACATAGTCATATCCCAACAACAGCATCATGTGATTCACTTTGGGCCATTGCAATCCATTGCCATTAATTTGTCTTGCGCGTTTGAGACACAAATGAAATTCCGTTTGTTTATTAAGGTTTTGGGGTTTTGTCAGTCTTTCCGGGGGCACATCCGACCCCCTTTTGTCCACCAACTCCATGCGCCGTAACTGAGACCGATTCCACCATTTCGATCACCTCAACCACCCTTTCGACCGCTCCAAACCTTTCTAATATCTCCCTTGACGCTAAATAAGCATGACAGAGTTCACGCAGCCGTCATTCTCCGGGTCGTTCGTTATCTGACTGTATTTTGCCCAAGCCACCTTCCCGGACGCTGTCGTCAGGCCCATCTCAGAGATATTGACCTCGATGATGGTACCCTTCGTGAGCACTCCGAGGCTAGAATAGAGCGGTGAGTTCGGGTTCTTAGCCACACCTATTATAGGAAGCTTGACCGTGACCTGATCATAAGTTAGAAGGAGGTTCGCAAAATGTGGAATTTGAATGAGTGAACTTACGCCCAGTTTTGGATGGCAGCAGTGAGTGTACTTGTAACGAAGACCCATAGGCCTAATGAAACGCTCGGCCTACACGGGTTAGTCATCTTCAGCAGCCAAAAGCTTGTCGAGCGATGGCAAGTTACCTTGGGATTGGCACGAGTGAAGTTCTGTGTGTGTCAGCAATTGCGTCCCTCGACCCGATGACTTTGATAGCTTACCTGTCCCACAAACGTAGGCTTCGTGATCATTCTCTTCCAGGTCTTCTGGTGCGTCTTCTTTCCGGTACCGATAACCTTGAACATCTCCTCCTCACTGATACCCCTAACTTTGGGTAGGGGAACGGCGAACTGTAACCTTGTCAGAGCCAAACGAAACTCAGTTCCAGAGTTATGTCCATACCCTCGCGGACTTCTCAGCTCTCTTGTTCTTGATCTGCGAAGAAATGGCCTTGGCCATGTCCGGGCTGTTGCACTCCACGTCAGCACCCCTCCATCGCCCGGGAATTCTCTCAAAGTGCGTACTTATTGCGGTCGAGCAGGTAGGCGGGCATGGGCTCGCTGGGCTCCTTCTCGTTGTTCGTCTTGACATTGCGCTCCTCGTGAGCCTTGAGCTGCTTGCGCATCTGGATCTTCTCCTTGCGGCGGGACTCGGCGTGCATCTTGGCGCGCAGACCACGCAGGTTCTGGGCATCCTTGGAGGCCTTGTGTCCCTCACGAGCCTCCTTCTTGCGGGCCCTCTCCTCGTGATCGAGTCTGCGTCCATGCTGCTTGCGCCAGCGTTCCATGTACCTAGAAAAAATCGTCAGACATGTTTCGGGGTGTCGAGGTCGGTCGGCGAAGGTCCATACTCGTTCTGCAAACTCGATTAGCGACGTCATTCACGAGGGATTGCCATGTTGATTCTTACCTGAGGCATCTTGACGGTATTGCGCTCGCGGCGACTCTGCAAATACTAGGTGTTGGCTCTGTATTTGTCGAGATTTTCGATACGACGTCGAATCGAGAGGTCGTTGCGGTGATGTTGACCGGCGATGCACGTCCCGCCACCCAGATAGAAAAAAAAGTCCCAGGGACGTGTTTCCCCACATATTATCGTTATCGATAAGAAACACCTCACCCAGCGGCGCCTCGGCGGGGCCCCTGCATATTTTCGGAGCAGGAACAGACATTGATCCGAATGCAGCGAGGGACCTGGCGGGAAGCTAACCGTCCCAGAACTTTTTTGAGCTTCAATTGACGACCAGGTCTAAGTCGCGCGCAACGTTAAAGAGCAATTGGATTGCCCCGCGGTCCAGTTCGCAACCAATCAATCACAAAAATGAGTCGATCTCTCCTGCGCTCCGTCCTGGAGCTCAGGACACCCGTCACCCGCCTCCCGCCGACATTCCTCCTCCCCATCCAAGCTCGGAGGTTCAACTCCACGGCCCCGATCATCGAGCCCCAAACCACCGCCGCCCAAGATGCGCCCGTTGCCGCCACTCCTTCCGAGCCCTCAATAGCCAAGAAGGCCGCCGCCGCCGCCGCCCCTCCACCAACCAAGACGCCCGCCGCCCCCATCCCCGAACAGGTGCAGGCCGTCCTCCCCTTCCTGGCCGCCCAGCCGAACCACTACATCACCTTCCACATCCACGGCCGCCCGTACCTCGTAACGCCCGGCGACAGCGTCCGTCTCCCCTTCAAGATGCCCGGCGTCGTACCGGGCGACGTCCTCCGTCTGAACCGCGCGTCCGTCATCGGTAGCAGAGATTACACGCTCAAGGGCGCGCCATACGTCGACGAGAGGCTGTACGAGTGCCGGGCTGTGGTAACGGGTACCGAGAGCGAGCCCATGCGGTTCAAGGAGAAGACGAAGCGGAGGAACAGGAAGGTCAAGACGGTCAAGAGCAAGCACCGCTACACGACGTTGGCCATCAGCGAGCTGAAGATCAACGCTATTGACGAGATTGAGGCATAGTCAGGTTGACTGGGAGGGGGGGGGGTATGGGTGGTGTTGTTTGAGTAGGATGCACAAAGGTGTACAAAAATCACAGATCATTTGATTTTGTGCCAGTGTCCCCAACTTGGGACTGTATCAATAGACAACCAACTTATTTCACGTGGGTGACGATTTTCAGATCTTGACGCGTCTAAAATATCAGCCTGGTAAGGCTTTAATTTGAAGTTGATGCAGGCGCAAAGGCCGTGCTAACGTCTAGAAACAAGAAAAATAAAAAGACACTCTGTCGTAACTGGAGGGTTTGTCTGACCTCGGTGGAATAGTAGAAACAAGACAAGGGAATCAAAACAGCTGCGATGAACAGCAGAAAAAGAAAACAAGACCCCAAAGACTCCCAGCTATGAATATTACCCATCATCATTAATCCAAGGTGAAGTTGCCAAGTGACGCCTTTTTCCAACAGCTTCCCTACAACAACGCCTGAAATTTTCTCATGATCTATTCGTTGCCTTTTTAACACTAGCCCAGTAGGCTGACGGCCAAACCGACATGGCCTCGGCTTCGGTTGGCATGCGTTCTCGGCATCTCGTAACAACGCTCTGAATGATCCTGCCGAGCAGCTCTTCGTCGATGGGGAGGGCCTTCTCGCTAAGCTCATTAGGGTAGAGGAAGGGATCGGTTTCGTGAAGGAGTTCTTCGCAAGTCGGGCGCATGTGAACCTCGCGGTTCAAGCATCGTCTCAAAGTTCGTACAAGGGATGGAGGTACGGGAACGCCGCCCATTCCCCGGGAAGGGAACTCGATGATGTGGTCCCAGTTAATGATGGCCTGGCATCTTGCCATTTGGTTGGCAATGTGGCCGAAGGGAGGGATTCCGTAAACAAATTGGTACAATATGCAGCCAAGCGACCAGACGTCACTCGGCTTTCCGACCTTCATCAATTTAGGTCTTCCGGGAACACGGCCGCCTCTAGGAGCATTGGAGTCCAAAAGTGATTCAGGCGACATGTAATTCGGTGTGCCGATTTGGGTTTCGCGGTGGACGTTGACGGTCTCATCCGTTTGGATGGCATTGGCGATGCCGAAATCGATGAGCTTCAAGCGGCCCTTGACGAGTACGAAGTTGGCGGGCTTGAGATCAGAGTGAACGATGTCGTACTGGTGTACTGATTGCAGACACTCGAGCATCTCTTTCCAGTAAAACCGGACAAAGACAGGATCAAATTTGGCAGTTTCGGGATTTTGCCGACTCCTGAGGAGAGTGTTGAGATCCAACTCGCCCATTTCCATGAGCTGCATATCTGTTAGTCATGCTCTTCAGATTTCGTCAGATTCGCTTACCAGAGTCAGGACTCTCTTTTCGTCATTCATTTCATAGTCGAACAGGTTGATGACTCGGTCGACGCCCGTCAGCTTCCCCAGCAAGTCGATCTCGCCGCGATAACCTCGGATGGTCGATTCGTCGGCACTCTCCAGCGAAACTCTCTTCAAAGCAAACATCGCTCCGTTTTCTGCAGTAACACGGTAGACCTTAGCGCTACCGCCACGACCCAGACAGTCGAGCCTTGTGTAGGACTTTCCATTCACCCGAAGTATATTTCGCCTCTGCTTTCCCTGAGACGTAGTGGCGGCTCCGGCTGATGTAGTGGCAGCATCAAGCACGGACATCTTCGGGGGAGGTGGTGGTGCTGGTCTGCGAGGTGTGTTGTTGGCCAGGGAAGATAAAGGTTTCCGTTCCGGCGACACAGCAGATCGATGAGGTGCAGCCTCGGTGTTGACAGGCCGCCTCGGTATCCTCTCTGCCTCCTTCTCAGCCAGGAGGCTTACAGCGGGCTTCGAACTTCTGAGAATGGAAGGAAGCTCGTTCTCCTGGTCATGACCCGACGGGACCTGAGGACGCTGTGCCGGCAATCTGTAGTGAATCTCTTCGGGCTCTTCTTCCTCTCTCTCCTTGGGTGATTGGCGAGCAGAGGGGGCCGGTTCGGCATATGAGACCGGTCGTCGGTGACCTGCTCTAGAAGGATCGCTCAGAGCTACTGGACTTCCTGATGCGAGTTGCCTGCCGTTTCCATAAAATGATGATGCTAAGTCGTTGTCCAGATCGCGGCCCTGGCCATCATGCTCAAAACTGGAAACGAGACCCTCGCCCTCACCATTGGCCTCCGCCTCTTCCTCACTCTGCCGCCTTCGTCCACGTCGTGCAGGTCCACTAAGAAAGCTTCCCGGAACCTTGCCAATACGCTTGACGCGCATTGAGCCCTGCAACGCAAGGTTGTCCTCCGGCTTGATGTTTTTCCCGGCGTTTGAAGTGTGGCGCGAGACGCTGCCAGGATTAATACCAGCGGGGTGACGACCCAAAGTTACCGGTTCTTCGGAATGTTCCTGCTCGAGTTGAGAACCAGACCGTCGTGAGCGGCCGGATGAACTGCCAAGCCGACTCCTGTTGCCGGAGGAACCGGCAGCAATGCGGACAACTCGGACTCCCTGTGCAGGCGTGTTGATGTCTTGCGGTGGCTCTTGCCTCTCGTCTGAGGACTGGTCACGGCTCTCCGGACGACTTCTGGAAGGAGGGCGCTGCGTAGTCGATCGTGAGAGAGACGTAGATCGTCTTTTTGCGGGACCCATTGAGCTAAGACTTTTCGGTGTCGTGCTCAGTCTTACAACCCTCTTGCGTATGGGACTAGCCTCCCGGCTTCTCATAGGCGATGAGTGTTTTGAGGACCTGGTCTCTTGCGCTTGTGCACTTCCGGACCTGAGGGACCTTCTCTCCTCGGTGGCGGATGTCGTCGACGCGGCGAGATTGCTTGCGCGACGGCGCGTTCGCGGCGGTGAGGGCGCCCGTTCGGATTCAGCGGAACCACCATCGTTAAGTAATGCCTTGGTGAGAGCACTGAGCTTCATAGGCACGGGAATTTCGTCGTCGGAGCTGTCGTGCATGCCGTATTGTTGTGAATCTGACTTCTTAGACAGTGCAGGCGCGGCCGCTGTCGCGTGGACAGGGTTTGATTCGCTTCGGCTAAGGTGTGGTCGCGAGGGTAGTCGGCGGAGGCCTTGTCTTTGGGAAGGTCTTCGTGACAATCCTGTGCCTGTGGTGCCCATCGGCGTAGGGGAAGCGGTCGCCATTTCTTATTTTTTCGATTGTGGTCGGGAATGGTGATTGTTTTGAGGTGTGAGATTGGCGAGTTATTAGGGAATTTGGCGCGTCCCGTCCACGTCTCGACGAAAGGCCACCTGCTGGCCGAAAAGCGATTGTTGCTGTCGACAAAAGGATGATTTACGTGTCGATAGTGCCCATGATGCGAAAGATTGAGAATGGAGAAAGATTAGTTCATGCGGCGCGTCATTAGCATCTTGTATTGCTGGGGGGGATGTGTCGGCTCCTTGTCGAATTCAACGACGTTCCCAGTATTTGAGGCTAGCAGGGGCTGACCAATGAGAAAGTGAGTCGATGGGGCTAAGTTGTCCGGGCAACAACGGGTTTGGAGACTGCGGGACACAGCGGCACATTCCTGGTTCGTCGCATTAAATTTGCATGTCAGGCACCACCGGCACTACGCCTAATGCGAAGGCAGGGGGCTGGGGAAAAAAGTTCACAAGAGACGGATTGGCCAAAGCTCCTGACCTGGAGCGCTTGGGATATGCGTGCACCAAGATTTCTTCTGCCGCTTACGGCTCATGTGCCCCGCAAAGAGAATGCGGGCAAGAAATCAGGAAGACCAACACGATATCACGGACGCAGACTGCAGTGTATTATCAGAGACTGTCACGCCAGAGACACACAAGATTCACCCAGGACTTGATAATGTTTCAAAGAAGCAGCGAGCTTTTCAATTGTCCGAAAATAGCCGGTTTCCCTACACAATTGTGTGTCGTTGAAGTCCAACCCAAGATGTCCCTCATGTCCATGACATGCGAAAGTGTCGTCCAGATTGTGCATCGCAACTTCTTTGTTGAGCGTGAGGCATACGGCCGGTCATCATGATGGTCGTAGAGAGGGTATTTAGTCGAAGAGACCGAAGCCCATGTCCTCATCGGACTCCTCCTTCTCCTCCTCCTTGGGAGCCTCCTCGGCAGCGGCCTCAGCGGCACCGCCAGCAGCAGCACCACCACCAGCGGCAGCACCGCCAGCGCCACCAGAGGGGACGGAAGCGAGCTTGCTGGAGCCCTCAGAGATGAGCTGTTTAACATGTTAGTGCGTAGTCCTTCTCAAGACGAAGATTCTTCGGGGCTGAAACCGACCTCGTTGATGTCCTTGCCCTCGAGCTCAGAGATGAGCTTGTTGAGGCGCTCGTCATCGGCCTCAATGCCGACGGACTCAAGGACGGCCTTGACGTCCTTGGCGGAGGGAGAGGCGTTGCCGCCGAGGCCGAGGAGAAGGTAAGCGGCGAGGTGCTTCATTTTGAATGTGGTATTTCTGCGGCGCGAGCAAGGTCAGACAATGGTTCTGAAGCTATTTCGCAAGTGGATTCGACGATGCGACGAGGAGAGTGTCGATGGTGTCGTCAATGGAAGGGCGGCGGGGGTAAACTCACAGTTTCTTGTAAAGAACACGAGAGGTCAATCAATTTAACCGCAGGTTGGGCGGAGACTGAATCTTCGAGTCCTAGGAGGATCTTTTGGCGGTGGTTGAGTCTGGCGAGGTTAGATGCTCAGAAAAAAGTTTCGCCTTTTGTCGCGGGTGTGGGCTCAAAATTGAGATAGCCGACCCTAAGGCTGGTGTTAGGGCGGGGGGTTTCGCGCCTTTGATTGGCTGAAGAGTGTGGCACCCTCTCTCACCAGCCTCCTGGGCGCTCGACCCCCCCTGCGAATCCACGTAAGTGCACGGGACCCTGCTGTCCTCCAGTTGAAAGCCCGATAATTGATAGACTGGGTGGCATCCATGGAAGCTCGGCACCAACGGAACCGGAGGCACCATTACTTCCGACAACCTGGAAGTCCAGGCTCCACTGGAAATACAGTGGTACTTCGAACTGTATTGGACCCCCGTCCAATAGATATAAACTTGCCAACTCCAACGCCACTTCCTTTTGTTTCCCCCGACACCTAACCTTCGACTCTTACGACCAACGGACGCCTGTTGCGTGCTCTTCGCGACCGCCTCCTCGATTTTCGCGATTTTTTCCTCCCGATTCTCCCGTAATCACCCGTCATCTTTCACTGCTATTGAGACCCGCGTCTGTCGAGTCTTTGAGGGGGAACGGGGCTCGCTGAATCGCAGAAAACTTGGGGTTCTGTTACTTTCCATACTGATGACTCAAGCTTCTGCCTGATGCATCTCGACGGCCGGTGCGAGCAATCTAGACACTTGCTTGACGATATCTGGCTATAATCACCGCCAATATGCCGGTAAGTACAGAGAGCACGCGACTTCAGATATCGTGTTCAACTCACGCTGACCTCCTTCGCCAGATCGGAGACCTCCTCGCCCAAATCAATGGCGATAAGTCACAGAGCACATCGCCCGCGCCGACGAGACCGCCTGCTCTCGCCTCCGCGAAGCGTAAGGCCGATGACGACTTGCGCAACACGGTTTCAAATAAGACACCGCGAACGAGTACCACAGGACCCAGCTCGTCGTCGGCATCAAAAACCGCTAGCGCCCCGAGACCCGCCGCACGACCTGCAGACAAGCCATCCACTATTACCGGCTACCGAGGCAGCGCTGCTCGACCTTCAGATAGAACATCGTCGTCGGCGCCCAGACCTGTCGGAAATGGCAACTCTGCTCCGAAGCCGTCTTCTTCAAGTGCTCGACCGGTGAACGGGTCGGGGGCCCCGAAAGCCACCTCCACCCTCCCCAGTCGACCATCGCCTGCTGCCCCAGCCCCTGCCAAGGGTGGACCGGCACCGAAGAAGGGCTCTTTCGCCGAAATTCTTGCGCGTGCAAAGAAGGCGCAGGAGTCCATGGGGCAGGTCGGCAGGATTCAACACAAACCTGTCGAGAAGGTTCTTACGAAGAAGGAACGCGAGGAGATGGCGAAGGAGGCCAAGAAGGATGCAAAGGCTACCGCGATGAAGGGAGCCGCGGCGAGACAACCGTCAAAGTTCCAAGGTACAGCGCGACCATCTGCTGCTGGTGCTCCGTCACGCAACGGAGCTGGCTCATCAAATGGCGCGTCCAGAAATGGCGTACCTGACCGATCAAAAGATCCCAAGGCCGCCGCAAAGGCACGCGCCGCAGAGGAGGAGCAGGCGAAGAGGTTCAAGAAGGCCGCCACCGCAACCACAGGATACTCCGGTACCGCCCGCCCAAGACCAGGAGCAGCTTCGGCCAAGAAGAAGCCGGCTCCCGGCGGCGCCCTCCTTAACGCCCGGCCCGCACCACGCTACGGCGGCTCCAACAAACGCTCTCGCTACGAGGAAGAGGAGGACGAGGAACTCGACGACTTCATCGAATATGACGACGAAGAAGACGATGCCGGCGGTCCTCGCTACACCTACGACTCGGACGGCTCCTCCGACATGGAGGCCGGAATGGACGACGTGTGGGAGGAGGAGCAGATGGCCGAGCGGGTGGCCCGCAGGGAGGATCAGGAGGAGGAGAAGCTTGAGAAGCGTCTCAAGGCCGAGAAGGAGGAGCGCAAGCGCAAGTTCTATGAGCAGCAGCGGGGACGGCGTTAGTCCACGTGCTTGACGGTATCACCTGGTTCACTATGGGCATTTGCACCGGTAGGCACGGCAGCATCACATTAGCGATGGCGTTTCTGTATTTTGTTTGGTCATTACTTTGGTTAGGGGGCGGGACGTCGTTTCACGGCACGGCCGTCTTCAATTTGACGGTAATGCCTTGGTCCCTTTGGATCCAGGGCGTATATACGTGCCTCGCGCGCAATGATACCTCAGGGGCCAACAAATGTTAGCCTAATATTATTACGTCTGTACCAGATACTGGTCAGAGCCAACTTCATGGTCCCCGGGGGAGAGGCTTGGTGTCAAATTTCCCACCGCTGCCGAGAACCTTGGCAGAAAACTCATGGATTCAAATCACGTAATGCGTGTGCTTGTCTCATGTAAAAAAACAGATTGTCTTACGTAGCAATTTTACAAGAATCATCCACATCACTTCTACCACGTAGTCGAAAGCGCATGATTTGCGTGTTCAAGTCTATGAAAACCCTCATGCAATGACTTTCATGGGGTGCTTACTCAACCCGTCCCAAAATCGCAATCCAGCCCAGACGCCATTGCGATGCCAAATTCTCTGAGAGATTGGATCACCCTAACTTCGGTCCGGAGCTACTAAGCCCCGGCCCTTCAAAATTGACAAACTCCGGTATGTGCCGCTGCTGTTTTGATGTTGGTCGCTCTGCCTCGATGCCGTTGTTGTTACACGCGATACAAGACCGCAAACTTTGCGCGCCGCAAGCCTTGCGGAATGGGGTGGAGGTATAAGAAAACCAAAAGGAGGACCGCCCCTGACGTTGGCAAGCAAAAAAGAAACGAAGTATAGAAGGCAACCAGAAGAACTTCTGCAGCCTGATCTCATCTCGACGCCACCATGAAGAAGAACCAAGTACAAAATGCAAATGTTGCTGCTCTGATGCGAATTGCTGTTCAGGACGACTTCTCTGCCGAAGCAAGAGACCCTGAGGGAGCACCAAGCGCCGCCAAACTCTGACGAACGTTGGGTGAATGATGGATCATCAACCCATAGTGCCCAAGTGACGATATTCTGCCGATCATGTCATACAGACCAAGACGTTGCAGCAGCGAGGAGCTCTGCAACAACTAGGGGAGATCTTCCGACTTGAGACCTGAGTTCCCATATCCACTCAGATTCCAGCCTTTGTATCGTACTGTAGATCCGCCGTTGCTCATGGAGAGTGAAGAAGGAGGCGGGTTGTGCGGAGGAAGCCCATTGTGATGCTTCATGGGTGGCGGAGGGAGGGAGGCGGGGGCGGCTGGCAAACTGCTCTGCTGGCGAGGGTGCGATTGGCCGCTGGAAGCGGGACGCCCGTTTGTGCCATTGTGGGCTTCATTCTCCTCTTCCTTCATCAAGCCCTTTTGGCGCAGATACTGGATCGATTGAAGGACGGTCAAATCCTCCTGATCCTTGTCGTTGAGAACCAAGCGCTGCTGGATTGTAAGCTGGCCATTGTTTGCCTCCCGGTCTTTCATCGCCGCCTCTCTTACAGCGGGATCGTGGACAAAACGGCACTTGCCCTTCTTGCCACAGGTGCCTCCCGTCGAGTAGTACTTGCAATGTTTCGTAACATCTGCCTTCCTAGCTGGCGGGGGCGGAGGGGGGGCTTGTTGGGCGCGACTCGACACAACTTCAGGCTCGTCGTCGTCAGACTTGAGTGCAACAGGAGAGCTGTCTCTCATCTCGTCGCCTTCGTCTTGCTGTTCACGCTTGCGTTTTATAGACGACTCCACCTTTTCCAACTGTTTTCTCAGCTTACTGGCCAGGTTTTCTTCCTTCTCCAGAGCAGCAGCAAACTTATCACCGCCTCCGTGTGCCACCTCGGCAGACTTCTTTGCTTTGACACGGGCGGCGGTCGGGAAGCGCTTCTTGCGCTCAGCGATGTAAGCAGCAACATCAGTGACTCTGGCAAATAAGGTTAGCTGCATTTCAAGTGTTTCCTTGCATTCTACTCACTGAAGAGCATCTGCCCCAATTAACTTGCGAAGCGTCTCCTCTTCCATCTCGTCATCTTCCGAATCCGAGTCTTGGCCAGGGGTAAGACCAAGCGTGTTGGTCTTGCGCTTCTTCTTCTTGCCCGAGGCGGCATTATCATGCTTGTGGAAACCCCCATCCTGGCGATGATTATTATTGTTGCCATGTTGACGATGGCGATTTCTGTCGTTGCCGTGATGAAAGCCACCACGGCCTCGCATGTTGTTGCCACGGAAGCCGCCGCGACCACGTCCTCCACCTTGTCCGTCGTGCTTGTAATGCGGTTCCTGTGGAGGGCCTGAAGCGCGAGGTGCAGGAGGGGGGGCATGATAGGGATACTGGGCTGGAGGACCATACGGCGCCTGTTGAGCTCGAGGATCTGCGTACGGCTGACCATATGCGCCGTTCACTTGATGTTGCATTCCCTCGGTACCGTATGGTCCAGGAGCCGGTGCAGCCACAGGGACTCGAGAACCGCCTCGGTCGTTGCCGTAACCACCACGTCCACGTCCACCACCGTAATGATTCTGGGGATGTTGGTCATGGCCCGGCCACTGCTGAGGAGCATTGTAATGGGCGGGAGGGTGGTAGGGCTGTCCGTATTGCTGTTGCTGCGGAGGGCCGTATCCGGGTTGATGAGGCGGCGGCGGCTGGCCATGTTGGGGGTGGGAGTAGACCTGAGGAGCGTAATTCGGGTGGTAGTTGGAGCTTGACAATGGGGTCGGAGCATGAGCTCCATGCTGTGGCGTGGGATGAGCATGGTCTTGGTGCCACTGCTGTTGGGGATGTTGTTGAGGAGGGTAGCTACCCCCAGCGGGCTGAGCCGGGTAGGCAGGGCTATGTTGAGGATAGGGTTGCTGTCGTCCGTACTCGTACTGTGGTTGAGGCGCGGGCGGGTATTCAGGACGACCACCCGATGGATACCCAGCACGGCCGCCGCGGCCGGTAGGAGCACCACCGCCTCTCGAGTGTTGTTGGTACGGACCGCCGTGATGCCCATACGCAGGGTGACTCGGTTGGGCGGCTTGGGGAGGCGGCGGCGGAGGGCCGTAGTTGTAGCCGGACATCGTGGCTCGAAGACACGGATTCTGATACGCGAAGGAATCGATTCAAATAGTGGTGATGTCGGATAATGGGAGAAGCAGACGTCTTCGATTTTCGATGACTTCGCAGGGCAAATCTGTCTGTGAAAATTCGAGCGACGTGCGACCGTTTGAATTTGACTGCAAATTGGATGAAAGTGCACCGACCTACTTAGGTAGGTAGGAAAAAGAAATCAGGCCAAGGAACACATCGATGGATGCATGCAAAAGGAAAGGATCGCGAGGATGAAGACGCAGCTTGATGCAGCAGTTTCCCTGACGCGAAGCTGAAGCAAGAGGTGGAGCGCAGCTTTCCACTGCGATGGAAGGGGCAGGGCAGGTACGATTTCGGTCGCCGCAATAAAATAGTTCCAGCGGGCTTGGTAGGTGCCAGGACTCTGTTGACTGCTTCCTTGGGTGACCTCTGCGTCTGTCAGCCACTGCTAGACCTGATTTAGTGGGCGGTGTGACGGCGGATCCTTCTCAGGCCAGGCGCCCCGCGATTTTGCCGATTTTGCGATTTACACCAAGCAGACAGACTCATCAAGAATAGCTTCCGGAGACAGGCGCGCGCGATTTCCTTGGGGCGCTCTTGTGGGACGACAATGACCTGACGGCTTTTTCTGATCGACACTGGCAATATATCTCCCGTCACTCTCGTCCCAAGGACGCAAGCGCCCATCATGTTCATTCTCGTAAGTCTGGCTGCAAATTTCAGCTGAGTGAGTGTGTCACTGACTAACACCAATACAGACCAAAATCGCGGACCTGGTCGAGATTGCACCGGAGGATTTCCGCAAGAAGAGCATGAACGCCATTGAAGACAACATCAACGCGAAATACGCGAACAAGGTCATTCAGAAGATTGGTCTCTGCATTTGCCTGTACGACGTCTTGTGGACCTCGGAGGGTCTCATTGGCCATGGCACCGGCCTTGTCAACGTCAACGGTGCGTGGAAGTTGCTTAGCACCTCGACCTGCATTCGCTAACTATGTTGCAGTTGAGTTCAGAATGGTTGTCTTCAGACCATTTAAGGGAGAAGTTATGATTGGCAGAATCAGGAGTTCTACGCCGGCTGGCATCAACCTAAGAACAGACTTTTTCGACGATATCTTTATTCCCTTCGACGAGCTTCCCGAAGGCGCAGAATAGTGAGTGTAGAAGCATTGAAATGAATCAATGGGCACCAGCTGACCAAGAACAGTAACCACTCAGAACAATTATGGATCTGGAATATTGAAGGTGACAGACTCTTCTACGACAATCACGAGATGGTCAGATTCCAGGTTATCGACGAAGAATGGCACGACCAGACACCCGCAGGACCCAGCCAGGGAGAGGAAGCCGCCCCACCGAAACCACCATACAAGGTGAAGGGCACGATGGCCATGGAAGGACTCGGCGTGTGCCTGTGGTGGGACGGACAAGGAAGCGAGTAGTATTTGGGAGGTCCCTAAAGTCTCGCCGATTGATTACGAACATGGGAATGGCGCATGGAAGGCACTCATATGTACATTGTTCTACAGATTCTATGACTTGATACCCGACAGCAGTCTCTGCTCCACATCATCCAGAACAGAGTAGTGCTCAACGACAGCAATGTTCTCGGCCTCGCCCTTGAATTGCTTGTCGGGGTCGACACCAGGTCCAAACATCTGAGGAGCGGCTTGGGCACCTCCCATCTGTCCCATCTGCTGGGCCATCTGGCTGGCGGCTGTGATTCGTTAGTCTAGCATTCCAGAAAGGAGACATTGCCGCAAGCTTACCGTTGTCGCTTCCAAGGATGAAGTTGAAGACAGACTGCAGACCGAAGATACACAGGAAGTACCAGCTGATGCTGGACATCCATCGGGGATCCATGTCCTTCGTGGCAACACCTGCCTGCAGCATGCTCTTGAACTTGATCGTAATTGGGAACGGCAGCTTCATGATGACGTATCCGCTGAAGAAAGCGTTGATCCAGCTCATGATGAGCGTGTTGGGAATGATCATGGCCATGTTGTTCTTCATCATGCCCATCATGCCGTCCATCGCGCCCGGGTCCGTAAGCGGGTTCGCCGGAGGCTGGCCCTTCTGGTCCGGGTTCTTGAGGTAGGCTCCGGATTCGTAAGCGGCGACGAGCACATCGCGGCGCGCCTCGAACGACTTCTTGGACAGGACATGGTGGTTGGTTCGCACGCCGACGCCATGCATCATGGCGCGTTGCTCACGCAGAGCAGGCTTTTCGAGCTTCTTGGGCGGGGTTGCGAGGAGAACGCTGGCATAGTGTCGCAAGATACCGGTCAAGATCATGACCACCGTAATCGGGAATAGAATCCAGTAGCTGTCCGCGGCAGTCATTAGTCGCCGTGCAAGAGATGACGGGCTCGTCGGAAATACGTACAACAACTGGGGATCCCGATGGATCGTCTGCACCGGAACTTGGGCCATGGCGGGCTCGATTGACTTGAAGCGCCGGGTATAATGAGTCCAAAAGATGGTAATGACGCTTGTCGTTCCGAGCGGCCAGGTGGTTGCGAGCTCTAGGTCGACGTTACGACCCCATCATCTTGGTGGTGGAGCGGGAAGCTCACCCGGAAGTACGTTCCAGCGTAACTCCGAAAGACCACCTTCCACTTAGGAAAGTTCCACCGTACCGCGGATTCGCACAAGGGTCCAAGCTGTCCCAGCTAGCTCCGAAAGCCAGCCTGGAGGTTACAAGACATAAAACCAACCCAAACTCCACGTTCAAAGTTCCCGGGAGCAGCGCAAAACATTCAACCCATTTTCCTCGACTGCGGAACCCCTCACAACTAAAATGGCGACCTCGGAAAGAATAACGGTCCATAACCTGGCCGGTACGTTTGATTCCATGCTGACGCTCTTTGTCGCAGTCGCGCTAACACAGCTCACCCAGACCTGAAGAATACCTCGGACGATGCGCTCCCAAACTACCTGAACTCCCTGAAGTTCACTCAATCCCACACCTTGACCGATGTTCGCCTCGCCCTCGGCTGGGGTGCTTTCCTCATTGCCGCCGCCTGCTTCGGCTGGGACTACCAGTTCGGATTCAACAGCACAAAGTACTACACGGCCGCTGCTGTGGTGCTCTACACGATGCTCAATGGCGCTCTGACGCTATGGATCTGGCTCAAGGAAGCGGGCACCGTGTATGAGGGTACATCACCATCTGGCGAAAAGGTAAGATCCACTGGTGCACTTCGACACCCTTGCGTCCGGAACCTTGACTTACACGGTCTCACTAGGTCAACATTGCGACCTCGACGAAGAAGAACGTACCAGTCTACAACATGAAGATCACGATTACCTCAAAGAACGGCGAAAAGAAGACTCTCGAACTTGCGAAGCCCTTCAATGAGTGGTTCGACTCCCAAGGCCACTTCGTCGTCACGCCCTTCCAAGAGATCCTCGCGACCAACATCCCCACTATCGGCAAGCTCGACCCTAAGCGCGTGAAGTCCGCCTCTCAGACATACTCTGCCGACGTCCTCGATGCTCTGTACGCGGAGAGTACCGCATCGGGAAGTGGTGCGGAGGCGGCAGCTAAGGGTTCCAGCAAGAGACGCAAGGCGTAGCCCGTTGATATCTGCCAAGGGCTGGCTGTACTCTTTCTATATACACCATGGCCTTGTAAACTAATCAAGGGTGTTTCAAAAAGCATGCTATTCGTGATTTTGCATTGTGCAGTGTGGACTCCCGCGGACTATCCTCCAATACCAAGCTGGAATGTCATCCATGAACTCTGACGCCCCCAGACGTTGCTTGCCTCGATATAATGCAAGCACCATTTGAATAGCATCCTTTCTCGGTCCTGATCCCCGAAATTGCGATCAGCAAGCCCGCCCCCTTCAACAGCGCCAGATTCCTCACGATTGATATCATTCGTCATAGATTTACCAGTGAGTATGCCGCCTATCCAGACGGAGTGCTATCTTTCCGACGCCTGAGCTCCAATCAAGAGTCTTAATCTACAACTGAGCACGCTACGTGATTTTCGCATTTGATCAGAACGCAACTATTTGAATAGCATAAGTCTGGCCCTTCAGATGAGTAACTTCCTCAAATGTCAATCGAGGCAAAATCAGTCTGGCAAACGAGTAATATCGCCGTTACGGGGCTATCTCCAAAGACACGCACCCCAGGTTTCCAAGAGGTTAAGACACCTTCTGGGCTTCTTTACCTGAGAGAGCGCTTGAAATATTGGTAGAAACTACGGCTCATCTCGTTAATCAATAACAAACTGCCATGCGGACGACGAATGCTCGAGAATCATGTCGACGCAGCCAGGCCACGAGACCGTCACTGTCAAAACCCAATATAAATACAACACGAACCTCTCTGCCAATGTGCCAATCCTCACTGCTGCGAGCTTTCTCCACAAGATGCTCCTAAAGGTCCTGGCAGAATCGTACAAACGCCGGCTTGGCAATGTCACTCTCCACGTCGATTGATGACGCGCTTCGACAACGCATCGTCTCGCGAGTCTGCCAAGGAGCATGCCCCGTATTCCTACATAAGACTTGAAGAACAATGATGACCAGAAGTTCTCATTCATAAAACGATCTCGGCTCGATGCAATGGCACAATCCAAACTCTGAATCTTGATTTGATGTTGATCATTTGATTCTGGACACTGCCCAGAAGCGATGTGGCTTGGAAAATCATGCACAGATCCGGAGGATGGTCCATTTATAACGATCTCTCCGAGATCCAAGTCGAACCTACTGATGCGAATGATGAAGTCTCGCTGGTTGTCAAGACTGTCCGTATAATACATGGGCCGGTAGAATACCCTACTAGACATTTCTTTTAAAAGACCAAAAAGATTGCTCTCGTTCTATCTAGCCACAGCATGACAGATATCCATGTATGGGGTGTCATCCGAAAGGGAGATTTGAATGAAATGATATATCATGGAAGTCGTACGGATAACTTCAACACCTCACATTGTGATGCGGTGCTACCACACCACTCTCGCCTTCCATCATCATCGTCGGCCAAGTATTCACACAGCTAACCCGGATACCCGGGGAGACGCTGGTATCTACAGTTGTCGTCTTACTCACGCAGTACCTGCACGAGAGAAGTCAAGCTCACTAGAGAATAATTATATCCGCAGATGACTATGGCTCATGGTGTTTCCATGTCAACTCAAAAGCCACTGCAGCGGCTTATATGTAAGAGATCCCCAATTCCGCGCCTTGTCTATGCAGCAGCAGTTGCCAAAGGTGCATAACGAGAGGGGCCGTAATCAACCAACTTCCGTCAAGGTGAATAGAGGCCCGACATCATCGGTACCAAAGTCATTCACCTCTTTGCGAGCGAGAAGACCTGGAGCAGAAGTGTGATCTCTGGTGCGTGGCAGCATACTGTCAGGCTCGATTGATAGTCTGATAAGGTCGTGTTGCCCACCCCTAATAGGCTGTCGCGCCCTCTGTAAATCCCGTCCGCGTGCAACATCGTCACTGATCTGACTTACACTCATGCCCACCATGCTTTCACTGTATCGCCAAAGTGGCCAGCGGTTCGAGGCTCAAAGCTCCAATTAGACTCTTCTGGACTTCAGGCGTTACCTGTCATTGGTGATATCTCTGCTCTGGATAGTACACCGAAAATACGCGAGACCCAAATCATTGGTGTATTCAACTACGATGTGTATCGGAAGACAGAGACGGAGGATGAGACACGGGTCGGAATAGTATGCACCAGATCGCGCCAGAATGGGGACTCGTGTAGTCTTCACCATGTCTAGAAGAATCATCAATACGGTCAATCCCAACGTTTTAGCGCCGGCGTTTTTAGAGCAGTCACCATGGCCTTTCAGCGGGCAATTGTACGTGGTTGCTTTCAAGAACCCCCTCAATCTAGAAACATGTAGCCCAAGATCTAGCATCGTATACAGAGGAAGTTGATAAATGATTTGACTGGGTTAAAGAATGTACGCAGTTAATCTCTAAATACTCATGAGATATCCAGACCAAACAACAAGTCCCTCGCGCCCACTACGGCCTTCGACTAGAGTCTCCTGTTTTCAATATAAAAAGTGCCCATCGGCCCCACGACACTCTGCAAAGAAACTCAGGCTGTGTAACTAGTATGCCTACTTCATCCACAGCTACACGTTCAGGTCGCGTTTGCTTGCCTCTCGCCCCCTCCACCTAACTCATCCCACATGTATTCCGGGACAGAATGTGCCGAGACTAGGGGCGCAGGACAGCAGACTCGCAGCTGTTTACTTGCTGAGACGTTCAAAAGAGAGAAGCACAGCATCATACCGACTTGGTATCATGATCACCTTTGAATAGCCAAGAAAGATACGAGCGATTAATTGCCTTGCTGCGTGCAGAATGTTTCGATGTAGAGAACTAAATATGAACATAGGCACATACATACAGTCCAATCACTTGGTCGCCGCTTGGCCTGTATGGAGAGCAAGTCCATATAAGAACGAAGCCCTTGAACACAAGTCAATTTATCTGAGACAATGAGGCACCGGACGTTGAAATCAAGCTTGACGGAAAGCTGGCAGACGTGGAGAAACACACCAAGAAGGCGGTGATCGGGTACGTGGCCCGCGCGGAGCTAACTCCGAATGTCTCAGAGCCGACGCAGGTCGCATCTGGCATCGTTGAGCCAAGCGAGGCCTGCTCATGGCGTGCGATGTGCATCATGTCGGTGAGAAACAGACTCGTCCAACAAGTTTCTCATGTTAAGGACCCTGCTAGAGCAAGGCTCAGTCGACATTTGAAGCGGTGAAGCGTCCGTCGCAACATCGCAGCACATCAAAACAAACTCAGCATCGATCAAGCAGCGTTATCAGAGATTCTCTACTCTATTCAAGTAGCCAAATGGTCTACCTATCTACAACGCCTCCACACACACCCGGAAGAGGACCGTCCCTCTTCCTTCTTTCTCTCATCCCCCAGCCATAACCGCAAGAGATGGATCGGCTAGAAAACCAGGAAAGAAAAGATGTTGAAGTTCTTTTGTTTCCCCGTTAACGCCAATGTAGATGCTTTCTTTGTTGCCCCTTTCGAACAATCCGAAGGGTATCTCTCATAATGCATTGCAAAAAAAAGGAAATAAAAAAAATCAACAGATACCCCCTTCGACAGGGGGTTTCCCGCTTGATTGTCTTTGTTGAAAGACGCCACCGCTCCCATTGTACCAGAAAATTTGTTTTTATAACACCCTGAATGAAGAAAACCCTACCAGAAGACCTCGTGTTGCCTTTACCCGCAAAGGCCTATAACCGGGATTCGTTGAGAACCGTACGCCATGTTTGAGTTGCCTGTCCGCATGAATATCAAAATTATTATAAACGTCTAGGTCGTTGCAATGCAGGAAGCTTGTTGAAGAAATCCTGCTCGGTCCAAAGCTGTTGCTAAGCGAGGAGCGCTTAGAACTTGAGAGTCTTGGGCTGCTCCCAGGTGAAGCTCTGGTTGGTACCGAAGTGGCCGTTCTTGGCGGTCTGGAGGTAGATGGGGCGGTCCAGGGAGAGCTCGCGGACGATGACACCGGGGCGGAGGTCAAAGTTGTTGCGGATGATCTGGACGAGCTCGTCGGAGGTCTTGTCGGAGGTGCCGTAGGTGTCGACGTAGATGGAGAGGGGCTCGGCAACACCAATGGCGTAGGAGAGCTGGACGAGGGCACGGCGGGCAAGGCCGGCGGCGACGAGGGACTTGGCGATCCAGCGACCGACGTAGGCGGCGGAACGGTCGACCTTGGAGAAGTCCTTGCCGGAGAAGGCACCACCACCGTGGGCACCCCAGCCACCGTAGGTGTCGACAATGATCTTGCGACCGGTGAGACCGGCGTCACCCTGGGGACCACCGATGATGAAGAGGCCAGAGGGCTGGATCTGCGTGGGGGTCAGTGGTTGTCGCTGAAGTGTAAGAGGATGCGGTACTCACGTGGTAGACGGTCTTGTCGTCGAGGTACTTCTCGGGGATGACCTTCTTGATGATCTTCTCCTTGATCTCCTCGCGGAGCTTCTCGGTGGTGATGTCCTCAGAGTGCTGGGCAGAGACGACGACGGTGTCGACGCGGATAGGGACAACGGCACCGTTGTCGTGCTTGTACTCAATGGTGACCTGGGTCTTGGTGTCGGGGCGGAGCCAGGGGAGGGAGCCGTCGCGGCGGGCAGCGGACATGGCAGCGTTGAGCTTGTGGGCGAACAGGAGGGTGAGGGGGAAGAGCTCAGGGGTCTCGTCGGTGGCGTATCCGAACATGATACCCTGGTCACCGGCACCGAGCTGCTCGAGGGCCTTCTCGTAGTGGAGACCCTGGGCGATATCGGGAGACTGCTGCTCAATGGCGACGAGCAGGTTGAGGGTCTTGTAGTCGAAACCCTTGGAGGAGTCATCGTAGCCGATGTCCTGGACGGCCTGGCGGACGACCTTCTGGTAGTCGAGCTTGGCCTTGGTGGTGATCTCACCGAAGACCATGATCATACCGGTCTTGGTGGCGGTCTCGCAAGCAACCTTGGAGAGGGGGTCCTCAGCCAAGCAGGCGTCGAGGATGGCATCGGAGACCTGATCGGCAATCTTGTCGGGGTGACCCTCACCGACGGACTCGGACTACATCGGAGAGTTTAGCAGGGGTTCGGCGGGTTTTTTTCCCTCTTGACCGCATGTGCAGTTTGGGGTCGAAGGCGGTGCTTACGGTGAAGAGGAAGTTGCCCTCGTTGTAGTGCTTGCGGCTGGCAATGCCGTTACCGTTGACTCCGTTGGCAGACATGTTGATAAGATGTGAAAGAAGAGTGAAATGAAGTAGAGATGTCGTTGAAATTCGGTGGAAAAAACTACCAACGCGGGGCACCGAAGATAGCAGGGGAAAAAGAGCTACTTCTGGGTTGAGAGGGTTAGCTTTGCTGTGGTGGAGAAGAGCGGCGCGGGAGCTCAGAGCTCGGTGCGAGGTCAATTGCTTACCTGGAGAGGATGGAGAACCAGAGGAAGGCTTGAGAGTTGTGGATGTAGAAGGGGAAAGAGATTGGGAAGAAGGAGCAGGAGATGTGGCCGTTCGGGTTTTAAAAGAAGCAGAGACCTTGGGACGGTTGGGAAGAAATTCTCGCTCATCCCCCTCTGCCCTCAGCGGCCTGCCAAAAGCTCAAGCGGGTTTGACGCACTAATCGTGGGAGACCTGCACCGAGAGCCGGAGGGGAGGAAAGGTACATCTGCCACCACCAAGTTAGTACTGAAGTAGATGTACCTCATCCCGCCGACCCCTCCATCCCCATGTACCAGCCCTGTCGAAGGGGGGGACCCAAAATTCTCCAGATTGCGCCATCCTCACGACTTTCCTCCTTGACCGCCTTCCAGCATTTCTGCGCCGGCAGAGTCACCCCTCTTGAGGCCACATAACGACGCCGCGACGCCGGTGGACGGTTTGCAGTCAGTGGGCAACACCACTTTGGAAGGGAAGTGGTGTCGACGTTTCCTCCACTGCGTAGCAGCGCATCCGGGGCCGGCCCAGCCTCCAAGCAACGAAGAGCTTCACGGCGGCGAGATTAACACAGTGATGACTAGGATGCACACCCCAACGCCGTCCCCATCCTCGTCTGGCCGAAGGAGCTCGGGCTCATTTTTTTCTGTTTCGTTTTCCTTCAGTCTCTCAGTCCCGAGTCTGTCTGCAAGGTTTCTTGCCGTCGGTTTCCTTGCGCAAGGTACCTTAACATGTTAACTGGCCTCAAGCTGCGAGAGACCAGCAATCGCGCAATTGCTGTTGGCAATTACGGAGTTGAAACCCTCTGGAACTCTATTGTCTACTGAACTCTGCTGGTCTCGCCCTTCGCCATTCAACCAATGCATTGTCTGACAACCTGGGTTGCAGAGTCTCTCATTCCCGTCCATCCAAGGGACCGGAGGGTCAGCAACTAGTCGCAAATGCGCCCCCTTCCTGCGCAAAGAAGACGCAGAGAAATAGATTGATTTCCAATGAGAATGCCAGCGGCACGCGCCGACTTACCGGCGACATTCCATCGTCATACGTAGCATAAGACCGTTGGCATGCCTCAGCCCTCCCTCCTTCCCTCCCTCGGCTTATTCTTCCCGCAGACTCTCGCATTCCGAGAGAACTGCGACTTTGCCCCTCTGTTCTCTCCCTCCAATACCTCGAGACCTCGACGCACTCGGCTCGGACCAGGGGTCTCGCAGGGTGGTGCAGAAGAAAGGAACGTGTCGACATTGTTGAATCGTCAGACAAGTGAGAAACCCCTGTCGAAACGGAGCTAAGCCGAGTCTGTCGCCCGGCCTGTAGTAGATCTTTAATTCGGACCGTGGAAATGTGCCCCTCCGTCGCTTCACACACGTGCGAGCGGCATTGGATCGAAATTCCGCAGGAAGCCGTGTGGCCGCCCATCGTGCTGTGAGTGGGTGACTGGGCTGGAGCTGGCGGGACGTGGCAGGGTCTGACAGTGAAAGAGAGGGAGAAAAAAAAAGCCGTTTGTCTCTTATCGCAAGCTATCTATCAGCGCGCATGGCAGAAAACGAAAATTTTCCCCTCATCCGTCGTCACCCGGTCCGACACGGCAGACTTGCAAACAAGAAGTACTCTGCACGGAATACAAACTTGCTACGTCCTCGGATTCCTTCCTTCTCAATTTTAACCTAGCTACCGACTCAAGGCGGCGGGCATGAGCACGAATAAAAAATAAAGATAAAAAAAGGCCGATCACCGCGCGACCCTTGACGCGTGCCCGTTCCTGCATGGCGGGGTAATCCATAGAAAACTTGCCCTCTTCAAACCCAGTAGTGACTTTTTTTGGCCGATCTTGATTCAAGCAAAGCCGACCACTTCGACATACCTCGCACACACAAGCACACTCGATTGCAGACACGTGCTTGACCAAACACTTCCCTTACATATCCCACCTGCAATCCAGAACCTCGCCCCCTTACGCGCCATCATGAGCAAGTACGGCGTGATGGTCATGGGCCCCGCCGGGGCCGGCAAGGTGAGTCCTTCTCCTCCGTCCCTGTGTCTCATCGCCGTCCCGTCCCATCACACCCTTCCGTGCCGAAACTCGGCCTCGGCCGTGAAAGGCCGGGCGGCGCCTCTCCCCGTCCCCGTCTCCGTCCCCAAAGTCTGTCATGCCGGGCCGTATGGCTAACGCCGCACACCACGCAGTCCACCTTCTGCGCCTCCCTCATCACCCACCTCAACCTCAACCGCCGCTCCGCCTTCTACGTCAACCTCGACCCGGCCGCCGAGTCCTTCGAGCACGCCCCGGACCTCGACATCAAGGACCTCATCTCCCTCCACGACGCCATGGAGGAGGTCGGCCTTGGCCCCAACGGCGGCCTCATCTACTGCTTCGAGTTCCTCATGGAGAACCTCGACTTCCTCACCGAGGCCCTCGACAGCCTGACCGAGGAGTACCTCATCATCTTCGACATGCCCGGCCAGATCGAGCTCTACACCCACATCCCCATCCTCCCCGCCCTCGCCCGCTACCTCTCCAACCCGGGCAACCTCGACATCCGCCTCTGCGCCACCTACCTCCTCGAGGCCACCTTCGTCGTCGACCGCGCGAAATTCTTCGCCGGCACCCTCTCCGCCATGTCCGCCATGATTATGCTCGAGATCCCCCACCTCAACGTCCTCTCCAAGATGGACCTCGTCAAGGACCAGGTCCGCAAGAAGGACCTCAAACGCTTCCTGACACCCGACACGGGCCTGCTGGACGACGACCCCGTCACCGCCGCCGCGGGCCCCGCCGAGCTCGACGACGGCCGCGGCGACGTCCACGACAGGGACCTCGTCATGCGCGGCAAGAGCTTCCAGAGGCTGAACAAGGCCGTCGCCGGCCTCATCGAGAGCTTCAGCATGGTCAACTACCTCAAGCTGGACGTGACGGACGAGGAGAGCGTCGGCGCCATCCTCAGCTACATCGACGACATCATCCAGTACCACGAGGCGCAAGAGCCGAAGGAGATGCACGACGACGAGTTCGAGCCGCAGGACGACGAATAAGAGCGCGCTGTTGGAGAGATAGTGACTGTGGATTTCAGCCGGGGAAATATACCAAAAACGGGGGCTCAGGTTCGAAAGGAAAAGATATCAAGATGTAGAGGGCCTGCTTGCATAGCGTTGGCGTTGGTATTGATTTACATTGGCTCATTCATAATCGTATCCATCCGGCAATGCGCCCGACGTCCTGTGTAATCTGTATCGCATGCTTTTCCCTGGGCGGCTTCACGCTTCCCTAGGGCGAGGTATCCAATCCGGCTCTTCTCCCGAGCAACATGACCCCCGGCCGTGGCTCAACTTTGGACGCCGTAGTAGGCCCCCCTCCGCGGCGAACGACCCCTTATACCATATCCCAGAACCACCTCCCCATCCCATTTCACCGGTGTCTCCTCCCCTGGACCTGCGTCTCCTCCTCGTACCTCCTGTACTCCGACACCCAAACATCCTTCACCGCCGCCGCGAACCCGACAACCTTGCCCCCGACGACCACCGCGTCCCTCGCCGTCTCCCACACGCCCCTCTGCACGACGGCCGCGAGAACGGCGACAACAGCGCCCCAGAAGGCCACCCTGAGCACCAGCGCGGTCCAGAAGGCGACGACGCGGCGGATCCAGTTGAGCACGACGACCGTGGCGGCCAGCAGCGCCAGCAGGATGCCGAACGACACGAGCTCGGGCGAGTCCTGCAGGAAGGCCAGCGTCGCGTCGACCGCGGGCGCGACGTACGGGTACAGCGCGTCGAAGGCCCGGCACGCCGCCAGCACGACGTGCTGCCGCGCCACCTGCACCGGCGACGACGGGTGCAGCGCGTTCTTGTGGATGAAGTCGACGGCCTCGGGGGGTAGGAACGAGCGGAGGACGAAGTTTGCCACCGACGGGTCTGCCATTTTGGACATTTGGGCTCTTCGTTGTTTGTTTATGCGTGTATGTGCGGTGGTGGGAGTGGTTTATTCGGGTTTCTTCGCCGTGGGTTTCTTTTGTGGGTGTGCGTTGCTTGTTGTTTCTGGGCCTCGTCTGGCGGTGGGAATCGCTGCTTCTGCCGACGGGGGGAGAACAAAGACGAAAGAACCTCTGGTTCGAAAGAGATGACTAGATTCGAACAACTGTCGTCGCGTACGGATATGTGTCGTGGCAGGCTCGTTGCAACACCAAGCAAGAAGGCAACGCCGCGGTGAGGGTGTGAGGTTGCAGCCGCGTGGAGGACGAAAAATAATATTAAAGGACGGGCAAGAGGACCCTTGGAGCACGAGCCTGTTGGCGATGTGCGGTGTAGCCCGGTCGGGGTAAGGTGGTAGTGGTTGTCGTGTTGTTTTTTTAGTGGGGAAAAATAAGGGCGGCGGTTCTGTTGCTGCAACTCAATGGAAGCATGTGGTTAGACGGATCATGAGAGCTCGAAACAGTAAACGGAACCAACAAAGCTCCATGAGGCCAGATATGCCAATGGCATTTCATAATGCTCCAGATGAAAATAGAAATCAACAACAACAATGACCGGCCAGAGCTTTGTTGCCCTGGTACAACAAGATTGTAATCTGTCTTGGAAACGCTTGTGCTCGAGCTCGAGCTCGAGCTGTCCCGGCTCCCAAGCTCGATTCTCTCTGGTGATTGACCCCAGGTAAAATGCAGTATCGTGATTTCTTCACCCCGACACTTCTCGGGTCGTAATTACCTGAATAAACCAGTTTGTTCATAGGCCAGGCTGAACGACCTCATACCCGTTTCCCTTCGTCAGTGGGGATTATCTGCAACGGATGTGAGCCTTGGAGATGTCTCTAAACACCATCTCTGGTTCGTTGCCAAGAAAGCAGCACGTGCTGCATACCCCAACCAACTACTTTCAATACAGTAATGGTACACCACATCGTCGAGTTGCGAGCAAGATCTTATTTGAACAAAATTTGAGATTTCGGCAGAGCCTGCCTGAAAAAAGCCTCAATTGCAACGTTGCGCTGTAGACAGCAGGTCGCAGCCGCCCACATCTCTCAGTACATGTTCCCAGCACAGGTATTCAGTACTCCTAGACAAGGTACATCCACTCACTTTCTCTCTCTCTTTCTTTCTCGAACAAAGGAAACATGTGTGTGACGCCCATCGTGGATGGAGAAATTGGAGTACAAGAAGAGAACAGGAGGCTGAAGTTCAGCCACAAAAACGTACAAGAAGGGTATCGAATCTAGGAAAAATGGAATCGTGTTTACCAGTCATGCGTAAGGAAGACCCTCTTACACTGGCAACCGCTCTTCTCAACCGCAGCTTCCCGCCTTTCTCATTTGACATTATCAGTTATTCGTTTTGACGCGCAAACGTCAATGTCCTGACCAAGCTGATGTAGCTGCGCCGCGCAGCTAAATCCCTACCAATGTGTGGTTACCAAGATACTCCAAGCATATGGTCTAATCAAAAAACAACTCCTCCTCATGATGTTTCGCCCATGCCTTCCAAAATCTTGCGCGCCGTGTCAAGGCGCCTTCTGTACATCCGGCCCTCTGCAGACGCCTTGCCAGCTTCGCTCAAACCAAGCACGCAACGCCCCAAGCTCGCCACGAAGCGTTCGACGAGGATTTGGTCCTCCTTGGCGAGCTGCGTCATAGGCGCAATCTGGTCAGGTCCGTGAAGACTTTCTTTATCGCAAATGCTTGCGGTCTCGCTCATAATGGCATCGGAGATGGTTCGAAGCTCCAACTCGGGAGACCCCTGGGGCGTAAGCACACCGCCAACACCAACACTAACACGTGCCTTGCCCACCAACGGGAAGCTGCGGTTCGTGCCGGTCGAATCGAAGGATGCGGTCGAGGGGCGGTGGCCCATGGTCGCTTGCGTGCTCATCGGGCGACGATAGGCTATAGAGCCAGCGCGCGCACGCGTCCGCATCTCTTCAAGTACATCGCCGCCGTTGATGCTTCCGACGGTCGACCGCTTGGCGGTTGGCGGGCTCTCGGTGCGCTCGCTGATGGGGCTGACACTAGGAGGGGTAAGGACGCCTTGTCGCGGATCCTCCTCGGTGCCGCTGGCGCTGACCCGGCTGGCTCGACCCGATTGAGCGGTTGCAAATGACTCCATAGTCGAGGTCGTGTCGCCGCTGCCTCTCCTGTTATGCGCCTTTGGACGGATCGCTTCGTCAGAAGTCATGGGCCCGCGAGTTGTCTCCACAGAACTTTCGGAACTGAAGCTACCGCGGCGTTGTTGGCTGATAGTGCCCATGGCACTGTGAAGGAAGAAGTGCTCGTAGTCGAACGCATCTTCTCGGTCTTCATGCGACACAGGGGTTTGGAATGTGTCGTGGTAGAGGGAATCACCACTCTCGCTGTCGTAGCCGTCTTCATCTTGAACCTGTACACTGTCCTCGAAACCGTCCTCGGTGTGCATATCAGAAATGTCGTCAGCAGGCTCGACGTGTGCATTCGCTTCCATCGCGTCGAGAGCCTTCTGGCGCTCCTCTTGGCGGATCGCCTCTTGCGCGGCCTCGTAATCACCAACAACCGACTCATCATCCTTGATTGGTGTCTCTTCAACGGCAGCCTCCACGTCCTTCTCTAGGTTTTCCCCGTCAATGACAGGCGATGGCTCGTTCCATGGGGCCTGTTCCAAGGTCGCAGTGAGAGGCTCTGGCGAGGACTCGTTTTTTTGAGGTCCGGAATACCACTGATCGACCTGCGCGTGAGTGAAAGGACTAGGGGTTCGCAGACTCTGTAGGCTGCGTCGTCGCATAGTATCCACCCGCGCCTGTTCCCTCAACGACGAGATCTTACCCTTGAGGTCCTGGACTTGGTCCTTCAGATCGCGCATTTGTGCTGCCGATGCAGATCGCGTTAGCGGAGGCTTGGTGGGACCATTGAGCGCAGGACCCAAAAGGCTGTTTCGTTTTGTTGTACTGTCGCTTCCCGAGTGAAATTCCGTCGAGACCTCATCCTCCCCCAGAGTATCCAAGCCAATTTCCTGGGCGGCCTTGTATCGTGGTTGCGCATCCCGCCCAGAGTTCAAGCGCTCAAGAGTGGCCGCGTCGTGAGTGATCTTTCGCGTAGAGATTGGCTGGCGATAACCCCCGGCTGCGCCCATGGCGCTGGCAGATCTCCGCTGCGCAATGCCCAAATTCACTAATTCGGTGTTGATTGACGAATCACTCAACATTCTAGCGTGTCCATGCACAGAACTAGGAGATGTCGCTGAAGAAGTGGCTCTCATCATAGGCGGGGAAGGAGTAGAGCCGCTGCCGTCGAATGAGGAAATGGATGGTGTCGAAATGCTCAATGAGCTGCGCGCTCTGTTCAAATTGCCCTCCATGGTCTGCGCGCGTTAGTCTAATCCTCTGCATGCGTTTGAGGTCACATACCGTGAGTCTGCGCTTGGCATTGGCAAGAATCTGCTCGGCTCGTCGACTAATTAACGCGGTTGAGTACCTGTTTGGATCATTAAGGGACGCCCTTGAAGGTTGAGAGATGATATGGGCCTTGTGAACGGACACATCATCTGCATAGGACTCTGCCACGCTCTCCTCATCGTCGCCTTGGAAGTTGCTGTCATCCACGCTGACGGTATCGTCAAAGTCGGCGAACACATTGTGGTCTTGTGTTGTGGTGATCGTACTCGTGGACTCGACCGAGGATCGTCGTTCGTGTGCCCGTGCCCGTTGCTTGATGCTCTCGTACGCTTTCGTCGGGGAGGGAAACGGCTCGTCGCCGAGACGGGGAGTGCGGCCTGTCCAAATCATTGAAGAAGGGCGCGAGGCCTTGCCTGGCGTACTCTCGGCCTCTGTGACTTCGCCGATATCAGACAGCATCGTTCCGTTGCCATAAATAATCGGCGTCGCGGGAGTAATTGGGCCGGCGACGTAGGCGCTCGGGGGAAACTGGAACTGCATGTTCATGTCGACAGCTTGGGAGTTCTTCCACATCATGAGAGGAGAATGCGACCTGTCGGGGGAAGAAGGACAATCATAGTCGGGAAGGATCATGTCGGGGTTCGTCAATGTAGGAGAGGCCGGCTGTGGGGGATACGAGGAGGTGGAGCTTGAATGCGCGTGGCCGCCGCCGTGGGCGGCGTGGGCGTGAATAGCCTGTGTCGCCATGGTTGCGGGTTGTGCTGGCCAAGTTTTGCAGCGATTCAGTTCCGGTGGTGTTGCCTCCTGCGCGTCGGTCTATCTGGATCGCAGGCGTTGATTGTCGTTACAGTGGCCGTGGAGTCGTAGGACGGACAGCGAGTCGGGTCCTGACCAACAGGGCGGGCTGGCTGCAATTAACCGGCGAGTCCTTCCTTGGTGGCGCAGGAACCCCAATGGAATAATTATTCTTGGTATATGAGCAATGGATGAGACGAAAGCATTTGGGCAGAGTTTCGGCCAAGGTTCAACCGATCCCCCAAGTCCAGCCAGGTCCGTGGGCCGTCCGGTCGTGGATTCGGATGGAATAAGACTGACTGGATTGCGTTTGCGTTTTCGTTTTCCTGGGGTTGCGCGGGCGGATGTCAAGTTTGCTGCAACGGGACCAGATGGAACTAAGCGTGCTCCAAACAAGTCGCAGAAGGTGGGCGGGCAGGCGGGTGGGCGAGCTCAAAGGCAACCTGCAGGTCGGGTAAAAATGGCGGAAATCGTTTGTTGAACCTTGTTGTACGGGACTTGATCGTAGATATGAGAAATGGTTGTGTCGTGGATTGTGACGGGCTCTGGAGCTTGACGACTGAATGGCCGTTTGCAGGAAGCAAGACGTCGTTCGTGGGGTGGTAGGACCGTATGCATGCGCAAAGCAAGCACAAACGAGCTGCCGGGTTCGGGGAGGTGGCCGGATTGAGAAGCTTTGGCTGCTGCTCAGAGGCGAGCGATGGCAGATTTGGTTGCGACGAAACAAACGGCTGGGCGCAAGGTAGTCGACGTCGACGAGTCTAGCCGTCTTTGGTCCCTTCTTTCCCTCCTCTTCAGGTTGCTGTTGGCCGTTTGTAGTGTAAATGTTGCTTGACTGTTGTTACGGCTGGCTGCGTCGCGACGGTCCCGAGTTTAAGGGGTTGCAGTTTGGCGGTGGGGGTCCAGCAGCGTGTCTAAAATGATCTGGAAGAGCGACCAATCAAGACTGGATCGAGGCCGTGAGACATGCAGCCGGTACCTTGGGAGGCTGTTCTTGTCTCTGGCTGAGGTGCAGCTGGAGCGATGGACGCGATCGCAAACTGCTCAGCCGCGATACGAGGAGAAGAGCAGAGCAGGTGTCGAAAAGGTGAAAAGGTCGAAGTTCGTGGCGGACAAGCAGTGGTTCCTGGGTTGCTTTGGCAGGCTGATCTCGGCTGGTAGCCCTGTGCCAGGAAGATAAGATGACAGGCTGCGGGAGATGAGCAGCCAAGGGTTGGAGGGCAGGTCGCCGATGCAGTGCAGAATGCAGGCGCAGAACACACAGGACCACAGAAGGGCTCGAGACCTGAGGCGGCAGTTGCAGTCCGATGTGAGTACGGATAGGGTTGGCGGAGGAGACGCGCGATCAGGTACGGACTGGACCGGAATAGTAGTTTGCTGTTGTAGCACGCGGCGTGAAGGCAAAATGGTGGTGAACGGGCGTGACAGTTGGGCTTGACGCTTGACGAGATGATTGGCGAAGGCTAGACCGAGCCGGAAAGACCGTAGGAGAATTGGTAGGTGCGGTAGCTGAATGCCGAGGAGCACTCTGACCTTGGGAAAGGATCGACAGAGAGCGAATGGAAAAGGCAAGTGAGTGTGATGAGTTGAGTGACATGGACGGCACAGACAATCGTGAATTCAGCAATCGACAGAGATATCCTGGATTGCGCGGAAAGGGGCATTTTCTCCAGTCGCGTAGGCCGGGCAGGTACCTTAGGTAAAGGTACCCGTGTCTCTCTTCAGATAATTAAGGCAAGGTACCCGAGAGCCTGCCTACCTTATGCATTACATAGGTACGTATGGATATCTGTGTAAGGCATATTCCGTCCTTACTAAGGTGCCTGGTATTTGATATCGTGCCGTCTTTGAGCTCAAGTTCCTCAAAAGTTGTCGCCTTCGCGACGCTTGGCTAGACAGGCATTCCCCATGTCTGGCAACGCTCTTCCGTTCGTAAAATTTTCCAATTTCTCGCTTCAACGCAAAAGGAAGAGTCCTTGCTCGCGTATCCTGGTTTTGGGCCGCTTCCCCCTGGACGGTACCCTTGGCTGCAGTGGCTTGATGCATGGTTGCGCACATGGGAATGAGCCTATGGAGGCCCACGCTGCAGGTGCTGAGAGACAGAACGAGACCAAAACCGCTGAAAAAGGCTGCCCAGAACCCTGGCTTCTGCCCACCAATGCAAGACGATATCATTGCGTGGGCTCTGGGTTCCTGAGCAGCCTAGCCCGTGTCGGACAAGTGGTGTTCTTGCTGCAAAGTCTTGTTCGGTCGTCTCTGGCCCTGCGTGCCTGGAAGTCTTCCCAACTCGGGCTGATTGGACACGAGAATTGAAGCTAATAAAGCCCCGGCTCCTCCTGCAAGCACTGGCCAGCCGGTGGACTCCGCGCCGGAAGAAACATATCAGCCCCGGCAGCACTGGACCTGCAGCACCTGCAGCAACATACTATGGTACAATACAAGGTTCACACTTGAGAAAGAGAGAAAGAACCGCTTCTGCTTCCATATCGGTGCAACCCAACCTCTTCAATTGCAAACTTTTGGAGACCCGGGCTCGAGTCCGGAGCTGGAAACAGCAAAAGGGACGTCCGAAAGATTCTTTCCAAGAGGCTGAGGAAGGATCATTGAGCAATGGGACTCGCACGGTGGAGTCTTAGCAGCTCTGGTAAGACGAATTTCGGCAATTGATCAGCCTTCCGCATGCAGACCCTGACGCGCCTGACTCTTCCTGTCTCTCCTCTCGCTACCTAGTCGCTAGACCTGCCAGGAACAAGATTGACCAGACCTGTTGCTCCAGCTCAATCACCACCACCACAGGCACCACAGTGCTCATTGCATCTCTTCGCGGAACACGGTACAGATCGAGCAGGTGGCCACTGCAAAACATCTCCACGAGCCCACGCCCGTCATCCATCAGCTCGAGACGAACACGTCCGATCCAAGGCACGCGCCCAGCTAGGGTAGCCTTCGGCTTGGAGACATTTACTACGCAGTACTCTACGTCTGCCGAATAAGCTTCGACACAACCTCGCCGGTGAGCTGTGGAGATGGGCAGACTCAGACTCAGCTCCCGGTCCTTTGTTCGAGAGGCGCTTGCTAACTAAGCAGCCGCCATCGCACATCGACAGCAGCCACAACCTCATCTTCATCTGTCAGAGGCTTTGCCTTTCCACATGTGACTCTTTCCACTTTGCCCTCTGCGGCTCTCGCTCGTGGACTACTCGTGGACTTGTCGTGGAGTCATGACCAGTCGAATCGGTGTCCCAGCTCTCTGGGGCACAAGTCACACGCACGTTGAATCCCGCAGACCCGGTGGAGCTGCACTTCAGTGAACCACCAACCGTCAACTTCCTCATCGGTACTCCCGATACAGAGTACGAACAACCCGATCCTTCTGGAATGCCTCGCAAATTGCACAAGAAATCCATGTCGGCCCATTTCTGCTCACACCATCGCTTGCCCGCTGGCCTTCTCGCGCTCTTCCCCCTGGGTGCACTGTGTTGCATTCAACCCTGGAGGAATTTGCCTGTAACGCCCCTAGGCTGAGATGAGCCGTCAAAGACATTACAAGAAAGTGAAGAAGGCGCCTCTCAACACCAGTGTCACCTCGCCCGCGCTTGGCTCGTACCTGCCATTCGTCCCATCAACCAAATTCCATCGCAGGCGCCTGTTCAGATCTCATGCGCTGATGACGCCATCCTCGGTCAATCTGCTACAGACTACCAAAGACTCGGCCTCTTAAGCCCCCAGATATACCCATAATATCTCGTCTATCTGGTCATTTTCAGCTTCTCGCATTGAATCGCGGCGCCGAACCAATCTCCAGAAACAATCGGGACGGGATCTCTCCAGTCCCAGAGAGCCGGCGATATCCTTGCAATGCTCAAACTGTTGGACAATGCCAGTGTGGGCGTACCCTCCCGGCCCGGCGTGGGGAACTGTGAGAGAAAACTCAGGATGAAGCGCGCGCGAACGTGGTTCCGAAACGCACTCGTCCCATCCGCCCAAGCCTGGGACGTCGCCTATTGCTCATTCGACTCAGTCGATTGAGGGCCTTTACAGACTTCACGAACTTCCAATTCGCCGTTACTGGACACGGAGAAAAGATATTATATCGTCTGCCACATCCCAGGATCGCGCCGGCGGTTGAGGCTTGCGCCCGGATCTTGTCGCCTATCTTGTTTGGTCTTGGTCGTCGCCTTGGCTGAGCCCCTTCTTATTTCAAGACTACCAATATTCTCCGAGTTGCTTTTCCATCGAAATTGCAGCCTTCTGCCTTTCTGGAAAATACGTCGTGGCAATCGGGCCGCGTCAATCAGCCTCATCACTTAGACCAGTCTGGGCCTTGACCATGAGCTTGTGACGGAATCCTCCCGGATTCATCACCAATGCAAATGGGTTTCTTCTTCTCACGACAGTGTCAGTCGTCCGTTTCCGGCTCGCTTGCGTCTCAGCCGCGCAACATGATCCTCGACATTCCGCGCCGCACTGCAGTGCATGGCATAAGCATTTCTTCGCTATCTATGTTCATGACATGATCTCTAACTCGATCTTCTCATGCAAAATCGACACATCTCATGCGAACACCAATATCCCTCTCGACATCGACACAGACAAGTGTGCGTGCCATATTCTATGTTGAAATGTATCTCCGGCTAACCGATGTCTTGTGTGCTTTTCTTTTCTTTTCGCCCAATCCGTAATGCAAACTTCAGTGATCCCCCCTTATGACTAACCAGGTATAAACAAGCAAGTACTTTTTAATCCAAACCGCATGGGTTTTTTTTTTTTCTATCCTTTCCGCTTGCGCGGGCCTCGCGGCATGCTCTCGCCTTTTCAACGCTTCTCAACCCTCAGTGAAGGCCTCGCTTCTGGCCTGCGCGGTGCTCGCATCCTCGCTGCCGTTGTCAATCGTCGTGGGGCGGTTGGCAATAAGACGCTGAGATGAATTAGTACCTCACTCTCGGGCGGTCATCCAGAAGTGATACTTACAACCAAGTTCCTCAACAAGCACGCAATCGTGACCTTGCCGACGGAGGGGACGTAGATCGCAGCCTTCTCCTTGACGGTGGGAGCGTCGAAGTTGCGGAACGAGGAGAAGTTGATGCACACGGCGCCCTCGCGGATGAGGTTCGTGTCGATCTTGTACTTCTCGTGGGGTACACCGCCGATGATGACATCGCTGATGGGGAGGACCTGCTCCAGGCCCCAGCCCTCCTTGTTCGTGACCTGGTGGCGCGGCTGCTTGATGCCCTGGCCGCGGGTGAAGAGCTGGACGCCGGTGATGTCGACCGAGTAGACCGTGGCGCCGTCGTTGGCGAGCAGGGCGGCGAGCGGGCGGCCGTTGACCTCGGAGCGGTTGATGACGGTGATGGTCTTGCCGAAGAGGCGGTTGCCCGGCGCCAGGATGGGGTTGTAGATCTGCAGGTGCTCGAGGATCTTGACGACGGCGAGGGGCGTGCAGGGCAGGATGGACTTGCGCAGGTTGGCGGGCGGGTCCAGGAAGCGGACGTTGTGGTACATGTTGTAGATGTGCTTGTGGCAGAGGCCCTCGACGTCCTTGGCCAGCGAGACCGTCTCCTGGATGTACTTGTCGTGGGTGGGGTTGCCGGGGAAGATGGGGTAGTAGACGATGATGCCGTCGACGGCGTCGTCCGCGTTGGCGTCCTCGATCTTCTCCTCGAGCTGCTCCTTGTCGACGCGACGCAGGTCGAAGTTGAAGCCGCTGGATGTGGGGGAAACAATCATTTGTCAGTTACCTTTGCAACTTTTCTCTCGCGCGCGCGGGAAGGGGGGCTTTTCTTCTGGCCTCCCAAAACACACACACAAAGATTGAAGGCCGGGGCGCGCCTACTTCTCTACGCAGGTCTTCTGAGACCACTCGGCGTACTGGAGAGCAGCCGGGTCGTCGTTGGCAAGGAAGGCCACGAGCGTCGGCTTGAAGACGCCGCTGCCCTGCACCTTGGCGAGGGTCTCGTGGACCTCAGCCAAGAGGCGCTTGGCGATGGTGTCGGCCAGAATGACCTTGCACGTCTTGGGGACTTCGGAAGCCATGGCTGAGTCTGGGTTTCCGAGAGACTCGATATGTCTTCACGGGATGTCAGTCGAATTGCTCTTTTGGGGTCATTAGTATTACTCACTCTCGTTATCTGGTTGAGTGAGTGCCTATCGGCGTCTATCCCCAGATTAGTAGGTATTCTTCAAGCCCCACCATTTTCGACCCCGCGATGCCGCGTCTTTGGGGTAATTGGGAAGGGAAAGAGGATAACTGACTGGCCAAAAAACGCGTAGGATGGCAAATTGAGCAACGAGCGACGGCCCAGGTTCTAATTCTGCAGCTAGATGAGCGATTTGGAGCGGTTGAAGAGAGAAAAGATGGTTCCGTAAAATGACCGTCTATGAGTCTTTGGAGGGGCACCGCTCCGACTTCGACATCCAAATTTTTTTTTCCCTTCCGAACAGGACCCCGCGGTCCTTGCGCTGAATATTTTACCCCTCCATGTCATTCTGCCCGAAACGGACTAGCGTCAAGATGCATTCATCTTTTACATTTTCTTGAAGAATCGCAACCAGCAACGAGTAATTCCCATCAGAATAATCCAAAGACCGTAAAAGGTGTATGTAAGAGTCGTACAAGAAGAACATATGCTAGAGCTCTCGTTGTTGATCGTCAGGTGAGTTGCTCTATTGCAAGTGATCCAACTGCACTAATCCCGAAATGACAGTATGATCGGGCATCTGGTTCCTCCAGACCGCGATAACTTTGATAACGGTTACACCGCCTTCCCGAAGTAATTCCCCCACCAAATCTGAGTAATTATCTCACTGCCCTTGGCCGGCTTTCGGTGACGTGAAGTCAATGTTGGCTCTCAAAAAAGCTACTGAGCCTCAGAAGCCCAGACTGGCATATTTTACAGCGCGCCCCCATCTTTGTCTTTGTTGACTACCCAGGACAGAGAAGTCTCAGAATTTCCGTCCCATCTCTGAATACGACCAATATTGGAAGGAGCGGGGTGAACTTCACATTGGATGAAGGCGTCCATCGCAACTGCTCACTTTGGCCCAGCCATATTCTTCACCACCTAGTCTCCGCTCTTGCCTTGTCGCACTCAATTTATTATCTCACATATACGCTCAGTGACTGAAATCTTCTCCATTTCAACAACCACATTATTGCCAGTTTTGCTTTGGAAGAAAAATTCCCTATACAACAACCACATTCTCAGAGACACCTCAGAGACCATGACAGACTTTCGGAAGTTGGCATTGGAGTATGTCCTGAGTGACGATCCTGAGAGACATTTGGCAATCACAAAGGAGGCAGCTTCAGGTATGTACACGGTCATTTTCCACCAGAGCAGCTATCCGGACAGACTGCTGACCCTGCCTTCCAGCAATCCAAACAGCACCGAGACCCAGCAATCCGGTCGCGAGATGGGTTGAATCCATCAGGCCATGGATGCCCAATGCCAATGACGACCAGATGGATGATGGGGAGGATGGGGAGTCAAGTGGTGATATCATTGCTCGATCCAAAGGTGAGAATCACTCATGAGGCAAAATCGGACATATGTGCTGACCACCTTGCTTCCAGCTTTGGGGTTCTTGGCAGGGACTCTAGAACACTTGGATCCTACTTTTCTCAAGGCAGATCAAGGTGAGTTGATGTGCTTGCCATAATTGGACACTGGCGGTTGACGCATTGTCACAGTTAATCTCCTTGTTGCATTCTTTGGCAGCATGTTCAAGGTTGACCACAAAGCTGGCATCATGCCAGCAGCAAAGGCACTTGACAGAACAGCAAGCATGAAAGCATTCCAGCCTCAAAAAGGAAACGACATCATTCAGAGCATTTGCAGTCTCGGCGACGACTTCAAAAACCAGGTGGCAGAAACAAGAGCAACAGTATACGAGCTGCTGGATCATCTTATCTCAAACCCCGAGGTCGCCAATGATTTGCAGTATCAGCATGGCGCAACCGCCGGCTTCATGACGGAGCTTCTCCAGGTGTGCCGGAATGAGCGAGATCCGAAGTGCTTGATGATCTGGTTCAAGATTCTGAAGGCGTTTCTCGCCGACTTTTCCCCCGTCCAGGAGGTCGTCGATGAGATTTTCAGCATTTTCTCAGCATACTTCCCGATTTCCCTTAGAACGTCACAACATCCTTCGGGTATCACAGCCGACGACTTGAAGTCTGCTCTGCGGGAATGTTTCTCTGCACACCACCGGGTGGCGAGCAAGGCGGTTCCATACCTTATCGGCAGATTGGACCAGGGAGACAGCGTGACTGTCAACGTGAAGGTCGGTGTATGCGTTGGCTGTATGCAAATGATTTACTGACGTCGGAACAGGTCGATATTCTCAAGACATTGACTGCTTGCTTGAACAAATATGAGCACGTTCAGCAAGGCATCACGCCGTTCACCGAAAAGATCTGGGGCAGCCTGAAGTACGAGGTTCGCAACGGCGAAATCGAAGACACGATCAATGCTACGCTCGAGGTTATCCGCACGATCGCGAAGAGACTCAATGGGGACGAGCTCAGGGACTTCGCCCTCACCGTTCAGCGAGACTGCTTAGAAGATCTGGCGAATCCGATATACACGGCAGCTTCTGGAAAGCTCCTCATCAGCGTCCACAGCGCCAAGCCCTCCGCTTTCGCCCTCATGATCGCTCCTTCCGTCACTCACATCAAGGAGAACCTTCGCCACACAAAATCACCCGAGCACACCAAGAATCTCCTGATCTTACTCAACTCTCTGCTTGAGCTTCGCCAAGTGCTTATCGGTGGCGATGTGGAATTAAGTGTCGACGATGCCGCGGCCTTCAAATCCACAGAGCCAATGCTTGCGCCGTTGTACAAGCAGGCATATCTTCCGCCTTTCCAACAGGCAGTTCAGGAAATCGCAATGAAAGAGGAAGCGACAATTGGTCAACAGGCTATCAAGGGTATGGGCTTAATGGTTTGCCAGCGTGCTGCACAGACAGGACGCTCTACTCAACCAATGCTTCCAGAAACCACCCTGGCTGAGATTTGCGACGACTTGGCAAGCGTGATCCTGAAGGCGCCGGAGCGCTACTCAACCGACGAGCTCCAGGCCAACTTGATCGACGAAGCTGTATTTGCTCTTCAGAAGGCTACCACGGCTTACCCGCCTGCGCTCAAGAAGTTGATCGAGGAGAGCTTCAGGATATGCGAACCTTACATCGCTTCTCCCGAGACGACGTCTATCATCGGTCTGACCCAAACGTTGCAGCAAATCATCCCCAAGCTGGCGTACATCAGCTGCTTCGAAGTGCCACGACAGGGCAAGAAGTTTGACAACTACGTGCTTCTGTTGAGCGTGCTGCTTGACAATCTCAAGTCCATGCTTGACGTCAAGGCACCTCCGCAAGTCTGGTCGCTGTTTGCCTCTGGAATACAGATCACGATGAGATATTACAGAGATGCAGTCCACGCTTTTCTGCCGAAATCCGAAGCTCTCAATTTCAAAGACAAGCGATTCCATCCCGACACGTGGGTCAACTACGTCGCAAGCCGGTTTCCTACTTTGCCTCGCATTGATGGCGAGAGCTCCGAATCACCTGATGCTGGGGACGCTATGGACATTGACAGTCAGGAACAGCAGCTGGAAAACGCCAGTGATGAGATTCATGGAGACTTTATCCTGATCAGTCTCTTCGTGTTACGACAGCTTTACAGACGAGCGACCAAGATAATCAGCTTCGACGATGACACTGAACTCTCACTAGAGCTCAGTGACGATTTCACCAACAAAGACCCGGACGCTCGTATGTTCGAGGATCGCTACCTCCACCTCATCGGTAGCATGGCTACCTTCGTCATCCGCGAGATGAACGAATTGCAACAGACTGGGTTGCTTCTCAATGAGGAAGTCGTGACGCTCTTCCGTGGCGATGATGAATTTCTGCACAGCGATCCATCCAATGCGCATCCTTGGGCGAACGCACACTTACGAGATGCTATGCTTCGGACATTCAGTCCAGACCCATCATACAGCATGCGCGATCCGCCCAAATTCCCCATCAGCGGCTTCAGCCATGGGCGCGCAGTCGTTCTCTCTCTTGGCGTTGTCCAGCCATTGCACCCCACAGCAGTTCAGCGTTTGGTAAGTTGTGTGCTGCTATCAAGAAGAAACAGTTGACTGACTTTCGCATAGGTTGAGAGAGGAACAGCCCATCAGATCCTCATTGCCGGCCTCCTGTCACGCGACCACTCAGCATCGCCTCGTTCCCGTCTCATTGTGTCTGCCATTCTGACTATTATTGCCAACAAGTACCCAGTTGATAAGCTGAGCGAGATTGTTTCCATGGTTGAGCGCCAGATGGAGTTTGTGGTTGGTAACGGCAGCTTGTCTGAGGAAGAGGAGGACGAAACAGGCTTCCTCGAGCATGAGAAGAACAGACTTCCCGGCGAGAACCCAGCTCAGGCCAGGGCCAACTTGGCAAGGCCGGTATATGCGATCACCGCAGGCGTCCTTCGACGATACACCGGGAATGCTTTCAAGAAGGTCCTTTTGGCCATTCAACGGGGCCCCGCCAACAAAGAAACCGGCCACACTCTCGCCCGCAATCTCGAGATTGTATTTGCACCTTACGACAGCCTGAGGAAAGAGTACTTTGGACAGGTGAAGCCCCTGTGGCTTCAGAGAGCCTACTTCGAGCTCGTCAAGCCAATGCTTGCCAAGGCTTGGCCGGCCGGCTCAAACAGCCCGGAGGACATGCTGGTGGCCGCGAACTACAGCATCGCCGTTCTCGCAGCCGTGAAACACATCCCCTTCGCCATCTACGAAGACGACACGGAAGACCTCGTGAGATTGATCCTCTGCGCAGTCCGCTACCTCCCGTCCGGCGGAGACGTGCAGGCCGGCCTCAGGGTCCTGGAGGAGATCGCGCACAACTCGCCCGACCGCATCAAGCCGTTCTTGAAGAGCATCATCGAGGCATGCATCTCCATCTTCACCCGGGGCGACTCCCAGACGGAAAACTCCTCGTGGATGCCGGCGGGCTACATGCCGTTCGACCATTCCAACGTCGCCCAGGCACAGTGCCGGTGCCTCGTCATCCGTGTGCTGGGACTGCTGCCGCCGCAGTTCGAGCACCGTCATCTGCTCGACTCCGCGTCGCAAGTCCGCCGCATGTTGTCGCAAGCGTCGGGTGACCGTGTCCGCGAAGTTAGGAAAGCCGCTCTTGTGGCTCGCCAGGCCTGGGCCGAAGTCAACTAAAGGGGTGGTTAAGTAGGTGGAACATAGTTGAAGAGTGTCTTCAAGGGGTCAAGTCTATTATGTTGACGCGGTCTGGATATGAATGGAAGCAGCATTGTGAACAGAAGGCCGGCATTGCGAGGAGTTTGTGGGCTTTTGAGTCAAAAGTAGACTAGAACTGAAGATAATGAGAGATAGGATCAACGTACATGACCGCTCGGAACATGGGCAATTAAAACGATCAGAGACTGTGTTGATAGGGCCTATACGTGACTTGCCTTACCACATCTCTTGTGGCTTCCTGACCGCATAAACATCTGCCTGTCGCGAGTACAAGTGGGAGGAAGTATTGCTCAATCTTTCTTCTCCCCTTCGACAAGCGAATCAGCCTCATTGTAACCCAGAACTACCTGAGTTGAACCATCTTGTGTGACAGTTCACTGTACATCATCCCTCCGCTGCAGCTACGGTGAGTCGTTGATTTCGAAGAACTCTAGTCGCTAATTGTGATCGGCCTTATTCACGGTCCCTTTTCATTCCCATAACCTACAAAAGCATTGTCTCTGCGCGGACAATGTTTGGAAGATTCCGAGTCTTTCGGGCCAAAGCAAGTGGCGTACGTCTTCCATGGCGACGCATCACCCGTAGTACTTTGAGCTTCGACGGCGAAAGTGGTGTTGTGGTCGAGAGAAGATCCGACTGATCCACATGTATGTCTCTTTTTCGACGTCGCCACTCAATCTCGGTTGTTTAGTATTAGCAGGCGAATACTCTGCAGATACTTCGACCTTCGACGCCATGGGCCTTTATTGTTGGTGGCGAGTTCACCCATGTTCAGAAGGGCCTTCACCGTCGCAACACTTCGGTTCCAATGCCTCCTAATGGGATACAAGAATCACAACGATAATATGAGAACCAAAAGACTTGGCTCTAAAAGGTACGACAGGCGAACATTTCGCCTTTAATACCTCTGATCGACGGGACCATGTGACTCTGAAAAAAAAACATGTTATGTAGGCCTCTCCTCTAGATGAGGACCGGGAAAAGCATTTTGGATCCTGCAGTGCCAAATCACCATTGAAACTCGCTCTTTGTTGTCTATCTCAGTTATTTGGAGAAGGCTCTCGGTGTTCGATGTTCTCTAATACAGCAACGATCTTGAATATGAGGGCATGCGGCACAACAAATACCAATGTCGACCAAACCTCCTGAGGCTACTCCCTTGTCCAGCATGATGTGATATATACCTTCACACGACGATCAGCCCACTAGAGCCTGGCCTACCGCACCAACGGGTCGTTCTGAGCGATACAGAGACCATCGCTTTCTTCATCCAGCTCCGTTGCCCACGGCGTATCTCAGAAGAATATCCACGGAATCTAAGATGCCTGGCCTGTCTCAAAAAATCAGATCCACGAGTTTCGACATAATCTCTCCCTCATTGTCTCTGTGTTAACTTTAACTTGACTGTATCCAGCTACGCTATTTCAGCTTCGTCCTCTGATCCCAACATTTGTTGACTGAATGACACTTTAAGTACCTAATCTAACCGGTCGTCATGAATCACTTTTACAACCAAACCATATTATTGGCCGATTGACATCTTGCAAAACGATGGCACAAAGACATCCCCTTTTGTGTTCTCTACTTAGTTCCGTGGGGTCACAACTCAGCCAAGGCGGAGCAGTCTTGTTGTAGAGAGCTGAGAGATGATCTGATGTGATACGAACTCAAGTCACTCACCTGAGGCGTGTTCAACTACAATGCGGAGAAGGATTATCCCACCCTGAATGCCGCTGTCACCGTCGATGGTGTCACACAAACAAAGAGCTTACGGCCGGGGAAAGACAGAAACACGTGTTTCGGGTATCTGCTCACAGTAGCGACCGGGGCAGCAGCAGCTCCGATACAGCCTCGCCTTTCAGACCGCCACCCTTTACTCCGACCCCAGTGTTGGTTTGTCCTCCCGGCCTGGAAATGCCTACCCTTGTGGGATTCTTCTCCGGGTAAAACTGGAGGGCCGATGCTGTGTAACAAGCCCGGTTTTGGGCATCAAAAGAAGTTCCAATGCTATTAGAGACGTCACTTACATGTACGACGCCGGTTTTTCTTGGGAAAGGTGCAATTTCTGGTCTCATAGACCGCCTCTACATAGCCACCGGTCAATGCAGTAAGTGGTCGGAGAGACTCCAGGTTAGGATCGCTGTCGGCTCGAAGAAGAGAGACAGTGTTGGTATTCGGCACTATACCGGAGTGGCACTAGAGCTTGAATACGTCTGCCAACCAAATGCCTGGGAGGGGGGCGATCGTAAGGGCATGGAGGCATTAGTCTCAACGACCCGATAACATGGGCACGGATCCGAGTATGGCTGGTGGCTTGCGCGGGAAGGTGGCAGGATTCTGGCCGAGCGACCTATGACCAATGTGGTGGAAATGGTGGCAGACCTGCCCTTGAGAAAGAGTCGAGTTCTCGACAGGGTATGAGGGGAAGAGCAAGAGGCGGCAGTGCCAAACGATGAAGATGCGGTACGAGTGTATGCCACTGAAAGACCGGTTATCGAACATCGACTGCAACTAGAATAAGGGCAGTTGACGCATGGTCATTCATAAGCTTCATAGCCCTCCAAATGCCTCGAATCACTTCTATGACTTTCAGGAGCCATCGGTTTTCGTTGGACAAACATTCAGGCTGTCAGACTGAAAGACACCTTACCCCTATATCAGCATGTCTCTCCGTACTTTTCAAACGCCGAGGACTGGAAATTTGTGTCGATTAGCAGCTATCTCGTGAGTGATTCGTTTCTTGCGACCCAGTGCTGGACATCCGGCGTTTGTTTAATCTGGCGGGAACTCACCCTTTTCTGAGCCTGCTTCCTGGGTGATTGGAGATCGAAACATCCACCCTTGTTCCCATCTGACTTTGGAATATCCTGAACAACGGTTAGCTAGACGTGCTCCCGTCAGCCAAGACCAAAGCCCGAGGGCACTCGCCCTGGGAGGAATGAGCTCGATACTGCGGCTTTGTCAGGCTCAGCTCATCCCTGAAGTCCTCGAGTATTCCAGATGAAGATGGCGCAGAAATAGTATCGGTGTCCGAAAATGTCTATATGCGCCGGGAAGACAATGCGCCGCCAAAGGATTCATGCAGAGCCCATGTCCGACAAGAAACCAGCCATGGCCAGCATGTCCATCGTTGGTGCCAGATATGGCGCTCTGACAGGGGCAGTGTGATTGACCGGGGTAGCAAATGCGTCTGTCTGCTCAAGTTGGTGAGAGAGGATATCGAAGCAGGGGATGAAGGCACCGAGGAACTGGTTCATGGGTTGCTACCCGAGCTTGCCTGCGCATCCCGAGGCCTTGCGGTTGGGCTGCGGTACGTTCAGCGGGTAGCCCACTCTTCGGACGACGGCCGTGGTTGTGGCTGTAGGGCCGGCGTTGCTGACAATGGATAAATTGGGCGCTTCCAACACGGAGAACAATAGGAAGCAAACGTAACCATAATAGGGGGAGACCTCGGCGATGTGGGGCCTTTCCCCGTGCCGTCCGGTGCGGAAATTGTCCCCCTGTTCCGCGCCCTGGCCGTTCATGACGACAACAATGACTTAGCGAGCCATTCAACAGATTCAACCGCCATCCGTCACATGTTGCCAGTTCGAGCAACCGCGCGGTGTCTTTTCCGCCATCTCGTTTACTTGCTAGACCTGTTGGTTGTCAGCGAAGAAGCAGAGGGTTCCCATCCGGTGCTTGTCGTTTACCATGACTTCTTTCATCATCTCCGTCGCGCAGATCTCAGGACTGACTCCAAATTGTAGACACCCAAGCTACATGGGGAGGCCTGTCGAGCTCTGTGTCGATGCGGTACGAGCATCGCCGTTCATTATCAACCCATCCCACCGTCTCCCACTGTAGACAAGGTGTGGTCCAAGCTAAGAACGCGGACACCACCATGGCTTCACCGAGAGGGTCGATCACGGGAAGGCGTATGAACCCTGCTTTGCAGCTGGGTTGAGGGCATGGGTACATCACAATGAGGACTGCGAAGCCTGCGCCTGCATTGTGGGACCACACCTCACGTCGGAGACAACTCCATATGGCTAAGCTGACAAGATGATGGGAGATTGAGCAGTGTTGGCTGAATGAAGCAACATGGTTTTCTGGTGCTTGTCTGGGTAATGTCTCATTTTGCTTGCCTTCCTTCTCGAGACTTTGGACTCCAGCATTCTTAGCGAAACCGACGGCCACTCATGCCTACCTCGCAAACCGTCGCAGGCCACCTGCCTAGGTTCCTTGTCAGAATACCATGTCTTGTTCCCTCCTTTATATTTCTCCGCTACAGATGTCGGCTTTCCACTTCAGTTTGCTTACCTATTTCCTTGCTCAGGAGAGAAGTTATATATGATACCACTACTTCTCCTGCAAGTTAACACCTCTATGCTCGAAAAGCTCATCATTCTTAACCTTTCACATACTGGACCTCCATATTGAGTCTCAAGAACTGGTCAAATCAAAGACACCGACGAAGAGCGAACTTCAATCGCTCATCATTATTCCCTTCTGGTCGAATCCGCTCCATACCTCAACCTGTCTATTCACACTTTAGACAATGGACTCGGAAAACGTATCCATAGTGTCCCGTCCGCTCACCGTTGTAACGAACCTCGACTCCATACCAACACAGAAAGCTAGCGAACTACGTCCCACAGAGCTACCTCCGGCTTATACTCCAACGAATCGTTCAAGCATTATCGACAACCTCGTCACCTACTTCACTCATCAGTCTGCGGCGCATGAAGTCAATGCTCAGATCCCCAGAGTCGTTCCATTCCCTCAGATTTCTGCTTCGACAGACTTGCCTGATGAAGAACACGATGCGCTCTCACCGATCTCGCTACACATCTCGACTCACATCAACGTGTCGTCTGACGGTAATCTCATCGCCCTCCCTTGTTCACCTTCCGACCAGGCCAAATCAATTGCCAAAGCCGTCGTTGAAGCATTCCAAGGCCAAGACTGGTCAGCAGGGCTGCCGATGATCGATGAGAGTGGACGTCCTAGACCACTGAAGCTTGAGGTCGACGCAGGGATGACGATTAAGGGATCTTCCAACGTTATCGGCACGGAACCCATCATCCGCGAAGTCCTTCGCTCAAGAAGACACTCAGAGGACCTGGCATGTTCTTCACCCCATCAGTCCAGCGGGCCATCCGCAGCAACATCTTCCTCATCACCAAAGCGAAGACGACAAGTTTCAGATCTTGACCCCATCGAGCAGCCAGGCAATAAGCGAGTGCGGAACGAAGCTTAAATTTGTTGTCCCTTTCTTTGTCTTCTCATCTGCTCCTCGGCACGTTCACAGTCGACCAAGAGCTCGGGATGATGGCGGCATCTACATCAACGGCACACTGTCTAGCATACACGGAGACTCTTATGTCTCAATCAAGTCAATCACACCACACAAGCAGATCATCAACGTGTCAACATATCCGAAAGGAGCTTCAGGAAAAATACCGGCATTCACGCTGACTCTAGTCACGAGTGGGAAGAACGACTTGAAAATGTCTTGGTCGCTTACTTATGCTCCTTGATTTCGATTTGAACATTTCATAGATCTGAATATACTTTTGCTGTACACGATTCTGCTGTCGCATACTATGTCTTTTTATCATGCTCATTAATCTCTTGGGTGCAGTTTCAACCATCTAGGTCATTACATGTGGTTAGGAGACCAAGACACGGCTTATACCTCACGGCCAACAGGAATATCAAAGTCAAAGCACGACGGAAAGGATTCCGTTTTTCTTCGGTTGGTCCACACCACCTTCCTGCTGCGTGCTTGCGTAGAGTCGCTCTACCAGCCGCCTGGGACGGGATCCTTGACTGACCAGGAGGGGAGGGTTGTGTCAGAGCCCTCCTATTGTTTGCTATTTTTGCTTTGTTTTAGATCCCGAATCATCTCGACATGGTCTCACGCGTGGCGCCATGCCGAGTTCGAGACATCCGTGCAAGAAACAAGAAGCAAACATGAGGAATCGACACCCAACCCCCCCTCCGGACGTCTTTCTTCATGCGGAAGACACGGCATGCGCGATTGGACGAGCCGTACTGTCGGTATGAACGACTATGGCGATCAGTTAGAACTCATGCGGGCGCCGTCTGACTGCATGGTTGGTTTGCCAGCCTCGGGGTTTGAGACTTTGAGAATTGGGCAGATAGAATGCTAGGAATGACGACCGGTTTTTGATGTTCTGGTTCGGTGATTGAAATTGGCCTTGAGAGCCTGACACTTACAAGCAACGTCATGAATGAGATTATCGGCTTGACGTGCATGATCTTTTGCATGAACGGCTCAGTGGGGAAATGAGAAGAAATGAGTTTCGCGTGGCAATTTATGAGATTTGCGAATAGGGCCAGAGTTCCCGCTGTATCCTTCGTCACGACCAATCTGATCCTTGTCCTTTTTCATTCTATTCTCATCCAAAACACACGTTTCTTGACAGCACATTGTTGACCACGTCCCAAGTCGAGTCGGGATGTTTTAGGAGCCACAACCTACAACAAAGCTTTGCCAAGGAGATCAAGAGGAGTTGGGGCAAGGCGAAGTATTGTTCGGATTGAAAACCTCATCCCCAACATGGATGGGATATATCTCGTTGATTCTTGCCGTCGTGGCCCCATTCTTAGACGCTCGCGCATCGAGAACGATGGTCACCGTGTTGACGCCCATAGTCCTCCCGTCACCTCGAGTGCCGATGAATGGGATGTACGTGAAGTTGCTCCTGGCGCCGCATACGTCGTAGAAGGCTACGGTCTCGCCGTTTTGATCCAGGGCCCTCACGTCGTAGTCGGTAACGAAGTCTCCCGACGACTGGACGTAAATGCCGGCGTAAAGATCATCGGAGTTGGTGAGGATCGTGAAGCGGGCCCCGGTGTCTAAGCCCTTCTCCGTGAACGTAGTTACGTCCGAGTCTGTCACGGCAGCATCTCCCTGGCTGCTTAATGTCGTTACATACCCGTATTCCTCGGTCGTGTCCCAGGGTATGATAGCTGAGGTGGTCGAGGTGGCGAGGAGCGCCAGGACGGCGGCGGAGAGGATAGAGATCATGAATGCGGTGATGAAACGGTTCAAGGTAGAAGTGCAGATAAAGGAGATGTTGGTGATGCAGAACAGGACCTACAGAAGATTCGCACACAACATTTAAAGCGATTCTGAGATCATCGCAAGTCATTTCGCTTCCTGAACTTTGCTTACCAGGCTGAAGCCTTGCGTGGCTAAGTCTTAGGCAGAAGAATAAGTTGTCGAAATTGCATATTCGTACCTTAGCGAATGAAAGCCGATCACGGGGTATTGTGATGAGTGTGATAGCCTGATATGGCACACGGGAATAAACACTAAATGGAATCTGCTCAAAACGTTGTGGGCTGATAAGTCAGCTTATGCGGCATTGTGACATCTAGCCTAGGAAGCAAAAAGTCCAGCGGGATGGTGCAGAGATCATTCAACCTTGCTGTGGAAAACATTGCTAAGGCAGCGGAATTGGCAGAATGTGGATTTAAGACAGCTTGACGACGTCGCAGCACAATGAGGTCTGTGATATCTAGTTAGGTAAGCGCAGAGCTGCTATTGGCTTGCTATCCCGCAGCGTTACAAGTTAGCCGAGACGCTAATCATCGAGCGTGGGAGTCGGCCGAATCGTCCCTTCTTTTTGACTTTACCGATTCAAATCCAACATTAAATCTTGACTCAAATATCTTCAAGACTGCAGCCAGCACAAACCACCTTGCGTTCTAGTGTCGTTCATCTTCTTATTGATCGGTCCGAACTGTCGCCGTCAGCCTCAAACTGTCTTCTCTCGATCCATCCCTGCAGAGGTCCCTTGAAGCCAGGGCCATCCCCCATCTCGAGCTGAGCTCCAATTGACATCTGGTGGCCCAATGGGCGGCGCCAATTCCTGAGTCTGTCACCACTGGCGAATCGCAGCCAGTTTCAGGACACTAACGGCCATCTCTACACCAAACGACACGCGCTAGGGGAGACCTTACTGCAACGTCAATCGCGCTAGGAAGTCCGCTGCCGGCTTGAACTTGGCCTCGGGATCCGACTTGGCCCTGCTGAGGACAGCCAAGCTGAACATGCGTCAAGACGATTGAGGGAATCCCACCCACCTCTCTCTCTCTCACACACACAAGAGACCGCGTGCCGGCTGCAACCCTCTGGTCCCTTGGCCACAGGTCAGCCCAGCAGGAGGGAGGCCCAGTTTACATGCATGTAACGGCTTCCAAGAACGCCCTGAACCCCATAATCCACGCGTACATGAAGCCGCCGCGGGGCTCTAAACCCCCGTGAAAATCCTCCATCATGGGGTTCTGCCTCTCACTTCCCTTCCCCTCCCCCTCCTCCACCGGAATCCCCATCGCCATGCCCAATCTCACCATTCGCAACCTCAGCTCCAAGCCTGTGACCCTCAAGCGCGTTGAGCGCTTCGAGGGTGAGAGGGTTCGCACTGGCAATGTCTTGGGCAATACTGTTGGCACCATCGGCTCCTTCTTTAATGCGACGAACTTCATTACCAAAGAGACGATCACTAAAGGCGAGTCTCACACTACGGAGGACGTAGAAGTCCATGTTGATCCCTTCACTATCAACGCCACGGAAATACCTGCTCCAGAAGATGGCGGCAAGGAGGTCATCCGCCTCATGTTCGAGATCGAGGGCCACTTCTACGAGATCGACGCTCCTAGCCCCTCCAACCGCTCCTCCGTCATGAAGAAGCTCGACGATGCGCCTCTCGAGCTGACGGCTGTCTATGTGCCCTCCGGCGCATTCCTCGCCATCATGTCCTCCGCAAACCTCCACGCCTGGATGGCCGAGCTGCAGGACCACTATCCCCTCCCTCTCCTCTCCATCCCCGGCACGCACAACTCGCCTACATGCCACACGGCTCTCCCCTCGGTGCGCTGCCAGGCCGTCGGCGTGCGCGAGCAGCTCGACAACGGCGTGCGATTCCTCGACATCCGCGTCTCGACCCCCCAAGACAGCGACGACCTTGCCCTCGTCCACTCCGCCTTCCCCATCTCCCTGACGGGCAACAAGTACTTCGCCGACATGCTCTCCGACATCTACGCCTACCTCGACGCCAACCCCACCGAGACTGTCCTCATGTCCCTCAAGCGCGAGGGCACCGGCAAGGGCACCGACGAGCACCTGAGCCGCTACATGCGCGACCGCTACGTCAGCCGCGACGCCCACCGCTGGTTCGTCGAGCCGCGCATCCCCACGCTCGGCGACTGCCGCGGCCGCATCGTCCTGATCCGCCGCTACTTCCTCGACGAGTCGCTGCACGGCGAACACGACGGCAGGGGATGGGGCATCGACGCCCAGCACTGGCCCGACAACTGCGAGGACGGCACCGTCGGCGGCGGCCTCATCCGCGTGCAGGACTTTTACGAGATCGACCAGTCGACCAACATCGAGAGGAAGATCGACTACTCGCGCGGCCAGCTGGAACGCGCCGCCGAGCAGTTCTTCCACCTCCCCGGCATGCCCGATTTCAACGCCGACGCTCCGCCGCTGCCGTTCTTCGTCAACTTCCTTAGCGCCAGTAACTTCTTCAACGCCACCTGCTGGCCGGAGCGTATCGCGGCGAAGGTGAACCCGGCCGTCGTCGAGTACCTCTGTATGAACCACGGCGAGCAGGGCAAGGGCCCTCATCAGCTCAACGTCGGCGACGCCGCGACGGGTATCATTGTAACGGATTGGGTTGGCGCCCACGGCGACTGGGACCTGATCAGATGTATTGTTGGGATGAACTCGCGGCTGCAGCTCAAGCAGTAGGTACGCTGGGACAGCAGACTGCGAGGCACCGGCGCATTAGGCTATGTAGGCATGGGAAGCGGGTCAGACATATTCACGGGCATGGCGAGGCGAGGGACTGTGCATAATGTGATGAAACAAGTGTTATTGAACTGAAAAACTATAGACGAGATCTTGTGAAGATCTGACGGTCCTAGAGTTGCCAAGTCAGCTTTGGTCTTGGTAAGGTTTGCATGAAAAAAAGCCATTTGAAAATCTCTCAATCAGTTCTCCAAGGTGATTGGTAAGTTTTTCGTCATGATGAACTCAGTACTAGAGCTAATGTTTGGTCATCAGGAGAGAGGGGGCGGCGGCATGTAAAAAGAGGGGAAAAAAAAGGACCTACCATTTGGGTATCATGGCGAAGCAATTCATCATAAATCGTGTCCTACCTGGGGTGCGGGTTAGCGACAGCCCGAGCAGAAGTGAAGCAAACACCAAATGGCAGAGCTGGAAGCGAGTTAGCAGGCGGAACACACAAACAACAGCAGTGTAGGGCGAAGTACCTCAATAGTATATCAGAAGATGTTAATTGTGTTCATGTCCAGTCACGCACCGAAGTGCAGACCAGTCAAACAGTGTGAATACTTGACAACTCATCATGATATTGAGAGCAAAGTAGGAACATGCAGTCCAAGCAAGATGGTATTTACCTGCGTTTGTCCCAGTCAGCACCTCCGTCACGACCGGAAACGACGCGAGTCCAATGCCCCCCAAGCAAAAGCAAAGTTGGTTGACCACAATCTGGTGACGAATGATATCAACAAGAAGCCCCGACACCCAACACCACAGGGTTTGTACGCCCTGTTTGTTTCTGGCGAGGGGCGTCGAGGTTCGTTTATGTCCGCCCGTTCGTTCAAATCTTCTTCATACGTGGTGCGGTGCGCGCGGATGGAGGACATGGGTGAAGCGCCAAGCAGGAAGAGATTTCTGTAATTACCTATCCGAGGAGAGTTAGCCCGAGTGCCTTGAGGATATATGCGAGAAACAAGAAGATGTTTGGCTCTAGATCAGACAAGGCTGAAACTATTGCACCGGATTCAACATTATGTATTCTGCATGAGGAATCCCTATGGTGTACGAAGTGTTCATCATATGAGGAGGGAGGGGTCGCGAGGACGAAGAGGAAAGTTGAGCTGATTGCGAGCGTACCTTTTGAGAAAATTGTGTTGAGCAATGTTGGCTTCAATTGGAAGCGATCTGGATGCTGGGAAATTCTGAAGACGCGTTAGCTTGCAGTCCACGCAACGTGAGCGCAAAGGAAATGGTCTTTGCAAATTTTGCTCAGGGTAATTCTAGAGATAATAAAACACCATGTGGTTTGTCTGAAGTGGTTGTCCGAGACATATCATCGTCGCAAAAGGAGATGCCGACACGGGCTGAAAGGATGAGAGGAAGAAGCTTACCCATTGCATCCAGCTGCCTGCCCTGGCGCGCGAACGCGACGCAGTGATGGGCAGGCAGAAGGTCAAAATTGTTCGACCTGATGTGAAGAGAAGGAAGTCTGCAGAAGTCGCAAGAGCTTCGTTGGAAAATTTAAAGGCACCGCAAAAAAAAAAGAAGTGGGGTCGGGTTGGCGTCGAAAAAGCTAGCTGTTTTGGGCTAGCTCGAGACCCCCACCCTCAGCTCGGGCTGCCATCTGTGGCGGTGCGCCCGGGAATCTCCGCCATTCAGCTCGGGTGGCGAAGTCTATCTTATCGCCGCCACCCATATAAGTCCATCCCCGCGAACACCCGTCATCCCCGAGCTGCCTCTCCCTCCTGGTTCCAACATAGACAACCTACGGTTTTGATCCTAAATATTGACGTCCTTTACCCCAAAGGCCGCGTGAGCCCAGGACTCACAAACCACCCGCCAAGATGTCAGCCGCGGGGAAGATATGGGCTCCAGTAGCCCTACGCTTCCTCCGCGTAGGCATCACCAAAACCACAAAGATGATACGAACCAAACTCGCCGACGTCGCCGCCGCTCGTACCGCCGCCCAAGGTGAACTTGCCCGTATCCCAATCCGAACTACGCCCACCGGCCGCCAGCCCATTCATCCGGCCGCCCTCCTCAGGCAGAAGCGTGCCGGCCGCTGGTACTCGACCGCCCAGCAGAGCGTGAACAACACCGTCCGCCGATGGATCTCCACCGCCGGAGGTAGCAGTGGTAACGCCGCACCACGATTCAACCGCGCCTCGTTCCCGACCTCGAACACATCTCGCCGCGTCGGCCAGAACACGGGACGGGCACCCTGGGCGAGCACCCTCCGACCGAACCTCACCGGCGGTGCCATCCCTCGCACCCAAGGCGGATACAGCACTGGCGGTGGAGCCCGATACTTCTCGCACACCCCGGCCGCCCCGGCCCAGGTGGTCCACAACGTCTCCGTCGCCATGCGGGCCTTCTGCCTCTCAGGTAAGAAGGCGCGCTACGATGGCCTCAACGCCCGCGGCGAGATGTGCTACCGCGCCGTCTCGGAGCTCGAGCAGAACGCCTACGTCAAGATGATGGGTGCCGCCCGCGGTAACCCCGGTGCCTTCATCGACTTCAAGCTCAACCCCACCATCACGGCCCTGAGCCCCCTTGCCGCTGCCGCCGCTGCCGGTTTCACTTCCGCCGGCGCTGCTGCTCCCGCCGCCACCCTCAACGAGGAGGGTTTCCTCGACGTCCTGTCCGTCGACTTCGCCCGTGCCGTTAAGGACCTCGCCGTCATATTTGCCGACCTGAAGAGGATTGCCCTCTTAGGCGACCTACCTGTGACGATGGAGAAAGGAAGCGTGTTACGCGTACGGTTCCCCGGCGTAGATGCCGAGACCGTCGAACGATTGTGTGACGACTACGGTGTCCAGCGCGGCGTTGTCGGTGAAGACCCTGGCTTCGCAGCCGAGGCCGGCGTGCCGATGGCTCTTCGTTTCCCCTTCGCCCCTGATGTCGAGGGCGCCAAGACGATCACTTCGCCGGGCGGTTCTCTCCGGTCGCTGTCTGGGTTGGACATCGACGTTGACGTGGACGAGGCCTTCATTGACGAAATGGAGGAGCACTCCTGGATGTCGGATCCCGAGGGCTACGAGAGCATGTCGCCCACGCCAAAGACGAGCGAGCATGCTTCTGACGATTACGAAGGCTTGGAGGGCATTTATCGTTTCCTAGAGGAATGTGACCGTGCTAAGGGCCGGTACTGATATCCCCAGGTTATGCGTTTGATTGAGGTAAAGCGGTTTGGACTAGTAAGGATCTACACTCATTGTACAGTATCATTCGACTTCGGACCCAGAGAGTGGCCAAGTCCTCTGAATGACATCTCTTTTTTCTCTCCCATCGGGCTTGTGATGACCTCGACCTACCTATATTGACCAATTAGCAATTTGGCGAACCAGAGTGATTAGTACAAACACAACGACACTCAAAGTATCAACGGTCGAGGGCACCATTCACGACAATCAAATCAAAATCTGCTGGCGAATAGAGAGGTATGTCTGGTTCTTATATACCTTTGAAAGGTATCTACAAGTTTGCCACGTTTCCTAGCTCTTATTGCTCTCAAATTGCCGTTACCGAATGGACCCTGCCGCATACCTTGCCTAGGTCTTCCTGTGCGGCTATCTAGCATGTAATTCCTGCGAAGCAAGCTATTGCACATCGTTTTCTGAAAGGTCATTCCTGTGTTGCCGTCCTTGCATTGCCCTTCCTGTAAAGCTCTTCCAGCATAACTGCTTTGCCCAGTCTTTCTGCTGAACAAGCCATGGTATATCTTTCATCAGAATCTCATAGACTTAAGCAAGGCCTCTCTCTCTTGGGCAAACATGAGCCTGTCATTGTCGATCGCCTTCTGCAGCTCCTGGGAACGCGGAATGGGTCCGGCACCAGGTCCTAGCTGTGCCAATAGGCCCCGAGGACCGGCATTGTTGGACTGGATGAGGCCACCAGACGCATGAACAGCTGAGACGGACGACTGTGCCTCCGCAGCAGAGGATGGTTGCTGAGTAGCGACAGATCCCTTGGTCTTCTTGGGCCTGCCTCTTTTCTTCTTCTCCTTCTTATCCTTCTTGGAAGGGGGAGTCGGAGACTCCTGATCGGCGTCGTAAGGTGTCTCGACTTTACCAATCGTCAAGGTCACACTCTTGGCATCAGAGTCGCTGCGCTTGTTCTTCTTGCGCGAGCTAGCACTGTTGAGGACCCAAGTCTGGCCGTTCTCCTCACTGGTAGGCTTGCTGACCTTCGGCTTCTCCGGCGGAGTAGTGAACGGCTCAGGCTCGGGATTGCCAGTGCTGAACTTGCGGAGACCCAAGAATGGGTTGAAGGGGATTCGTCCAGCGCTTGAATAAGTCGGAATCCTGGGAATGGGGATGGGAGTCGGACCCTTCGGAGTGCTCTTTCCTGAAGATGTCTTTTGCTCAAGTGCTTTAGTGTCGCCGCCTTTCTTGTTCTTGGTGGTGGCGGCGTTCTCGGTAGACATGTTTGCCTGGATGCTTTGCGGCGTGTTGGTTGTGACAGAATCTTCTGCCACCTTCTCGCTCAACTTCTCGCCAGACTTCTCTCCAGACTTCTCGAGCTTCTTGTGTTTCTTGCCCTTTCCGGCAGCCGCAGTGGAAATGGTGATCTCTTCAGCGGGAACTGGGTTAGACTTCTTCCGCTTCTTCTTGTTTTTCTCCTCGGCGTGCTGATCCTTGGATCTCTTGTCCTTCTTGATGTCGGAAAATAGGACATCATCCGAAGGGGACTTCTGCTTGTTGCCTGTGGCCTCCGTGGCACCCTGGCTCTCCTAGAACGAGGGGCGCACCGACTTGACAGGCGTACCCAGATCGGGCTCAATGGTGCTGTGGTTGTCGTTCTCGCTGACCAGGTATTCGAAGTCAGAGTCGGAGCTTGAAGACGAAGACGGCAAGGCATCATCTACTGCATTTCGATAGGCCTTCCGCTTTGAGGACTTGGGAGTTCCGGCACTCTCAAGCTTCGCGAGCATGGTCTTCAGGAAAGTGACGTCTTCAGCGCGCTTGGCGTTAGAAGGATCGGCCTTGCGAAGCTTCTCTCTCTCCTCTAAGATATTGGTGTGAAGGGTCTTCAACTTCTGCTCTCGCTTCATGATACTGCGCGAGGTTCGCTGTAAGTCCTCCTGCTGCTCTCGCTGCAGCTGTGCGCTGGCTTCGTCCGTCGTAGTCATCTTGTTGAGCGACTTCATCTTCTTGTTCATCTTCTCCCTCTTCTTGATCAGCTTGTCGATCTTTTTGGTGAAGAGGCGTTGGTCTTCGGCGCTGAAAGGCCGGGGCAAATCCAAGCCTCCGCCGCCCTTGGCCTTGGACTTGGTTGGAGTTGCGGGCGCCATCCTGTTGGCGTGCTGATGTGAGGGCTGGAGCAATTGTTCGGGGATGCGATGAGCCTCCCAAGTTGAGGTTTGGTTATGATGGAGGGTGGGTGAAAAAAAAAATCAAAAGCAGAGATGGAGGAAAGCGGATGGGCAAGGGAAGGGACGTGAAGGAAGGTAGGAGTTTTTTTTCTCGAGGAAGGCGCACTCGAGTTGGCCATACCTTAGGCAGCCTGCCAAAGTATCTGCCTCGTCTTTCAGGTGAGAAAACGAGGAATAAGAAAAAATACACCAGCTTGTTGACGTTTGGAGGAAGGAGCACTATTCCCACGTTGTCTTCCGTTGCTATTGTTCCTCATGCTATCTCACCTACCTCGTAAGGTATATTCTGTGCTGTCCCATCACAGTCTCCTAGTACCTCCCTTTTTGAATCTTTTCTCCGAACACTGAAGGCATCCCGGCGGCTGTAGTACGCCGTTCATGATAAAATCAAGACGTCTCTTTCTGAGTGGTAGAGCAAGTCTGAAAAACCCAAGCATGATTTTGACCTGCCTGGGTGCATTGGAGCTATGACGAGATGTCGGCGTAGTAAGTACCGACCGCCGACCTTTGGCTTTGCAAAGCCCTCGAACTTAGAAAAGATAACAATAATTACAATGTCATTCAAAGCTTCATTCAACACATTTCAACACTGCTGCTTACCCACGGCCCAGATTAGTGATACAAGATCTAGATGAAGTAGATCCCAAACTAAACCCCTCCGGGAACAGGCCATTGAGCCGTTCGAGATCCCGAAGTCAAGATCCGGGGTTACAAGCATGGCGCAACTCCACCCCCACAATTTGGACCTCGGCATTGGCACCTCATCAGCCCAGCGACGTTTCACTGTCACTGGAGCGCTGCGGTTAGTTGGCCAGAGCTGCGCCGAGGGCTTCTCAGCCAGCGCCAGTTAAAACCGTCGCGAACTCCCCCAGAGCTCGGCCGAGGCGTTATTCGATCAGAACCTCTCCACCTTTCTTTTCCAATTGGACTTTCGACCTGACTACTTTTCTCGAGCTTCATTCCAAAGGTTTTGTTTCAAGAATCAAAATGAGCGGCCCCGGTGTTGGATTCGAGTACCCCCGCCAGGAGGTTTCCTGGGTGAAGCGCGATGTGCTTCTCTTCGCCAACACTGTTGGTTGCACCGACCAGGAGCTTCACTTCCTCTACGTAGGACCCCCTTAGTTTCCTCCACCATAGCTATCGCTGACATTTCGCTTTCAGGAGCTTCACCCGAACTTCGCGGTCTTCCCTACCTACCCGATCATCCTTTGTAAGCCACGCGACGCATACCCGTAATCCGACATCGACTGACACACGCATACAGCCTTCAAGGGCAACAACTCGGATGTGATCGACTTCTACGCCGCTCAGAAGTCCGTCCAGATCCCCAACGTTCCCTCCTTCGACCCTCGCCGCGTCGTCGACGGCCAGCGCAAGATTGTGCTTCACAAGTCCCTCCCCACGAGCTCCGAGGGCAAGAAGTTCGAAGTCCGAACCAAGGTCCTCGGCGTTTACGACAAGGGTCGCCCCGGATCCGTCGTCGAGACCCAGACCGACCTCGTCGAGGTCGGCCCCGACGTCGTCTACGCCAGCGTCATCACCAGCAGCTTCTACGTCGCCCAGGGCAACTGGGGCGGCCCCAAGGGCCCCGCGACTGAGAACTTCCCCCCTCCCAAGGGCAAGACCCCCGACGTCACCTTCGAGCACCAGACCAACAAGCAGTCCGCCCTGCTGTACCGCCTCAATGGCGACTACAACCCGCTGCACGCCACTCCCGAGCCCGGCAAGAAGATGGGCTTCCCCGGAGCCATCATGCACGGCCTCTACTCGTGGAACTCGACCGCCCACGGCCTGCTCCAGGCGTACGGAGGCAGCGACCCTGCCAACATCAAGGAGTACCAGGCGAGATTCGCCAGCCCCGTCATGCCCGGCGACAAGCTTGTGACGGATGCCTGGAGGACCGGTGAGGTCAAGGACGGCTGGGAGGAGATTCGCTTCCAGACCAAGGTCGAGGGAGGAAAGATCGTCCTGAGCAACGGACGTGCCCTGATCAAGGTTGTGGAGTCTCCCAAGTCGAAGCTGTAGATGACGGATGTACGCTCGGAATTATTGTTGTATTTAAAGCTGAAAATCATATTGGCAAAATCTAGCACATAATCTTGATTCATCTAATGAGATGCATTGTCAAACTACAAGGCCTTCTTGATGTGTCGTGATTGCAGCTCTCACTAACAATTGTGGTCTCCGGCGACCTCGCCAGGTCAGTGTCGCTGAACTAAAATCACTGCCTGCTCACCACATCAACATAACCGTATTCCGGAAAATGCGCCTGACCAGTGATCAAATCAATCGGTGACAGCGACTCATCGAAATCCAACAGGATGACATCTAAAAACCACATCGGTCAGAGGCTCTCGTACGATGGCGCCCTCTGCACAGTCCGCTACATCGGCGCAGTCGCCGGCACCTCGGGCACCTGGCTCGGTGTAGAATGGGATGACACAGGACGCGGGAAACACGACGGCCAGCACAAGGACGTCAGATACTTCACATGTAACTCACTCATCACCCCCCTCTCCGTTCGGCGCCGTTCCGTTCGTTGTCTGACCCGTCGACCCAGGCCTCTCAAAATCCCCCACCGCCGCCTCGTTCGTGCGCCCGACCCGCCCCGCCGACGCGGCGCAGAGCTTCGTGGCCGCGCTGAACGGCAAATACGCCTCCGAGGCCGCCGCGGAGCGTGACCAGCCGGAGATCCAGATCGTCTTCTTTGGCAAGAAGCCCGCCGAGGAGGTCGGCTTCGACAAGATCCGGCGCCAGCTCGCGCGCGTCGAGGACCTGACCATCGTGATCCTCGACGGCGCGCGCGTCGCCGTCGACGTGGCGCCGGGTGACAAGGGCGTCCGGGAGACGAGCCCGCTCGTTACCGAGCTGGATCTGAGCAGGAACCTGTTTGAGGAGTTCGGGCAGGTTGTGAGGATCTGCGGGGAGCTGGAGAGCTTGGGGAGTCTGAGGCTCAAGTGCGTGCTTTTCTTTTGCATTCTGTGTGATGTGTGGCTGACCAGTGTGCAGTGGTAACCGCTTCCGCGTCATTGAGAACGAGGAAACGAAGGCTTTCGCGAAGGTCACTGAACTGGAGCTCGAAGAGACGCTGTTGGATTGGGAATCTTTGTCCGGTGTAGCCCGCAAGTTTCCGTTACTGTCGTCTTTCAGCTGCAGCTTGAACCAGTTGTCTACGCTGCCTACGGTCTCGTTTGGTCACCTCGCCGACACCCTCACGACTCTGGATCTAGAGTTCAACGAGTTCGCCTCCTTCTCCGAACTCGCCTCGCTCGCGTCCCTTACGTCCCTCCGCAACCTCCACCTCAAGGGAAACAACATCTCCACCATCTCCCACCCTTCCGTCCCGGCCCCCGTCTTCCCTCCGGCGCTCCAGTATGTCGACATATCGTACAACGCAGTCACGAGCTGGTCCTTCGTCGACGCCCTCCCCTCGTCCTTCCCAGGCCTCACCGCCCTCCGCTTCGCCCACAACCCCATCTACGAACGCCCCGACCCGGAAGCCCAAGGCGGCGGCGGCAACCAGACAAAGTCCACAGACGAGGCCTACATGGTCACGATCGGCCGCCTGGGCTGCCTCAAAGCCCTCAACTTCACCTCCATCTCGGCCTCGGACCGCTCCAATGCGGAAATGTTCTACCTCTCCCGCATAGCCCGACAGCTCGCCTCCGTCCCCGAGGCCGCCGAGGCCGAGGTCCTCGCCCAGCACGCCCGGTACGCGGAGCTCTGCGCCATCTACGGCGCGCCGGACGTCATCCGCCGCGACGAGATCAACCCGTCCTACCTCGAAGCGCGCCTGATCACGGTGCACTTCTCCCACCACGCCACAACTGAAAATCCCACCGAGACCACGATCACGACGAAAACGACGACCCTCCCAAAGTCCTCGGACATTTACGCCGTCAAGGGCGTCGCGGGCAGGCTTTTTGGTAAGGAGCCGCTCCGCCTGCGGCTCGTCTGGGAGACGGGCGAGTGGGATCCCGTGGCCGGATTTGACGAGGATGAGGACGCGGACGACAGCAGCGACGAGGAGGACGCCGCCAGGGGAGGCGGTGAGGCAGCAGAAGCGGGCACGGCTCAGGAGGGCAAGGGAGGGAGGTGGGTGAAGAGGGAGGTCGAGCTCAAGGATGGGCCTAGGCAGTTGGGCTTCTGCGTGGACGGGTTGGATGTCAAAATCCGCGTGGAAGACAGATGAGCGAGCGATAGCCGGGTTTGGAGAGTGTGGGTGGGTTGTTGGTGTTGGCGACGGGAGGCCGCATGGGGCCTGCTTGATGCGCCTGTCTCTGCGTATCGTTCTGTTTGCCGCGTTTGCGCAAGCAGCATGCGATGGGGTCATCGACGCATATTGCCGTGTGAGGGCTGAGCTGGTAATTTTTCTCCCTCTCCATGTGCCAACAGCCACATGGCAAACGAAAAGATAGAAAAGGGAGGTCGGCCACCCAGTTTCCTCAAAGCTCCTGAAAGAGTGATGTTTCAATTGTCTTGTCCACACGCTGGTGCATGACCTAGCTGCTTCTCTACCTACCTGAAGTCTTTCAACGACATGTATCCGGAGTACACCATGCCGGCCGCGACGCCCTCAGCGGACGAGACCAAGGGGCTCTCGCAGTCTATGCATAATCCACACAATGCCGGCCAGTCCACCAGGCCAAAGTACGACTCCCCTCCGCGTCCGGAACACTTCGTCGTACGCAAAGGGCCCGAAGGCAACACTATCGTGCCTCTCATCCCGATCGACATGCTACCCGATTATGTCGAGCTCGTCGGCGTACCCCGGGTCCTTACTATCAAAGAGACAACCAGCATGAAGAACCTTGGCGAGTACATCAAGCAGCCGGGCCAGTATCGACTGCACTTCGTGGCCAGCCCTCTCGAGAAGGCGTACGATACTCCAAGCAATGATGGGAAAGAAGTGTTAGTTTTTGACCCCATTGAACACCTCTGTTTTGTACCCTTCTCACCAGCGTCCTCATGTGCGTAGACTCGGGAAGGCTGCAGATGAAGATTCATCCTTTCAGCGAGAAAAGCCAGCACTTGAGATTTTGCCCGATAACCTGACGGGAACGTAAGTCATCGCCTCAGCACTACAACATATTTCAGTCCGCTCATAAAACGAAGGTCCGGATCGGGCTCTGGATCGGCAAAGAAAACCGTTCGCCCCGAAACCAAAACCCGCTCGAAAGCAGCACCAGTTCAAGCTCCTCCGCCGGCGGTGCCGACGCCTCCTCGCCGTGTACTAGACTGGGCCGATGACACGGAGTCTGTCTCCACCGATGACTTCTCCGGTGCCGAGAACTCCTCCGGCTCCAGTCGAAACAACGGCAAGCGGCGTGATAACCGACAGGACAAGACGATGTCCGAGATGGAGAAGTCAACAGCCGAGACCGCGGACCGCATGCTCAAGGTCGCCGCGGCGGCTTCAGCGCACCGCTTGGCTCCCACCCGCTCCGCCTCGGCTCCGATGACCAGCTCCAGCAGCGGCAAGAAGAAGACCAGCAAGCCCAAGTTCTCGCGCCCCGCCGGCAGTCTCTGCCGCCACTGGTGCCAGACGGGCCAGTGCAGCTTCGGCACGGACTGCCGATACACGCACCAGATGCCCGTGACGCTGGAAGACCTCGCCGACGTGGGCCTCATGGAGCTGCCGGTGTGGTGGCGCAAGTTGGCTGGGCTGCCCTCCGAGGGGACCATTGATGTCCGCATTTTCTCTGCCGCCAGTGCCGTTGCAGCTGGAAGCAGCGACAGTGGCAGCAGCAGCAGCAGCAGAAAGAAGAGTCCCGGTCCAGCTTCAGCAGGTGCTTCTCCGGTGGTATATCTGTCAAAGAAGACCAAGCTCAGGGCCCACAATGAGGAGAGGAGGTTGGCGGAGGAGTTTCATGCCGTCCGTCTTGGGGTCGAGAGAGCCCAGGCGAGTGCCTCTCCCGTGCCTATTGCTGGAGAAAATGGCAAGAGAAAGATGGGCTCGGGGAGCGCTGGGATTCTGGCCAAGAAACCTCAGCAGGAGGCAGAGCCTGTAGTTGCGCGTGTTGTGCCAGCTTCTGAGCCTGTTGTCGAAAAGCTGGTCGACATTTGATATTGGCCATCACCTAAGTGACGCGTCTCGTGGTTGTGCAGTTTTCGTGTAATGGGGTGTAAATGTCTCCTTAGCTATGTTGGGTGTAGATTTTGTTGGAAAACAATACATTTCTTTATGCTCACAGGTTGACCAGTCGATATTTTCGGACTTGCGGTCAGCCCGCTCCAGGAAAACCGACACTGAATTAAGTCCTTTCGTGGCAATGATGCGGCAAGCTGCGGCCTGTTCCGTGCATCAAATGGGCATTATTAGTGCTGATAATTGTGCTCCGAGAATCTCTTGGACAGGCATGACTTCCACCATGCGGCTCAATGATGAAGTCAGCGGCGAAGGACCACCGTCCGAGGGACCGTTAAGCCGCAGATGAATTAAAGATCTGACATGGTGTATCCCGACAGTGTGTTAGTGTACTCCGTAGCAGTGTTGTGCAACGTGGGTGGAAGAGTACAAAGCAAGAATCGAGAAAAGAGGCGGGTGAGAAGCTTAACTCCAGGCCGGCAGGAGTAATTGGGCAGAATCGCTCACATTTCCGACCAGTCGGAAATGGAAGATCTGACCGTTGCTAAAGCCGATTGACTTAACCCCGTCCCCAGCGCCAGCGGTCCAATCAGGTGTCATCTTCAGCGGCAAACCGGCGGCAGCTTCAGCACAGATGTCACCAATGTACCCTTGATTGCACCATATCGTCATGATTTGAGGCACCGAAGAGCGAACTTGGTACTTCACAGCGACCCATTTTCAGCCCTCTTGCTGGAGAACATACTGATATCACAGTGTTGAGCCGTTCCAGATAGTTCTATATAACCTCTCGGAATCCCCACCAGTTCGAAGTTTCTGTTCAACACAACAATCCACATCTCAGTCTAGGTACATTGCAAAGCAACCCCGCAGCTACAAGTCGCTCAAGCACCCCAACAAATCACACGAAATCGCAGAACACCACACCACCACAACATCATCACAATGGTTCAGATCAACGGTCAAGAAGTCGGTCAGATTGGCTTCGGTCTCATGGGCCTCACCTGGCGCGCCCAGCCTGCCCCCGAAGAACAAGCCTTCGAGGCGATGCGCGCCGCTATTGCCAATGGCAACATCTTCTGGAACGCCGGCGAGTTCTACGGACCACCAGAGTACAACAGCATGATCCTCCTCGAGCGCTACTTCGCAAAGTACCCCGAGGACGCCGACAAGGTCGTCCTCAGCGTCAAGGGCGGCGTCGACGTCAAGACCCTCAAGCCGGACGGCACGCCCGAGGGCATCCGCCGCTCCCTGGACAACATCATCTCCCAACTCAAGGGCCGCAAGAAGGTCGACGTCTTCGAGTCCGCCCGCCGCGACGCCAGCGTCCCGATAGACGTCACCTTCGGCGTCATCCAGAAGGAGTACATCGACACCGGCAAGGTTGGCGGCATCTCCCTCTCGGAAGTCTCCGCCGCGACGATCCACGAGGCTGTCAAGCACGCCAAGATCGTGGGCGTCGAGGTCGAGCTCAGCCTCTTCTCGACCGAGGTCCTCTCCAACGGCGTCGCCGCCGCATGCGCCGAGCACAACATCCCGCTCATCGCCTACTCGCCCATCGGCCGCGGCCTGCTCACGGGCGAGATCAAGAAGTTCGACGACCTGCCCGAGGGCGACTTCCGTCGCTTCCTGCCGCGCTTCCAGGCCGACAACTTCGACATCAACCTCAAGCTCGTCAAGCAGGTCGAGGACCTGGCGGCCAAGAAGGGCGTCACGCCCGCGCAGCTCGCTATCGGCTGGACGATCGCGCTGTCCAAGAAGCCCGGCATGCCGGAGATCATCCCGATTCCGGGCGCCACAACGGCGGCAAGGGTCAAGGAGAACGCGAAGCTGGTGGAGTTCACTGACGCGGAGCTAGCAGAGATTGACGCGACGCTGGCCAAGTTCGAGGTGGCCGGCTCGCGCTACCCTGCCGGCGCTCACGTCAACACATAAGGGAGTTACATCTGTTTGTTATCTTTTTATGAATGTTAGCTCGACGTCTCGTATTTAAATTGAGAGTATTGAACATAAGCTTGATAGCGTGGCTCAGAGTTGCATGTGAAGCAAAGATTTTATCCACAGGACGGCCTTGGGGCCTTCAGCATTGCAGAATTCTTGTTCGCTCATCATAGTGCCAATGGGATCGGAAGAAATATAAAATGACTTACCATTCACATTGAGAGACAGCGAAGCCCACATAACGGGCTTCCAAGTGTTTTGCGCAAATGCATACTTGGATGTTGATGAGAAGAAGAAGGAAAAAGTCGTCAGATCTCGGCTGAGCTCAACATTTATTTCGTGGATGACTAAGCCATGGGCCTGTCAGGTGGGCTTGGTGGGCCATCCTCGAGGTCAGACAGGGTGATTGCAAGTGAGAACGAGGACTCGCTCGCCGGCTTATCAGCATAGAGAGGTGGAATATGTACGTCTAGTAATTTGGCATGCTGAGGTATCAGGGTATACAGAATGACGCCTTGTACCAACAAATCGAATAGTAGTGACTCCCGAACTAATAGAGTACACACAGAGTCCGTCGTAGTCGGCTTCTACACCATCGCTCCACTCAGGCCGTGTGCCTCAACTCTATTGACCAGCTTCTTCACGTTCGTCCACTCCTCCGCTTTCAAATCCTCCCTGCCGCCGAGTCCCGAGGCTACCTCAAAGACGGTCAGCACTCCATCGATACCTCCCGTAGCCAGGCGCTTGCCCTCAGAAGGTTCCCACGCGACTTTGTTCAAGCTCTTCGCCAACATGGTTCTACCATCCTTGCGAGAGCTTGGCGATATTCTCGCAACGGGCTCCTCAGTCTCCACGGTGATATCCCAAAGCTCGAGCCATCCTGCACCATCGACGAGAGCGAAAACACTCGGCTTGATCGGGGACCATTGAGCGTCGTAGACAACGTCTTCACGCACGAAGTCGATGAGGGGAGACACGGTGGGCTCGCCCCCGGCTGTTGAGGTCGCAGCCGGTGCGCGGACCTTCCAAAGGCGGACACTCCAGTCGAGAGACGACGACAGTACCAGATCGCCGAGATCGACAGGCCCTCGAGCAGGGTGGAAATCGACCGACATGACAGGCGCAGTGTGGCCCTTGTAGCTGACTCTAGCATCCACACCGGCCTTTGCACCAGCCCGGTCGTATCTGTGGCAAGGGAAGATTGTGCCCTCTTCACTACCAACAAGGAAGAATGTGGGGTCGGTCTGCGGGAAACCCAAACATGTCGGGCTGACGTCGTCCAACTTGTAGCCTGGGGGCGCCTTGAGCTCCAGCAGCTCCTGCGGTTGGGCAAACACGTCCATGCTCCAGCCGCAAACCACACCATCCGTAGAAGTCGAGATGATGTTGTTTGCGTTTTGTGTACCGACGATATCGACAGAGTAGATGGGGTGCGTGTGACCATATCCTGTGAGTGGTGTTTTCTGGACGGGCGCCGACTTTGCTCTCATATCCCACAGAAGAACCTGACCACTATACGTTCCACCCACGATGAGATTTTGATGGTACGGCGAGAACTTGGCAGTGAGAACATCTGACTGGGCGTGGAAGACATATTCAGGCCTGTCTCGCAGCGCCAGACTCCAGACTTGGACAAGGCCGTCCGGCTCGTGTGGTGCGGTAGGATTCTTTGTGTACGAAGCCAGCATGAGCTCGGAATGGTGATGTGAAAAGTCGATGCTGCTGATCATGCGCTTCTTGGACCATCTCTCGTCGAAGAACTGGGCCACCTCCTTCACTCTCCTCCGACCCTTGCCTCCAACATTACCACTGTCGTCGTCTTCATCGTCCACGTCTTGGCCTTGAAGTGCGTAGTCGGTAAGAATGTCGTACTCCTGATCCAAAGCCCTTTCAATGACCTTGGTCGATTTTTCCAGGAATTCAGCAAAGTCAGGAGCGCCTGTTACAGCTTCAAGTTCCTCGCCAGTAAGCTTGCGCATGGGGTAATTGGTTTTGGAAGGTGCATCCTGTGGAAGTACCCCATCCTTGAGCAGGTCCAGCGACGCCTTCAGCTCCTCCTCGACCTCTTTCCTGATATCCTGTCTCAACTCCTCTTCCCTGTCGCGTTGTCGACGGCTCAACCGCTTGTTGGGTGTCGACGTCACGGGCGGGTCCTCAGTATCGGAGAGCGACTGGGCTCTGTCGCGGCTAGGCGGAGACCATTCTTCGGCCGTCTGCACTCCTTTGCTGTACGAGTGAACTTCCTTCACGGGAGAAGGCGGGCATTCGTATATAGTGGTAAGCGGTGCCGTGGTCAGGCTCAACTGAACGGGCGCCGCAGCCGGGGCTGGTATCGCTGGCGGTTGTAGGCCACTGGTCGTCGTCGTGAATTCGGAAGCCGCGTCGATGCTCAACTCTCCAGCGCTGAGGACGCTGTTCGGCCGGCTGCCCCTACGAGCCGGCGATGCAGCGCCTCCTGTCGTAGACCCGGGTCTGCTCTCTCCCACAAGACTATTGATCAACGTCTCGATATCGCGACGGTTCTCGGCTCGGCCTGGGATGGGCGACACTAGCTGTATACACATCAGTAACCTGCGCGGGCAGGAAGACTGGTTCAACGAACGTCACCAGGGCTTCCTGTGCTCTGTCTGCTGGCCGTGGCCTGGCTTGCGCGAAGCTCTCGCTGTCGTTTGAGCTCCGCGAGCTTCGCCTTCTTCGCTAGAATTTCATCTCGTCGTTGTTGCATCTTGTTGTCTCCTTATTCCCATGGCGGGACAACACTCGGCGACTGGGTGTGATGAAAGATCCTGGGGACGACCCGACCGTAGGGAATATAGGACGATGTCGCTGTCGCTATACAATCCCTGGGCCAACAACTTGGATAGGCGAAAGATTGGGTTCTGTTGACGAATAGCCAGTGACGACAAATGTTTGGAATTGGTAGCGTCGTTTGGTTTGATGGGGAGTCCTTTCAATGCGCGTTGTCCTTCGCGATTCCAGAAGAACCCCGGGCCCTGTACAAAGGTACCTGAGGTGCCAATACTTTAGATTGCAGAGAGGTACTTCAGCTGCCCCTGCATTAAAGTTGATCGATGGTCCCTCAAAGGTCTGGTGGGCAACAGCCAGCAGCCATTTCCACCGTGAATCAGCTAACCTTGCCTGGTAAAATTAGTGCACGTGATTGGACTACATCGGCAAAGGCCCGGCAAAACCTCCCTAGGTCCCTGCCACTTGCAGCCCGAAGTACCTTAGCAGCCGCTGTAAGCTCCCGCTAGGAAGCTGACTGGGCGCTGCTGGGCTCTGCTGGGCTGGTGTCTCCCGTCCGAGCTCCAGAGGCCCGGAGTGACCTTAGAGCCAGCCAGTGGAAAATCTGCGAGTTTTCCCGAGCATATTTTCAAAACTTCACACCTTGCGTTCTAACGTAATTCCCTCTCGACAGAGCTCCGAATAGGGTCAATTGGCAGCCATTGTCAACCCGCGCACTGTCCTTTCCATCGCTCGCTCCCCTCCGAAAGCAGTCGCGCAATCCAGGCAATTGCCCCCAATGTCTTCCTCAGGAGTTAACGTACGTCCTGCCCGCCATCCTATTCCTCGCCCTCGCCCTCGCCCTCGGCTTGCATCCTTTGATGCGAGACCCCCGGCCACTTGTCCCTCCCTGACCCGACGAGCCTCCATCACCGCCCGACCCGACTCCGAAACCGAAGATTATTACAAAATTGGGAAACACGTTGGCTGATTGATGGATTTTTACAGGTGCTCCGCTACACGGCCCTCGGCCTGGGCATTTTCTACGGCTTCACACACCAGCGATCCATTACCTCAAGCCAGAAGGCCGCGGCCGCCCAGAAGGAGTACGAGCGCAAGGAGAAGTTGATAGAGCAGGCCAAGGCCGAGTTCGCTAAGAAGAACTCGCCCGTCAAGGCTGCGGATGCCGGAGGTGCGTATCTCTCAGTTGGGGGCGTCGCATCAGGACTGCGCAAAACCCACGCGACTCCCTAGACACCTGCGGCGGTAGAAGACGCAAAGCTGACACCATGCACAGTCAACCAAGACCCCATGGACCCCAAGTTTGACCTTGAGGCCTACTTCAACAACTTGGTGAAGCAGAACCCGTGAGGTGGAGGATAGGTTTTGGGGGGAGGACGGCTTGCACAACGGATAGACGGGGTCGGGATCTGGGATACGCCTGCGCAAAAAAGAACGCGAAGAGTCCTACCGAGGGACGCCATAATATGGTCTTTCGGCAGCAGTAGGTGCATGGTTGGCACCACGCCCGACGTCACTGCATAGACATTTTCCTTACGCCTCTGTTTACCCGATGTACATGTGTACAATACGCTTTGCTAGATGAAAACTCCAAGGAACGAGCCATTGGATTCCATCAATCACAATTTCTTCTGTACAACTTTTGGTTCCTTTGGCCTTTGGGGGTAGTGGGCCTCCCTCGAATCTACGTCCTTGGCCGCGTGTCACGATGCTGGGTAATGGTGTTGCTGGGTATCTTCGAGCGGGCAGGGTTGTTCGACGCGTTCCGAGGCATGGACCTTCTGAGGTTTGAGTGTGAGGTGGTTTGAGCTTATCGTGGAAGAGCCACGTGAAGGCACCGTCCGCCATATCTTGTGGTCACCACCTTAAGCGAGTCCGTTCCTCGATGCAGAAGCTTGCGTCTGGCGGCATAACATTTCAACGAGTACAAAAGTCGTAACCAATGCTTCCTCTCAATCAAGACTGTACACCTTTTTACTAAGCCTTTATTTAACCTGGCACGATACCACCATCCCGTCACGTCACGGCCGAGATCCGGAGCACCGGGCACCCCGGATTCCCAGCCCTGGGAAATCCTTAGTCCGAGGCACGTGACCCCCACATCACCTTCCGTCACTGACGGAAGCCACGACTCCCACAGCTGCCAGTGGGACGCGGACTGAACGGCTCGGCTCCATCTGGCCCGTGCACCACGCCCCTGCACAACCGATTCAGTCGCAGAAGCTCCAAGCTGTCCTTCTCAGGTCCCTGGTGAGACAGGTGGTCGTCGCCAGCTACAATACTGAGTACGCAATCTTCAACCTTCACGGCCACTGCCTCTTCACTATTCGCGGCCACAATGACGGCCCAACCTCTGGAAGCCCTCTCCGGAGGCAGCGCACAGAACACGAGAGCTCTTCTTAGAGTTATTATTCTGGGCTTGATCGCAGCTGCCGCCATTGCTAGCCGTCTTTTCTCCGTCATTCGTAAGTGCCCCTCGACACGATGCTTCAGAGTCTCCTTTCCACCCGCCAGCTCCAATTGGCGGGTGAGAGGCGGCTCAATCGCGATATTCTGCTGTGACGAGTATGATGCTGACTTCAATTGATCAGGCTTCGAGAGTATTATCCACGAATGTCCGTTCCCCTCGTGCGACCTCCTTCCCGCAGCTCCATACTAACCCGTCGCAGTCGACCCCTGGTTCAACTTCAGAGCGACCAAATATCTTGTGGCCAATGGATTCTACAAGTTTTGGGATTGGTTCGATGACCGCACATGGCATCCTCTTGGTCGGGTTACTGGAGGAACTCTCTACCCTGGTCTCATGGTGACCAGCGGCGCCATCTACCACGCGCTTCGAGCTCTTACCGTCCCCGTCGATATCCGCAACATCTGCGTCCTCCTTGCGCCCGCTTTCTCCGGCCTTACGGCTTACGCTGCCTATCTTCTCACAAATGAGATGACCACCTCGCCCTCGGCCGGTCTCCTTGCCGCTGCCTTCATGGGCATTTCCCCCGGTTACATCTCGAGATCCGTTGCCGGCAGTTACGACAACGAGGCCATCGCCATTTTCCTTCTCGTCTTCACCTTCTACCTGTGGATCAAGGCATTGAAGCTGGGCTCCATGCTTTGGGGAGCTCTTTGCGCCCTCTTCTACGGTTACATGGTCGCCTCCTGGGGTGGTTATGCCTTCATCACCTGCATGCTGCCTCTGCATGCCTTGACCTTGGTCTGCATGGGCCGTTACAGCACCCGCCTCTACGTCAGCTACACCACGTGGTATGCCTTGGGTACTTTGGCCAGCATGCAAATTCCCTTCGTCGGCTTCTTGCCTGTTAAGACCAGCGAGCACATGCCGGCTCTGGGTACGTCGAATAATCGCTCCATGATGTATGCCACTAACACAGTACAGGTATGTTCGGTTTCCTGCAGCTGATTGCCTTCATCGACTACGTGCGAAGCGCTATTCCCAGCCGTCAGTTCCAGACCTTCCTCTACACCTTCCTGGCTGCGACTTTCGGCCTGGCGCTGGCTGGTCTGGTGGCCTTGACTTCCCTTGGCTACATTGCTCCTTGGGGCGGTCGTTTCTACTCTCTGTGGGATACTGGATACGCCAAGATCCACATTCCCATCATCGCCTCCGTCTCTGAGCACCAGCCTACCGCGTGGCCTGCGTTCTTCTTCGACCTCAACCTGCTTATCTGGCTCTTCCCTGCTGGTGTTTACCTCCTCTTCCAGGACCTCAAGGATGAGCACGTTTTCGTCATCGTCTATGCGCTCTTTGGCAGCTACTTCGCTGGTGTGATGGTGCGCTTGATGCTCACCCTGACCCCCATCGTGTGTGTCGCGGCTGCCATCGCTGCTTCGCAGATCCTGGATACCTACATGGTCGCCAAGTCTCCCAACCCCGAGGAGTACAAGGGCGATGAGGCTGTCGAGGCGACTCCCAAGAAGGCCAAGCAGGGTGGACTCAAGTCGACCAGCAAGCCCCTTGTCGGCATCTACACCTTCCTGTCCAAGGGTCTTGTTGTTGGTGGAATGTCCATCTTCCTCCTGCTGTTCGTCCTCCACTGCACCTGGGTTACCTCCAACGCCTACTCGTCGCCCTCCGTCGTTCTCGCTAGCAGAATGCCCGACGGAAGCCAGCACATCATTGACGACTATCGTGAGGCGTACCAGTGGCTGCGTCAGAACACCAAGGAGGACGCCAAGATCATGTCCTGGTGGGACTACGGCTACCAGATTGGTGGCATGGCTGACCGCCCTACTCTGGTCGACAACAACACCTGGAACAACACCCACATTGCCACCGTTGGTAAGGCGATGAGCTCCCGCGAAGAGGTCAGCTACCCCATCATGCGCCAGCATGAGGTTGACTACGTGCTCGTCGTCTTTGGCGGTCTCTTGGGCTACTCAGGAGATGACATCAACAAGTTCTTGTGGATGGTCCGTATTGCTGAGGGTATTTGGCCTGAGGAGGTTCAGGAGCGCAAGTTCTTCACGCCCCGCGGCGAGTACAGAGTTGACGATGGCGCCACCGAGACCATGAAGAACAGCTTGATGTGAGTAAAATAGATACACACCTTCAGATTGACTCCACTGACACATGCCACAGGTACAAGATGTCCTACTACAACTACAACTCGCTCTTCCCTCAGGGCCAGGCCCAGGACCGTGTCCGTGGTGTTCGCCTTCCTGACGTTGGACCCACCCTCAACACCTTGGATGAGGCTTTCACCAGTGAGAACTGGATCATCCGTATCTACAAGGTCAAGGACCTTGACAACGTCGGCCGTGACCATGCCGCTGTTGCTGCCTTTGAGAGAGGCCAGAAGAAGAAGGCGCTGAAGAAGAAGCGCGGCCCCAGAGTCCTCAGAGTGGACTAAGTCGGTAGTTCCCCAGCACAACTACCTCGAGAGCATTTCTCAATTTCTTTGTATCAGGACTGGGATAAGGTGGTCATAGATTCCACTTGTAGACAAAAAAGCACACTCTGGTAAATGTACACTACTTGATCATGACTGTTCTTTGTGCAAATCTTTCTGTTGATCTGATGAGATGCCATGTGCGACCTAGAACAGCAAGATCAGCAAATGCCCTCTACCGGTTCAGGTAGGATGGAACATCACGAGGCCTCATCACAAAGTTGTAGTCATCAAAGCCCTAAGCCCCTGAGCCTATTTCCACATCATTTCTTCTTGCTCGATCTTTCTTTCTGCTTGTCTTCCTCGCCACCATCATTCGCTTCTGTGGTCAACCAATTCCGCCAATTCGATTTTACTGCCATCTTTGCCATTCATTTCTCCAGACTCGAGATACACAGTCGACACCAGTATCGATAGGGGTAAAGTGATTTGGGCTGGTACGATACCGCCCTTGCGACATCCATGGCTAGACTCTGGAACATCCTCAGGGAGAGGGCCGAAGGGGATGCAAAGCCAAACATCTCTCGGATGGGAGCATTCCACCGGCACCGCAATCCTAATCGGTACGTTCGATATTAATTCCTAAAAAAAAGTTAGCTCCTGCCTTTTTTCCTCCTGAGCCAGTTTGTTGGGAGTTCTGGTCTGGGTTTTCTCAGGAAGGAGCTTGTCTGGTCCACTTTTTCTGGCAACACCTCACCTTCCTCCCCTTCAACCCTACTTCGGATTTTGGCCAGAAAAACAACACCCGAGGGACAGGCCTAGAATCTCTGATATTGCTTACTGACGCCGCACCAGAATCGCGCACGCTTTGCAAGAAGTTACAGCAGCGAGAGGGAATATGGCGCCGAGAGAGCGAGCGCTGGCTCTCAAAGCCGGAACGGAGCCCTCTCGCCCTCACAGTGAGTTTCTTCACCAGGCCGATTGGCAACAGATTCAACTGACCGTATCCGAGTGGCCTTACGCAATAGCTTGCATGATCAGCGACCTCGTCACCGAAACGACGATGAGTACGAGCGAAAGGGTCGAGAGGAAGAGCCTCGTCGCAGACGGATCAGATCAAGCCGTGCCTCAACTGGCCCGAAGGCACTCTCGCAGCCTGTCGCGAAGAACGCCGAAGGAGCCGTTCACGGTCATCATGTGCTCTCCATCCCTCAAAAAAGATTCATGCTTCATCCGAATGACTCTGATCTGAGCCTCGTCGCATCTGCTACCAACTATGCATCATCGGTGGCGCAAGTCCAAGACGATTGCCGGGTCACAGGCTCTACCCATCCCAATGTCGACATGAAAGAAGACGAGATGAACGGCAGAAGAGTGAAATCTCGCGACTAGGAGTCCGAGATCCCCGTTCACCTCGACGACAACAATGATGGCTACTACTGTTGCGATTGTGGTATTCGCCGGTCCGATGAGCATCACAAGATCCGAAAATTTCGTCTCGGAGAGCCAGACTGGCGCAACTTTTGCAGCTCATGCCACGAGAAGCACCTGGCTAGTCGCGATCACAAGAAGCTCAAGCAGTACGGCCATTTCTGCTTCGGTTGCGGCTTTGCTAGATCTTCTCGCTTCAACAAGGAGCATCCCATCCAACGTGGCCAGAAGCCTGTCAAAAACTTCTGCTCCCACTGCATGAAGCGAAGATCCAAAAGGGCTACCATCCCCACGGAAACTGTGCTCGGATTTGTAAGTTCTTGCAGTTCATCCCATGATAGATTCTCCTCACTGACACGCGCAAGTCATCTGATGACAGCGATTCTGGTTCGGACGAAGATTCGGATGAGCATCTCCGTGCGCAGACATCGAAACCTTCTGCCCAGCATCGGACCGCTGAAGATGAGTCTGAGAGCGTGGCTAAGTCCAGTCCTCCTGAATACCTGGGCAACACTACCAGTTCCCGCCGCGAGTCGATTGACGTGTCTCCGTCGGCCTCTGTTCGGTATCGACTGCACAAACGTCGATCTGTCCGTGAGACCACCGTCACCGATGAGAACGACGCCGCTTCCCAGGACTCCGTCTCTGTCGCTGGTGATGATGTGGTCTCCGAGATCAGCAACAACTACCACTCGCCCTTGGTGGAGGAAGCTCCCGACACGTCAACCCTCGAGCCAGACGTTGCGCAGGTGGCTGCTCCCGCCGCTGGTTTGGCAACTTCCAATCAAGTTCCCCTTGCACCTCGAACACCTAGCCCGCAAACGACACCCAAGGCGCGGCCCAAAATTGTGAAGGATAGTGCTCTCGGATCTTCGTTCTGCTCCGAGCAGGATTCGCCCTCCAAACGGGCCACCTTCAACGAGCGTGTCGAGGTTCGCACATCCCCGACTTACTGGCAGAGACAGCACTCACAAAACGATGATTGTTACTCGAACTTTCTCCACGAGCAGTACCATGAGGATCTTCGCGACGGAAACAAAGCTATTCCGCTGAATGACCCTTTGAAAGATCCAGACGGATTCTCGGCGAGACGCTTCCAAGTACCCTGCACCGAGCCGCCCCGTTACAACCCGGACGAAGAGAGCTTCAATTCCTGGAGCACGCCTTCCACCGGATACGATGCCTTTGCGACTACTAAGGGAGGATGCAACAACAGTCCGCTCGCGGGACTCGGTTCCAACGCCCGATCGCGCTCATACAACACGCACGACGAGCCCTTCTCCAGCCTCCGCGATCGCGACCCAGACTTGTTTGATGAGCAGAGATTCGACCCTCGTAACAGACAGTCGCAGCCGCGTACCAACCAAGGCTCTTACTGCAATCAAGGAAAGGAGAACCAGCCTTACTCGACAACCTTCGCAGCATCCGCTGATGGTTTTTCATCGCACAATCACTCTGCATACCACGATGGCTTTGCTGGATCTCATACCACGAACTGGTCCTCTGGCTACGGCAGCAACTCCTTTGCCAGCCACGCCAAGCCTTCTCACGAAGATGCTTCTGCCACTTGGGACACCCCGACACCTCAGACTTCTTCATTCTCAAACCAGCCTGGCTCAAAGTGGTTCGATCAGCCTACCGGAGATGCCAACCATACTCAACAACACCACCAGCCGCGATTTGCACGCAAGTCTTGGGGAAAGAAGCCATCTCACACTCATGGTACCTCGAACCAGTTCAAGAGTCAATTCTCAACCAGTGGCGCTGACTACTCGGCTCAGCAAGAGCCGAAGTGCACGTACGAAACTTCCGAAGGTGTCGCTCACTCATTCGAGTTTCCTAGTGCCACCAGTGGCACTCAGTCCTCGCTCAGTGAGCCCCAGCTCCCTCCTACCGGTTTTGCTATGGAAATCCCGGACGACATGTCCGAGACGGATGTACAGACCATGTTCATCCCCGGCTACGACGACTACGTCCCTTGCCGGGCGACAGACTCGGCCTAAGACGCTGTCACCAGACCTTTATTATTGATATCAGCCCATTCTTACACACAATGTCTGAAACTTTCTCGCTCGGCACCGGCGTCCTGCCATCCAGAAGTTCAGCTTCTCGACGACGGCGTTACAGCTGTGCGACGACGAAATCATATTGTCGACTTTACTTTCTGCGTGCACAAGATTTGCAGAAACTGCTACGGAATAGTTCAAGTTTTTCTTGTCCGACTTTTATTTCTCTTTTTGCATGTTATTTTTGTCTTTCACCTTGATTATTCCCGCCTCAGAACACCGCGACGACCGACCGGGAACGCACTAATTCGACGACGCAACCTCTTTCCCGCTTTGCCCTCACACTTCACGGAACGCCTCCACGCAACTTTGCGCATGAATTGCCGCGGACAAACCTGACCTACACTCTCTGCCGATGCGCGAGGCATCACCCCAGTTGCGAGACCACGACAAGCATCAGAACACTGAATCTTTGGGCATGGGTCCAGCCATGGGCGGCCACGTTTTTTCTATTCACGCAAGGAATCGGGAATCTGTCTTTGGGCTAGCATACTTGGAGTTGGTTGGCGAGAAAGAAGACGCGATGGCTTGGGAACGTATAATTGGGTCTTCTGCGACCTGAGGATTCTAGACCGTCGTGTGGACCCATTGAATTGTCCCTCCTTGGAAGGATGAAAGAAAGGCTTTCAGTTGTACTTAGATAGTTACAGTCTTACCGAAACAAATATGGATTAGCTTACGAATGTTGGTCTCCCTGCCGGATGTCCACACTCGTGATCACCACTGGACTAGGTTGAGCGCCCTCGCCATGGAATCCTCTCCAATGTCCGCACTCTTGTAAACCGAGGCGCAAAAGAACAGGGCCCCACCTTCTCGGACGTTTCCATGGTTCTTCTCTTTGCATTTTCATTGAAAGCGTTGCACATATTTCTTCCATACTGGACGTATCTTACGCTTCCGCGCAATAGGTACACACGATGAGACCACACCCATCGCAGCATCTCGAGGCAGGCGCAGCTTCTTGTAAAGGGATATATATATATATTTGGAATCAGCGGCCCAGGGCTTCACTCGATCCAAAGACAAAGTAGTCGAACGAGGAATGGCTTCTGCGCAAAGAAATCCCGAAAGAACCTGCGCAGTCAAATGTAGTATCGAGAATACTCGACCGACAAGAGAACTAGGGATGGACAATTTTAAGGACAATGCAGTCTTGACCCATGGCATAGTTCATGATTACCCTGCACCAACCCTGCCAGCAAATGCCAATATTCCGTGGACGATCTTCCAGAAATCCTTGAGAACAGGGAGCAGTCGAGCAGAAATGCCGCTTGGCGAGTCAAGCAAGCGCCAACGTCGGAAGGTTCTATAAGACTGAGTTGAAATGTACGTAAGAACTGCTGTGGAAGCACGGTGCTGGGCATACCGAACGTATTTGAAGCTCATCGCTCGGGAGGGACAAGTCGGTCTTGAAAATAATCGAATCGCCAGGGCATGTTCGTTGCATGCTTGAAAAGGTCTCAGACCCTATTCAAGATACTCAGCATCCATCGTCATTGGCAGATGTTGGAAGTGAAGAGCCTGGGCGTCAGCCGTTCACCGCCGTTGCTGCTCGTTACCCGGCAGTCATTGTTTCGCAGACGTATACCTTGGAGACATTGTTCGATTTAGTTAAACTCGTTTATGAGCCGCTTCATACAGAGCGTTCTTTTGATGAAATATGAAGGTTACTGGACGAGAGCAGCTATAAAGGTCTACACGCTCATCGATTGTGTTGTCTCCATGATTGATATTTTCAAAGCTTACGCCTTACTCGTTGACTTGAAGGAGATAACTCCAAGCACTGAACATTACCCAAAACCAAATTAATGTCACGGGGATTCGACGGCTGTGACAGCGCTATGTAAGGTGCCGCTGTCTTCTTGGGTTTGTGAGAAATACAAACGAAAGCAATATCTGCGAGTATCTCGTCGCTCAGATTGTACCTACAAGACCAGGTATAAGAGTCAGATTGACCGCAAGCTTATTTCTCCTCGGCCATTCCTTCAACGGCTTGACTTCTGTGTCGAGCAGGTGAACATCATGCTACTTGAGTCAACGTTCGCAATTCTGTTATGCAGCATAGTAGCAAGAAAGCTGGCGAGGATCTCTTTCTCAAGACAGAGTTTCACTGAAGCCTGTTGTTTCCGGGTGTTTCTCCTCGAGTATTAGTGTGTTGTCGCTAGTTTCTTGCAACCCCCTCTATGTAACCCATGTCAGCCGAGAATAGCATACTAGCCTATAGACGAGCAGAAACTGAGCCAGCACTGAGTTTACAACATCGAGAGAACCTTCAAAAACCTAGCTCAGATAGATCAAAGTTCGTTTCGACGTGAAACTGCTCACCGCCTCGTTACACAGCGGAGTTCGCCAGGTTAAGACTCACGACTTTCCAGTTTCCGGTGGGACCAGGACATAACATACGAAAAAAGTTGATTGTCTTGAACGGCGTCCAGTATTCTTTACAGATACTGCCATAATGATATATAAGTATGTCCAAAGAGAAATTAATGCTATTAGCCAAACATTGGGCTGTTGGTAGCACGTCATTCCAGTCTTCGTACTAGGTACCGGCGCCGTGACTATCAACTTCAACCGTCGAGACGTCTCTGGTGGGTAATTGCTCTGCCCGCGACTTGAATCAGACTCAATATCCCTTTTCATCTTGCCTGACGTATTCTGTGGAGAATACCTTCAAGAAAGGGTTCTTGTCTTGCTAATAACGGAGGAGAAAAAGAAAAGCACGCTCGAGCACACAGCCAACCGTCACCATGTCCTCAGGTTCCTCCTCAGATACGTGTTCCAAGACCACCCACCATAAGAAGTCGAGAGCTGGTATGGACGAAAATCGAGTTTTGATGGAGCTTGACGAGAAAATAGACGCCGTCCATCTCTTTTATATCACCGACAACGCGGGGCGATGGAATAGACAACACACAACTCCAATTGGCTCCATGATCTCCCACCGCAACTTGAGGTAGCTTGCCGACGCAGAAGGATAAGATACCGGCTTATTACACGCTGTAAAAGCCGGTTTAAGCCGGCGTCGTGGTACTTATTATTATCTTCTCCGTATCACCTTGGCCTTTCTCCTCTCAACACCAATGTAATCAAGCGATGACAAATGACGCCTGGTATTCTAGTGAGTATGTCCTCTCGGCACTGTCTAACGGTCTCGTTCGCTTCGCCCTTTGAGTCTCTTCATCGACAACCGACCTATGCCATCGCCCTCGGCGAACGTACAGATGTACCGACGTCTTCGGTACTCATCGTCATCGAGGTATCCATGGGCACGATACTAGCAGGACATCTAATCCCACCCAGCCAGTGCCTCGTCTGATTGATGAACGTTGGGACAGAATACAGAGAGGTTGTCGGTTCCAGATGTGATAAAGCCAAGCCATATGCCAAACACGGAGCTGCAGACTTGTGAGTTGTCTGCTCCACGCAGATGTTCCACGCCGTAAATTGTCTTCTATACTCGCGCTCATGTGTAGTCTGCTTGAGGCAGCTGTCAAGTCGCATCCAGTAATAGGACTGCCTTTTCCATCCAGCTGCTCGTGTCATGCGCTCTAAGAGAGACGATGTTAATATAAACCGCAACACAGCGGTTTTGGGAACAAATCAGCCCGCGGTAACAAGAATAGAGAACATGATGGAATTGCCGATGATTAGACACTGGAAAAAAACTGTTACTAGTATTCAAAGACTCTAAGTCTCTCTATTTTACATTACGTATCATTGGTCTCTGTAGAAGAACCTACTCCCTGAATAACCACCCCTTTGCTGGGGGAATACATCCTCGAACGTTTCGCACCTCATTGCCGTTGATCTTCCCGCTTCCTAGCAGCCTTGGCGTATCGCAAGTAAGACAATCTGATATCATATAAAATACAGCCGGTGTCTTTGGAACCGTTCAGGCCACATACTGACTGGGGCCTTTCTCGAGTCCTGGCTACAGCTGCGTAGTTCCAACTCCTTCGACTACTTGCGCCTCTGTCTCGAAAACGCGTTGAAACTCACGGACTTCGAAGACATACCGCCAACCCTCCGCCGTCGCCAGTGTATCCGACAGCAAGAATAACCAAAAAGAAGCGCCCGACGGTAGTTATTGCCACCCCTCAGAAACGTGGAGACGTAGGTCCGGGACATGTGGCTCAGCGACAGGCTGACTTGAGAGTCTGGGAAGCAAGTCAGAGAAAAGCATCACCAACATCTCTATTTTCAGAACGCAACAGCCGGGCATGTCGTCAAACACTCAGACCCCTTTGAGAGACCGTGAAATATCCGTCACATCAAGAGCAATATATAGAGCCGGCCTCGGGATTGGTCGCCGTTTGAAGGCGTGGCGCCACACCACGATATCGACACTGCAACAACGCCAACTACATCGCTGGATAGCTTACGACAGAAGCGCCCCTTTGATGTGAACGAAGTTGTCCCGATTAGATCTGCGAGCATAGTTTACCGTTGCAAGATGGATGTTGATGTGACATGTAGACTGCCGGAACACCACTTGAGTCAACTGATGCTGGGCATGTTTGTTAATGGAGTCGAAAAAGTACCGAGAGACAGACAAGCAAAGCGGTCAAGACCTCGGCCAACTTACATGAATCTTACGCTGCCCAGGACCGCTTCACACATGCTAATAAGTGCCCGCAAACCTCTCAGCTTATCCTTAATTGTGACTTGCTCATGATGCGACTTAAAAACTAAGAGCCCGCCCGTCATGGATGGGATACTAACAATAATTCCTCCCCTCATTATCCTTCCGTACCCAACCCCAGGGTATCTAAATTTTCCCATGCAATGAGAAGCCAACTCTTCATCCTGAAGATAAAACACTCGCACGCATTCTCCAGCCGCCGTCAATCATGCTGTAAACCCAACCGCGCGTGAGATATGCAGTTTCTCAAACCCCGCACCCTCCATTCTTTGAAGTAATCACTAAACTTCCTTTTCTTGCTCTTGCGTTTGCAATTGGCCTCGTCTCCCTCCGTGCGACTCTTCTCCATGCAATTCATCCATGTGATTCTTGAATATTCGAGGAGCTGGCATGGGACCCGTTCTGGCCAGCCTCAAAGCCTCAACCTAAGAGGGATTGGAGCCAACATCGAAGCCCTGACATGTTGCCTGAGCATCTCGTTCGGAAAGTCCCCGTAGCACATGGTCATGACGCCCCGGGCTGCCTGAAACTCCACATAGTCCTACTTGAGCTGCTTCAGAATCTCGGTCAAGAAATCCTCGAAACTGAGGGTGATGTATCCATCGCGGTCTTCGTCGTACTTTTTGAAAACGTCCGTCATGCGCTTGAGAGAGATACAGGCCTGAACGAAGAGGTCAAAAGACATGACACCTTCATTGCGCTTGTCGTATGTACGGAACAGCAGCTCAACAAAGCCTGGGCTGAGGCGGTAGCGGAAGGCGACGAGAGCGTTGCTGAATTCGGGGAGCGAGATGTTGCCGGAACGGTCGGCGTCGAAGCGGTCAAAGAGGGTGCGCCAGGACGCGAGGAAGGACCACAGGCCGCAGAATTCGGCGAAACCAATCGTGCCGCTGCGGTCGGAGTCGAACATGCGAATCATCATGCGCACTGTCTGGGGGTCGAAGGCGGTCCAGTCACCGTTGACGAGGGCTGTGCTAAGCTCGCGCTCGGAAAGCTGGCCGGTGCCTGCTGATTGTTAGATGATGCGCTCTGAAATGTTCTCGGCATCGCCTACCGTCTTTGTCGACAGCCCGGAACAAAGGCAGAAGAGTCGGGTCGGCGCCGTCGGCCATTTCGGGGGCAGGAGATGGAGGCGGTCTCGAGTTGGGGGGCGGGCGGTTTTGCATGGCAGTCGGCCGGGGGCCGCCGGTGGGAGGAGGAGAAGTTGCGCCGTAGATAGGATTGGGGCTATGTCGGCGGTCGTCGCGAGGGTCGGGGCGGCGGTAGTCGTCGCGGGGAACGGGCGGAGGCGGCTTGCTCTCGTAGCGTGGCTGCTGTTGAGGAGGTCTCTGGGCCTGAGCTGGGGCAGGGCCGCCCTTCTGCAGAATAGTCAGTATTTCTGGGGAGAGGAGATGTATAGTTTGATGAGGTCGGCGACGCGGGCGATAGCGACGAAATGAAATAAAGAGGGCGATTGCTAGCGTGGGATAAGGGCGACAATTGTCACGGACGTACCTGCTCGGGCTCCGCGAACCTGGTAGGGTGTTAGCATGGCGGGGTAAAATAGATTGCAATGAGGGGCTACTGCGAGTCGTTGAATACGCACCTAGGGAGTTCGTCGGGGTTGTAAGGTCTGTTGTAGGCCATTGCGACTTTTGTCTGAGGCGCGCGGACTGGCGATGAAAAGTCCAAGATGACGGAGAGCGGTGGGAAAGGCCTTGTTGGGGGAGTCGACTCGGGCGAAGCTCCTGGATTATATGAAGTTGCAGAGGTGGGGGGGACTTCTGCGGTGGACGGAAGGGGAGCCGCAGGACCTGAGCTACCTATGTACCTCCGAAGCGCGCAAGGCAAAATAAATCTAGGTACGAAGCACGCAGCGGCGGAGAGTAGGGGTCTCTAACGTCAGGCGGCAGGCGGCAGTCGGCACGCCTAGAGTCAGACAGGTAGGGCTGCTTGGTTAGGCTGCGTTGCGGCGGAGGCTGTGAACGTGCCAATCGGGCCCCGAGCACAGCGCAGTCGTGAAATGGGTTTCAGCCGCACTGCTGTAATATGAGAGCGAGGCTTGGGCTGAAAGGTTGACGTTGCTGTAATTTCGGTCGCAAATTGCTGTTTTTTCGCGAGGCTTTCTTTGATGTCTGGTCGCTATTTGCCGAATTGGCTTGTAGGAATGCTCAGAGAAGACACGAGAACTGTAAGGCTTATCTGGCCTCGAACAGGGAAGCCAACACCTCGGCAGACGGAGCCGGACGGTTTTCTTGGGGTCGGGGTTGAGCGGCGGCGCAGAATGGCACGGGCGGACGGTGAGGGGGAATTGGATGCAGGGTAATCAATGCTGAGAAGGGCGTTTGCGCCCGAGGGATGAATAAGATGAATACTCAGTGCGAGCGATGCTGGGTTGGACTGGATCTGAAGCTGAAGCTGAAGATCCAGAGTGTGGGTGGTTTGCGACAAAACAGACGCCAGAAGTAAATCAGACGGGATGAACAGGCGATGATGGCAAGACAGCCTATCGAGTGGGCTTTGTTACGAAATCGGATCCTGGGGGATACAACTAAAAACAGAATATGCTCCAGCCAAGGATGTGCTCAGGTGAGGAGAAGTGTGAATCAGGATGGGAAAAGAGGGTATCAATTCCCCGATTTCGACATTTCCACGCGGCCTTGGTATCTTCCAAGTTTGCTGCACGTTGTTCTTTCTCTCCTTCTGGAACATTACCGGGACGGCAAGTGGAAGGGATTGACCGACGGGATGAGTGCCCGTGATGAGATGAAGAGTGCCCTGGGATTCTTCCCTTGCCAGTTGGTGGCTTTCGCTTTCGCAATGGAACCCCGCCACACCGTCCGCGTCCGCGTCACAGTCCCGCTGTGGACTTCCAGGCCCACTATCGGATTGCATTGTGGATTCCTGGGAGTCATTCTCGAAGCAGTCACGATCCAACGCGACACCGAAGAACCGCTCACAGGGCGGCCGAACGTCACGAGGAGGCGAGCAGGGAGCATACCTGCTGCGGCGAGTCCGGCTCCGAGACTACATAGTACGGCGACCGATGGAATGGATCCATCTGATGGGGTCCCGGTCTTGGCTTGGGTTGCCAATAGTCACCGCGGAGTATTAACTCGATTTCCGGGGACCGTATTGAGGGCATCCGATATCGTGTCGTTATACGCGGCGAAACAATTCGTATCTTGACTAACAAGTCCCTTCGTTTCCTTTTCCCTCTCAAAAAAAGTGCAATGTATCCACAAAAAGACGACCCCTAGGTAAGGTACCCAGGAGACTCTCATCGTCTCGGGACCGGGTATTGATACGATGGAGATACAGATCGTGAGGTGGAAAAGGGGGGACCCGAGCACTTTATCTCAGCCTACGAGCCCGGTGACCCGGCGCAGCTTCTTCTCCTCTGCTGGAGCTGGGTCTCTCTTCCCACCATCGTCACCAATGCTCATCACACATGTCTGAGGAACGAATTGGAGGGCGGTGTTAGGGCGATACGTACTCCAGACACAGTCACACGCATCACACACATTCTTTTTTACTCCCTTCTCCTCATACACCGACACCTAGCCTGCACACCGGGCCGGACGGCATGGCATCTGAAATCCGAGGTGGTGGTGGTGGTGGTGGTGGTGGTGGTTGAGGTAGATTGTTGTATTCCCATTTAAGCTTAATTTAGTCAAGGCGGTCGTCAACACCTGAGATGATCTGTCCAGTTGGAAGGGGCCATTTCCAGTCTCATCCGAAACTCACTTCGACCTCGTCTTCAAGCCGATATCCCTCAACTCTTTACAAAAACAACAAGCAACGACTCTCAGTAGCCTTCAACGGCCCATCGTGTAAGCGTGACCAGTGACGACCCCGTCCAAGCATCACCCGTATCCGTACCACCCTAACAAAACCCTTTTTGCCTTTTTCCCTTCCATCCTTCCATTCAGCATTCCACCCCAGCTCATTCCGCCCCACCAACAGCCCCCCGGCCCACGCCCCTCCCCAGAGCGCCGAGCCTCTTGCACGGGACGCCGGCAAGCGGGATTGCGTATGCTTTCCCAGCTTTGCAGCTTCCATTCGCGCACCGCACCGCACCGCTCAACTCGCCTTGCCTTGCCTTGCCCAACTTTCTCGAACACATCGAACCTTTTTGTGTCTTCCTCTATTACCTCGCTTGCCCTCGCCCTCATCTCGTTCCTCCTCTTCTTCTTCCTGCCACGTATGTGACCCTCTTCCTCGCTTTCTCCCTTAACCCTTGCCCTTCTCACCGTGCCGTTTCCACTTCGTCTCGTTTTCGTTTTAGACCACATCTCATCTCTCCTTCCTCATCCTTCTCGAACTTTTCCTCGTTCACACTTTCATCTTTCCCTCCTCTTTCTCACACTCCATACCTCATACCCTTCCCCCTTCCCTTTTGATACCCGTGTATCCGTACATCTGCTTATTGTGTGTATTTATGTCTTGTGTGTTGTGTGTGTGCGTGCCGTCCCCATCTGCGGTGTCTCGATATGTGTGTACGCGCGGCTTTGGAGGGGTCTTGCAACGTCCCGCCCGCTCCCGCCGTTGCGGCCTGCCGCTTTCGGGTGCCACCAACGGCTCGTACAGCATTCTCGGCCCATCTGGCCACCCTAGGCAAGTGCCTTGGAAATCCGAGATGGATCACCGAGCTGGGCCTTCCGCCGTTTGATTCTTTGTGCGTCTCGCGCAGACCGAAACGAGTTACACAAGAGTGTGACTGAATTTATCGGAAAACTCCTTCAAATTCTAGGGATGGCGATCTCTTCTTACTCTCTAGATATCGCCTCCAAACCTCAATGACAGCACCTTAGTCTGGGCTGTCACTTCTCATAACCTCACCATCTCATACCATCTCATCTCACACCACCAAGAAAAGACCGTCTCTCCTTCTCCAGACAGTGGACTAATCTTACACCAAAAGCTCCGAGATGGCCGCCGATAACGACCTCTCCACCAACGACGGCGAATTCTGGCTGTACGGTTACGGGTACGTCGACTCCTAGGCAGAGAACAACATCGACCAAACTCCCGTCCCCTCCACCAAAACCCCGGGCCACCGCGCCTCCGGCCTCTGGACGTGTGTCTCATCCGTCCATCCCGTTCGCACATACACATCCCCTGCCGCAGACAGCCCCAAGCCCTACCGCGTCGCTTCCAAAAAACCATTGTCCCTAACGTCAGAAAACCCGCTTCTCCAGGAGTCTGATATGGAAGCCTCCGCCGCACTTCGGTTAGCCCTCGTCCCTCCCGTCCTTTCCGTCTGGGCTCCCGAGCTTCCGGCTGATCTCCCCACAGATAGGAGAATCCCTGGTTGGGTGACGGGATATGTCCGACGCTTCTGGCAGGTGAGCTCTCTCTCTCTCTCTCTCCTCTCGGCTGTCCCTTTCCTCCCTCCCTCCCTCCCTCCACGCCCCCCTGGCGCCGTCTCACCCGGCCCCACGGCACACAAGGCAATCTCGCGTCTCTAGCTCCCGCTGTCACCAATGCTTATTTACACTTCACAACTCGTCCCTCCCCTGCTCACACCCAAGCCTACCCTGGTCTCTTAAGCCTGACCTCTCATACTTGACCTTCCATACTTGGCATCTCATACTTGGTCTACCCGGACCTCTCTCACTGAAGCTCTCACACCTGTGCCCTCATACATGGGCTCTCATACATGAGACATCTAAGCTCACACAAGGTCTGACACTCACTGACACCTCACAGGCAAGGTAAACAACCTCACCCACCTCACTCATCCCCTCACACACCACCTGACCCTCCACAGCCAGGACCACAGAGGCACCCCCGAAGCCCCCGGCCGCGTCGCAACCCTCATCGAGCGCTCCTACTGGGAGAAGCTGACCGACCACCACGACTCCGCCCCGGACCGCGTCTGGGGCGTCGCCTACCGCATCGTCCCCGACAAGGTCGCCGAGGTCAAGGACTACCTCGACATCCGCGAGATCAACGGCTACAGCATCCACCACGCCCCCTTCTACCCGGCCGACGGCTCCTCCGCCCCCATCCGCACCCTCGTCTACATCGGCACCCCGGACAACGACCAGTTCGTCGGCCCCCAGGACCCCCAGCGACTCGCCGAGCACATCTGCCGGAGCCGCGGCCCCAGCGGCCTCAACACCGACTACCTCCTCGGGCTCGAGAAGGCCCTCGACGAGCTGAGCCCCGAGAGCGGCGACCTCCACATCACCGACCTCTCCGACCGCGTCCGCGCCATCATGGGCGCCAAGAACAACGTCGAACCGCCCCCGGCGTCCGCCGTCAACGGCGACTTTAAGCAAGAGAGCAGCGTCAAGGAGCAGGAGGAGACTGAGAAGACCAGCTGAGAGAGAGCGAGAGCAAGAGAGAGAGAGAGAGAGATGTGACTGCGCATGAAGAACTTTTCCTTGGATACTTGCCCCCCCTCCTACCACCCAGCCATTGCCAATTTTGTTCTAAAGCAGATCATAGACAATCATGCAGGAAGAAAAGGTAGTCTTAGACACGAATCCGTTGGCATCTCTCCTAACCAGACCGGGAAACAACCATCCTACCACCCATACATCATCCCCTTTTACAACCCAGGAATCACACGAGCAACGATCATCACACAGAAGGATCGAAACATTTTGGGACAGAAAAGATGAAAGAGAAGAAGCAAGAAACCATTCCATTTGTTTGTGTGTGTGAGAGAGAGAGAAGACTAGGCCGTTACCAACCCTTGACCGACCCGGGTTGGGGTTTTGTTTTTCCAGAGATCCATTGCAACAGAAGAACCGGGTATTGTGTTGCAGCGAAGAATATCATCACCAAATGCTCGATCGAACCAACGGGCGCGCGCGCGAACGTCTGTCAGACTCGGAGGAGGTATCATCGTCGGCAACAACTCTTGGCCGCGTGCTTCCCGAGTTGGCGGAAAATCGACAACCAGCAAGCAACGAATCTCCGAAATCCAGCGTACCACAAATTAGTAGCCTCGGCCGCCCTGGGGCTGCTGAGACGGGTCCGCCGGGTAGCCGTAGCCGGCCGGGGGAGGGGCAGCGTAGCCGCCGTCTGCGATCAGTGTCAGCACGGTGAGCTCGGAGAAGAGACGAGGGGGATTCCACGAACCCTGGGGAGGAACACCGTAGGGCTGCTGCGGGGGGTAGCCGCGTCCGTACTGGGGCTGCTGCTGGTACATGTTGGGGGCAGGGGCGTATCCTCCGTATTGCATGGGAGCGCCGCCGCCGTAGCCGCCGCCGCCACGTCCGCCGCCGAAACCGCCGCGGCCGAAGCCACCACCGCCTCCACGGGGACCGTTGTCGGAAGCCTTGTCGACGCGGATAGTGCGTCCGTCAAACCTAAAAAGTCGCCATGTCAGACTCGAAGCTCGTTCCGCTCCGTCATTGCGCCGGGACAAGCATGCAATGGAAACCGCAAATTAACAAAGGCAGCGTACTCGACATTGTTCATGGCGGCAATGGCCTTCTGAGCATCTCCCTCCTGCTGGTATCGCACGAAGCCGAATCCACGGCTGCGGCCAGTGTCGCGGTCCTTGACAACAACCTTCAAGAAGGGAAAAAACGCGGGTCAGATCTCTCTCCTCTCTTCTGTTCGGGCGAACTTGGTCGGACAAGATGTCTTCCCATGTGCCATTATGGTCGCCACTCCAAGAAAAGTTTCTTCCCGGCGGACAGGACTGTCAAGTACTTACAGCTTCTTCAACAGCACCAAACTCCTCGAACTTCTGTCTGAGGGTGTTTTCCTCAGTGTGCCATGCAAGGCCGCTGCAAGACAAGTGTCAGTAAAGGGTTGTTTGCGGGCATTGGATGTGCCTGGAGCGTGAAGGACCTACCCAATAAAGAGCTTGGACATGTTGATTGATTTTCGTTTCTCTTACAAGAGCTTGATGATCTGCTGATGGCACATTAGATTCTGTCCAACGGAGAGGTCAAAAGAGGAGGCTGCGATGCATAAATGCAAGTGGTTGTTGTGGCGCCAAGGCTTGGTATGAGTTTGGAAGAAGGCAGTGGAAGCAAGCGCTCTGTCTGGGACTTCCCAAACAAGAATCATGCAGGCTCCAGAAAGCAGGCTGTGCTCATCTGTTCTGCAAAGAGAGGAGGCAGTGTTGGCAGCTTGGCTTTGTCACTATCAACGACGGCGCGTAGACAAGTCGTCGAGGGTAAGGAGGGCGACAAAGCAAACGTACAAGCCAGACACGGGTGGCAGACGTTGCGGGGTTGCAGGCGAGGCGGCAGGAAAGGAGAGATGCAGGCTGTGTCGAACAAAGAGGTTTTACCTGCAAGTGCGTCGCCACTTGATGGACGATGATGATGTGGAGGTGTAAGGTGGAAAGGTTGGTTCGTGTCGTGGGTAAGAGACACGGAGGTTGGAATAAGGTGGGCTGTCGTTGGCGGGAGGAGGTGGTTGACAGACGTCAGGTTGGGGGACTTGTAGGCTTGAGAGATTCTCGAAAAAAAAGGAAAGAGGGGTGAGAGAAGGAGAAAGTGAAAGGCCACCTTTGACAAGAGGAGAAAGGAAATGTTGCTAGCGGCAATTTTTTTTTTGTGTGTGGTGAATGGTCCGGAAGGAAAAAAGGGCGTTGAGGCAGTGAGGCAGTGCAAAAAAATAGGTCCCCCCCAAATGTACGGTAAGGTTTGATGTATGAGTGGGAGTGGGAGAGGGAGTGGGAGGAGTGACTGGTCGGAACACGGTCAAGAAGGCGGGGTGGATTGAGAGGAAGGTGTAAAGGTAGGTACGGGCAGTCCAAGGTAAAAAGGTCAGGCAAGGTAAGGTAGGAGCGGAACGGGAACACCTGCCGCAACCTGTTGTGCTGCTGCTGCCGCTGCCGCTGCCGCCGCTGCTTGGATTCTAGGTTGGCTGCTGTGTTGATGTCCGCCCGCCGCCTCCGCCGCTCTCGAGGTGCTTGCTTGTCTGGAAAAAAACTAGTGGCGATGCCGTTTCCGCCGTGCAAGCTGGAGGCAGGGCTGGAGATGCGAAACGGGACTTCGTTGCGGAGGGGTAGATAGGTAGATACGTGGAGGAGAATTGGAAGCGGGCGATGTCAATGTGTGGTACTTTGCGCAAGAAAAGTTACGACGACGATGACGATAGTCTAGGCCTAACGGCGAATTGAACGACTCGACGTTCAAGTCGAACGCAAGCAAGGTACGAACACGAAGAGGGAAAAAATTAAGAGATACCAAGCAAAACGTAAGAAAAGGTACAACAGGAAGCCAAATGTAGGTAATAGGGTACGTAAGGTAAGGTATGGCGTGAATAGAAACTATGTGCGGACGCGGGATGTACCGACCTTGGATTCGACGTCGACTTCTTTGTCTCTGACGAGCTTTCTTGAAGTGTCTCTTTTTTTCTTTCTTTGTTGTTGCTTCCTAGGAAAAGTTGATGCTAGATGGGAAATTCCAAACAAGTCGGGGGAAAAGTACGATGCGAGAGAAAAGCCGATTTGCTTCTGACAGGGGACAGAGACAATAAAGTACCGATCCCGGGTCCAGAGTCCAGAGTAAATGGTAGGGAAGAGGGAAGAAATAAGACGTTCGCTCGTTTAAGAACAGACGTAAATGCCAGCGCAATGTTGAATAATCGCGCGCTCTCCGTTTGGTGCTCTTATCCTTGAAGCTCTTTATGTATCCATCCCACTTTCCCTTCCCTCTTCTTACCCCGACCTGGTCCCTCATCTTATATGTGATGAGCACAGGGTCCGCTGCGGCGGCGAAGAAAAAAAAAAAAAGAAGGCGAGCCAACTTGCTGCAGCGGCAGTCTGATACCTCAGACCTGCAATACCGGATGAAATAGGGAAGGAGACAAGAAAGAAAGAAAAAAAGAGACTTGTTGCGGTAAGGTATCTGAAGTACCCATCTCACCTGTCTTTCACCTGCAGAATACACGGGGCAGCTTGTCGCTTCCGCGCCGCCTCTGTCTCCAACGTCTCCATACCGCGTGCCAAGCAGCCAAGGTACCTGACCTCGAGTTGCTCTTGTTGCCGCTGCCGCTGCCGCTCCTGCGACCACTGCGTACTTGCTGCTTGTCAGGCACACGAGGCAAGGGCCAAGGCATCTTGGAGATCTGCCCGGGTAGAGGGACCCATGAAAATCAATCCATCTGTGGATTGGAGACATGGGCCATAAGCCATCGACCTCCAGTTGTCATGGGGGGGGGGGCGCCGTAAAGAGGGGACCGCCCACATCCCAAAATCGGCTTTTCTGCGCAAGGGAAGAAAGACATGGGCGAACAAAAGAAGTACTACGGTACGGCGCCCATCAATGTTTCGACCAAAGCATGATTGTGCCAGCAGGGCTAGCTTCCCCTCCCAAACAAGCATCAAACAGACGAAAAGGCTCTGGTGTATCCATGATACTGCCATCTGGATTGGCTCTCCGACATGGAAGACCAGCCAGAGACCCGGCCGTGCCCATCCGATTCAGTGCTTCGTACGCCGTACGGATGCCTAACCGGACATTTCTCCTGCTTCGATACTGATATGGTCGTCTTCGTGTGAATTATCCGCGGCATGTCGTTGCTGTTACTGCTGCCGCTGGTGTCGCGGCCGTCGCCGCGGTCGTCGTCATGTACGCGGAGGCAGTTTAAGTCAGACGACGCACCACGCGACGCACGCACTTACGCACTCTGCCCCCAGGCAACTGCCCCTTCGAGGCCTTCACCTTCTCCCACGCAAGTTGGGTCCAGAGGCGTCAGCAACACTGCGTATCATCACCGCAGCAGCTGGCGCGAGACACTGCTCGCCTGTACCGACATATCGGCCCAACAGGACAGGTAGTAGAGCAAGTCCATACGAGCGTCCAATGCGGTCACTCTCGCAGTCTGACTGACTAACCAGGGGCATGCAAGTGTGGTGGGATAACATGCAGAGGCCAGGACCACGGAAAGCTTCTTGTGAACCATGAACCCAGCCGTTGCAGGGTTGATCGTAGGCAAAACGGCTCAACGGGCGGCTGGTAAGCGCAGAAGGACGAAAAATTGCGCGACAGAATGGTATGCCGCTTTGTGTGCCCGGTGTAGTCGCATTCAGGTCGTTGCGTCCGCTTAAGGACAACCCAAGCTCTTGGAAGCTAGCTACATGCCTCTGATCAGCAAGTATCTTGAGAATGACAGCCGTTCGTATGAGCAGAAGAGATAGAGAGAGAAGGAAAGAAGAGAAAAATAAGAGGACGGGATCCCTACACCAGAAACAGTGTATCCGCTGTGGCTTCAGGAAACACTGCGCGGGACGGCAGGCTTGGCCTGGTCATTTGGGGACGGACTGGATCATGAGTGACATTCCCATTCGACCCCACACTTTGCACAGCCTCCTTCCACCATGCCTTGTTTGAAGCAAGATGAACATCTTGGAGCTGCAACACGATTCTCCAACGTCCTCCTTCTCCTGAAAGTGGAGTCGTCTAACGTAGTGTAGCTGCAGAGCCTGCAGAACCAGCCATCAACTCGGCTTGTCTTCCAGAGCCATGCTTGGGAGCTCCTGTGCTAGGCATGGAATGACTGCAGGTCCTCACGAAACCGAATCTTGGATTTCTGACCAGCGGCAAATGGCGACATTGATATCCAATTGCGCCCTGTCTCCCGGTACTCGTGTGATCGCAGCTGTCCGTTCGTTGAGATCCAATGTCACCGCGGGCTTCATCCCACAACGGCGTCATGACCCCAGGGCAGCTCCATGTTGTCCATTCGCCGCGCTGCCATGCTCCTGGTCTGTAGGTATTTCGTCTCTTGCTTCGTCCAATTCGCTTCCAGGATCTGTCTCTTAGCATTGTGACATGTCCTCTGTTGGCCTCGGCTAGCCGCAACCTTGGGAGGTCTTCTTATGCGCAAGAGAGATGCGGCCATGGAGGGGGGATCTTGGGACGAGACCCTTTGCCGGCATTGACTTCTCATGCGAAGCGACACGCGACGCACCCCAAGTTGGGAGAGCTCCCGGAGGTTGAACCGAGCAGAAGCAGCATCGACAACGAGGTCTTCTATGGCGCACAGAACGCTCAGTGCCGTCCACACGAAGCTCCACCAGCTTCGTAGCACTGACCAGCGAGAGGTCCTAGACCTAGATGAGGCCCTGCGATGTGGGTGAAGCTGAGTGGGAGAGTTGTGGGTGTCGTCGTGGTGTCCATGTCCTCCATGCCAGTGGAGAGGTCGATCCAGTGGAGTCGAGGCTGGCAACCCCTCTGTCGTATCGTCAATTTGGTTTTTCTGGCGATAAGTGCCCCTCCCCCAAGCTGTCCACGGCGCACAAACCACCACGACACTCGACCCCTCGCGTGAAAATCGGTACATGCTGGTTGGTGTCATTCAACCGACGATTGCCCGCAGCTTTTGCGGCCAGCCAATCCCGAGAAGCCATGCCGACACAGCGAAGCGTCCAAAAATATCATGTCTCCTGACAGCTGTCTGCTCGCCGTTCTCGCGCTCCGGCCATAGTCCCAGGCCTCGCTGAGAAACAAGGAGCGCGTCAACTCGTTGAAATCGATGTCAACTGTGAATTGTGACGCAACATTGTGGACAGCTGGGGCAGCCATCATCAGGGACTAAGGTAGTGGAACCTTTAACCTCCGTACCCTAGGTACTCTTGGTATAGCCGCCGTCATATTGTGGCATGGACCAACAGATATGCCCTGTAGTTGGGTGATGGAGGGGCAACTTGGGTCTCCGGAATGCCACCAGCAGGAACCCTAATGCAAATGGCCGCGATCCAGTCGGAATACCAAGGTCTGGCAATGGCTCCATGTTGAGGTATCGTCTTCACACCGCTTAGCAGTGTCTCCTCTCGCTATTTCTTGGCTTTTAGCTTGCCAGTCATCAAATTGATGCATTTCGTGCGCATGTTTCCTGCAGGGCTGGCGGTACATGGCAGCACCGGTTGTTGATGTTCTTCCGAGATCCCAGTGCCATTCGAAACTGCCAGGGACCATCTATAATTAATCAGCCATGACCGGACGAAGATGAAACTGCTGCGCCTTCTTCACGGGCCCGCTGTCCTATCCACCGTCAAGGTTTTGTCCGCAAAAGCAAAGAGTTTGGGTAACGTCGTTGGGTTGACGACACTTGTACTGGTATCGCCCAGACACCACTATTCAATGGTCTGGCCGGGGGAAGCTCCTGCAGCCACGTGCGTCGTCACGGACGATGCGACCCTGCAAATTCTATGCCGGACTGATGTCAAATGCCAACAGCCTTCAGCCGCGCCTGAACCAAATTTTTGGAATTTCGAGATCGTGGGCCGCGGAAGCGTGAGTCCGGGAAACCATCATGCCCGCATCGCATGGCTGTAATCCGTGAGACGAGGCATCTGGCCAAAGACAGTTGCTGTCATCGTTTCCGCATTGTAATCAAGTCATGTGACAGTGACATGGCTTTCGTCGATATACCGAGCCGATGATGTGAGTTGGAAGCCAATGCGAACATGGCAGATCCGTTCTGTTGGCTTTGAAACGGTTCGCGGGCGTAGAAGAATAACCCGCGCCGAGCGGCGTGGTCAGCTGTCAAGCGTCTGTCACGGCGGGACGAATCCGGTGGTTTCCTTTCCCCATTTTCTGCGGATAGCCAAGGCGATGCTATCAATAGAAGTCGACCGGATGTTCGACACAAGACGCGTTTCCGTCGGTACCAGGGCATGTCTTGGCATTCTGAGACAGCCGCAACTTGGGGTTTGTGTCGACGACATATCAAGTGCACCTCCCGAATGATGCCATCTTGATTCATGGCTCTAGTAGCGATCCAAATTGGGCACCCACGCCGTGATACCTAGGCAGCGATTCCGTATCGCGGCGGCAATTTCGGCGATGCCTCGTAAGCCGCGTCTTCGAGGTTGCGTAGTCGAAACACTCGGGGGCGTCGATGCGGCCATTGTTGGTACTTGCAACTTCATGGCTTCGGACAATCTTCTTGAACTTGCGTTTGTATTGTTGTTGAAGAGTGAAAAAAATATTGGTGCTCGTGCTCAAGTTGAGAATTGACAAAAGATACTGCGAGTGATTTGGATGTTGTAGCCGGACAGAAATGCCTTGGCACCTATGAGGTAGGTAGGCACTGGTTGGGAGGCTCTGTCCACGATGTAGCGACGGCAGGTACACAGCAATTTCAGCGCCTAGGTTCCCTTCCAGGTTGGCGCCACACTCAGCGGAACCACTGAGATTGGCTGCCCGGGGTCCTTACCTTCCACATCTCCTTGCACACCTACCTTACCTGACCAGGTTAACAAGAAGGCTCCATCTCTCACAGCAGTGCCTACCTTACGGGAAAGAGCATCACGACAGAGGCGGACTGGTAAATGCCAGAAATATGGCGCTTTCTAGTTATGTAGAAATGGGCTATCAACTGAGATGCCTCCAGGGCGGCGGTCTCGGGTGCTTGCTCAACCGCGATACAGGCACAGTCTGTGCAAACTTGCAGATCACTCCGCCAACGACCTGATCTACCTTTTTTTGGCATCACGTTCATGAACCGCATCAGCTCACTACATTTGGAAGGAAAGAGTTTAATAGTTTAATGCGATGGATCCTTACTCCCAGGGACACCATCGCAGCCATCGCAGGTCTCGGAAGGATGACCGACACCATCGCCACAACCCACTCGACAACATCGACTTCGACTACGAACAAGACAAGTCAAGACACCAACGTCACCGGGACGTGGACCGACGGATTCCGCAATTCCAACCAGGAACACGGAATTGGGACTCCGGCAATAACGCGCCCTATCAAACCACGCAAAGTTCTGGAAACATTCAAAGCTGGCTTTCCAATGTCAACCACCAAGGCGCGACTTCCCCCAATATTGCTGGGAAACGACAGCAAGAATTGGAACCGTTACTCTCGCGTGGCCCAAATTGGAGACCACACGGTTTGGAAATCCAAGATGATTTTCCTCGACGCCACAAACGCTCTCGGTCACGCGACAGCTCCATCATTCCAAGTGATAAGAGACGCACTGGGCAACGGCCTCTAATGCCCACAAGAGACCACGACCCGGGATTTCAAACGCGGCAGGTCTTTGATCAGATTGTACCAAACGATTCCATTTCAGTGGACAGAACTCCGTCTCCAAGATTTGAGAAGCGCGCTCGACACAAGACTAGAGAAGATAGGTACGAGTCGAAGAAGCAATCTCGGCACCAGGAACGCAGGCCTCGGAAGGAAAAACACGAACAGCCAGCTTTCCCGCAAAAGAAAAATCTTTCGTCTGGTAAAGACGTAATGGGAAACTTCCACTCCGAAGCTATTCTCAAGGACAGACTCACAGTACGAATGGCAACATGCTGTGTCTTTTGTGGCCCGTACTAACATCTTCCAGCTGCAACCTGCCATTACAGCAGGTCTTTTCCAGAATGGCCGCGTGTCTTCCCCAAAGCCTGGTAAGCCATACTACAAAAACCGCAGTCATGAAACATCGCTAACGCATTCGTAGTTGAGGAGCTGGCGTACAATTCCTTGGCTACACTCGAAAACCCGCCGCCCCGTTTGCCCTCACGACAACAGCACAACCGTTCCCAGGCGAAGCAAAGAAAACGCCTGGAGAGAGAGGCTGACGAAATGCAGGCGTTTTTAGGACGCAAAGACGAGCGACGTAACGAGACTGAACGTCGACCTGCGAGCCAACCGCATCTTGGTCATTTAGAACGGAGGCCCAGAACCCAATTTGAACCGGACAACCATTACAGGCAGCGTGACATGGACTTTGAACCCAGGAGATCGCCGCAGAACGACTTCCAACAGAGTTTGAATGCATCTCAGCAGTCATGGGGACAACATGGTTTCTCCGCTCTCCGGCATCGAGCAAGCAGTAGGGCAACCAGTTACCTGTCATGGTCAACAAGCGACCATGTTCAATCACTGATACCGCGCGAACCTAGCAACGCACGCTCTAGCATGACCCCCGAGCTGATAAGAAGGGAACTACGTGATACTGGAGTTTTTGACGACACCGGGATATCAGGCCAGGATCGCAATTCGGGGCTCAAAGCTCCAACAGCAAGCAGATCCCACCATCACGTACGAAGCTCGACCGGCGGAGAGACACCTGTCAACCAAGATAGTGGGCTGAGAGCAGCTACCCCCGTGCAAAAACCAGCGATTGTTCGGTATCAAGACAAGAGTGTCATGACAACAGACGAGCTCCCACTTGGAGCATTGGAGAAGTCCAATGTCAACAGAGGAAACTCTTCACATTCCAATACGGAAAACGCGGAACAATCCCTGTCAGATTCTGATTCCAAGTCGACAGAACAGAGCGCTAGAGCTTATGGCACCTTGGCCTCGGATCAGAAGACTCAGCCTTCATTGACCCGATCGCAGGTCGTTGGCCAGGCTTACCTTGGCCCTTCGTCGAAAGAAATATCTACTCAGACAACACCGAAAGCTACTTCGCACGAACAGGGTACAGAAGAAGCTGCTGTGGAAATTGGAAATAGTGAAAGGATGAAACCGTCTATTGCAGCATCATCCGGCACGCCGACAACTTGCGACCCAGCGGTTTCGCTAACCAGGTTGCCGAGAGAAGCATCTGTCGAGATTTGCTTGCATGGGGACCAAACGGCGTCTGCCTCAGGCGTTTTGCCGAGCTTCAACACCTCAACAAGCAATTTGAGTACTCGCCTTGAGGTGCTTCCACCTGGTGATAACATCGCAACATTTGATCCAACCTTCTACGACAAACACGCTGGATTTGACGCTTATCGGGGCTCATTGAATTATCAACTGGGTCATGAGCCTGAAAGCACAGAAGAGAGAACTCCTTTCGCTGAGTCCGAGGTCATGTCGCAGGAACCCCATCTACAGCAATCCTTTCACTGGCCTACTCGTCGCGCTCACGACACGGTAGTGGGTGTAGGTACGTCTCGAGCACAAGTCCAAGAGAGTATGCTTGATTTCATCGCCCGCGCTGAGAGGGACATACTTGGAGACGGGAATGGAGAGGTCGATATGCATCCATACCATGGTATAGGAAGACAAGATGCCCTTCAAAGAGAAGATGAGTATGAAGGGGATTCTTACGACTGGGAGCAACGTCCCGACATTGGGTTTGACATATTACAGCAGCCAGAACAGCTGCAATGGCAATATCCAAGAAGCGTCAGGCGGAGCCACAGGATGCCGGAGCTAATATCAAACTCCGGGTACCATTCGCAGCCCAACACTTACACCAGCCGCAGACGAGAAATTCAACCAGTAGAACCAGCGGAATTCTACCCGGCAGACGAAGCCCAAGAGCTATGGCCACCTAACTTTTTCTAACGTTACAGATGACCTACTTACTCAGGCTGCTGGTCCTTCCACTTGGTTCGCAGGCTGGATATGTCGACGTCACATTTCTCTGCCTTGGCAATGATGGCCTTCGCCTTTCCTGTCACTGGCGCGTCAATCATCATACCATCAAGCGTCCAAGCCCCGCGACCTGCCGCGCTGGCTTTCTCGTCCGCTATGGCAACACGGACAGCCCATTCCACCTCCTTCTCGCCCGGGGCGAATAGCCTCTGAACCATCTCAACCTGATTCGGATGTATGCACTGCTTTCCGTTAAAGCCCATCGACTTTCCGCCAAGGGATTCTTCTTCCAGCCGCTTCAGTCCCTCATCCCCCTTATAAGAAGTGCAGACGAGATCGATAGCACTGGGTAGACCGGCGGCCTTGGCAGCGGTGACGATGGCAGATCGCGCATACAAAAACTCGGTGAGCGCCGGAGTCCTTGTCAATGACAAATCCAGAGCAAAATCCTCGGCAGCGAAGATCAGACCGCTGAGATACGGGGATGCCTTGCATATTTCCGACAGATTCATCACGGACCGCGCAGACTCGATCAACGCGATGATTTTGACAGGATTATCCGAGTTGGCAGTATGCCTTTCAGGAGCGACGTGCCGCAGAACATCGGTTACGTAGGTTAAGTCTGCGGCAGAATTGACCTTAGGTACGACGACAGCATCGACATTCGGGAGAGACCCCAGAGAAGTGAGATCATCCAGGGCGAATTTCGTCTCCACGGCGTTGATTCGAACAGCCATTTCAGAGATGGAAGCCGGGCGAGACTTCTGGTTCGATAGAAATGAGCGAAGTTGATCTCGGGCTTGGGACTTCATCGACGGCGTCACTGAATCCTCGAGGTCATATGTGACGTTGTCGGACTTCAGACCCAAGGACTTTGTGAGCATCTTTTCCGACGAGGACGGCACTAAGTGAACATTAGTTGATGTACAGTAATGACTGTTGGAGGTTTGAGCAACCATAAAGAAGCGCTCGGCGGATTATCGACGAGGACCTGGCCGCCATGATGGATAACTTGTCCGCGGTAAAAGTGGAATTGGACCTTGTTAGTGGTAGCTTAGCACCGTTGAATGAATCGAAACTTGGCTTTCAAGCAGTGCACTGGACTAGTCGAGGTGAATATTCGGATTGAGTGAGGGCAAGCAGCAGCGCAGGCAAAAACACTTGGGCCCGGCAATTTGTCGTCTCTTTAAAGAAGAAGCTCGGCAACTCGAGCGCAGAGCTGTTCAGCAAGTCGGCTATTTGGGGGTGGTTTGATGTCAGTGAGCTCCAGAATGACTGTGATGATGTAATTAGCCGGCGCCGATTCTGCCCCCTCTGACCGCTGTTGGACCCCTGTAATTCAAGACCCCTGCTCCCAATTGAATCCAACGGTGCGACCCCTAGCGGAATAATTCAACCTCCACGCGCCGAACAGCTTACCGTAGCTTCAACGAGTGGGACACGCACCGCCAGCGCCAGCTGAATGCCACGCCTGCGGCCCGCGCATTACGACAGCTGTACCGTGTTAGTTTCTGGAGAGCAGGCATCCCTCTCTTCCCGCAGCCCTCTCTCCCGTTCGAACGAGAACAACCGGACCTTTACGACGCCACGACATGCGCACGACGATAACGAAGCCGAGAGTCTGATCGCAATCAATCAATTACGTTCCTGTCAATATCAAAAGTTGAAGAGTGTCGCCTGGGATGGAGTCGAATCAGCAGCTGCCGCAGCAAGATGCCCCCGGCTCCTTGAGCTGGCGGTTGAGCTCGCATCCCATTACCCTCTTGACCTTTCTTACGTTCCGGATATGTAAGTTGGTCTTGGACCGTTAGCTAGGGCATAATGGGAAAGATTAGACTAACAATTGCCCCGAATAGCAAGCGTTCTTGTGTACTTCCTCGGCTTGTGGATCATCAAGAGCATGTACGTCGTCGCATGACCCATTTCCCTCCAACGAAGCCCCCGAACCGAGCCCGCGATCTTCCCTCAAAGACTGCGTCCAAGATGTCAAGTTGCATTCGAACAGCGTGTCTGCCCAGCCAGCGCCGCACACATCTCGCCCGGGCCGCTCCACGTCGCATAAGCAAGGTCACAGACAGTTCCACTAACAGGTGCTCTACACAGGATCATGATCTTCATCATCACCATCCTCCTCCTCGCCGCCGACTTCTACTACCTCAAGAACATCGCCGGCCGCCGCCTCGTCGGTCTGCGCTGGTGGAACGAGGTAGACCCCCAGACGGGCGACTCGCAGTGGGTGTTCGAGAGCAGCGAGCCCGGCACCAAGACGGTCAACGCGACCGACAGCCGCTTCTTCTGGCTCGCGCTCTACGTCCAGCCGGTTCTCTGGATCCTCCTCGCCATCTTTGCGCTCGTCAGGTTGCAGTTCTTGTGGTTGCCGCTTGTCGGTGAGTTTGTCCCGTGTCCCCATCCTTACCCCTTGCGTCGGAGGACATCTTCCCCCCGTTTCGAGAGATTCTTGAGTTTTGCTTTGGCTAACCGGTGTTCGTTACGCAGTCATCGCTCTCGTCTTGACCATCATGAACGCCATGGCCTTCTCCCGGTGCGACAAGTTCAGCCACGCGTCCGGCATCGCCGGCAGCGCCCTGTCCTCGGGCGGTTTGGCGGGGAGCATCGCGACTAACATGGTGGGACGGCTGTTCAACCGCGGTTGAGGGGAGACGACCTTCCCTCTTGAACCGTACTTGAAGCGGACCTGGCGGTGACAGTGGGATATTGTACCATGATTAGAAGAGGAGCCTTTGCCGGCAGACGGGGGGAGGTTGCGGCGGGACGCACAAAACAAACAAAACAAAAGGGAGACGAGACGTGGCCAGCCGTTCTTCGCCGCGAGGTCGGTCGCAACGGTGTGTGGCCTTTCGATATGCTATACCCCAACTGTATACTAGACATGTAAGCATGACCCGAATTTCAACGATGATTTCTTTCTTGGCAGGCGGCGGACGGGTTCCCAAGCAGGACTATGTGAGAGCGTTCCTTGGAAACCTGGTGAACAACGCAAACCATGTGTCGAGCGACTTACGGCAAACAACGGCTTTGCTTGGAGCGATCTCACACGACATTTTGCAAAAACCACGGTTGAAATAACACAGCAGCGGGTGTCGAATCATCTTCATTCCATCACGCTAAAACTACTTCATCCACAAATTGCCCCTCCAACACACCGCAACCGCTACACAACAAACATCCGCACGCAAGAAACGGGTATCGGCAGCTCCTCAAATGAACAATACTCTTGCTCTGTTCATCCACTCCTCCAACGAACCAAACGAATGGTATGTGTGTGTGTTGCGTGAAAAGATTACCAGAAGGCTACGCTCGCAAAATAACGCCCCATCAGAGGAAAGGAAGAGAACAGGCAGGCATACTAGAAAATGTTCGGTCAGAATTATGCCACAAGAACTGCTGCTTTCTCGTTTTTTCTCTCTCTCTTCATCGCGAAGTACAACGACAACTACCGACGCTGACCTCCCTGCCCGGCCTGCTCGATCGCCGCGTCCAGTGCCCTCTCCTCTTCCTCAAGCCGCCTGATCTCGTCCTCCGTCATGCCGTCTTCGATGAGATGAGACACATTTGAGTTAACGTTTGGCGTGGACGACCTGGCGCCCTCGAGGTTGGAGTTGACGTTGTCTAGCGAACGTGAGGCGACGGATGTGTGCTCTTGCTCGTTGTAGGGTGCGAAGGGGGGACGGTGGTGGTGTTCTATCGGGCTGTTGTTGGCGGAGGAGGCGGGGATCGCGGCGGCGGCTATGGGCTCCTGGCCGATATCGTTGAGGTGACGTTGTGATGACTGGTGCTGCTGCGCCTGGCCGTCGTCGGAGTAGGGAGAGTGAGGGGACTCGACGACGCGGGCGTGGGTCTCCTTGTCGGCGAGGTACTCGTGGGGACCGCCGGGGCCGTAGCCGCCGTTCTGGGCGTGGTCTGCTCGGCGGCGGCGTCTGCGGAGGAGGAACCAGATCAAGAAGGCGATGATGGCAACGCCGAATACAGCTCCGATGACGATACCTGCGATAGCGCCCGGGGCAAGACCACCGCCGCCGCCGCCGCCGCCGCTGTCGCTGCCGCTCTTGTTGTTACCGTTTTCGCTGCCGGATACAGATGTTGACGATGGTTTCACGGTAGTCGCGGAGGTCGCGGAAGTCGTCGATGGTATGACGCTAGAGCTGGGCGGGAACCAGGACGAGGTGCTGTTGATATCTTGACCAGTGAAGTCAACACCTTTCTGGTCGACCCTTGCCATGATTCTGTTCCTCATTTGGACGTATACCTCGTCGCTGTCGCTCGCACTGCCGTTGTAGACTGTGAAAAGACCGCTTTGGGTGTAGCCAGTTCCAACGATGGCATCGTTAACCTTCTTTTGCCACCCGAGCACGAGGAACATATCCCTGGTAAAATATTCAGTCACCTTAGTATCGTTTACCGACAAGACAATTGTGGGTTTGTCTTGCTGGAACTGCACTGTTTAAGCGTCAGCATGAGTATCACAAAGCGAGTTGATGTGGAAAGCGCATGTCAAGCGGTTCTGGGTTATAATGCTCACATCCGGATGCGTCGCGCTTCATGCCAGGCTGCATGAGAGATTTCGGCATCGATGGCCAGGGATCTTTCGCAGACATGATGGGGCCAACGGTGCCTTTATCGTCTTTGTAGCCCAGCCAAGTAGCGTTCACGACTACAGCATCCAAAGGGTCGAGTTGCCATGCGATGGTATGAGTGCCTTCCCAGGTCAAGAGGACGTGAGAATTCGGAAAGTCTTGAGGGCTCAGTGTAGATGCATCGATCTCCACAGTCAGTTCCTTGCTGCTGCCGCCACCTTCGGTCCCGTCAGATCGATCTCCTTTGGATGTCGCATAAAACGGCGTGTTCTGGTCGTCCCCGAAGGGGAGGTTCCTCTCTCCTTCTTCATTCTCGAATATGCCCGGCTGCAGGGACATGTTCGATCGTCTCCTTTTGTCGTCGAAATGTGGAATGTATTGTCGAGTCGGTCGAGTCCAAGATAGTGTTCGTCGTCGGTGGAGTCGATATCGAATTCGTGTAAGTCGGTAGGCCCACGCCCGCGTTGTAAAACCAATCCTCAACCCAAAAAAGCCCTCAGTCGAATCCAAAGTTCACTTCCTCGCACCAAAATCCTCGTGATCGTGTGGAAAAAAATGTCGAAGCGAAAAAAAATGACCAAGAGGAAAGGAGAGTCGAGAGGAAGGAAGCAGGCTACGGGGAAAGTGAACAGTAGGAGGACGTGATTAGGCACGAAGGATAACGGGCCCCAACCCCAGTCTGGTGTAAGACGGCAGGTATGTGAGAGACAGGGGGGAGTGGAGGGTCAAGAATGGATTGGAGGATCGCTAGGAAAGAGGCGGAACCAGGGTACAGATAGATACGTTGGTACCTGAGAAATGGAAATGGGAAACAACTGGGCTTTCGTCTTTTGTTGGTTAGGTTGTGGGAAACGGTTTGCTGGCGGGCCCTTTCGCGCTCGCGCGCTCTGTGAGACGTTCAGCTCGAGACGCCGCGGTTTTTGGGGTTGGTTGGTTGGGTCCCCGTCCTTCTTTCTCTCACAACCTAGGTACGGAATGGATCTGCGCTACACACCAGCTGCAGCAAGCCACGCGCCAAGACGAGCGCCGCGTAGAGAAATGTGGGTGGTGGAAAGGATCCGCGGCTTCTTTCTGATTTGTTTCCTGGCGAATATCTGTAGGCAGGCTCTCGCTCGAGAAAAAACAAGTGTATATCTTACGGCTGTTATGCTCCTATGAAACGCTGCACTTTGTGAGGTGGTGTGTGTGTTCTTGCATGCATTCGTCCTCGAGCGAGGCGCTGCTGCTTCGATTCCTTCCCTCGACGCAGCCCTAGCCTCTCACTGGCTTTGTTCGGTCGCCCGGGGCTGAGGTCTCGTTGGTTTTCTCGAGGTGGTTGTGTGAAGACAGTCGTCTTCCAAGGGAGTGAGCGGACCTCGGACTCTGGAAACGATCGAGTAAGTTTGCACTCGGACACGATGGCTATTGATAGAGAAGCGTTGTCTCTTGCTCGAGTAGCAGTCCTACACAGAGCCCTGCTGATCAGACGGTGCCTCGCTCGTCAGAGAGAGCAAACAAGAAAGACGAATGTTGCCTGCTCTTTTGATGAGCTCCCCCCACCTTGTAATCCATCAAACTCCAGGGTTGTGAATCCCAGAGACCCTCCTCACCTTTCATCATCCTCCCTTGACCTTCCCACCCCTCTCCCTTGGGAAACCGCTAGCCTTCTTGTCAGACTTCCCACACAGAACCTCTGAGACTTTGTGATACCGTGATCAGCAGACGGTGTTCGTTACACCACATCACTGACAGACCAGATCTGCTTCGCCACGAAAAAAGAGTGACATGCACGACGCATAGTAGTTCGTCCGCGCGTAAGACTCCCAAAAAGCTTAGGTTTCGAAGACAAGCATACCTTCTCATCTCATCACTGGAAAGAAGAGACGGACCGAGATGAGATGATAAGACACCCGAGGAAGAAACAGAAACAGCAAGCCATTCCGTCCGTGGGCCCAATGTGTTCACCAAAAGATCCAAAAACCTCAAGAAGAGCAAGCGTGTAAGGCTGTATAAAAGTGGATACCCTACTAGCGCGGGACGTGGACGGTGGAGCTCATACCCCAGCCCCACCGTCAGCAAACTCCAAGCCGACCGGCCAATGGAACGCGGCGCAGGTTGCTGCTATTAATTGAACTTTCCAACAAAGCGACTTCCCCTGCAGCGACAAGCACTCGCTCGTCTCCCGAGAACGAGAGGCCGATGAAGGTGGTGAGGAAATGGGACGAGAGATGGACCCCTACCACTGCTGTTGATGGTCTAGCGTTGCTGCGCTAGCGCCGCCGCTGCGGCTGATGTTGGACCAGCCTGCGTTAGCACGGGGGGCACTGCCATCCCATCCACCTGCCGAAGTCTTCCTTCTATCGTCTAAGAAGGACGCGCCGTTTCCTGTGCTGAAGGGCATTCGTTCGCTGCTTGATTACTTCAGCACTTCTGCTCCGCCGAATCTCCGACTGTCTGACGGTTGTGTGGTGAGAATGGAAGGATTGGCCGATCATACGGACCAGCATCAGCAACAGTCTACCAACGGGAGACCAATGAGGTATTGAGTGGGCACGTAAGGTACCTCGATAGACCGTAGGCTTCTCCAGACGATCTGATTTTCCGTCTCGAGCATCTCGTACGTCCATCTTCGTCTGAAATTTGAGACGATGGGACAAAAACGGCGCAACTGTGACCACATCTGTGTCGTTGAACGCTCAATCTCTTCTCAGTCAGAATCCAATTTCTGTAAAACTGCCTCTTAAGAGCTAGTAGCTACCGCATCATCACCACTCCTCTGCTGCCTGCCGATCAGCCCCGCCGACAACCCGAACACCCCGGCCCGCGGCCATGTCATCACATTGATGTGGTGGATCCGACACCAACACCAACTTACACACTCGGCGACAACACCAACACACTGAGCGTCCACTACCAACAAGAAAACATTGTTCCCTCCCCACTAATCCGGGCGACTCGCTGGACATCGTCGTCGCTGCGGGCGTCTAAGTACCTTATGCCAGCGTTGTAAAATGCTTTTCTGTGGCATCTATCCCCGCGAATGAGCGAGCTTCAACAAGCTCGCCCAGAGATGCAGGGTTCCGACTCTGTTTCTGCTAAACCAAACCAACAAGAGTTCCCAAAGTTCCAATACCTATCCCCTGATGCTTTCTAGCTCCATTCCCCTGCAGGTTGCATACACAAGAAAAAGTTGGGAAGTCCTATTCAAAAGCATAATTGAGAAAAAAAAGAGGAATTACACAGACATGTTGACATCCAGCCTTCCGGCAGCAATAGTGATGGAGTGCCTGCAGGCCTATGACATAAAAATGCCTATTGTGACACTGTCAAACCGTTAGACCGTTGAACCCAAATTACCGTTGTTGGCTAAGCCTCTACAACGCTTCACAAGATGTCAAGGACGTCTTGGCGATCCCATCGGCTCTGACATCTCACCATGGTACACAGTGTAACTTCGCTTGTCACTCTTGGCTGTCTGGTTCACTTGGGAGAACACATGTCTCCCGTCTTGTGCTATTAATCTGCGTCATTGCAGGTGAATTATGTACGCGAACGTTCTACAGCTTGTAGTTTAACCAACCCAACGCTGGTCCCCAAAAAATCACATAACGAAGCGTCCCAACTCATACAATGACAACAACGCCCGTAGGACAGACAAACTGGCTGCATTATCGTTTGTGTTGTTATTGATGTTGTGTGATCTGCCGAAAGTAATACGCCTTTGTCAAGGAGGGCCATGCATTCTCCGCATGCTGGGCTTTGACAAGAAAGCCCGACCTGCGTTTGTTTGGCCATCCTCGCTATGCAAAAGTCATCGTCATTTCCTTCTCTTTGCCAAAATCATCGTCGTCATCGACATCTGCCCATGGGTTACTCGCAATACTGGGGGCCGTCTGCGCCGACTTCATCTCCGGTCGGGTTGGACCCAAATCATCTTTTGGTGGAGGTGAGGGAGTCCTCGCCGGCTGGTGAAAAGAGGTGTCGAACGTCATTTGGATGTCATCCTCGATGGGAGAGGCTGCAGCGTGGTAGGGCGACGGAGTCCGCTGAGGAAACGTCTGGCTCGAGGGGAATGTCGGTGTCCGCTCCGGTGTGTACCCGTACGAATTCGAGGTCTCGTAGGACGCTCGACCTGGCACTGCGAAGGCGCTCTTCGTCTCGCGCAGGCTGTCTCGTGGGTTTAATGATGAGCTTGACGAGTTCAGGTCGAGCTTCATTGGCGGGAGGGTAGACTTGAGCTCCTTTACTTGGAAGTCTGGTTCGTCTTCCGCCTTCTGATTTTCCTTGGCAACCTCGGCACGAATGGCCTCAACGTCGAAGAGCACACCGTGATTGTTGCCTTCTTTGTCTTCGGTCCTCGGGTTTGGCTTGCCATCCTTTGCTGCGTCCTCGTAAATCTCCCACTTCTCCTTATCGGACTTCTTGCCGCGTCCAAAGATGGAGAATCGGCTCTTCTTCTTCTGGCCCTCCCTTTCGAGCTCCTTGCGTGCCTCTTCAATCTCGTTGATAAGCTCGCGCTGGCGTTCTCCGTGGTTTTCGGGGTCTGGGTCCTCGATTTCGCTGAACTCGTCGCTCTCCACGAGCCAGCCGCATTCTCGAAGGAGGCGAGGCATAGCCTTTCTGTACTCCATGTGACCTTTGACAATCTCAGTGACGTCAAAGTTCTCGATCCAAGGAACCTCCTCGATCTTGGCCAAGCCGGCGACCTTTCTAGGGCCACCGCTGGTCAACCGGAAAAGGTAGGCAAGAATCCAATCGTTGGTGCTGTAGCCGTTGACGAATCTTCCGGGTACTACGGTCCGCGCTCGTAGCCACTCGTCCTTCTTGATGATAAGAGGCGATCCAAATAAGTAGACGTCCTGAACCAGGCCGTAAGCGCCCTTCCTGGCCAGCTCCAACAGGCAAGAGAAAATCACCCTTGCCCCAAGTGAATATCCAACAAGTGTAACTGGGCGAGTTCCCAAGTTTCTGTCGATTAAAGAGTCTGCCAGAATCAGACCAGCGGCCCACGCTCGGTCTTGCGAGACACTCCATGGGTTGTCGATCAGATAGGACAGCTTGGTCAAAACGACGGGCAAAGACAAGGCGGCCATCAAACTGGTCAGAATGGTGCTTGCTAGGACTTGCTGAAGACCTTGGGTGAGAGCCTAGGGTATGTCAGTATGGCACTGGACTGTGGTGCTGTGGAAGCTTCACGTACCTCAGTCGCTAGAATGTTGATGGTGTCACCCATACTCCTGAGCATCTCTGGTTCCCAGAAGACAGAGTAGAGATCACCCATGATAGGATCCACGGTACTGAACGGCAAACGGACGTCATCGACTTTGCCTGTCATCCATCCAGCCACCGTAACAACCAGGTGCACCCGCTTGTTGTTGTGCAGGGGCCGGTACTCAAATGTCTTGACGGCTCCCGTTCTTCGGTTGGCCGCTCGGCCACCAATAACGCTACCTGAAGCCGCCGCGCTGGAGGTGATGATAGCAGCTCCACCGACACCGCCGAGGAAGGTTCCCGTTCCGGTGACACCGATCGTGGTGAAACCGGCTGCCAAGCCGGCGCCGATGACGGGAGCAAGCAGACCAGCGGACAGTCCGATAACCAAGCCACCGCCGACGGTGGCCAATCCCATCATTACGTATCTCTTCCTGAGCGCCTGTTTCCTTCTGTGCTCCATATGCTCATCCTCGTTCCAGTTCTCTTTCTCGGCAGCCTGTTGCATTTCCAGCGCATCCGTTACCTTCTTTTCAAACTTCCTTACATCCAACCAATCAATCTGAAGGCTCTTTCCAACTCGCTCGAGTAAGATTCTGGAGCGACAGTCGTAAACGGAATCAGCGATCAACAGGAGGAACAAGTCGCATAGCACCGTCCAGCGCAAGTCAATGTCAATGTTCTCTGCCGTGGATAGCTGCGCTGGTGTCTTGACGGGCGGCAGTTCTTCGCCCTCGTGAGTTTCATACGGGGGCGGCGCTTCGGCTGCCTTTTCTTCTTCCGGCAGCGACGGGGAAGAGGGAGGCAGCGTTCTCGGCGACAGCGCTAGTGATGATGACCGCGGCGAAGATACTGACAATGAGGTGCGCGACTCCTCTGCCATTGGGTTCTTCACCCTTGCGTTTGCCATCAGCAGCGGCGTCAAGTCTGAGGGGACAACGCCGTGGGCGCTCAGCTGCTCGACCATGACCTGCTCTTGAGCGCTGATGTCCATGTGAGCATACAAACGGATCATCATCTTCTGTCCCCACATCTGGGTTGCTTCGGCAGACATTGCTACCTCCTTCTTCGCACCCCTGGTGTGTTCAACGCTCTCGGCCTCCTTGACCAGGTTGTGGATCTCCAGCCTGGTCAAACCGACGTATGCGATCCTCTGGCCCTCGGTCAAGAGATCCTTGGTTGCTTGCATCTGGGAAACGGCATCTCGCGCCTCGGTGTCGTCTTCGGTCATGCTTGTGCCCTTCACTTCTTTGAAAAGATACTGCGTGTTGTCATCCATACTCGTCGCGGATTCCGCGTCGTCGTCCATGATGACTCTTGTGTAACCCTTGCCTGCTCCTCCCAGTCCACCATAGCCGTATTTCTCATCATCCACTTCTTCGGTATATTCCTTAGCGACCAATCTGTTGTCGTCGTCATAAATGTCATAAGGTGCGTATGCGGGCATTTGTTGCCAATCATCGTCGTCGTCATCCTTCTTCTCCTCTGCGTTCGCTGTAAGCCCTTGGTGGGAGAACTCTGATATGACCACGTTGCTAGCGGTGCTTGCGTCTCTTGTGTGCGTATTCGCGGCAACTTTCTCTGTTGCCTTTGGCTCTGGCTGGTCTGCCTTATCGGTGAGCTTCACGGGGGAGTCGGGTCGGCCTTCTTCTGCCTTGTTGTCCCCCTTCGCTAGCTCCTTTGCGTCTCCGTTCTTCGCATCGCTGTCAATCTTTGTGGTACCATCTTTCGCTTGTTCCGTATCAGCGGCAAAAGCAGCTGGCTTCTCTGCTGCGGTGATTGATGTCTTGTCTGCATTTGAGGTTGCTGAAGCTGTAGATTTCTCTTCGGTGGGCTCGATGGGCTCGGTTGCGGCAGATGCCTTTTCTGACGGCTCCTCCTGCGGCTTGTTCTGTACGCCTTTCGTTGTTGCAATTCCATCTCTGTCATCATCTTCGTTCGTTTCCGTGACGCTCTTGTCTTTAACTTCCTCCTTATCCATGTTTGAAGTCACAGGGGTTGACGGGGTGTTCGAATTGTTGCCAGAGGCAGCGGCAGTGTCCGGCTGCTCGGATGTTGCGTCCTTGAAGTCATCATCGCTGTCTGATTCGGCCTCCTTGCTGTTCTCTTTCTTGGTGCCATTGACTTTCACGTCTGTAGGAGCGTCGTCGCGTTCGACCTCATTTTCGTTCTTCGAGGGTTCGGGATCAGGGTGTTTCGGTTCGGATTGAGCGTCGGTCATCTGATCGGTTTGTTCGGGCGGCGGCGATACATATCGTCTGATGGGCAGGCCGAAATCATCAAACTCGGGCTTTCCGGTCGTCATTGCTGCAGCTGGGGGTTGCTGTTGTGCGGTTGCATCTGATGCAGGAGTGCCATTTGGTTTCTGGGCGGTTGCTTCCACCTTGTCGGCAGCGGCAGCGGCGGCCGTGGTCGTTGCGATCGTCGGTGAGGGGTTATTAGTGGTGGCAGACTCGCCGGAGCCCGCCATGTTGAAAGGATGCACCGTCCAGTCCTTTAGACAACAAGCATGCGAGCTGCGTCGAGGGACCAGAAAGAGATATTAACCGGCCAAGGGGGGTGGCTCTTGTTTGTGTGCGAGTGGTTTTTTGTGTTTCGGGTGTTGAGAAACGAATGGGTCGGTTTGGGGGGCGTTTGGCTTGGGTCGGGCCAGGTTCCGCGGACTCGTGTAGGACGACGCGCAATGAGTCCAGTGGTGCGAAGCTGACTACTTGCTTCTTAGCGATTACGATTAATGGGCGCTGTGCTGGTCTTGGGGTACGCGTTGCCGGATATGTCGACGCGCACAATGCAAGTTGACGTGCCGGCTTATGGTTTTCCTTCCTGCCTCTGCTCTGGCGGTTCAGGAGACAGCCAAAAATCCACGTGTGAGTGGTTTTTTTGTTTAGATGACGGGAGTGAGTGGTTCTTCGAGGGGGCATAACCGGGCTTGAAAGGGACAGGATGATGAATGTTCAACTGACCCTGGACTGCTTGAAGAAGGAGAGATTCAAATTCCCCATGGCGATCCGCTACAGTGGCATTCCAGTGGGGCTGGCCGTCGCAACCCATCCACGTCCATCGAAATGGCCCCAAATGCGCTGCGAATTGGAGGCATTTGGAGGGGAAGGGGGAGGTGCCCGGGGTCTGAGGTAATCTCCAATCAATCGTCTGCGCCGCCCTGCACTCCTCTGTCATCGAGGACTGTGCCCGCTGCTGTCAGCCCGATCCGGCACACCGCCCAGCACACCAATACAGTCATCGTTTCAGTGGTCTAGAGCTCTGACCGCTGACCAGTCCTGCCGTCTTGGAGGGGTGTTTGTTTGGAGAATTACTGACGACACCGGCCGGATACTATCATGGGCAGCCCTGCTTTTCAGGAGTCTCCTATGGCTCAGTTCGGATCCTAGCGGATCGAGGATCCGACTTTTGGGTGTAGGAGAGTACAATCGTCAAACAAGTCGACCGTTGAGACATCCAACACACCTAGACACGCTCGACCAACTGAGAATCAGTTCATACAAGAAAGGGAGTCATCGAGGCACGTGGCTGCTAATAACTCGAATACCAAGCTTCGTAGCAGAAATTTCCCATTAATTGGTATCTCAGAACTTTTATTGTACCTGCATTCCAAGCAAATCCCCAAACGCCCTTGTGATGCACCCTGATTCTCTACGCGCTTCCATCCGCCTGCTCCGCTGACGCACTCGCTGGCACAGCTTCGCTGCTCTCGGTGGCGCCCTCCGCATTGCCTTTGTGTCTCCTCTTGCGCTTCTTCTTCGCGGTCGCGTCTCCCTCGCCGCCTTCACCCGTCGTCGAAGGCTTCGGCTTTTGTTCCCCGTCCGTGGCTTTCTTCGCCTTCTTCACGGCCAACGGGTTCGGCCCCTTCGGCCCCCTCTTCTTCGCCTTCTTCTTTTCCGTCTTTCCGTCGGCCGATGCCGCATCGCCCTTGTCCTCCTCCTCCTCCTTCTCCCCCTCGTCATCTTCGCGCTTCCTCTTCCTCTCGGGCCTGATCAGTCCGTCGCGGAACTTGCTCTTTTCCTCCTTGGCCCTAATCTCCTGACTGTCCGTCGCCATCGGCTCGAGGATCATGACCGAGCGCTTGATGTAGATCTGGGGCACGCCCGGGATCTCGCGGAGCATGCGGCGGACGTCGCTCGACTGGCTGGCGACGCAGTAACGGTGCTTGTTGACCAGCGTTCCCTTCGGGTCGACGACGGCCTTGAAGCAGTCCATCGTGCTCAGAGGTTCGGGGTAGTCCTCCGGAAGGTGGCCGCATCGTCGTCGCTCGAGCGTCTTCGCGAAGTCGATAATGTGGTTCATTCCGGGCTCGCTCTTACGGAGGTACAGCTTGCGGATCTCGCATTGTGTGATCACTGTAGTGCACCCGTCAGACTTGATACCGTTGAGAGATTAAGCGTATGTGACTTACTGGGCTTGACCTTGCCGTGCAGTGTGCGTTCGAGGCCGGCAAGCAGGTCGTACTTGGCCTTCTGGGTATCCGCCACGATCTCAGCATCGACGAGGCATTGGTACGGTTCGCGGAAACCCCAAGTCAGGGAGTACTGATTCATCAGCTTGCGATACTGCTTGCTACGTTTTCCGCGCATTTTGGCGTTGTGCGGCGAGGTGTTGACGTGCTCGACTGTGTGTAGTTGTTGTTGCGTTGCTGAGGGACGTCCAGGCAGTGAGTGTTGTTTGAGTTCCCAGTCGCGAAATTTTGAGAAAAAAAGTTGCGATAAGATAAGAGGTCGGACCCATGAACGCCGCCGACGTTTACCCCACACTTCCGCACCGTCGCCGCAGGGACTCGCCGACGGACGTCCACTTCGGCAAACATCGTAGATTCACTCTTTCGTGGGTTAAGACGGATGTTCTTGAACTCTGTGCTATTCGTTGATAACGATTATCCGATTTCACTAAACTCAGAAAGCCCGAAAAACGCCGATTTTCCCCAGAGTCGCCGCTGTCATCCAACCCCAGACAGGGCATATGCCAAATTATTGTAGACTTGCCCTTGCGAAGCATTTCCCATGCAGCTCTATTCCCAAAATGTTCATTTCGTAGTGCGTCCTTGCTCATGCATCATGTCGCCTGACGAGCGCAGCGACGACGCTAATGTCGTCCAATTTGCCTGAGTTGTTAGCCCAAAGTTCGATGCAAAGCTGTCCGAGAGATCACTCACCTCCCTCCGTGGGCAGGCCCTCCTCAATCGCGTGCTCCATGAATGGGCTTTCGGCAAAGGGGTCAGTCGCGATCTTCTTCGCCGCGGCCACTAGCTCCTCGGCAGCGAGCTTCATGCCTCCGTTCGCACCGCCCGTCCTGTCGCCTTCGACTCGGTCCCCTCCTCCTTCGCCATTTTCCCAGCGTTGTATACTGTTCTGGATGCTGCCGATGATCTCGTGCTCCCACAGATTGTCAATGACCCCGTCCGACATGGCCAAAACCACGTCTCCCTCCTGTATCTCCACCACATCCATGACAGCGTTCTTCTCTGGGGTGTCTGGGCTATTGGTTCCCAGCTGGCGGGGGCAGTCGAACCAGTGCCACTGTTCCTTGGTCTTGTAGACTACCTTCTCGTGTCGAGGCCGGAGGATCATGACCTGGCAGTCGCCCAGGTTCGTCACGTAGACTTGGGGCACTTGCTTGCTGCCGTCCAGAGTTTTGTAGTGCAGGAGTGCTCCGCTCGCTGTCGTGGTCCCTTGCCAGTCATTCGGGTCCGATGTCGCTTTCAGAGTCTGCTCGTAGGCCGTCTGGAGATACGCCACCGGGTTGGGGTTGAAACGATCCCCCTCGTTCGTAGCGTCCTGCTGAATCGCCGTTGCCCAGTAGTGAAGAATCAAGCGCGACCACAGCCTGAGCCAAGGTTAGTCTTCGTTTCGCCAGAGGAGGGCCATTTCCTACCCAGCATGTCCCCGAGGCCGCGTCGACCACGCGCCGACCCCATCGTTCGCACATATAAAGTTGTCGCTCGCAAAAACCGCATCGTCTCCGTTCGTCTGCCCGAGAATGATCTGGCCGTCAACTCTTGCGCGCCGATCGCGGCTCCGGTGGTGGGTGCTGAGAGGATCGGAGAAGGAACCGGAGGGAGGAGAGAGGAAGGGCGGGGGAAAAGGTCTCGGGGGTCGTTTCGCGAATAGTGATACTCCGGTCTCGAAGCGAAAGGGATGCGATCGCGGTTTCTGGTGGTCGGCATCGTCCGTCGTGGTCGACAGAGACCGGAGACCGGTCTTAACTGGGGTGGTAGGCGGCCATGGTGCGTTTCGAGGGCTTCGAAAAGCTCTCGGCGGCCGCGCTTTGAAGGGTGTAGTCGCCAACAAGGGCCCAGGTAACCTCCTCATTCCAACTATGAGGCAGATCAGGCGCCTTTTGCGATGTTGGATCGCAACTCTCCCGAATAGATGGGCCTGGAGCCGTTATCTTTGGCAGTGTCGAGGACGCCGCTGGGTGGTGGGCATGGCCGGGGGTGTTGTTCACCTGGGCTGCTTGCTGCTGCTTGCTGCTGCTGCTGCGTTCAGTTCCAGTTGGTTGGGGGCTCTCCGAACCGGGGGTTAAATTGGGTGTACACGTGCAGGCGCGTTTGGTTGGCGCATTGGCCGTACAGCACCGGCCTGCAGCGATGCAACTGGAGCTCCAGCGGTCCGGGTACGTACAAATTAGCTAATCAGGGATCTTTGGGCTTGCTGAACCCAACACCAAGGGCATTTTGGACTCTCCCATTGGCAGTTGCGAAAGAACAGCAGTGAAGCTTCTGCGCGAGGACCCCATCGAGAAGGAATTGCGCCGAGCTCTTCAGCCCAACAGTCCCTCTTGACGCCTCAAATCGAAAGCAACGTTGAGCCACGACTTTCTTGAAACAACGCCCAATTCCCTGGAAGTTCCTTGTCGTTTGCCAGACCGCACATTCAACAACACCTCCCTCGCCGGCATTGCCCTCCACGAAACAACAACGCGAAAGAAGGACGAGAAAATTCTGACTGAAAATTCTTCAATCGACGGGGACGTTCTGTGGCAACCTAATGCAGCCAACTGCAGAAGTCGCCGTCTCATTCCAAGAACGATATGCAGATCCGATGAATTATCATCATCATGCCTCGCCGTGTGGCTCCTCCCATCTCCATCCACATCTCGGTATTTCCGTTCAGGAGGGATTTCTCCATTGGAAAGGGAAAAGATCTTTCGCATCCGCGAAGGCCTTTGAAGCAAGGCAAGACTCGGAAGCCGTCATCACACACACATAACTTCCGCCTTACGGACGATCATCTACGGAGATCGACAAAGGCTGGGCCGGCTGAGAGGGCCGCCGCGGTCCTGCAGCTTCTGCGCCTTCCCAGAGCTAAAATAGACACCACGACTGCCGGCAACCGCACGCCAACCTGCGTCACGTTCCGCGGCAGTATCCAGTCACCAGCCAGACACAGCTGCCATGTCACCCAAGACCAGAGCCGCGATGACTAACGGCAGCTTACCTGCTCACAGACTGCTACCTTGGAGCTGTGTCTGGACCGTCAAAAGAAAGGATGATCACCGCAGGATACGACGAACTGAGGCTGGAAAGAAAATCAGGACTCGTTCGTCAACTTACGCCGATCTTTCTAACTATAAACCCTGGCAACTCGGACATCAAGGAACACTTCCCACAGACAACCTGCTTTCTGACGGACCGTCTGGCTTTGGACTCCTTCCGATCTTCGGTCGCTGTTCACTCTTCAATCAAGCGTCATGCTGGTGAATCATTGGCCTGAGTGGCCAGCCAGCGCAGATACCGCGGATCACGGAGCCATTGAGTTGTTTGCTCTTGGTCGATCTTAGACATTTCCACGTCGTGCGTGCCAGCACGTTGGTTCGTGCCTCCGTGCATGGGTCATGTCGACTTGACGCCAGCTCAGCAGGGATACGGAGCTCCGTTCACCGACATGACGTAACGGGGCTGACGCTCAGGGTCAAGCAACACCAGTTCAGCTCCAGAGTCGTACCAACCATTCTCACCGTTGTGGCAATGACAAGAGATTGGATTGTTTACTGCCGGCATTACTGTTTGCGGACGAGGAACGCGCGTCGAGAATGAAGAGCCACGAGTCGATAGCCAAACGTTCCGCCCGCACGCCGGGTCTTGTCTCATTGGCGTCAAGAGAAGCCACCATCGATTATGTGCCTTACCTCCGCTCTCGTGCTGTTCTTCGTGTCGGACGGCGCTACGAGAAACAATCGGCCAGCCGGTGGGGGCTCTCCCGACGGAAACATTGATATTCACGGACAACGAACATCCGCGCTGGCCGCGGAGTCTGAGGACCGAACACAGGCGCCAACAAGAGGCAGTTTTCCCCGGTCACGAGATATAAATGCATAACTTCACAGAAAGCCCTCTGTCTTCGCCGGCGGGTCAATCAGTGGTGATAGCGCCAGACTGCACCGCAAGATTTCGAGGGTTAAAACGCTCCAGCTCATCGAGGCACGACACGGCGCAAGGTGGAGGCTGGAAATATTGTATCCCGCCGTTGGTGCTGTGATTGGGCTGTCCGTACGGGCCCGGTTCCTTCGGAGAGCGGAGGCGGGCGGGAAGCGCCTTCGCGGAGCAGCCAGATTCCAGAAGACCCTGAAGTACGTATTCTGGACCGGTTGAATCGACAACAAGAACAGTCATCCACCGTTTCTCTTGAACACATGGCGAAGAGGCCATTCGAGGCCTGAAACAAACAGCCACAGCAGCCCAGCAACTCCTCCGGTTCCACGATTCTTACGTGCGGACCCAGCCAGCTCCAGCGCCGCCGCAGAGGTGTTGTGAAGACATGACTGTCACCGTTAGGAACATCCCTGCCTACTTTACATGGATATGGGGCCGGCCAAACGGGGGCAGGTGGTATTGACGCATGCAGGATACAGGCCCATCATGGACCCTTTTTACTGGAGCAAATGAATTTCTTTTATCCTGTCCGCGTTTTCGGATCAGTCCAGCCTGGATCTGCCGCGGCGGGTGGTTCTCAGCCCGGGAGCGGTGACGGCGAGGAACGGTACTAACTTGAAGTTCGCCAAAGCCGTCCGATGTCGATCTTGCGGTGTTTGATGTACGGGGCAGCAAACCACCGAAGCAGCTCCATCTTGAAGGGATTATCAACGACGGGATAGATAATCCGACCGGGCGGTTTCAAATCGGACACAATTCTCACGGCAGATCTCCTCAGAGCCGCCCTGGGCTGCAATAACCCGAGAGGCGGTGTTTGAGTGTTCGACAACGGCAGATTTTCTTTCCAACGAGTGGATGCGACTTTGCGGAGAAGACACAGCATGACCAGGGCATCGGCGCCAACGGCCCCTCACCTTTCCTTGGGACCCCTCCTTTGGCTGCCCCAGCCTCAAGAATGCAAACCCGCTTGGGAGACCCTGCCAAAGTCTGGCGCCAACGCCTCGATGAGGCAGGCGGGCATCGGAGTCGTGAAGTCACAAATCATGCCACCATGTTCGCGTGGAATACGTGTACATGGGTTCGCTGTTAACCATCGCAGAATGGCGTATCACGACGACGGAGCACTGGCATGGCGTCCTTAGTCTGCAGGGCCGGGGCCGTCTGATGAACTCGACGGGAGGTTTTTAGGAAAAGCCCAGGAGCCAAGTCGGCATTGAAATTCCTTCATGGGCCCAGATGCAGATTACTGCCACGTCTTTACTGGACGGGTGGGCATTTCGACGAGATGATTGATGACGGGTACGTACACGTTGTGCATAAGACGGAACGTACGGGATAGAATACTTGATATGCTGAACTTGAGCCACAGAGCTGGCGCGGGTGAAGGCCGTGGCTGACTGACTACGAGGTTGCAGGTAAGAGGGTGTCGAGGTGTCTTGGAACGGGACAAACCAACCAGTCACGCACAGCGGTCGTAATCGGTCGAGTTGGTGACCGCTGCCTGTGACCAAGCGTGCGTCGACGACGGGATGTTGTATGCTAGCTGCATCACATCGGACGGGTAAGCTTGGGACCGCGTGTTGGTTCGTCAAACGCCAGATAGCCTGGAAGGCATTGCGACGCTGAGGCATGTTTGGTTCGTCCTCTCTAACCCGGACGGGTTGAGCGGTTCAAAGGAGTTTGAAACAGGAAATGCGATCGACCAGAAGGAGAACCGCGGGTAACCTCCATCAAGAAAATGTTTCTCCCTTTGAAGACGCTGATGTTTTACATGGAAGCAGCTTGCAGAACTGGCGACGGGATCGTCAGAAACGAGTCAACGCCGTCCCGTTTGTGGTATTCAATTTGATTGCCGATTGTTCGAGAACGGGAGGTCCTCTCTCCCTTGCAGCCACCTGGTTGCCATGTTTGAGGCTCAACAACTCATTAAACGAGGCGGGCCGTGAGGGAATGGATGACGGGCTCATCATGAGAGGCCTCATTAGTCGCCAAGGGATAAAAAGCAGCTGCGACAACAATATTCGTACCGAGACCGAGACAACTTCTGAACTTCACAAAGAAGCAAATGCCCGAGAAACCCGATCGTAAATCACCGCATCCGATACGGGACTTACGAGACGGCATGGTAGGTCGTCAACGATCCTTTGCACAGCCACCGGGAGGACGACTGGCCAAGTGCGGATAATAGCAGTAGTCCGAGACCCCCTCCGATTGTTACCGCAGTAGGTCTCCAACTCCCGAGCATTCATTCATCATCAACCCCGCGACGGATTCCTACGGCGGGATGCACGGAGCTTGGCTTTTTTTCCCCCTCTCCTTCTCTGCTAAACGATGAGTAGTGCGGTCAATAGACGTGTCTTGGCGACCTCGATAAATGTCATCGTTTGAGGGAAGTCAAAAAATGAAGAGGCGCTGGCTGCGGCGGTGACGGCGGCAAGGGGGAGAAAACGAGGCGGGAACAGAAGAAAACGATGGAACAAGACGAAGACGTGAAGAAGACGCTGACTTGCTGGAACTTCACAGGTCCCCTTTTTGGCCCCCTAACCCACCGTCGATCCCCAGCCTCCAGCCTCCTTGGACAAGGCCTGGAACAGGTCGTCAGGTGTACCTTAATCCGTCCCAAGTTCCGTCACAGGCCATGGGGGGTTGGCCCAGGGGCACCCGACCCGGCTGGCGCTGAGGTGTGGCAGGAGGCGCATCCCACGAGGACACATGGCTTGCCCATTGAGTTTTCCAGTAGTACGGGTATATGGTCAAGAGAGGAACATACGATGAAAGGTAAGGGACTGCGGCGGTAACAAAGTCAGAAGACGTGCGACGTGGAATGCTCCGCACAGGTCGCAAACCGGTAACAGTAAGAACGCGCTGTACTGTTCGAGCTGGACAGTAGGATATCAGATATCTGTAATCTGTCCGGCCGTATCCGTATTACTGCCCGTCACGACATCACAGAGACGCCGGTATCTGCGCTGTCAGATTGCTAGCCTGGTGCTAGTCCGACCTTATTCACCTCATTCCGGAGACTGGATACCGCGAGAAGCGTGCGAGACAGCCACACCCGACCTCGCGTTTTTTTACCATTGGGCTTGTCAAGCTGCAGTCCTCCGGTCGGTCGGCGGCGTCAGTCAGCGATCGCCTCATCCACCCGATCTGGTCCTGGGTTCTCGGGGAGGGGCCAGCGGTTGCGCGTCCGCCCCTGTCATACTTGGGTCAGAGGGGCTGCGCAGCTCTGGCGGATCTAGAGAAAGCTCAACTGCAACTGCGGACCAGTCCTTTCTGTGTAAGGTATTCGTCCGGATACCGCCTGAGAGTGATTGTCTGCCAGTCGTTGTCGCAACTCGGCGTTTCTAGTAGACCTTACTCAGCCATCGTGTCAACATCCTAGGCCCTTGAGGTAGATCTTCTGCAGGAAAAAGACGGGGAAGTTGGAACGGTAGAAACAGAGGGAACAGCGGCAGCAAGCATCTCAGTCAGTCTTGAGGTGAGAGGATGGATAAACGCATCCAGAAGCAAAAGCCCGCAGTGTCCGAGTAGTCTCTTGGCGGCCAAGGGCTTGGGGTCCTCCCCAACGCAGCAGCATCCAAAGGCGGGAAAGCAAGGTCGCAGGAACCTTGACGTGCTGCATGCTGCGTCGTCCGGCCGTTCCGCAAGGTGTCTCCCGCAAGCCATTTTGGCGGCTCGACATGGACGCATCTTCGGGGCGGGCTTTGGTGTTTTCCCCGCCTCTTTCTCTGCTCAATTGAGGATTTGAATGCCGCATGATTGAAATGTCTCCATCCCCTTGCAGCCGGGATTTACAAAATTAATTAAGAGGAAAAGTACGGTGTGCGTGTTTTGGTGAAGTCTCGTAGTTTTCCCGTGAGGACTGTGAGGAGATACCTATCTGCACGTAGTTGTTGGACCGATTCACGTCAGCGACTTAATAACTTGCAGAGAGGAGTCTAACCCAGCCCGACGAGAGAAGCAAAACCCGATAACACGGCGGGGAAAACCAGGTGGTTGAGACAGAGACACTATCGACACAATCGACAGGAAACCTAAGCCACCTACATCCGGCTTGAATTAGTCCGGCGCTTGTCGGGGAAGACTAGCAATCCGCCAACACCGAGGTAGCAGAAATCATCAACATCATCATCGCGGGTGCCCAGCTTTTTTCAATCTCTAAGAGAGCCGAACCCGTGTCGAGGTCTTGAAGGCTCCGCATAACGCCATTACGTCGTCGGGTCTAGTTCCGGGGACGCTTGTTCTGCGCTGGCCGGGGTGCCTCTACATACCTTACACACCAGCAGAGTCCAGACAGGAACAATACACACCTTACACGCCCCGGACACCGTCTGTGCCGTACTACATTTCGTCCGATCAAGCCTGATCAAGCATTTCGATTGGGTCTTGGGACCACGGATACCTGCCAACCGCTGCCTCTTTTCACACTGCTGCGACCTTGCTGCCGTAACTTGAAGTGCGGTAAGGTACCTTACGTGTAAAGCAGCAGGAAGCAGGCCTAAGGCTGTGAAGCACGGCAGGGCAGGCGTCACTGGACGTGGACGTGGACGGTGTGTGGTGTGTGTGGTGTGCTCCTCAAGTCAAGGTCAAGGTCAAGGAAGGCGGTGTTGCTCTTTCTCTCTTCTGGTGCTAAGGCAAAAGCGAGGTAATTCTTGTTGCATAATACTCCTCCATACGCCTCGTCTTTTTGACACGTCCTCTCTCGTACGGGATTCACATACATCATCTTTGGAGCCGTCTTCTTCTACCGCGTACTTCCTCTGCCTCTTACTCCTCTCTTCTTCTCCTTTTCCCCTGCTCCTTGCTCTGGACCCTATTCCACACCAGATCCGCCTGTCCGTCTATCGGTACCCAGTCGCTATCGTCTCGTTACCTCACCACGTACGCCGCGATATCCGCTATTTGCGTAGCTAGGTTGGCTCCTTAATTACTCGATACCCCCGTGCCCCCGAACTGCGACGCATAATCGACGACTACCACTACGACGACGCACGAAGAAGACGACAGCCCGCTTCCCGTGTCCGAAGCCTAATATCGCTCTCGTTTCGTCCGAGACGGCCTCCATTCGTTTTCGTTCACGACATTAAAACCAAAACCTTGTACGCGCCGACCCTGCTCGCTCGCTGCTCGTGCTTGCTCCGTCGCCTTATTTCCCATTACCTCACGTCACGCACGCCGAGTCGGAACAAACACCCACCGCCCAGCCCGAGGCCAGCGCCGACGTCGACGACAGTACCTTACCCTTGGAGTAGTAAAGTGCTACACGTACAGATATCACACGACAATTTAACTTGTAGGTCCACGACGCAAACCCACGGTTACGGTCACGGTCCGCGATCCACGGCACCCCCCAGGCGTCGTCTCGCCCTACCGTCTCCAAAGACCGCCGAACCCGGTCGTCGCATATTGGATTCCCCATATCTCATTCCTCGACTTGGGTTGTCGACAGCACACTCGGTCTGAGTCTCGAGTCTCTCGTCTCGCCGCGTTCTCCAATCCAAGACAGGTTGCTGTCTCTCAGTAATTTAATTGCATGGTCGCTGGCTTGGCAAAAAGACAGATACCGGCAGTAAACCAGAAAACCACCGCAAAGATGGGTCGTAATCGAGGTTCGTGCTCCCACATTCCCGATCCAAAAGTCTTTCCCTTGTCTTGCATCACCATCATGGCCATCACCATCGCATCGCCGCCTGGCACGCCTGGCACGCCTGGGCATGTCTTCCGCGCTTCCGCATGTCTCGCACCTCACGCAACCCGCGCGCCGGGCTTGTCGTAAGAGGCTGCTCCCGCCTGCTACTGCGTCTCTGGCCTCTGGCGCACATGTCTGGGCGCGCGCATTACCCTTCGTCCTAATATCCCGTCCCGTCAGCCATTGCTGCGTGTGTTGCGCGCATACACACATCTAATATCTAATAACACCCGACCCTGGCCCCCTCCTCGAGTCTGTGGTCAGCTCGGCTCAGCTCAGCTCGTCCTGGATCACAGACATCCTCGTCGCAATCACTATCGCCATCCTACCCTATCCCGTCCCGTCCTACCCATCTCTCCATCGCGCATCCCTACCCGTGGACTTTGTGTACCCGTTCCCCGTCACCACACTCGTTAGCCCCCATCGCCATAGCGCCTACCAATCCGCCCAGCAAAGCGCCCCTCTCCCCCCTTCCCTTCCATCTGACCCCCCCTAGCACACAAGTCCGCTCCCTCGCAGACCCCCTCACATCGGATCCCCGTCTGGCGGTCCTGGCCAATTAGTTGGGCGTCAGGCGATAATATTACTTTTTTGCCAGCGGTCTTGCTGGTGTTGTTGTTCGTTAGGCGTATTCGTACATTATGCTGACCAAGTCTGCTTCCGTGGGCACAGTCCTGTCTTTTATGTCCCAATTTTCCGTTTCGGGCACACCAAGGGACGCCGGCAAGAATCAACCAACTCCAAACTCGTCTCCTCCCCACGACTCGACTACGCCTTTTCCTCCGTACAAGTCGACCACCACAACAACAAACTCACCCTCCCACTCACACTCACATTCACACTCATATTCGCAATCAAAAACAGAACCTTTCCCCGACCCTCCCTCCAGCTTCACACAGCGCCCCGCGACGCCTACTTCGCCCACGCGTCCACCTCCCGAATATGCGTCATCACCCGCCCGTACTTCTTTAAACGACTCGCCTTTAAATAGCCCCAGAGGCCGTCAACGCAGCTCCTCCCGCCCACTTTCGATGGTAATGCCATACCTGCCGCCCCTCATGGACATCAACGAAGACACCATTCCCGAGCTGCAGCCCATCTTCACCTTCTTGAACAGTCATGCGAACAAGCTGTATCAGGAAGGCTATTTCTTGAAGTTGGACGATCAAAACACTCGTACGTATTATTATTTTTTTGTTTACTGTTTTTATTTTTTTGCGCTCGGCCGCACCTGCAGCGGCAGGCACGCGCGTCACTTCGGACGATTTTCTGACAGGAGATTACAGAGGGCAAGCCCAATGCAGACCGCACGTGGACCGAGTGCTTTGCGCAGCTCGTCGGTACCGTTCTGTCGCTATGGGACGCAGCAGAGTTGGACGCCGCCGGTGAGGACGGCGAAGTCCTACCCAAGTTCATCAATTTGACGGACGCTTCTATCAAGATGGTGAGTCGCTCCCGCCAGTGACGATTGTCGGATTTTTGGGGGTCGCATCTAGACCCCGGCAGAGTGGTTGCGCAAGAAGCGATGGCGGGGGACCGAGTGCTAATTCAATCGTCCCTTGGCGAACAGATCGAATCCCTACCAACACGATCGAATGACGAACAGCCGCTGCAGAACATCCTCAGCATCTCGACTGCCGGCAGAAACCGCTACCTTCTGCACTTCAACTCCCACCACTCACTAATCCAATGGACCGCCGGCATCAGACTCGCCATCTTCGAGCACTCGACTCTCCAGGAGGCCTACACTGGCGCTTTGATCGCCGGCAAGGGCAAGTCGCTCAACAACATCAACCTGATCATGGACAGGTCCAAGTTTAAGACGGAGGAGTGGGTGCGTGTACGATTCGGCGCCGGAGTGCCCTGGCGCAGGTGTTGGTGTGTCATTTCTCCGCCCGACGAGAAGGAGTACCAGAAGGCACAGAAGGAGATGCGCAAGAAGTCGCCCTACGATCGCTCCACCCCTGTCCTCAAGGGAAGCATCAAGTTTTACGACACCAAGAAGGATGGCAAGAAGCAGAAGAAGGCCCGCCCAATTGCCACCATTACCGACGCCTACTCATCGTACGCCATCTACCCTCAGGCCAAGGCCCTGATCGATGCATCCACCTTGCTCAAGATTGAGGGCAACATCACCATTCACTCTGAGCCGCCCTCCTCGACCGAGGGTTTCGTGTTTATCATGCCCGAAACCCATCCCGCAGTGAGCGGTTTCGAAATGCTGCTGCGTTTCCTCTTCCCGACCTGGGACACCTTCGCCCTCTACGGTCGCCCCGGCAGACTCGTCGCCAGTGTCCTCGACCCGCGATCCCTCATGTTTGCCATGCCGAAGCACCGCCGATACGGCTACCTCGAAATTCTGGACGTTTCTGGACTGATTCTGACAGAGGGAAGCTCGTCCTGGACAGAGCGTGAATGGAGGAAGCGGCTCAAGGAGCTCACCGGTAAGCGGATGAATGCCGTTGATGAAGGGGCAAGCACCCGTCAAAGAAGTGGCAGCAAGAAGAGCGCCCGCCTCAGCTTTGGCAATGGTTCTTCCAGCCCCGTTCCAGCTAAGCCAAGAGTGGGCTTTGCTGATGATGGGGTCTCAAACCGCTCATCTCGCTCCATGTCTTTGGGTGCACCCAACCGTTCAGAAACCGCGCCTGTCGCCACATCACGGCCGCCTCCTGTGCTTGCTAGCTTGAACAAGGCAAACCACGCTCGCAACTCTTCAGATCCCCACCTGTTGGGACATGCGCCTCCTCCTCGAATGGATGACAGAGGATATGACAGCCAAGGCTCCTACAACAATTCTTACAACAACTCGCCAGCGCGCGGCCCAACTCCAGTCAAGGGCATCTTGCGTTCTGGTACTCAGAGCTCTGATGATGACACTGCTCGCAGCACCCCTGTTCGGGACCTCGAGAACACAGCTCGAAACATGGAGTCGCCTGAGCCCGTTGCTGCGCCGCCTGCCTTCAACCACGGACCTCAGTCCAAGCCTGCTGGCAAGCCTTACCACTCACCTGACCTTCGCAGGGCTACCAGTCGCTTGTCCAACACTACCCTATCACAGCTGGCCAAGGCTGGAGGATTTGCTGTTCCTCCCGATAACAGATCAGACAGTTCTTCTGAGAGAAGAAGTGGGGAGGATGGTGCTGGACCCAACCCATTGGTACAATCTCACGCCGCCAATACTGAGGGAGGCTCTGCTGACAACAACTTTGCTGGTGAAGCTCTAACCCATAATACTCCCTCTCCTTCGGACTCGCTCCCGCCCCCCATCCCACCCATGAACCAGAAGCGTTCCCGATCTCCCCTTGCCCAGAACTCGTTCGGTCCTCCCAGCCCTCACCCTCGCGGTCCGCTGCCCCCTGACCCTCAACCCCGTGGTCCCCCAGATGCGAGAGCCCCTCAAGACGGACGTCCTCCCCACCAGATGAGAAGCCCCGTCGAAGACCAACAGCCTCAGTTTCCCCCTCACGATGCGAGGCCTCCCCAGGGTATGAGAGGTCCTCAGCAGATGAGGAGCATGGAGCAGATGAGGAGCCCAGTCGAGGGCCAGGCGCCGGGTTTTCCTCCTCAGGGACGACCTCAGCCCAACTTTTCTCGGCCCGAAGGAACCGGAACCCCGCCCATCGGCGGTCCTGGCCGCATCCCGACTCCTGAGATGAGGAACCGAGGCATGAACCAGATGGGGCCTCCGCCACCTCAGCATCGAGACCATCGCACCGGTCGTGGCTTTCCCCTTCCCGAGCTGAACACCGCGAACGCAATCCAGCGTAAGCCGCTCCCGACTCGTTCCGACAGCTTGAAGAGCCCCCAGGAAACCCCAATCTCGGCTTCCAGCGGTGGCAGCTGGGGCAACAACATCATCGACCAGGCGGCTTTCTCGCAAATCCAGTTCCGCGAAAGTCCTCGTCGAACTCCCGTGCCTGAGCAACAGCTCCGCAGGATGCCCACGCAGCAGAGCGATGGCAGCTACTACGACGATGCTGCATCGACCGCCAGCCCCGACTACGCCAGCCGCAAATCGAGTGAGACCCAGCATTCTCAAAAGTCATACGATCGGCCTCGTGCGGGTGTTTTGAAGACGGTGGGCGGCGCAGACTCTCCGGTTTCTGGCAGGGAGGACTTTGCCATTCCTGACGTCAACTTTGGCCCTACCGTCAATTACGGTGCCAACCAGCCCGCCCGAAACAAGACCCCCACCCCTCTGAACCCACAGGGCATTCCGAATCCCCAAAGGCCGTTCTCGCCAGCTCTCAAGTCTCCTCCTTACGACGGAGGACACAACCGACAAGAATCTGAAGACACGGTCCGCAAGGTTGCCTGGCAACCGGGTGCTGCCGCTGTCGGCAATGGTCAGGGCATGACTGCTGAGCAATTTGTCCAGCAGCGCGCTGCTCAAGCTACGACTCCCATGTATGGTCACGGCCGGACTCCTTCGGGCAACATCCTAACCATGCGTTCAATGACGCCTACCCCTTCGATGACTCGGAACACGTCTGCGGAGATGCTGGCCGCTCGTCATTCGCGTAGCAGCTCGGCAGACCTCCTACAGCGGCCCGGCTCTCGCGGTGCCAATGCGGTGCTCGAAATGTCGAACCAGGCTGAGCTTCCATCTCACCTCTCGGCCCGCGAGCAGGAGCACGTGGCTCGCATGACCGGTTCCCCGCTCATCAGCATGGCCGGTAACAGAAATGCAAACCAGGGACAGGGAGCTGGATTGGTCGGAGCCATCCAGGCGCGTGAGCGTGAGAGAATGCAGGCAAAGCAGGGCATGAACACGCAAGCGGTGCAGCAGGCCATCAACCAGAGGCAGCAGCAGCAGGCGATGGCTTATCAGCAGCAAGTCCAGAGACAGCAGCAGCAGCAGCAGCAACAACAGCTGCAGCAACAGCAGCAGCAAGCGGCGTATCAACAGCAGATGTTTGCTCAGCAGCAGCAAGTCATGTCTCCAATGTCACCGATGTCTCCACAGGGCATGTACGCTCAGAGCAACATGTCTCGCGGCCAGATGTCACAAATGGGCCCCCCTCGAGGACAGCCTAACGGCTACGGCGCTTCCGTTCAGAACTTTGGTTACGGACAGGGCGGCGGCTACGCACAAGGAAACGGCTATGGGCAAGCTGCCTACGGTCAGGGAGGTGGCTACGTCAACCCGATGGCGATGCGGCAGGGTCGTCAATCACCCGGTCCTCAGATGATGGACCCTCGATTCATGCCTCAGGGAGCGTACTCGCCAGGACATCAGCAAGGTGCGAGACCTTACCAACAACAACAATATCAGGGACAGGCGTTTTGAGCAGGTCCATGGAGAGAAAGGAAAGATTATGGAAGAGCGTGTTGAAGCACGAAGGCATAATACCAACAGTCGGGGCATGATGGCCTCGACGACAAAAAAAGTGTATACCATAGCGGGAAAGTCCCACGGAAGGCGTTTAGGATGAAATAGGGCGACAGGGAAGTCGGCCGAAGCATTGGTTTCTAGAAAGACTGGATAAGCATCCGGGTTTTCTTTTGTCGCATGAGTAGAGTCAGAGTACAATAGCATGGCTGGTAGTGGCATAACGACTAGTAGACGGCCGAACACATATGATGAGAATGCATTGACAAACTTGATTGTCTTGCCCGGGATGCTGCCTGATTGTATTTGCTGTATTGTTTGTGATGTGAAGTGGCTGGAATCAGAGGTCTAGCTTGGACGGACACATTGCTGCCTCCGTCAATCATCCCTGGATAGGCAGAAGCGTGTTGTTGCGATGCTATTCACAGGAGTCTACGTCAAGAAGGGCAGCATCCCTCCGATGATGGGACGGTCTAGCGGGATCAGCCTGGAGAAAGCTGCCGCCGCCAACTTTATTAAGGTAAGGCAGGGGCAGTGGGAACCGTGAGGGGCCCCCATCTCGCGTCCGTGAACTCGCGTCCAGGTCCCTGGTTTTCAGGAGAGACCCGACGGGACCCTTTCTTTTCGCCACTGAGTGGCTGGCAGGCCTTGGCGACATGCTGGAGACCTGAACAACTGGCCCAGTGTTGCTGCCTCCCTGTGGCATTTTGGTTCAGCGCGGTTTGCTGTCGAGATTGCCTAACACTGGACCAGCGATCTTCGGTGCCCGGACGGACGAAAGTCCCACCAAAGCGCCGACGGGACTGTCCCGTCTTCCACTGGATGAGACGACAGCTGGGAGGCAGTGGTTCCAGGTGGTGGACGCTGCAGGTGCCCTCCCCGCCGGCTCCGGGCTGCCTCGTGGGCGATTGGCACCACTGGACGACCCGCACGGTCTCAGGCGGCTGTCAGCCAGTGCCTCGTCGCAAGCGCGAAGAAGCAGAGACATTGACCCTCGAGGCCGAGTCCACGCCATCGCGTCCCGTCACAAGACTATTTTTTTTCTGGCTGTCCTGCTCTACCAACACGCATCACGTCGACCGCGGAGGAATCGCGTCAATCGATCGATGGCCCGTGTTTTCTCCTCTTCTTCTCTCAAGTAATCCACATCACCTGCCCGCGCCCTTTTCCTCCTCGTGTTCTGTTGTTTGTGCTGGCATGACGCTTCCCGTGTCCTTGTTTGGTGATTCTTGATTTATAAAGAGGCGACGTTGCTGGGTGACGGGGGAAAACCACTGCAGCTGCAACCCCTCCACCCACCTTACCTCACCACCACCTTCTGCGCGACAGAGAGCTGCTCACTGCGCCTGCTTCCGTAAACGGTGCCATTGTCGAAAATCTGGCGAACGACGGCAACGACAAGCTCAACCCCAGAAACAAGGCGACCCGACGACAGTTAGAAACGACGTGCACGTTTTTCCCGCTGAAGCCTGTCAAGGAAAAAGCAAACATCCCCAGGTCTCTCGCATCCATCGACGCTTGCGACCGTCACCACTTTTTTTTCTTCTTTAGTCCACCACAGTACCTAATAAATGCATCACCAGCTACTCTTGCCCATCCGCGATTCTTTCTTGCACCGGACTCGTAACTCGAACCTCTCACCCAGCAAGGCCGTCTGTCACCGGCTCGCGATCGCGACGGCAGCCTAGACGACCCTCGCCCATTTCTTTTCCTTCGACGTCAAGCCGGTCCCAATGGAGGGTGATGGGTCGCAACCCACCCAAGGTACGCATCCCCGCCATCCCGTTGTTGATGATGCTCCTTTGTCCCATGCCGGCGGCCTCAAGCTGACTTTTGTCTCCGTCCAGCTACCCAGAATGTCCTCGATCCCCGGCGCATAGGCAAGCAGAACTCGGGCTTCTCAGATGAGGACATCTCCGACATCATCTGCGTGCTCTACCCACACTCTGACTTCGCCCGCCGCGAAGTAAACCGAATCGCCCGGGAACACCTGCCACATGTCGTCGGTAGGGAAGAGGCAGACGCAGTGGAGCCGGACTACGAGGAAGAGGATAGGGCCGACCAGTTCCAGCTCACGCCTCCGAATAGCGACTATGCGGTTATCCTGAGGTTGTCGGCTCAGACGAAGGACCCCCTCCAGGGTTTCCAGTTCGGCCGCAATGTCGCCCGATGCGACATCTGCTTCGCGAGTGACCCTATGAAGCGCCTCAGCAACGTTCATTTTCGCATATACGTCAACGACTACGGCGTCGTAATGCTCGAAGACTCCTCGACCAACGGAACGTTCGTCGACGGCACCCTGCTGCGCTCGAAGCAGAAATCTCCCAACGAAAGATGCGATATCAAGCGAGTCCTCAGTCACGGTTCGCGGATCAAGGTCCTTATGCACGACGAATCCCGCGACCTGGAGTTTTTGGTCAGGATACCCAAGAGAACGGGCGAGTACGACCGCGCATACATCGGGAAGCTGGAGGAATACTGGGCCAAGTTGGAGGCCTTGCGTGCCAGGCACAACGAGACCATCACCCCGGGCCCAGGCGGTCACGTCGACTTGTTCAACAACGCGCCTAGGAGACCACCGAACCCGCCGCCGCGTAGGATCGCGTTGCCCTCGGGTACCACACAAGACAACAATGATCGGTTTCCGAGGGAATGGGACGGGTCCGGGAAGTACAACCGCGTCGGCCAAATTGGGAAGGGAGCATTTGCAGTGGTGTACAAGGTGACGTCTAAGTTCGACGGCAACCCGTACGCCGCCAAAGAGCTCGAGAAGCGGCGGTTCATCAAGAACGGCGTTTTGGATCAAAAGGTGGAAAACGAGATGAGAATCATGCAGAGGGTGCAACATGTAAGCTGTCGCCTTTTCCCGTCCTCCTTCCTCCAAGCCTGCTAACCTACGAAAGCCCAATATTGTACGCTACATTGAGCACTTTGACTGGGATAACCGCCTGCTCATTATCATCATGGAATTCGTCAGCGGCGGTGACTTGGGAAAGCTCATCACTAACAGGGGGCCTCTGCAAGAGCAATCCGTCCAGCAAATGGCATCACAGCTGCTGAGTGCTCTGGCTCACTTGCACGAGAACAACATCACCCACCGAGACGTCAAGCCGGACAACATTCTTATTCACTCCCTCACGCCATTCGATGTCAAGTTGACCGACTTCGGCCTGTCGAAGATGGTTGATAACGAGCAGACCTTCCTCCGGACTTTCTGCGGCACACTGCTCTACTGCGCACCAGAGGTGTATTCAGAGTACGCCGAATACGACGACCAAGGCCGCCGGAATCCAAGGAATAGAGTTAAGCGCGCTGCGGTTGGTCAGCGATACGACCATGCTATCGATGTTTGGTCGCTCGGCGGTGTTCTTTTCTACGCTCTCACGGGCAGCCCCCCGTACCCTGTCAGAAACAATGTCAGCTACTCGGAACTGCTGCACAACATCATGACTACACCGCTGAACACGCGTCCATTGGCGTTGGCAAACGTTTCCCAATGCGGCATCGACTTTCTCCGGCTCATGCTGGAGAAGAGGCCAGAATCGCGTGCAACAGTTAAGGACTTGCAAGCACACGCCTGGCTTGCGCATTTCAGAACTGCCTCGCAGTCAAGTTTCGAGCAATCATTCGATGAGATTATAGATGAGGAGGAGGAACTGCAGATTAATGCATCGCAGCTCAGCTTACAAGACGGTCAGTCACGAACGCTTGCTGACACAGAGCCGCCGTTTGAAGACGTTGTCGACGACGATCTCATCGACGACTTCATAGAGGAAGAGTCGGAAAAGGAGAACGGCACCTTCGGGCCCCCGGGCCACGCGGGTCAGAGACTATTTGGAGAGGTCAATGTCTCTGCTGTCGGGAGCTCCGGCGTTATACCGGAAGACAGGCTCAACCTCGGCGAGTCGAGCGTGCTGGGCACCGATAGCCTCGAGACGGAGATACGCGACAGCTACGACTCGGAAGATGCGTCGACTATTGTTGGACAGAAGCATCTGGGCAGCGGGGCACGACTCTCGGTCTCTGCTCTTAATGGCCAGTCGGCGGACCAGCTCCATAGCCTGGTTATGAACGTCGCTTCGCAGAGCCTGGGCGCGACAGAGGCCGATTTCCAGATGAAGTCTGCTGCCACTTCGCAGGCCAATGAGACTTTCTATACCGCGAGCAAACGAAAGCCATCCTCTGTCGACACGAGTGATGAGTTCGAGCCGATACCGAGGGACAAGCCAGCCTTCAAGCGCCTCAAGTCGGAAGGCAACCTCGACGCGTTGGCGGAACGAGAAATGGATCGAAACATGGAGGAGTACAAGCTTCTTGCTTCGGTGCCGCAAATCAGGAGACTCGAATCAGGGCGTCAAATCGATCGGCCTGTCAACAAAAACTGCTTCTGGGGAAGTGACTTGACAACATGGCACCTTCGATACCCAGAGATGACACAGCTGCAATACGACATGTTCCAACAAGCAGCGCGCTCAAGAAACGAAAGTTTTGCGGCTGGAAAGTCTCCCTTATGGGAGCTGGCGTTCAAACATTTCCCACCCAGCAATGGTCTGCCTGCAATGCACGTCAACGAGCCGTCGACTATCAACGACACAAAGACGATGTTCAAGCGGGACGACAGCAGACCTCTTGAAGGGACCGAGATGGATATACCAGCGACGGCACCTCAGCCCGAGGAAGAAGACTCCCTGCCTGATACCTTGCCGCCAGAAACCCAGCAGATCATCGTTCCTGTTCTTCAAGATGAGAGTACGAAACGGGCAGTGGCTGTACTGGAGTCATCTCCCGAGTCGGTGGTTTCTGGAATCTCTGTACCGGTGACTGGACTGGTCATGTCTTGGGGCAGAGGTCCAGAGAACACGATAGTGTACAACCCAAAGACAGAGGTCAAGGTGCCGAAGTACGCAGCCAAGCTCATGTTATGGAAGGAAGGCTTTGATTCCAGCAAGTACCGCAAGACACTGCCGTGGGAAAAGGACGACAATGGCGACGGTTTTGCCTTTTACCTCTCGACAAAGGCTACTAACGGCGTTATGCTCAACAAACACCAGCTGCCCTCCCACGACTGCAAGAACCCGCTTAGTGCGTCGAAGAACTGGATCCCCATCTACGATGGTGATGAGATTGTGGTATGGGGAACGCCCACGGATGATACGAGCCAGACCAAGGTCACCTTCCGCTGCTTCTGGGGCGACTCGGCAAAGCCCCGTCCCAATAGTGTTCCGCTTCAACGTGTTCCTTCGACTATAGCCCGCAAAATTGACGAGGCTTGCGCGAAGGCGGAGAAGAACGCCAAAACAGCCAAGCAGCGACTCGCCAAGATGAACGAGGCCAATGAGGAGTACGAGGAAAGAAAACAAAACATCGAAAAAGAGCGCGAACGCAGCCGCATCTTTGAGGAAAAGCGTCTTGAGGCGCTGAGATACGTGGCGATCCGCACTACTTCGAGGCGTGGGTCGCCGGCTAGCGCGCCTGCAACTACAGCGTTGAGAGGGCAAACGCCTGCTTTGGGGGTTCCGTCACCGTTGCAAGACTCCCAGAGCCCGCCGAAATAGAAACCCGGTGCCAGGAGAGCGTCCACTTAAACCCCGTTCTAAGCGGTGAAGGTTTTGAATTGGAGACTTTTGGGCGCCAATGTCAGCAGAGTATGGCGCATGAGGTGCTTGACTTTGCGAAAAGCGATATATCAAAGTACAAGTATAGGATACCGTCAGAAAGCGTGTTTTGGGGAACTGCCACAGGCTGAGCGTTTTAGAGTAAGAGTAGGGGCTTATTGGAAAAGGTAGTTAACTGAAAACGCAAAAGGTCTGTTTAAGGACAGGCAGAGTAGAGTAGATGACTACGAAAATCACGAATACAAGATATCATTACCATTGCTGACTCCTGACTTGCTTGTGACGGGGTTAGTGCGTCTTGTCTTGGTTTGTCAGTTCTCGGATGGGATTCAGCAGGATCATGGCCTTGACGACCGAAACGGTACTATTTGAAGGATTTTTCTCTTCGTTTTTCTGATGAAATAATGGACTCCCAATGAATCGGCTGGATATCCGACGGCAGGAGATAAATCATGGGGTCGTAAGGCGAGGGGTATTCGAATAGCTGATCAACTAGATGCAGAGGGGTTGTGTAGCTTGCCTATCGTTCTTCTGTCTCTCTTCGTCCTCGTTGGCTTATTCGTGGAAAAGACACCTACGGTATGTAGCTGTAACTTTGTCGGAGAACGCGATGACGGTGTTGGGTGTTTGGTTTGTTACATGCCTAGGTATTGAAGACTGGTTTGTGGAGGTGGAGGAGGGATTGGTGATGTTGGTAACTGAGAACCCCCCATTTCCCGTGCTCTTCTCCTGATCTCTGCACAAGCTTCTCTATGGTGTTTACATACTCCCCAATCTCATGTGAGGCGGTGAAGTTGGCATAAGATGAACGGCGTGTGAATTCGGCAAGACTGAGACTGTGAGGCGATGGGGGCTGCGCGGATCTTGCTGGTTGTCTGGAAGGGGTGCGATGTGTGTGGAAGGGGGAGGTATAAGAAGGGCATCTTGTGGCGTTGTGTTTGGTAGTCAACAAACACAGCATTTGGCCTTTTGGGAGCTTGTTGTAACCCGGGCGAGAGTGGACCGGGGCAGTGACGGAACTCGTTGTGGATGTGAGGTGACGGGGACATGACGTGCGTGCTCTCTCACTGGACGAGGTGATTTGGGTTCGTGTTCTTCGTGCATCTCCTCATGTATTTGGTCTGCATAAAGCAAGAAGAGTGGGAGACGACGACGATGGATGTTCGTGTGTGCTGCTGTAGTGTGATAGTGTGCTCGACGAGGTTGTTCTCGGATGAGAAATATGATATATCATTGCATGTCCACAAATACTGATGCAGTTCATCAATTTCCATCGGTTTGTTTCTTTTAAGAGAGCCATAAGCAAGCCACCGTATACATTTATAGAATCACGTTGAGATCGACGATGTGGAAGATGGTGAGATTACAGCACAGCACGCTCCAAGTAGTTGCGTCTGGACTGCTGGAAGGTATAAAAGGGGGGAGACATCGAGTACGATTTGTCTTTTCTGCACAAGATGAGACCGTAGTAACGCATATTGTCTTCATCAACAGCCAAGACCTTATCTGAACTACTGAGTAGTCTGGGTCGTCAGTCTGAGGCAGTGTCCTGGAAGGATGAGTAGTCTTTTTGGGTGGATACAATGTGTGAATAGGATGGGGAATACGCTATGAGAGATAGAAGTGATGATTGATGAGTAGGGGAAGCTGCTTACTGATGAAACTTGACGGTGACGGTTGTTTCATTGCTTAGTGGTGGTCGTGGTAACTTACAATCTCGCAAGCATTGTACACTCAGCATCTCACCAACGTTATCGCCTTGTGGTTTCAAGATCGAGTTCGGAATACAAGTGACGGCGTATTTATATGTAACGTCGAATCAAGCAGGCACCGAAGCGTGTCCGAAGATGGACTACACGGCATGATCTTCGCTGCCGTTGATATTTGGTTTGAAGAACATGTGCTGTAGTCTCATAGGCTTGATCGTCGATTTCGACGTACTTTTAACGGATACGATTTGTCAATGAATGAGTCTTATGGTGTGGACGAGACGTCTCGTGACGCTGAAAGTTGGCAGTATCTCTCACACGTTGGGTTCTCTCGTTCTCGTTGGGCGGGCTTCTATTATGTCCGGCTGGGACGAGTTGAGATGCCGTTCTCTCGCTGTTGGTGGCCTCTTCTTGCTCACTATTCGGTATGAATATGCTCAGGACGATGGTGTATGGGTTGGTATGTCTACGTCAACGTATTGACAGTGTGTGGAGTATGTAATGTATGCTGCGCACATGAGTTCTTCTCGGGGCTGTGGGGAGAAGAATTTAGTCCAACCATTCTGGTGTCTCCGGTTCTCTCCAACAACTTAGTTACGACAATATTTATAGAACTTTTAGAGAATATCGACAGCATGTGCACTTTTAAGTACTGGCTCAATTACGTATTCCGTCAAGAGTTCGCACCCCCGTGTGATGAACGTATGCAAATCTAGAGTCCAACCTGAGTTCAGAAGAATCACTGAACGGTCCCGAGCTGGGTATAAAATTGGCAGTTCCATCTGTCAAGGTTTCTTCCGCATCATCGGTGTCGTTCCCACACGACGACAATGTTGTCGACCTCCCAACTCTAACTCCCTGATTTTGGGTTCAGCAGTGCAGCCAAGGTTGGACTGAAACTCCTGTTCTGCTCGTTCGATTTGCATCCGTGTTCATTAGTGGGTGATACCCAAGGGACCAGGAAGGGCGATGAGCGGCGAGGGTAGCGGGTATGTAGTCTTATCCCTCGAGTGAGACGCTGAACAGTTGGAGACCTTCTACATTTGTATGGGAGTTCAAAGCGCATCACTCTGGAGCATATCGTTTGGTGCAAAGATGTTGTTTCGCGAGGATCTGTGGAATTTATACCAATGTTGATTGTCTATTGTCACGCGGTTACATATCGTGTTAGGAGTTAAAACGAACACAGTATCATCATTGTACACAAAGACAAGCTTGAGTCGCTTGCTGTTACTTGCAGAATCGTAACGTTGTAAGGCTGTCTTGTCTTGTACACCCATCTGCTGCCTAAGACTTTCAACTCTTACGGAAATCGGTCAGTATACCGAGAGGAATTCAAGAACCATCGCTGGGCGATGAGTCAAATATGTGGTATGATCGAAGTGTTGCTGAAGTATCCTGTTACACAACGAGTAACGAACACCATCTCGCCGGGTCCCCTAAACCTCTGACGAAAGCCAACGGACAAAGACATACGGGCTCCTTCACTACCAAGCGCCAACGATAATCTCGCCTTCCCTCCATTTGTGCCTCACTCCAGTCGCATCTGTACTCAGTAAGTAACTTGCGGAAATCATGTACATATAAATATGACTATAGCCATATTCTCTCTTACGTTCTAAACACTGGAGAAACTCGTGCTTGCGTCGTTATTTGTTCTTTGAGAAAAACTCAGGGCACAGAGTGAACACCCTCCCTCATCTGATCCCACAGGTTGTTCATGGAGCTATTTCGTGTGTGGCTATAGATTAATCCAGACCTCCGTTCTGTAGTAAGCAGAGGGCAAAGACAGAAATGATAGATGACTGAAATAGTCAAGATCGCTCTCACAGAATCACGGTTGCATCTGCCAACTGTGAAGACGACCCTGGACGCAGACGATATAGATACCGTTACGTGTTCCTGGAACAAAATTGCAACCAGAAACCCAATGCCACTTGCTAGGGGTTCTGGTTGCATACATGCAAACCATTTATATTCTAAACAGCCGGTTAACACTGTGGCAGTAGCCTAGTCCTGACCTTCAAAAAGAAGAGCTCGCTAGGAAACTGCTCCAGAGACTCGGATTCTGTGGGCTACTTGATTCAAAGAGATGGCTTCTTCTGATAAACCTTTGAGAGGATCGGCTGAGACCTCAGAGAGAAGGCTTCATGCACACCAATTGCAGCATATTTATCATCGTCGTCATTAAAACCACCGTCATTATTGTCAGAAGCACCAGCTAGACACAGAATGTTGGTAGCTGACCAAAGCTTCTGGAGTAATTCTAGCAGCCGTAGCCGGTCGTACGAGTGTGAACGCGTCCTACACGAGTTCCAACCTTCATTTGCGAATTGATGGAAGCATGAAGGTCTTCTCCTCATCTCTCGACATGTCTTGCGTATTCCTGTAGAATGATGACGGAAAACCAGAAGAGACGCGAAACAGAGAAGAGGAGATGTTCAACATCCTGCAGATCCTATCAGGATAGTTGCGGCTTCCATGACCCACGCGTGTCTTGAATGATGAAACCAGACGAGGACTGGTATTGGGACTGCGTCTCACTAAGATTGTTTCCGCCCGACCGAATTTGAGAAAGCTTTGCGATCTGTGGAGGGACCGAAGTTTTCATAGCCTTTTTCCCCAGCTTACATTTCACCCCATGCACCACCAGATCTTGCTCTACGGTACTCCCGACCTCAAGAGGTAGGAAAAGCAAGTACGAACGACTAGGCAAGATGAGTATGTACCCAACGAGCATCAACATCGCATGAATAACTGAAGCAAGTCTAGAGTGTGGGCTGATAGCTCTCATGTTGCAGTATTCGTACGGGCTATAAATGTCCAAACCGGCGCTCTCGTTGATGATATCACCAAAAGCGTCAGATACAACCCCAGCCCGTTCTGTGTAAGTATCTTGAGGTTACGATAGGATGTTTGACCCTTGGCTCGTCACAAAAGGGAGTGATGAAGGCTTAGGGCAATTACCCCACGGCATCTGAATGAACACAACGGCCGGGAACGACGCCGTTCCAGTCCCGTTCGTCATCTTCCTGAGATTTTACAGTTAGAATACACGACGCAGAGACGATCATTACGCGCCAGGCGGAGAGGAAGATACATGTATCGACGGGCATAACTCGTGAGAGGGGGATACAAGTTCCGATGACTTCGAAAGATCATAATACTCACATACTTTCCTGCAGCATTTCAAATTAACTTGTCGTACGGGGCTACGCATATATGTACATTCCGCCAATACTTCAGTTTACGCAGCTTCACCTCACGCTTCTGAATGACTTTGGCTCGAATAGTATATAATCCTACAAGCTTGCGGCTTTTTTCCAGGTTTCCAAGAGGGAAAAAGGACTAACCCTTAACCCCATGCAGGAGATATCCCTCGAAAGTGAGAGATTCATGGACTCCTGTGTCATTATGCCGCCGGCATTTTCCACCAGCTCAGGAACATTTTGTGCCGAACGTTCTTCGTTTGTTGTCCGTCGTCGTTGTCGTCGTCACTCGTCTGGTTATTCAAGGTATTCGAAATGAACCATTTCTTGCAGGAGATGAAACCTAGCCCTGCTAGCATGGGCACCCGTCGCTGAGCCTAATCTTCGCACAAAGTATGCCAAGCTGTGCTGTTTTGCGTGTCAACTCGCACAGGATCTTCTGAGAACGACTCTGCTGTACTTTTGCGGGAAACCCAACCCATAATATAGTGAGAAGAACCAAAAGCTTCGCATCACTGACGCATTTTCAATTCCATCGCCGTTGCCGTTCGGGTTGAAATATCGTCCAAAAGCATGGGCTCGGTTGGGAGTATACGGTATCGTAGCCAGGTGACTAGCGACGTACATCATTCATCGTCACAACCGCAACTTGATTGAAGCTCTCTCATATCATTATGTTGGTATTAGTGTTATGTAAAAGGCCTGCCTGAAGCCGAAGGAGATCTACTCAGTCCCTCTAAACTCAATCCGTAATATTATATCCGTGGTATGAACCAATCCCATTCCATAAGACACGCTGCCATCCTGGGCTCGCTATGCCATGCCGTTGCAAATCCATCAGCATCCAAACTCCGACCTCATTCTGTCCTACGTTTTCGTGTATGTCGTCCCATCATTCGACAATCCTCAAAGGGGTATATGACCAGTCCTCCAGTTCCCTTCAAAGTACTTCAGTCGTGAGAAGGGTATCCAAAATCCAAAAATTCGAACGCTGAAAGAAAGCTCACGCCGTCCCCGGGGTATCACCTCAAAGCTACCAATAGGCCTTCTCATGCTCCTGTTATAATAGGCGAAAGGTTCCGACCTCTTGCGCGCCCCTTCTGCGTCTTCTCGGCGTGAGGAGAGTTTCGCGGAAGCACTCGAGCCCCCGGCTCAACGTTCCAGACCCCCTCTCTCGTCATGGCGACTTCCTCTCCAACGCCGAGGACGAGAACCTCGGTACTCTTCCCGCTGCCGTTCTCCCGCTCAAACCTGTTGCTGCGGTCGCCGCTGTCCGAGGAAGGGCTGACGACGCTTGCGATCTCCTTCCGGGCATACTTTCTCGTCCTCAACATCCTCGTCACAAGACCCCTGACGTCTTTGTCGCCGTCGTGCGTGCTGACCCAGGCCTTCGCTCCCAAGGCCGTCGCGGTCTCCTGGCCGGCCGGCATTCCCGCTGATATGTTGCCACCAAGCCACCATGGGTTCGAAACGGTGTCGAAGCAGTGCAGAAGCGCGGTCAGCGGTAGCGCTGCCTCGGCTACGAGGTGCGAGCTTGCGTATTGGTGCAGACAGCGGTATGAGATGCCGTGGGGGGAGAAGATCACGGAGACGGCGCGGTCTCGGGCGTCAGTTGGCGGCGGGGTGGAGGCGGCAGACTGGACGGATCGGAGAGACTGCGTACTGGGTGTCTCTGGGGGAGTCGGCAAGTTGATATATGCAGGTGCTGCTTTGGATCGGGAAGACGGAGATGGCGTGCTTCGACGTTGGGAAGCTGGTGATACCGGGGGTGTGATTAGATGCGTGAATCTTGGCCATGTCGGAGGCGGTCGATATGTAATGCCAATGGCGGCGTGTAGACCTTTGAAGTCCCTTCGCTGGGGGATGAATGCGACAGTCACTTCACCGGGCTCTCCGCCAGGTATGAATGGAGGTACTTTGACTCGGATTACGGTCTGCTTCCCCGTTGTTTGAGGGTCCTCCCATCGCGGTATCGTATGGACCTTGTTCTTATCGAAATACTTCCAACTCCGGATGACCTTGGCTGCCGCGGGCTCAGCCAGAATCAACGTCCTTGATCCGCTCGCTGGCAACTGACGGAGTGTAGCCTCGTTGCAGTGGTCGCTCTTGTGCTGGCTGATAATGACGAGGTCCGGCTCGGGGAGATGCTGTAATGAGCAGACACATGGTGACTCCTTGTGCGTCGTGGTCGACAATATAGAATGAAAGATAGTCGAAGGTCCGGTGATCCACGGGTCCATAAGAATCCTGAATGGCCTGGGAGAGATGCCCGGTATCGACTCCGGAACGATCGGTTCGAAAGTCAACAGGAACGAAGCATCCGCATTAAGTTGTTTTACGGTCAACGCCATGATGTTGTTTGTCCTTTCCCAAAACTGAATAAGACAACGACTGCAAATATGATTCTGTGTAAGGCTGCAGAGCAACCGCTTGCTCGTGAAAACAGCCCCGAGACATAGGAAGAGGCCGGAGGGTTATTAGATATGTCCCATGACGACGGCAGTAAACGTGGGCGAGGAGCGCGTCGGGACGCAACTATGGGGATGTTTTGCCGTGAATGATCGGACGTGGGGAAGCGATGCAGGGAAACGCGAGGCGAGTGTAGGAAACTTTTCCTTGGCCGCCTGGAAACGTTAACCCTGTAACGCCAATGTGCGGTCGTAGACCGCGAACTGACGACGAGGTCAGAGCATTTTTGTTGGTCTTCACCAGATCAACAGCCCAGAGGCAAGTCAACGCGAGGTGCTCAGACTTCCGAGGGCGCGCCGATGTTAGAGTATGACGACGGATCTGTGAGAACCACCGGCAAGAATATTGCAGAAGGAGGGTGCCAAGTTCGGTACTGGTCGGAGGCTGAAACCTTGGTGGCTGAGCCCCAACTGCGCAGCAGCGCGGTCACTTCAGTCTGGAAACATGGAGTGAGTCCCTTGCATATTCTGAAGAGACAATCTGATCACTCCGGGCCAGTCAGGCGGAGCCGCATTGAAGCCCCTTTTATTTTGCCTTCTCCCACTGGACCAACAGTGCTGTAAATTGTAGGCTATCGAAGCAATCGACTGTCTGTCTCCGTGATCTTGGCGGCGAAGGTCCATATCGGATGTCTGTGCGGACGGCCTCCAGGGGTGCTGATCAACGAGGACTTGTGACAAGTTTGTTTGGGATCCTGCGAATGGGTGGTCTTGATTGGAGAAGGGGCCAGTTGGGAACCGTTGGGACTGACTGGGTTGATAAAATCCGAGGTCGCCTTCCAATCGACTCGAATTGCCCAAGATCAAGATGGCAGCTGGTCTTGAATCACGCAAAGTCGAGGCTGACGATGAAGTTTTGGGCTTGGTGCTGGTTGTGCACCTCATGCAAGATTGACAGCCGGCTGCAGCGGCTCTAGATGGTTCCGGACTTCCCCTGAAGATGGAAGGGATGACCCATTGTAGCATGTGCTGAGCGGACCATCTGAACTGAGGACAGAATGACTGTCTCTGACAGCAGAACAGACATTTAGGAGAAGCTTGTAGGCGCTTCTCTCCCGCCGCAAGTCTGGCGATACTAAGTGTAGTGGTTAATCCGAAAGCAGGCAGGTAATCCGCGTTCATGCGTTGAGTCAACGTCACTAGGATTCAGGACTGATAATGGTGTACCATCTCTCGTCAAAATGATGATAGATTCTGCTTCCGTGCTAGACCCCGAGAGTCATCCGCATTCCTATGCAGTCGAGGATATCCTGTGCACCGAAAGAAGGGTGCATCGTGGTTGAATCGAAAAAGGGGCTCAGGAGGCTTCGTATGCTTGCTCGATGTGCGATACAGACTATTATCCCGCTGTAACTCCGGGCCATACGCAGCTCAGTGTTGACGACTGCAACGACCAAGTTGCTCTGACGTCGAAGCAAGTGTGGCCATCCCTGGAGCTTGGCTGAGTCTCCGCGTACGCAGTACGGTAAGCAATCAGGAGGCTCTGACAACATTGACCATCGCAGTCGGAGTTACCGACAAGACAAAATCTGGGTTGACCGCCATGTCTCAGAAGACAGGGAGCCAGGAGCGAGATCAGGAGGCGGTTGGACGGTTGTTGTTGCATCCTAGGCCAGGCACTAGTGGGATTATTTAGAAAACGAAGCATGCATGTGATAGAGCTCGTTGTACGTCTAGGCTTGCCGCTGGATGTATTTTCTGCCATTGAAGCAGCAAAGGCACATACCTGCTACTGGTTGCTCAGTGGGCCGCCGCCGAGTGTGCCGGTGTCAAGAGAGTTGGTTCAGCTTTTTCCGGGGCTAAGAGAATAGCGTAGAAGATTGAATCGAAATGCGAGTAATTGGTTTGGTTAACCCTAGCCAGGAAGGGGGCCGTCTCTCCTTGGTAAGACGAACTCTTCGATTCATCGTTCTGAGGACTCTTCAAGTCCGAAATATTACACAAAGCTCTCTGTGACCGAGGCAAGCCCCGGCAGCTCATGACGAAGCAGAGAATAAGGTCGAAAGACGAGAAGAGCGGAGGCAGGTGCCGGTAGAGCTCTCGAAGTATCGAATTACATCTGGAGGTATCTTTTCAGGTGAGCTAAGGTACGGCTCGGTGTGGTAAAGCGCTAGAACTTTTGAGGGAGCTTTATCGTCGAAGCTGCCCTGGAATCTGGTTGGTGGTTCTCTTATCAGCACTAGAGCTCGCGTCCTGTGAGCTTATCCCCCACACCCTTCTTCTCCAGCGGGCAGCTGGAACTCCAGCAGTTTCCAGCAGGCGGTGACCAAGCCGTATTGCGATACACCGCCGAACATAGCGCCGGCAGCTTACCGCAGTAAGGCCAACGGCAGTAAGGAAGCTTGAAGGCCGCCTTCTTCATTTCTTTCTTCAAGGTTTGATTCAACACTTGATACTGGTCTTTTTTAGGCCACTTCGGTAAGTCTCATACCGACGGCGAAGGCGGGGCGTTCCAACGTCGACAATGGGGATTTGTTTTTGCCAGCTGCCAGCTGTGACAGGGGAGGCGTTCGTGTAGCGTCCCGTGGGTCGTCACGAGATGGAGCCCCCGATTTGGTCCGAAGGTGAGGGACTGAGGGTGAACCGGGTGAAGGGTCTCGACCTGGTGCTGTTGCGATGTCTCGAGGGCGCTGCATAATGTCGGTGTCTATGCATTAATCCATTGCATCCCCACAGACGAGTCGAGATTTCAGGCCCAACCCGGTCAGGAACCAATCAGAGTCTCTCTCTTGTTGCTGGAAGAAAAGATAAAAACAAAGGACGGACGATATTGAAAAGCTCGGCTGGCCGTGTGATGTCACTTGGGTGCTTCGAGGCGCACGAGGTTCCCGCTTTTTCTGCGAGTGTTGTCTGCTGTTGTGCCATTCAGCCAGGGGTCCAGGGATGCTACTCAGTGTACTGCTGGTGGCAAAAAAAAACAAAAAAAAAAAGACATGGCGTGCAATTGGTTGGAAAAGCTCTTCAGTGTATGCTTTTGCTCTGCTTTGTCGTGCATCGTTCGGCGACTTTGACCGGCATGAGCGGTTCAGGAGTGAGCCGAGGAGAGGTCTGTTGAGTTCAACTTAATGAGAACGAGATGGTGCCGACAGTTGGAGCTGCTGGATAAGGCTGTGGCTCGGACTTGGGATACCTTACTCTCATGGTAAGGTATCGAGGTTTTCTTTCAGGGCTGCCGTCTCGGCGAAAAGCCGTGGTTTCGGTTTGTCAAAGGTAACTTGGCTCTATTTCCAACGAGGCTTGGTTGACGAGAAAGGACAAAGTGGAGCGGAGCAAAGTGCAGGTTTTGATCTGGTACCTGTCCACGATCTGGAATTGAGCGGTTTTGAATTTGCAGCAGTTCAAATTCTTCTTTCTCGGTGGCCGCGTACTTTAGGTGAGTTGGGGTAGGATACAAACTGCCGAATGGTGATAGGCCGAGGTGAAGTTCAATGGCGAGGAACTGGAGGGTCCTGGCGACGAAAGTGGGGACCTTCCCTGGACGATTCGGTACGTACCTCCCCTACCTCCACCCTGCTCATCACCTCGGGGCGTGAAGCATGAGGAAGGTACGAAGTGTCTGTAGCACAGGTGAGGAAGGAGGAAGGGAATGTGAGGCATGACACCTCAGTGTAAGGTATCGCGTACGGAGCACTCGTCAGGCACCGAACGCAGCCTGATTGGAAAACCTGGGTAAGAATGGATATTCTGCAGCAGCAGTTGGGAAGGCAGGGTAGCTGAGAAAAAGAAGGCAGGTTGACGTGCTGAAGAGCCCTGACATGCTGCACATCCCAGGCAGTGACAGAGTGAGAAAAAAAAAACGAAGAGCAAAAAGAAGAGACAGAAACCCTTGAAGACAGCCCATTAGACCACTCAATCCAAGCAAACGACGCCCTCGTCTCCACCCCGTCAAGCCCGCCTTCCTCCCCGCTGTGGAACAGACGATTCGGCGCCAACGTCGGGGACCCATTCTCCCACCTCGATTCTCCACCGCAGCTTGCCTCAGAGGCGCTGCAGACGCTGCAGCCAAAAAGCAGCCCAGCAGAGACACCACGCTCACAACAAGCAGGGTGCATCAGGCAAGCACAAGGCACTGGAAGGTAGCTCCCAGCTTCACCTCTGCTTGGACAGGTACCTTATGGAGTACCAACCTACCTTACCCTGGAGAGCTGCCGTGGCCCTGCATGGTCACTTTTTGTGTGCGAGAGTCTGGGATCAAGGAGCTGGAGCTACCTAGGTTTGTATCCTTGGTAGGCGAGGGTGAGGTGAGCTGCCTGATGCCGACCCGACGCTGCCAACCTCGTCCTCGTCCTTCGTCTCGTCGTCAACTCCCACTATGGCAAGGGGAAATCCGATCATGCAGTTCCTTGCCGGAGGACGTTCATCGCTTTTACACCGGAGATTTGGTCTGGACCGCCTCAATTTGGCTGTGGCAATGCTGTCACCGCGCGGTAAAATTAGCTTGACAAGCAAACCTCTCGACGCGGCTACCCGAGTCGTCGTCTTCAGCAGTGCAGCAAAGCAGCACCACGCAGAAAGCTTCGCCCCGAGCAAGCTACCCGACTTGCTATCCGCATCTTAGACTACGGATACCTAGCAAGCCTCTACCTCTACCGTACCCGTCGGCTGGGATGTCAACGTGACGAACAGCGGGGATGCAGTCGCAGGCCCAGGTTGAGCACCGAGCAGGGCTTGTAATAGTAAGTCGTCGCTTGTCACAATCAGCAAGGGTCCAGTTCCGCAGAATGCGATCAATAACTGCTGCTGCAAGGGCTGGGAGCACATGGTGCGGAAGAAGCAACGGAATTGATGAAGCCTCGAGTTGAAGCAATGTACCTCACTATGTACACTATTCATATCACGAATATTTGTATTGGCGATGCCTGGACGCAATGGAAGAGACGGGATGAATAATGCAGGTAAAGAGCTCTCATTCTGATGCGGCAAGGACCTCTTTCCTCTCGACCACTCGCAAGCTCCGAAAATAAGAGCAAGAGGAAGGAAGGCAAAAAAAAAAAAAAGAACAGTCCACTTTTCCTGGCGACACCCCTCCCCTTTTCCCCTCCTTCCTTCCCCTCTCCCCTTCCCGCCCTCTTGCTTCCCCCTGTCGTCTTCGTCCTCCTTCCGATCCTCCACTGAAGGGCACTCCTCACTTTCAAAGTCCTCCACCATCCACGGGTCTTTGACTTGAATCCTGTTTTTACAACCACACCCTCCGGTTTCTTATCCACGTCAATCCTCTCTCTTTCTTGCTTCCCTTAACCCTTGGTTCAACCAACCCAACCCATCAGACGCACTCCGTCCTCGATCGAGTCATTCACGTCGTCAATCGCCTTGAACCAATGATTCGACTTGGAACCTCCTCGGCGGGTCGACTTGCCGACCTCTCTTTCACATTTCACTTGCTTCCCGTCCCCAGTTCAGCAAATGCTCTGGGTTGTATCCGTACCGCAGTACCGGCGTCCCAGCGCTGACCCCCCAAGCTTGCGGATTGCTGTGCTGCTATTGGAAGAAGATGCCGCCCTGTGCCCCCAAGTACATAGTAAGCACCAAGCAACCAAGCTCTTCGTCCTGCGTGGAAGCATCTAACCATCAGTGGAAGCACTTTCATACTGCTGTACAATGCTATCCAATGCCACTAGCAAAAACAAAGTGTTCCCGTGGTCCGTCACTGGTTACCGCTTTTCTCGGCCAAGTCAGGTACCTTACCTCGCCGTGTCATATCTCTTCAAACAAAGAAGAGAGGCGTCGCGACTGACTCGATGGAAACACAAGTTGCAACTCGTTTCTCGGGCAATCAGTCTCGTCTCTCACCTGGTTTCCGGGAGGAACCATCCCAAGCCGCTACTCGGCGCCTGGCCGAGCATCGTGTTGTGCTGTGCTGTGCTGTGTCGGGAGAGAATAGGACGGGAGGATTGGTGTTGGCCGACTGACGATGCCGATGGACAATCGTAATCAGTGGTCAAGCTTCCCTCACTCAAAGTAACCGTCTTCTTGGCCCGCCACTTACACCACTGCGTCACCGTTGCTTTCACCGGAGCAGCCGTCCTGCCGGTCGTCAGTGACATTGGCTACGTCCACAACAGGCCAACTCAAAACCATATCCGTACTCCCAGCTCGCCTGACTGACCTTGACCTCAGACGTCTAACCTTGCGACGAATACTAAGTCTTACCTCACCAGCTTGTCAGCTGTTCAGTCGTTCCCACAACCAACCACGTCCTTGCTTCGACTTGTTCCCGGCACCCTTCGCCCCGTCTCCTTATTCGTGGTTCATATCGTCCTTTTTTCCATCTCCCGCCCCGTGTCTCTGAGTTCAGCCAGCTTTAAGAACCGCAGCCGCAAGCAAGCTGCAAAAGCACAGGCACGGCCATAGGCACGGCAGCTTGGTGGACAGACAGGTACAGACGGACGCAACACGGGATTTAAACATTTCACACCTCAGCTCCCGCACAATCAAGGTCGAATAACTGTACATCCCATCTGCGCATGTCGGCTGTTGCTACCTACTGTACGCGCTCTCTTGATCGACTCGTTGCCCTGCTGTTTTAAGGTCCAAGGCAACCGGCTGGCAAGGGCTTGCTGGATCCAAGCTCCCTCCTTGCTCTCACACCTTGTCCCCCAACCTGGTGCTGTTCAGCAAATAACACACCCATACCTATCATACCTCTTCCAGCTGGGTATCCATCCGTACTGCTGGGCTTGTCCATCCGTACGGAGACGGCGCGGAGCAGAGCAAAGGTAATAAGGCAGCTGGCCCTAGGTAGGCTTGGGTACTCCCGTCTACAGCACCTCAGGTAAGGTACACGGCGTGCGCATGCCCTCGCTGGATACCCACCAGACCGAGCCACACCCCTAGTCCATCCCCCATTACCGCTACTTACTGCTTTCGGTCAACTTCCCTTCTGCCCCCCAAAAGCAGGTTCCTCTCTTCCTCTTCCTCCCCGTCCTTTTCCCTCCCCTCCATTACACCTTACTCTTCGAAACACTCTTTGTAACACACCAGAGAGAGACGAGAGCTTCCAAAGCTCCAACTCTTGTTGACAGAACATCACAGCTTTCCTCGATCCGCCAAATGCGAAAGCTTCACCAGATCCAGTCCCAATCAATTGGCCTAGCTTCGCGATATACTACGCACGCACTTGTCGCACCTCACCCCGCTCAGTATCGATACCAGCCCTCGCGCGCATGGTGGGGTCAAGATGCCGCCCAGATCTTCTTTAACGTCTTCCTTCTCAATCACCGACTCAAACAATGAAGTCGTGTGTCCTCTCAGGAACCAAGATGGCTCCAGCTGCAGGAAACGATGCATCGGTGTAAGTCTGAATCCGCCCGAACCATTCCTCCAACGGCGCCGCCGACCGTTGCGCTGCGCAGTCGCCCGCCATTGCGACTCCAGGGAAGAACTTTGATTACGCCAGCCAACCCACCCGACCGAGAGAATCAGAGCTCCTCTGACACTGCAGATACACCACAGGAAAAACGGTACCGATCGATGCAAGAACACATTCGTAGAGCCCATCCAGAACACTACATTTCAAAGCTGCCAGCGACCGAGGAGAGCTTCCTGCTCATGATTAATACGCCGCCGTCCGACCGTCCACCCTTACAGCCAAATGCGACCTCAATGCCACAGGGTTCGTCCCTCTCAATCCAGGGCTTCCCCCCAAAGATTGACCATCTTCAAGGCTTCAACCATGACCGGCACATGTACGATGTCAGCAATCCGGGCACGCCCCGAACCCTAGAAGACCATGCCGTCGGCTCCCTTCTTCCTGCTGCTAGTGCCGCAGCAGCACTGGCACAGCTGCATGGTCACAAGGTCGAGCCAGAATGGGAGTCGGAAGTGGTGAGTCGAGAAATCTACCCGCCGTCACTTACAAGCCCCAGCAAAGCGCTAAACGAGCCTTGTTCGCACAGGATTGGCACTCGGATACCGAAGGACGGCGAATACCCAGGACATCAATTGAGCTGCCTCCAATTCATTTATCAAACAGCGACATTACCAGCGAGCCATTTCCAGCAATGAACTCCAGTAGACCTCGGGACATTCTTCCATCCATCCTTGCGAATTCGCCCCCCGGCCGCTCTTCGACACTGCCGCCAATCCAGCGCCCCGTAGGACCTACACGACCCAGGAAACAGTCAGTTACCAAGCGAGGAAGAGAGGCGCACCACAAGAAACAAAAATCTCGCGGCTCGGCAGCGGACTGGTTACGACGCATCCAGAATGACGAACGGCTTAGACCAGGTAATAATGACCGTAAGGCGTTGTCGGCTGAACCTTCTGCAGACTATGGGAAAAGATGGGAAGATCTCATCGATGCCGCCGACCAAGCTGCTTCGGCTGCTGGCGACATCGATGATGATCGGACTCCTGTAAGCAATCCGCCCTCTCGTTGCCAAGGACAGTTGCTGATATATTTCAAGATGCCTCAATCACCAGTTTCTGTTCACAGGGCTTCGTTACCTCCGTTTCTACATCATGGATTCCAGGCAGCGCAAGGAGCAGGAAGCTATCAAGCTTCACCACTGCAACAAGCCTTAACCCCGCCATCCTACAACCAGGACACTATTGACCCATTCCCGTCGGTTGAAAGCGGTGAAAGCGGGGAGAACTTCCACATCGAGTCGAGAGGCTTGTCAGACTCGTCACCGAGTTACTCCTCGCAGAACACTCAAATCTATTGCGCAGCCTGTCAGAGCGTCTCGCTTCTCAAGGACTCGTACGCCTGCACAGAATGCATTTGCGGCCTGTGCCAGGCATGCGTCGATGTCCTGATGGCAGAGCAAGGGGCTCGGCGCAAATGCCCTCGCTGCGCGACTATCGGCGGACGCTTCAAGCCGTTCCAGCTTGACATCCGATGAGCACACCTTCTCGTCGAAGCTGAAGCTACATCAATTAGTCTTATGTTTACGAACCTGGGGGTCTTGCTTCTGCATCTGAATTCACACAACGGCGTCATGGGAACAAGTGGCATACACAACAGCATCGAGGCATGAGGATGAACCGCATTAATACCCCGGCGTTACAAATTCGCGAGAGCTTAGAAAGACAGAGCTTATCACGAGCCGGCTCCCACACTCTCTACATTCTTATAGGGCCTAGTTACTTACGACAGTCTTGTGGCCTGGGAACGGCTGTTTCACATGATTTCTTCTTCCCCTCCCCCCTCTGAATGTTGTCGGGGACTTTCTTCTTACTAGTCTTATCAGGGATATCAAAATGGCTCTTGGACCTTGGGTTGGTTTGCACGTCGTCATGATCGTTTCTTCTTTTCATTATTATATCTTGGGTACGGGAACTTTGACTATGGTTACGAGAAATTGGTTTATAGATGCCAATCATGAAATTCAATCATTCCAATTAAGATACTAGGTCGCTTTGCTACCAGCGGGGGTATCATTTAATCATCCAGAAATGTGCGTGTGCCGCGTCTGGAGGATCCCTCATTTCTTGCCCTCCTTCTCTTTCTTGAGCAGCAGATCGCGCATGGCTGCTCTGGAGTTCCTGCTGCCTCCCAGCTTCGGACCCCTAAGGACGTCCTCGTCCGCTTTGCGCGCACCAACCCTCGCCGGCGGCGCAGTCGCCTTCTTCTTCTGCTGCCTCTGCACCATGGCATCCATGAACTCGCGCCGGAACTCCTCGGCGATGCGATCATCTGCGTCTCCGTCACCCTCGTATTGGGGCTGTTGCACAGCGGGCACATCGTAGACATCGACTAGGAAAACTACGTCAGCATTTCCAACACCGGGGTAAGGGGGGGCCCAAACTCACGTTTGTTCTCGCGCAGAATCTCCTCCACGAGCCGATCTCTCTTGACGTCGTCGCTGTTCCTCCGGTTCCTCGGACGCCAGGGCTTCCCGTCCCTTCCGAGCCTGGACTTCTTCGCCTTGCGCCCGCCGTCACCGGCCTCGTCCTCGTCCGGCACGGCTTCGCCGAGCAGGCGCCGGGCCGCTTTTTCCGTCATGGCTTGGTTCCGGGCGCGGACCTCGTCGCCGAGATCGACTTCCATCAGCTTCCCCTGCATGATCGGGTGCACCTTCTTCTCCTTGTCCGGAGCGGCCGCTGCCGATGTGGAGCCGGAGGCGGAGGATGCGCCGCCGGGTTGTGGTGTCGTGTTTGAGGTTGCTTCCGCGGAGGGTGATGCGCGGTTAGAGAGGTGGGATTCTATGTATTCCATCCTTGCTTGATCAGTCCCTGGCCATACTTAGGGGAAAGGGGAGCGGAAGGGGGGGTATATACATGTGTTTGTTGACAATGGTCGTCGCGAGACCCGTCTGGGGCGCGAAGCGTTTTGCGATTAGAGGTTCGTCGGATGGCGGTGACGTCGCCGGGACGAGGGCGCGGGATGATGACATGTCGGCGGTCGCGGGGCGGTCGTCTGAGGAGGATGTGCGGGCTGTTGTTGAGAAGGCGACGCCGTTGAGGCGTTTGCGGGCGCGGTGGCGGATGGCGGAGGGGATGTGCTGCTCCGTCTCCTGCGCATCGTCGTCGTTGCTGCGCGCGACGGTCTTGTCGTTTGGTTCTGTTGTCGGGATCGGGACCGTCGGAGCGGCGATGTTGGTGGTGGTGTCGTCGGGGGATGCGGCGCGTTGGCGGATGCCTGCTTTGCGCTTCTTGCGGAAGAGGATCGGGGGGTTGCTCGGGTCAACCGGGGGTGTTTGTTCTGGCGAGGCCATGATTCGGAAAGATTACGGCGTTGGAATTGTGTCTGGGACGCGAGTTCGGGATGCGGTGGCTGGTGGGCTGTGTTGTGAAAAGTTCGTTGCGCGATCGTATGTTGGTTGAGGAGATGCAGGTGAGAAATCTCGCCGAGGGTTGCGTTGGGTTTGGGCGCCTGGCTGGCACCTCCCCGGAGTTTAGCCTATCGATAAGAAGGCGTGGGAGGCGTGCGAGTAAGCGGGCATGCATGCATGTCATCGGTACGTGACACCGACCCACCCTGAGCAATTCGATGTCGAAGCTCGACCTTGGAGCTCCGAGCTACTTTTGACGACCCTTGCTCCCGTCACTCTTGCATCCAACGCTCCTTTCAACACGCAACCCTACAACAGTCCGAAAACAAAATCATGGCGAAGAGAGTAAGTCGGACGCTTGCGGCCTCTACCTGCACCGATTGGATATTGATTTTTTTTTCCCCTCACAGATCTATTTCCTGGCTCACGGCGGTGTGGTACAAGGTACGTTTTGACCCCCGCGGGAAGAAGCTCATGTGGAGGACGAAGGGGGAGGGAGGCGGGGAGCTATTATCGCGGAAGCGAGCATGGGCAGATAACGAAAAAAATGAAGCTCGGAGGCGCTGACGTCACTCGCAGGTGTCGGATTTCGGTTCGTGATGCGACTTTTTCTATATCAACTCTTTCAACACGCAATTTCGACTCGGGGTAATTTCAATTGAGTGACTTCCTAGCTGACGATATGGGGGCTTCAGGTACTTTACACAAAAACGGGCCACTGAGTACGGTTTGACGGGATGGTGTCGGAACACGGACAACAACAAGGTGAGTCTAGCACGTCCTGTGAAGAATTTTCCTCGTATTGTTGTTAGGGACAACTTCTATCATCGTGCTTGCATTCATATTTCGTCTGGTGCTAACGTATTTGCTTAGGTTGAGGGCGAGGCGCAGGGCGAAGATGATGCACTCAAGAAGTTCCTCAAGGACGTCGACCAGGGCCCGAGGTCGGCCAAGGTCGTCAAGCTTGATCACGAGGACCGGGATTTGATCGATGATGAGAAGGACTTTTTGGTACGGCGATAAGATTTGTCGTTCTCGACGTTTACCCGCGATGGACGATGACGGTAATTCTGCAATGCCATTGCGCCACAGACTGCTTGGGCGTTACTCCGTAGATATAAATATCACCGCATCCTAGCATTCAACTCACCCAAACAATGTCTAGTTCGGCAATCTTCTCTGAAAAATGAGTTGCGCTTAATCATGATGGATTTACGAGGTTGCCGACTTCATGAGAGGTTGTACATTCAAGACAATTGATGTCCCGTGATGATATTTGCACTTCTCCTGGCTTAGAATGCTTCCTTGGTTGCTTTTCATCATTGGTATTGTCCCTGGATTGTTCATAGTGCCGTCTTAACTGAACAATCTCGGCGACAACCTTTCGAAAAAGGACGTCAAGAAAAAAAAAACGATTCTCAAAAAGCCCAGATCCATCGTGCTTGCTGCATCGACAACATCGTTCCCCAGTTTCGATCTCCTCAGTCTGCATCTCTGCAAGCAAACTACAGACCGATCGTGTCATAGCATTTCGTCAATTATCCGAATTCAAGAGAGGAGAATGAAATCCTGAGCTCTGAAACGCCGAGTAGCGTTAGTATACACAGGGAGAGAGAGGGTCGTTATTCATTCATGCTTCGCCGCGGAGATTGAGACGTGTCCCTTGCCTTCATCCTTATGTGTATTTTCAAACGCTACTTGGGCTCAGATATGTTGTCATGCACCACAATCTTAGGTTGAAAATTCCACCGATATAAGAGTAGCGGTATTCAATATAAGAGAAGAGTCGATTGCTGTCGGCGCTCGGCCTCACGCCGTTCATTGAACAGAGCTGACCTTGTTCTTGGATGCGAGACATCACCAGGTTCGGAGGCGGTCGTGCTAGACATCTCTTCCAGACGCTTTTCTGAGCGAACAGGGGCGAGGGCGAGGGAACTTCTCTCCGTGCCGGGCGTCGTCCTCGTCGCAGTAATCGGTCCCAGTATTCAGGACGGCCGACGGAGGCCTCAAAGGTACAGAACATCTTTTCGTTGAGATAGAAGCCGACCCCAACGAGGCGGAGTTTTGCCAGGCGTAGAGAGAGGCCTTTGTTGATTTCTAGCCGCCGTTCATGGACATACATCACTGCCGCCCCGATCAGGTTTGTTGATCAAGTCATCACTCTTATAATGTCTTCGTTCAAGCCTTGCTTACAGCCGTGGGCTGGATGACGGGTAAGCAGTCGAGGACAGCGGCGGGGTTTAAAAGCGTCATTTGGAGCGTTTGGAAAACTCACCCACGTGTTTTCTTGCCAGCAACAGCACAGCTTCACTCTGGCCGTCATACCGCAGTCTCAAATGTGGAAAAAAGCGGACGTCGAATTACTCAAACAGACTTCGTACATTAACTAATCCAACAACACCGTTCTTCGACCTCGGCGTTCTCCTTCTCCTTAGTCCTCGGGGTATCTGGCATTTACAGCGGAATATCCAACGATCCGTCCTCGTTCAGGCAGCCCGCCAACTTGTATCGGGTGGACTCGAATCTTGGTCTTGGTCAGCATTGGAGATATAAAAGGTGCAGAAACAACGTACGTGAACTGGATGCTGCCGGTGACCATGCACCGGCAAGCATCGCAGTACCGCAGCACCGCCTGCCGTCCCTCCTCCCCCGCCGCCTCCGCCAGGGCGGCCGCCGCGGCCTCGAAGGCTGCGACGGAGACGACGAGGTCGGCGAGCAGGGCGTCGACTGCTTCCTGGGGCGACTTGCCCTGCTCAGCCATGAGGATGGGGACGGCGTTGACGATGCTCTCGGCAGCTCTGTCGTCCTTGGGCTGTGGGTTCGTATTAGCTGGTGTATTCACCGAGGAGTAAGTTAGTGTGGCACTCACCATCTCCTTCTTCAGGGAAAGGATGTCGTTGGTTCTAGAAAGAGACGTCTGTTAGCATCGGGTGCCCAAGACTCAACACGAATCGCGCCTTAGGCTGGGATAAGACAGCTGTGCTGCGCTGCTCATTTTGTCCACGTAACAAAAATAGCCAGAAACATATATAACTTACATCCAGATCCCTCTGCTAGTCTCTGCCCACAAGGAGTGCAGCTCCTCCATGTGGCAGATGCGCCACGGGACGGCCTCCCCCAGCCCAAACTCGATGAGGGCGCAGAGGGTCCAGACGCCCGCCGTCCCGTGTCGTATCTCACCATACGTCTCCAGGTCAGGCAGGCTGCCCCGGAGACGCAGGGATTGCTCTTTGTCGCAGTCCTCGATGTATCGGCGCATCTGGGACATGAAGGCCTTTCTCTGTGCTGTATCTCTAGTCAGTTTCTCTGTTCGTGTATGAGGGTTCATGTATGAGGGTGATGCTTACCGAGAGTGTATGCCTTCTGCAGCTCGTCTCCGATGTTCTTCAGCTCCGCGTTGACGTGGTCACGATCGATTTCGGAGGCGGGCTGGGTGGTGAGGCCAAGAACGTTCTCCAGTACTCTGATAGTATTCGAGCGATGGGTCTTGGCGCGGAGGAGGTTGTGGCTCAAGTCGCTTCCTTCTTGATCAATGGCATCGTCCCAGCAGAACAGCCAGACGATGTAGTGGGCGAGAGTCTTGATCTGGTTCCACTCCGGGTGTGGGAAGTACCTGAGAAGGTAAGAAAAGAAGAAGCGAAGATGAGGGGCTCGTTCTTGCACTTACAAGCTCACGAATCTGGCGTAGTTTGCCTCACGATACTTCTTCCGCAGAGCTGGGTTCTTGACCATTCTTAAAAGCAGAAATCATCAGTACGTCTGATATCTAACCCATAAGTACCTTGGAGATAGAAACTTACCGATCAAATGCATCCTCGACAACGGGGATGACCTTTTGGTAGTGGGGGTTTGTCTTCACCGACCAGTTCTTGAAGATTCCGCCAAGGTCTGGGACGTGAAGTGTCTGTCCGCGCAAGGCGCTCACTATGGCCTGAGCCTCGTGAATCATGGAACCCATCTTTGCTTTTGTGATTCTTGATCGCGAGAATCTTTGTGTGTTTTGGTTGGTCCTGGCTTTCCGACAAGGGGTAAAAGGATGTTGGTTTGGGCGCGTTCGGGTGCTGCTGCTTTGGGATGTTTGCTTCCTCTGGTCAAATGAGAGAGCCACCAAAGCGGGTTTAAGAATAGGGGATTAGAAATCAACCGCTTTCATGGAAAAGAGGTAAGGGGTATAATGTTTGCTTGACACCGAGGTTTAGGGCAGGGGGCAAAAAGATAAAAGTGGCTGATGGAGTAGGGCTCTTATTTGAAGACGAGGATGTGACCTGGGAGAGGGCAGTTGCTCTGGTGAATAAATAGGTACAGTGTGGAAGAATTCAACAAGTCAAGACTAAGGTAAGGCAGGAGGTTGAGCGGACTAACTCAACCTTCCATCCCAGCACAGCGGGCAGACCTTTATCTTCTTCTCTGGTCCCCCGACTGTCAACCAAGCCTGATGAAGGGCCAAGTGGCCCAGAGGTATAACGCTCTGGATCGTTAGTTTGAAATTGGTAGAAAACTGAATATCAGATTTCGTAGGGGTTAGCGGTTCGAGTCCGCACCTGAGCTTTTGCTTTTTGCTAATTTTTTTATGTTTGTATTTTCGCCTCTCTGCCCCTATCAGCTGAAGGCGACTCGACTGGCACAAGTCAGAGTAGAGGGCCAATATTTTTCCCCGTGATGATTGATGTATTATCTAGGCGCCCGAGTATAATGATGTATTTTGAAGCAAATTTGAGGACGAAAAGGGGCCTTGCCCTGACTGATGTTGATACGTGCCACCTGCCTCAGAGGAACTTCCTTCCCGGTGGCCTAACCACCCGTTTTCGTACCCCCTGTCGACAGCCAAGTTCCTCCAAAGTTAGGGGAGACATTGCTAGTACTGCTTTAATGTTCTAGAGCGTGTCAGACAATGAGTATGCCCGCGTCCAAAAGACGGGATGAGCCTGCTAGAAGGAAGGAAGACCAAACATTGTAGCAAGGCGACATCGGCTCGCGGGTTGGCCAGCCCGTTCCAATTCGGGAGACATTGAAAATTTACAATGACATGTGTATCGATAATCCTGCAGAATCTTGCGAGGTGGATACCCGGTGAATCCACACGAGGCCTTCAGTTTATAGCCTGGCGAGTCCTTCACCGGAGCGAACTCAGAAAAATGACAGCCGCCGACGCCCTGCCCTCCAGGGATTAAACGGTTACCTACATCGTATCACACATATGAGTTCTCAAAGGCCAAGATCCGAGAACATCGTTGATTCCACTAACCGGGTCTGTTTCCGGTCTTGTTATGTCTAGTATCGTACAAACTGCTAGTCCTCTCATACGGTCCCGTCGTACAAGATCTGCCTGGCTCCCGTGGCGAATACGTAAATCATCGTCAACCTGCGTGGGAGGCCGGAGATCGTCTGACCTAACCCTGCCTCGGGTTTCACCAAGCGACGTTGTATCTTTGTAGGACATGCCGCCATGTTTCGCATCTCGAAAACTCCAAAGGTCCGCCGCGCCTCATCAACCCTTCAGAGGGCGGTATGTAACCATCGATCATGCCGCAGCCCGTGGCCTTATGCGGCTTTGGTGGAGTCTGTAATCCTCGTGCGCGTGTCGCTGCAAGCAACGTGGCTGCGCATTGCGTTCTTCAAGATGCAACGGTGAAGACGTCCGCATGAGCGGCTCGGCAGGCTGCTGTCGAGGCCAGCTCGAACCATGAAGCTCATCGGTCCTTTGAGGCTGCTCTCTTCACCGACGGAGACCCGGGGACGTAGAAGGCCGTCAAGCAGCGATGTCAAACAGCGGCGGGAAACGAAGCGGACCCCGTGGTTGAAAGTGGTTGTGGTGAAGTAAATGGTGTTGTCTTGGTGCACGAGGGCTCATCTGTCCGTGTCAACCTCCTTCAGTAACTCAGTCAGGTTCATAATCCTAAAGCCTCGTCTTTTGAGTTCTGGAAGAACTTTTCGCAGCATCGGGATAGTCCAGCTCCTCCTATCGTGGCAGATGATGATAGCGCCCGGCCTCGCCATACTCAAGATGTGGTTGGCATTGAGCTTCCAGTTACTGATCTGTGCGTCATGCGGGTAAACGCTGCCCAAAACCATCCTGTACCCCAGCTTGTCGACTAGTCGTCGCATTCTGTCACTGAAGAAGCCCGAGCCCGGCCGAAAGTAGTTGGCCGGCATGGGGGCATCCTCATAGTCGTATAGATTCTTGATCTTCCTCCTGACTTCCAGTATCTCCGCCTCCAGCTGGCCGTCGGGGAGCGAACGCGACGCCTCGTCGTGCATGGCATGGTTGCCCAGTTCACTGCCAGCCCTGATGATTTCGCTCATAGTCTCCTCATTGCCGTTCATCTGCGAGCCGATTAGGAAGAATGTCGCGTGGGCATCGTTCTCCTTCAGGATCTTGAGGATCTCGGGGGTATGCTGCGATGGCGCGTCATCGATAGTGAGGCCGATAATCTTCTCGTTCGTCGAGACCTGCCACAGAACATCGGGCCATTTCCGCGCGAAATGGTTGATGACGAAGCCAGGCGGTTTGTAGATGATGTAGACGGGGAGGACCAAGAGGAAGGCCAGGGCGAGTAGCGAAAATAGGGTCGCCATTCGATTGCGGCGCGCGCGCCTGCGTAATTTGGTTGGGAGTCTGAAGAGTGGTATGCGTGCCATTGGCCTATCCGTCAACCTTCCACGATGTTGATGGAAGAGTGAGGGACATCAGGGACATCGGCATTGTCGAGGCGGTTTGAAACGAAACGAAGCTCAACCCGACGCACAGCTCCATCGTGGAAGGTGCAGGGGCTACAGCTGCGAGCAGCTGCCCCGTTACGGGAATATGTGGCTGATGGATGCTGCCGGATAAGGATGCGGCTAGAGCCAATCAAATCATCCGACCTACAGCCCAGTAATCGGACCAGACTCCAGACTCGACCCACAGTGACATTCAACTCCCGTCTAAATTAACATGTTGACGACCGTCTTCCAACCTCCAAGCAACACGACGGAACCAAAGTTCTTTTCTGTGCCACACAACTTTCCTGTTCCAACACACCAAGAATGAAACGGCGGAGCAATTACCTCACCAGCCGGATTGAGAGTTGTACCTTCCCAATTCAGTCCTCGCGACCCATAGCATCCCGCCCGCTTGCTCCAGGCTGCCATCGTCATCCAGGCAGCTATCAGACCGTCTTGTGAGAATCAAAGACGGCCGTCGAGAGTTCGAAAGTTGAATCTGCAACGGGACGATGAATATGTCGAGATCCAGCTTATTGATGGATGTTTGCGGTATACGCCAAGGTTTTCTTTTCGAGAAACGTCATGCGACAAGAAAAGTCGTGCCAATCCTTAGTCGCGATATTCTCATGCACACAACCTGCAGCAGCTGTGATCGGCAAAAGTCAGCCTTACGGGCCCCATACGAAGGATTCCTGCGCCATGTGGCAAAAGCATGCTTGTCGTCCGCAGTTCCGAAGTCCTCGAGCTATTGTTGGCCGTGAGAACTGATCGGGATAATCACCACAGCTCACCACTGAATCTTAGCACGTTCTGCTAACTCAGAAGGAAATGCATTCTCTGCGCCACCTTACCACAAACCAGATAGCTGGCACAGTTATCGGCAATACCCGTTTATCCACGAGGCCTCCATCGTGAGCTATTCTAGGTGCGGTGTCAGCCATTACATGCGTCCACAACTCGTCGTTCTGAGCTTCATGGTAGAGATCGGCAAATACATTTGGCCTAGGCCACCTGGAACGAAGCTATCTATGGCTTACTTCTAAGCAATCCTATGCTACCACCGTTATTTCTGGTTGAAAACCCAGTGTGTCATCGAATACCGCACAGACAGCTTCGGAGGGCTGGCATCTGGGGCCATCCTCTTGGATTCTTCCCCGATCTGACCCATTCATTTAGGGAGTATCATGGGTAGCAAATCAGGTTGGGTGGACTCTACTTGAGCCACATGCGCAAGTTCAGCCTCGTTCAGACCTTGCTTAACCATGACTGACCTTGCCTCGGATGCAGTACTTCCCGTGGGTCCGTTAGGCTTCCAGCTGCCCAGGATGCAGAAGTTCCTTTCGTTGGCCGCTTGAGCGCACCAACTCAAAGTCGATTTGCTTGACTTATATAGAAAACATCTGGTCCAGCAGATGCCTGTGCCGTGAAAATGCGGTGAAACTACAACCTCACTCGATTCAATGGACCCCATACCTGATCAACGACGCGAAAGAGACGCCGTTGTCATTGCGACTGACAGATATCGCTCGAGAGTGCGGTTCTTCCCAGATGACCGATCGTCTCGGCGCCGCGCCAGATCATACTCAAAAACGGAAGAGCGAAGACATCAGCCACGGACCCGTTGTTGACCCACGTCCGAACAAGAGGAAGCCATTGTCTGACTCGATAGTGGACAACGGACATCGCACTACCACCGGAATCATCGTGGACTGGACGAGCTCGACAGAAGAGCGCATCTTGGGTGAGGCCGACATCTGGGCCTGGCTTGGGGGGCAAGATCGCGAATCGGCCGTTGCAGACATTCTTTCGGCAGTCAACGGACTCGTTGATGGGATCGGGTTCGAGTCGTTGACAGATTCAACGCTTTCTCTGCGAGTGGGTGGTTCTGGTCACGGCGGCAATAGTAGCAGTACGAGTTGGAGTAAGGAGAATTCGCATGGGCCGACTGGGGAGAATGACGTTCCGGAAGTCCTGCTAGGAGTGGGGGCTTTCGCGGACGATTTCCCAACATTGCCGTCGAATGAGGGCAGGCAGAGAAGAAAATGGTGCGTGCCGTTTGTTCGTGACGAGGTGTTCTGAACAAACGAACAGCTAACTGGGACTTTTCAGGACGAGGACAAAACACAGACCTTTGATAGGCTGGGATCAGCTGTGGCTGTAAAGGACTGTTCAGCGTTTGCTAGGTATTTTTGAATGCTGAAGCGACAGGGGGAACACATTGCAAAAAAGCAGCATAGGCGAACGGCGCACGAAAGAAATGATTAGAAGATACCCCGCGATCCCGCTCTTGCCAACAATCCTCTACGCCTTCAAGGGACAAGGATGAGAAGAGTGCTCGCAGCCTGAGTTTAATAGACCTCCTCTCGCATATCGTATATTGTCATTGTGGCTTTCCGGCGTTCTTCCTTGTTGCCCTAATTGACGGCCTTTCTTCCGAACATGCCCCACCCGAAGGTTCCGAGTTCTCGGTGCCCGGCACGCCGTTTGCGCGCGTCCCGAAACGCCGGGTCCGAAGTCAGATCCGCCGCCCCCGATCGTGTGGGATTTCCATGCACGCACGGCATCCGGAAGCAGGCGCCACTCCGAAGTTTGTTGCGGAGGGGAGATCCTGTCATAGCTTGGCTGGCATCCGATGCTTCGGGACATGCGATGAACACACGGCTTGACCACCAAACTCTATCAAATTCACTGTCTTGTCAATTTCCCTACTTTTATCTGGTGGAGGCTTACAATTCTCTTTCGCATCAACGACATCAACCTGGAATTGGATAATGAAAGCCGCTGCAATCGGGCTACCACGGCATCATACAACTCCGAACACATACGGACAGGCGGTCGGAGTCGGGGCATGCATCATCACATCATCGCCGTCTATCGAATCTCAACAGAGACTCCCTCAACGCAAATGGACTTCACCATTGACGGCAGAAAATAAATCACCAACGGAGAATTCTCCGCGGGACCCCTATTACACACAAATTTCCCACCTCTAACCAAGCATGACAGCTGCCCCTTCGCCAATATGTCAACCATCCCCATCCCGACCTCCGATCAAACACCCGCCTCGCGGCGCGGGCGATCGACAGTCCTCCCTTCTCTCGCTTGCCGCCTTGCATCGTCATGCGGAACCGGGGGGGATTGATCCTCCCCTCGTCCCCGCACACCACCCAGGCTCGTGCCAAGGCCATTTTACCCAGCACCCCGGTCGAAGATCAAACAAACACTGTGGACCAAACATCCTAACCCTTCCCAGGTTCCCCCACCACCTTGTTTGCTCGGGATTCGCGACTCTCCCTTGGAGAAAGAAAGGGACTGTGAAGGAAAGGCGAGATCCGATTGAGCGTCACCTCTGAATCGACTACCCACTTTCTCGAGTAAATGAACCAAATGACGTCCTCTCTGGGACTTCACATCCCCTTTTCTTTTTGTTGTGCAAACTCGTTTAGTTGGCCCCCGTGAATCTGTAGTTGTCACGGCTACGGTCCAGCAAGCACAGAGTCAGTCATCAGTCGGAGGATGTCTTGCAAAGGCGAGAGTCATTTGACGCATCCAGCCTCTCTGCTTGACGATGTCTCTTAAACGTGGGCAGAGGAAGACATTGGCGGAGAGAGAGAGCCGAGATTCGCCAGGCGGAGCGGAACCGTCCTCTAACCTAACCCCGATCATGTGGCTGTCCTCCCTCCCTCCCCTCCCGAGGCAGCGTTGCAATCGTCAATCGCGGGACTAAACGCCCCGGCAGATGCATTCAGCCAAACCTAGATTCCCCTTCCGTTGCCAGCCCGGCCCAGATATTGCGGTGCACGACGACGACGACGACAACCACGGGACTTATCCCTCCGCTCCCCCCCTCTCCTCCCTTCGCCACGCCTCCGATACATTTCATCGTCAGCCACTGGGGGAGATGTTGCTAGGTGCACATGATTGCATCATTCGCGGGAGATCATTCAATCTGTCGAAGAGTATTCTATAGCTACGTAAGAAAAGATGGGTATGGGCACGATGAATGTGAAAACCAGAGGCTGGGTAGGAAAATGAAAGCAGACAATGTACCAAGTTCAGCCGGCGAGACCCCCGGAATCCGGCAGATTTTCGACATAACTCATCTTAAACTCAAACTTCATATTCACTACCGCCGCCGCCGAACAGTCGCTTAGTCGCAGTGTGTCGGCAGGCGACGTCAACCCCCAAACCGTTTCAACTGCCGTCGCATTCTCGGCCGTTCAAGTACACCTTCTCTCACAATGGGGGGAGGTCATGCGCATTGCAGTGAACAGGACCAAACCAACATGTTGTTCTTGTGTTGTGTGTGGTGCTGTACGTTGTGTGTGTATGCCCGCGTGATGTATGCTCAAGTTTAAGGCGGCCCCCGACGCAGAGCCTCGGCGGCGCAGTCTCCGACAGCTCGGTCTGGGTAGGTTAGGTTTTTTGGGGGGATGTTGTTTTCTCCCCCTCCTCCCGCGGCGGGAATGGCGAAAGTGAATGAACAACAACAAGCTTAAGGTCCGGCGGTGCAGGTAAGGTAGTCTGTTGCCTCGACCGGGCCGACTTGGCTTGTGCGCGTTACACACACCGTTTCTCACTAGTCCGTGGGTGCTTGTTGTTTTTCGCCGCCTTTCTGATTCAACATGGAGTGATTAAACATGGAAACAACATGAGTAACGGTTCTGCCCGTGGTTGGGACGAAAGCGTCAAAAAAAAGATGGGATGGCTGCTGCAAGCGCACGGGGTGGTCTGATGCAGAGGCGAACTCTCTCTCTGCGCCAACCGACACAGACCACATGAAATCACAACATCACTGAAGAAATCATAACATGGTTCGGTAGAGACAAATGAGATTCTTGCTAGTTTATCAATAAGCAATAATGTTTGAGCAGCCAGTTCAAGGCGCTCGGGGGAATATCCGCACGTCATTCAAAGGTATATACACAGAAACGCCAATTAGCCCGTATATGTAGTTTGGGCGTAAAGGTTACCAAGCAGCGCATTTCCCTCCCCGTCCCGAAATACGTCCGCTCCAAGTGAGGTTTTCTCTGAGCCAAAAAAAACGAAAGTCCATTTTGAGTTTCATCATCTCCATAGAGTCTCCGTAGAGTAGGAAGAAAAGCCGATTGTCGTGGTTCGGTTGATTTCTCCAATTATGTACAGCGAAGAAGGTAAAGTAAGGTCACGCCAATTGCGTAGATTAGATCCACGCGGCAGCCATTGGCCGTTGAGGGGCGTGACCGTGGCTGCTGGCTGGCTTCTCTGGGAAGAAGCTGGTGAAAATGCTTTGAACTTCGGCGAGATAGTCTTCGGCAGCGAACTTGCGAAGGCCTTGGGCCTTGAGGGTGCGCTCCTCCTCGTCCATGACGCGGTCCTTGATGCCAAACTCTTCCGCGATCTCGGTGACCTGGGCCAGCTCGCGGCCGAAGGGGTGCGCCTCAACGGCCTTCTCGTGTCTCGGTTGGGGCTGCTGGTGGTGCTGGTGGAATGCGGGACTCGGCATGGGCGGTACCGGAGTCTTGGGAGTCTTTGGCGCGGAGGCGATCGAATTATGAGACATGGTAGAGGCAGCGCTGGAGCCAGAAGACGCGCGAGAGGAGAAAGTCATGCTGGCTTTTGACGAGACGGTCTTTTCGGAGGTCTTGGACAAGGACGACATGGAGCGCTGGCGAGCCATGGCATCAAAAGAGGCCTGCTTAGTGTGCGACGGGGCGCGCTTTGGGATCTTGGGAACCTCAGGAATCGTGGCGGGGTTGACTGCATGATTCGGGGCGACGAAATAGCAGGACAGGTGGTTCGGCTCGGGGTCGGTAGATCGCTCGTGGGGAGCGACGTCGGGGCTGGTCGGGGGCGACGAAGCGGCAGTGTTAGTGCTCTCCGAGTCCTCCTCGGATGACTTGGTGGATGAGTTGCTTGACGAGGTGGTTCGGGGTCGAATATCGGGAGCGTTGTAAGAGAGCATGTTGGTTGTGTGAACCAGCTCCATAGGCGCGGAAATCTTGGCCCGAGGCGGCCCCTTGGTGGTCTTGCTTCGTTGCATGAAGTTGTTGCTGCGCTCCTTTCCGCGAGCAGCATCGGAGAGATCGATGCTCTGCTTCACCCGGCGGGTGGTGAAAGCTCTTGAGAGGGACGACATTTTGGTGTTGAGTAAGGATCAAACCCAGAGAGATGTCGACAGGGTGGCAGGCTGGCTTGAGGGATAAGTAGGTAAGCTTGAGTCGGATCGTCGCGGGACGCAAGCGCCTGATCCGGTAACAAGGGCCTGTAGTGTCCGGTGGTGGACTGCGAAGGGCGGCAGATGGGTGGTGATGAAGTGCTAGAGACTGCACTCGTGATTGGGCGTGAGTCCTTTATTGGCAGGTGCGGTGGATCTATTGCTGCACGATAGTTGCAGTCGAGTGGGCAGTAGTGAGTGGTGCCGGAAAGGTGATAGGCGAGGTCGAGCAGTCAATCAGTGAGAGGGTCTGGCGACTAAAAGAGTGAATGTGAGGGGGTGATTTTGTAGGTCGAGGCGAGACCAGTGATTAGATGACGGCTTGGCCGTGACGGATTATCCTGCGCTGGTTGCGTTGGGTTGGTATCTGTGCGAGAGGGGGACACAAAGATGGAGGAGTCCAGTCCTAGGGTACCTCGAGGTACAGATGTTCGGCGTCGATCCGGTTGAGGGTGGTTCAGTGTGTTGTGTCTGAGTGTAAAGTAGAGACTGTATGTGTCTTGTGGCTCGGTCTGTGAGTCGGTGTAAGGACTGTGGGTGGTACAGAACAAGAACAAGCCAAGGTCAGTTGAGATGACGGGTCTTGTCCGTGTGTGATGTGATTTGTATGTAAATACGGTCGGTGCAGTGTATATATCCAGCCGGGAAGGAACGTTCAACGTGTCGGATGATGTGCGCAAGAGAGTAATATCAGATTTGTGTGGGTTTTCTGTGTTGGAAGAGGTTCGAGCCCGCGACAAGTCGTTTAGTATCTCAAGTACTCCGGAGAGACACGATGGATAAAACGCGTAAGAATGGAAAGACACACGCCAAAGGGAGCGATGATGTGTGCGAGAACAGAAGCGAAAGGGAGAGGATCCGACTTTCCTTGACCAAGGGTGGTAGGCAATGGAAATGGGTTGAAGAAAGAGGGAAAAAGAGTAGAAGTGGCAGGGCGTGTGGAGGGAATACCAGAGTAATAATCGACCACGAGGCAAGCGATCTAGAGAGGTAGGTGCTCTGTTCTCCTTCTCCTCTCTCGCCTGGTCTGCGTGGTCTGGTCCAAAATGGAGACCTCTACTGGCCATGGCCGGGTCCACGTCCTCGCCCACGACCTGGGGGATGTCGCTCTTTGATTGCCCTATGGCCCGTTCTGGTTGGTTGTTTACCAGCTTTTCCTCTCAGGGACTGGAGCCAACCACTGGAGACTGGCACTTGCAACCCTTGCCGTCTTTCCTTTTCGCCAATCCCCCCTGTTCTTGCGGTGGGGCTTGGCAATCAAAAAAGGGTAAGGTTCCTGTTGCTCACAGTGTGTTTTGGGGAGTTCGTCGACGCAGGTGAAGGCAGGTGCTTCCCAGGTGGTTCCTGGTGGATCTCGGTGGGTCTATCGGCCCTCCTTGCTCTTTTTTGGCGCTAGGGTCCCGGCCTAGCCGCCTCTGCACCAATGACAGCTACGCTTTGTCGCGAACCCCCGGTCCTTCCCTTTTTTCCCTCTTCTGACTCCTGCAAGCCCTTTGGGTCCTGGCGTGTCGGTCTCGCTCCTCTTCGTGGCCGTTCGCCCTCCTTTAGCTTCATCCACTCATTTTTTCCTGCCGACTTTGGGAACTCAGGGCACTTCCTGCGCCTAGAGAACGTGACAATAGCCGCCAAGAAACATCCAAAGGCGGCACGACTCGGGCTCGTGGGATGGATCGTCCAGCGATGCCACCCCAAACCGCCGTCATCAAGGGGATGCCGTGATCTGCCTTCTGGAAGAATGGCCGACATCGTCAGACCAGCCACAGCCCAACCGAGACCAGTCCGGCGCATCACCCGCTCCCTTTTGACAAGTCATCACAACCGCTATGGCGTCTCTGCCTCCTTGATTGGACCTCCCTCTGCGACATCATCGCCAGACCGATGTGTACATGTCCGGATACACCACATCAACGATACAGCACCTACAGATACTCTGTATGGTAGTCTGTACAGCACACGCATACCTACCTCGCCCGACACACATGCGTCGGGCTGCGGCCGCCATGTGTTCCCCAGCCGTGTTGCCTCGTTTGAGATACAACGAAGCGTGCGCTGACCTCCTGATTGCCGCACAAAAGAAACAAAACTCGATCAACACATGCCATGAGCTCTTTTCTGGGAAAGCCTTGCGTGGCGCCAGACTATGACAAAGCTCATATCCGGTTCGCCTACCAGTTGGCAATGCCACCATTAGGGCAACATTCGAAGAGGAACCGGTCCTCGTCACCGAAGACCGTCCACCGGCCATCGCGACCAACAATCATGGCCCAAGGGCCCCGACGGTCCCGACCCGTCCATCGACTCCCACCCGACCGCGCACATCCTTGATGAAGATTGTGCGATTCAAGATGGGCGAGCCGCGGGCCCGCGGCGAATCCTCTCTTTGCCAGGTTTCTCCGGGATCATCCATCCCCGTGCGGACACAGTGTGATGTGACGGGATCCGCGAGGACGGAGAATTGTGGAAGCAAAATCGGGCTGGCTGGGCATTCGGTTGTGGGTTTCTGTCCTGTTGGACCAGTGAATCAAGTCGACGCCTCCAAGCCTCTCGAGAGGCAGAAGTGCGTCGAGCAAAAGTCGCCCAACAGCCGAAAGAGAGATCGTGGCCGCTGGTTCCTGGGCGTTCCCAATGACACTCCGAATAGACCAAGCCAGAGGCGTCATTGGCTGAGTGTTCCATCCGCCATCCTCGCCGCCCGTTGGCAGACCCCCCTGAAGTTTCAGCGTTTCGAAATGCGCCATCCCACCCTGGTGGCGCTGCGTTCCTTGTGTGCCTGCGCAAGCGGCACAGGGATCCATGTCGCCGTCACCAGTCAGCGCTCTCACCACCCCACAGCCCTCCGTTTACCTGGCGCATCTCCCAGGGGCATCGCCGGTGGTGGTGTGGAAACCAGCCGATCAAGAATTCGATTTTTTAAGGTGTTTCTCGGAGGAGGCAAACGCTCAGAGGCTGCTAGAAATCCCGCAACGACGACATCACGAGCGTGGGGCGGCAGTTCACCGTGTTGGGTGTCACGCAGAAAGGAGCGCTTTGGCGTGCCATGCTGCAGTTGGGTTGAAGTTCTGACAAGACGAACGAACGCTTGAAGAACAGACCACATCTAACAAGGCCAATATCCGGCCCTGGCTCATTATGCCAGATCTAATATTGGTCCACCAACTCCTTCATCAACTACGCATAAATCTGTCAGGCCGCTGCCGCTTCCCCCTCCCCGACTTGTCAATGCTTAATTAGGCCATCCTGCGCCAACTAAGGAAGCTGTTCACGTCAAGTCGGTCGCATCATGTTCAAACCCGCCGACGAGGCCGCGCAGTTACGGTTTCACCTGACAACTTACACATCTCACGTACATTGTTCTCTAACGAACCGTTCCTCACCAGCTGTTTTCCCGGTTTGAGCTCATCTTTTGGCAGTCTGGGCTCGCTGTCTTGACGAAACTGATGGGGTCTATGCTTATGATTACTGTTCAGACGACGGCACTTAACTTCGGACGATTTGAGACTAAGGCCCACGCTTGAACAGGTCTTCCCCACTATCGAAAGTGTCTCGGCCCGCGTGCCTCCCCTCCGTCCTCAACGGCGCCGTTGCAGAATCGTTGTCGTCAAATTGCTGTTTTCGGCATCAATACCTACACTAACATGGCGCCGGAGACATGTTTGACTTGCTCTATCGAATAATCTGGCCGAGCCGCCAGGACATTTTCCTGGCGATCTTCCGCGAAACAATTAAACCAACGTGAGAGGGCTCGTTACATCATGCTTCGTTTTCACCCTAGTCATCATCCTCGTCCATCGATTCGCCATCCTTTTCACCCTCCTCATCCTCACCCTCGTCCTCGCTGGAGCTGCTGTCATCGTCAGCGACACCGACCAGCCTGTCCTCCTCTTCGGCGCCATCCGCCTTTCGGGGAACGCGCCCGGCAAAGGCGTGGCGCACGGCGGCGTTGGTGCTGGTGTCCCAGACGTGCATGGTACCGCGGCTGCCGGCAACAGCGAGCCTGAAAGCCACCTCGGGATCCGGCGCGAATTGTGTAGAGAAGATCTTGCCGACGTCCAGGTTGCGGGAGACGACCATGGAAGGGCCCGAGGGTTGAATGTTCCACAGCTTGACGGTCTTGTCGGTCGAACCGGTGGCCATGAAACCAGGCAGCACGGGGTTGATGTCAAAGGAAGAAACCGACTCGTCGTGCGCTTGCAGCGTCCAGACGGCCTTGGTCGCCTCAGGGGTTGACGGCGCATTACGGACGTCGTGGTAGTGGATGATACCGTTCTCCGTAGAGACGTAGAAGAAGTTCTGGTCGTGGGGATCCCACCGGATGTTCTCGACATCGCTCTCGACACCCCACCTGGGCGCCTTGGCCTCAGGGGCTCTCATGTCTGCGGCGACAACCGTTCTGTCGTAGCTGCCGCTCAGAAGAACGGTGGACTCAACCGTATGCCACGCCAGAGAGCAGACCTTGTCCGTGTGGTAAGTGTACGACTTGGCACACTTCGCCGTGTGCAGATCCCAAAGCTTGACGGTCTTGTCTGCCGAGGCAGACGCCAACAAGTTCCTGTGCTTCCTGTTCGCGGCGAGAGCCAAAACGGCGTCGACGTGGTACTCGTCGTTAGCCTTGGCCTTCTTCTTCTTCTTTTTCTTCTTCTCCTCAGAACCCTCGCCGGCCTGACCCAGGATGGCGTTGGGGTACATGCAGTCCACCGTGTCCAAGTCCCAGACCTCAATATCAGGGTCCATAGTGCCGACGGCGACGAAGTTGGCCGTCGAGTCCTTGTCGACGCCAGCCTTTTGCACGGGAATGTCGAGCCACTCGACGCAGAGGGGTATCGCCGGCAGCATGATGTCGTGGTGGACGTAGAGGTTGTCCGCGGCGTCCTCGTAGACGTAGACCTCGAGGTGCGCCATCTCGTCCTCGACCTTGGCCGCGAGCAGCAGGTTGTCGGTCGCGAGGATCTGCAGGTCCTCGCGGTCCTCGTCCTCGTCGTCGTCCTGGTCCTTCAGGGTGATGTACGGGTCCTCCTTGTTCGACTCGTAGTAGGCCAGCGACTTGACGTTGCCGAACATGGCCATGCCCTCGCCCTGTCCGACCTTCTCCTCGTCGTCGTCCTCGTCGGTGTCGTCGTAGTGCTCGAGGTCGTACTCTTTCAGGTCCGCGTCGTTGATGTCGACCCTGGGATGGAAGTCAGTGATCCGGCGCTCATGCGACAGAAGAAGAAGCGGGGGGCACGAACTTCTCGGCTTTTGAGCTGGGAGCCGAGTCCTTTGCGGACATCGCCGCATCTTCCTCTTCTTTCGCGTCCTCATAGTCCTCCTTCGCGTCGTCCAGCTGCAGCTTGGCGAGTTCCGCTATGCGCTCGAACTCGGCCTCGTCGAATGTGTACTTGGAGGGGAAGGGTGCCGCGAAGCCTCGGGGCACCCATGTGGATGTTGTGATCATGGACATCTTGGAGGATGTCACCTGTGATCGGGTATATGGTCCGCGACTCAGATGCGCAGGAGATCAGGTTCAAGATCCAGGTGAAATCGTGGATCGAGAGAGAGAGGAAAAAAAAACTATCGGGGTCGGTCTGCAGGGCAAATCTGGGCGGCCCAACTGCGAGCGAAGGAAAAAAAAATTCGGCCCCATTGGTGGGGTTTATCTTATCTGTTTATCGATAAGAACCTTGAAATGACGATGATTTCAACCCAGATACCTACGTAACTCGGAGGGAAAATTGAGACAGCCGCTCTCACAAGGCTAGAATTATGATGGGTTTCATTTCTTGCTACTTAAGAGTTGATATTTGAAGAGATTCACGGATGAGCCTGGGCTTGGGCTGTTCCACGCATGAAGACACCGCGCAGCGCAACAAGAGATGTCTTGTGCTCAGCCTCCTTCTATCTTGTATATGTCTTTCATTCTAGACCATTAGCGCATTGAGTAACAATTTCAAAATCATATCAGATATCTTCACGTTGAGTAAATGCGTTATGGAAGGTGTTGGTTCAAATACTTTTTGATCTCCTCGAAAGAAGCATGTCTACCGCATAGCTGCATATTGCGTCTGGACCCACTTCGTTGCTGGCTTCCAGGTTCGGAGCTTTTGTTTACTGCATTTGCCATTTGAACCATTTGAACCAACATACAGCCAACAGCTACCTTCGAGCTAATCAGGGAGGATTTCGCATTCTCTATTGCTTTGCCTCGCTAAGGGTCCTTCGAAAGAAACGTGGCAAACACGACCGAGCTTGCGACAGCGAAGTTTCGGTACACTCCAACAAATTCGAGCGACAACGTCGAAGACGAGAATACGAAGCCAGGGGCAACGAAAGCGCATCCGAAAAACGATACCCTAGCGAGCGCGACAGCAAGGCCATCAAAATGTACGATAACAGAGACGGGTCGACGGCGCCCAGCTTCAAGCGGCGGAGGCTAGATGGCGGAAGATTCGACTCGGGGCGCTCGACGCCGCGCGACTCCCGGTCCGCCGCCACGCCGATGCGGGACGACGTGCCCGCGCCGACAGACGAAGACTCGAAAGCGCTGGACCGCGACTGGTACATGGGCGACGAATTCGGCGGGCACGTATTCGGGGACGACTCGCACAACCCGTTCGCGGACTACTCGGCGTGGGAGGCGCAGAAGCAGGAGGAGATCAAGGCGGAGAAGATGACGAGCAGGTTCGACGCGCGGAGGGAACAACGGAACCGCGAGAACGATGCCTGGGAGACGAATCGGATGCTGGTGTCTGGTGTCGCGCAGAGGAGGGATATGGGGGCCGATTTTGACGACGAGGAGGCTACCCGGGTGCATCTTCTGGTACACGACTTGCGGCCGCCCTTCCTCGACGGTCGTACTATCTTCACGAAACAGTTGGAACCGGTTCCTGCGGTGCGCGATTACCAGAGCGATATGGCTGTGTTCAGTCGGAAGGGCAGTAAAGTTGTAAAGGAGGCGCGACAACAACGCGAACGCCAGCGTCAAGCCCAGGAAGCCACCAGTATGGCGGGAACAGCTTTGGGCAACTTGATGGGTGTCAAAGAGGACGATGGGGATAGTGCGCTGCCAGTCGCGTCGGAAGAAATATCCAAGAAGGGCGGCGATGACAAGGGTGATGGAAAGGGCGAAGATAACAGTAACAGTAATAAGTTCAGCGCCCACATGAAGAAGGACGACGGCGGTGGCAGCGAATTCAGCAGGAGCAAGACGCTGCGCGAGCAAAGGCAGTACCTGCCCGCGTTCGCAGTTCGCGAGGACCTGATGCGGGTCATCCGAGAAAACCAAGTCATCATCGTGGTCGGCGAGACGGGATCGGGAAAGACGACGCAGTTGACGCAGTTCTTGTACGAAGACGGCTTTGGCAAGTCGGGCATGATCGGGTGTACGCAGCCGAGGCGTGTCGCCGCGATGAGTGTCGCGAAACGTGTCTCTGAGGAGATGGAGGTCAAACTGGGCAGCACGGTGGGCTATGCAATCCGTTTCGAGGACTGCACCAGCAAGGACACCGTCATCAAGTACATGACGGACGGTGTGCTTCTGCGAGAGTCGCTGAACGAGCCTGATCTCGACAGATATTCTTGCGTCATCATGGACGAGGCACACGAGAGAGCCCTGAACACGGATATCCTGATGGGGTTGTTCAAGAAGATCCTTCAGAGACGGAGAGATCTGAAGCTCATCGTGACCTCTGCGACGATGAACGCGAAGCGATTTTCGGACTTCTACGGCGGAGCCCCTGAGTTCATCATCCCCGGACGAACGTTTCCCGTAGACGTAATGTTCCACAGGTCACCCGTCGAGGATTATGTGGACCAAGCGGTCCAACAAGTGCTTGCCATCCATGTGTCCATGGATCAGGGAGATATTCTGGTATTCATGACGGGTCAAGAAGATATCGAAGTTACTTGCGAGCTCATCCAACGGCGGCTGGATGCACTGAACGATCCTCCCAAGCTCAGCATCTTGCCCATCTACAGTCAGATGCCTGCGGATTTGCAGGCCAAGATCTTCGACAGGGCAGCACCAGGCGTGCGCAAATGTATCGTGGCCACCAACATCGCCGAGACGAGTTTGACGGTCGACGGTATCAAATACGTGGTGGACGCCGGTTACAGCAAGATGAAGGTGTACAACCCGAAGATGGGTATGGATACGCTGCAGATCACCCCTATTTCACAGGCAAACGCGTCGCAGAGATCGGGACGTGCAGGCAGAACCGGCCCTGGCAAGGCCTTCCGTCTGTTCACCGAGAAGGCCTTCAAGGAGGAACTTTATCTTCAGACCATTCCCGAAATCCAGCGGACGAACCTCAGCAACACAGTGCTGATGTTGAAGTCTCTGGGTGTCAAGGATCTGCTTGATTTCGACTTCATGGACCCGCCGCCTCAAGACACCATCACGACGTCCATGTTCGATCTCTGGGCCCTAGGCGCGCTGGACAATCTGGGCGAGCTGACACCGCTGGGTCGCAAGATGAGCGCGTTCCCCATGGACCCTTCCCTCTCGAAACTGCTCATCACCGCGGAGGAATATGGCTGCAGCGAGGAAATGATCACCATCGTCTCCATGCTCTCCGTCCCCAACGTCTTCTACCGCCCCAAGGAACGCCAGGAAGAGGCAGACGCCCAGCGCGAGAAGTTCTGGGTGCACGAGTCGGACCACCTGACCTACCTGCAGGTGTACTCGGCGTGGAAGTCCAACGGGTGCTCCGACGGGTGGTGCATCAAGCACTTCCTGCACCCCAAGTCGCTGCGGCGCGCCAAGGAGATCCGCGACCAGCTGCTCGACATCATGAAGATGCAGAAGATGGAGATGCTCAGCTGCGGCATGGACTGGGACCTCATCCGCAAGTGCATCTGCAGCGGCTACTACCACCAGGCGGCCAAGTACAAGGGGTCCGGCGAGTACATCAACCTCCGCACCAACCTCGGCGTCCAGCTGCACCCGACGTCGGCGCTGTACGCGGGCCACCCGCCCGACTACGTTGTCTACCACGAGCTCATCCTGACGTCGAAAGTCTACGTCTCGACCGTCACGGCCGTGGACCCGCACTGGCTGGCCGACCTGGGCGGCGTCTTCTACTCGGTCAAGGAGAAGGGGTACTCGGTGCGCGACAAGCGCATCACCGAGACGGAGTTCAACCGCAAGATGGAGATCGAGGCCAAGATGGCCGAGGACAAGAAGAGGGAGGAGCAGAGGCTCGAGGCGGAGGCGGAGAGGTCGGCCAAGAGGAAGCCCGGCGCGGCCGTGGCGACAAACGGGAAGAAGATTGTTACCCACGGAGCTGTGAGGAAGCCTGTGATCAAGCGTAGGGGTAGAGGCGTTTAGAGCGTGAAATGAATAATACAGACGATTGGATCACGAATAATGAAGTGTCATGATGTGAGAGTGACACACCGGCCTTGGTGTTTCGTTCAATGGATGTGTACCACTCCTTTCCCGAGACTGACTCGGATGTTCACTCTTGAGCCAGATACTACGGCTTGCCCCTTTCTTGGCTAGCAATATTAGAGGTCAAAGGAACCGATCTATCGCCTCCTTACAGAAGAGCATTGCATGGACACATGCTTCAACCATGAGGCCTGAACGCATTTATCCATTTTGGGACCGTTAGTATTCCCCGTTGAATCTGCTATTTAAAGGTCGTTTATATGAGACAGCTACTTGACGTCGGTGTGATCATAGGAGGAAACGTGCTGAGTTAATACACGTACGAAATAGTGAAGCGGAAAGCAGATCGAATTAAACGCGATCACGCGAGAGAGTAGATTTTGAAAGCCAGCTCAACATTCAAACGCATGAATACCCGCTGGTGGAAGACAAACGGCGATGACGAAGGCTATCTTAGGCAATCATGACGCAAAACCCTCCAAGAGGCCCGAGTAGGAAGTTAAAGAGATCACGACGTGTGTATCAGACATATACCAGTGTTTTTTTTTTTCTTGAAGAGAACCCGAAGGATGTGAAACACTGGTTTGGTCTGTAGATGAATTGAGGCTGAGGACTTTGGTTTAAAGAACAACTGTCACTCTATTTGACTTTTCTATCAGAGTGAAAACAAAGCAGCAGATGTTCATTTTGCTCTTTTTAGAACAGTACATGTCGATTTACATCCTCAACATTAGACACACTACATGCGATCTTCATCATCACAGCAGATTTATCTGAGGTCAGGTGTGGAGAAGCATCGGGTCAAGTTTGAGCTGTAATTACCAAGTGAAGCACCATAGAAGATACCCCTGACGACCATTTAAAGCCTTTCTTCATACTGCATGGAACTGACGTTTGCTATCAAGCGACATTAGGGTCTGGTTCGGAGAGTGTAGCGTCAAGGGGTCAACTAGGGGCCAGGAAGCTTTCTTTTTGCATGTCGTTATGAGCAGTTTCACGTAGCTGAGTGTGAAGATAATGATACTTCAAGACGGATCGCATAGACGACAAACAACTAGGGCGAATACATGGACGAAAGCGGGGGACGATAGAAGTGCTTGGTGGTGGTCACTGCTGTCACTTGCACCCTTACGTTTCCATTGTATTGGTCAATCCGCATCCATGTCATTATGAGCACCTCTGTGGGTGAAGACCAACGAATTGCCTGCCCTGTCCGCAACGGTGTTAATATTCAATCTTTATGTGTTTTTATAGGTTTCTCTGTATCTCAAGTTGGGTGGTCTCCAGATCGTCCGAGCCTGTCATACTGCAGCCACTTTTCGCCGTAATAGCGTAACAACCTAACCTGAAATCAGATGTGTTGAAGATTGAAGCGTTAAAGTAACTCAACGAAGCCTCATAATAAGGCGCTCATAATATGGTGCTCTGTGTCCAAAGTACATATCATAGACTTCTGACGACTCTTTGGGACACTTTCATCACCATTGCTTGCACTTTCGTGTAACATATTCAAACTGCAGTTCCAGGGGATTGTTTGTACGTCAAGTCTATAGGCGCAAGCTATGCCATCCATGCTTGAGCAACCACCAACTCGTTGGGCTTATATATTCCTCTAACGTAGTTGTACGTGACGTCAGGACACTTCAAGATCCGGTCGGTTGGTAAACTGTGATCCTCATGTCCATGTAGCATCAGTCGTCACCAGATGATTTTATTTCTCCATCTCTTCCAAGTGCGGTCTAGTTGAATCCACCAAGTTAGTGATAGTATACAGGTAAATGACGGGAGGACGACAAGAACGCTCGGAGACAACGGGTGCACGTATCATGCGCTTGTTTCGCTATCTCTGATATTCAACTACCGACCCGTGGCCATGAGCTTGATGTCATAAATCAAGAAACCACCCGCTCTGCCCTATTTCCTGGCCTGTAATCTTTTAGTAATGTGCTGCTTAATGATTAATGCCTTTATACTTCTGATGAGCAGTCCTTGCTACTTCTCTCATCATCGGTCTACAAATCCTCAACAGATAGCAACCGCGCTCTCTCTTTTCCTCTCTCTATTTATGATCTAGCCTTCTTCTCCTCCGCCAACTTCTCGAAGCCTTGGACCAAATCATCCCTCAAATCCTCCCACGCCTCCACCCCGATACTAACCCTCAACAACTGCTTATCGCAGCCCGGATCGCTCATCGCGCGCCACTCAATTAGACTCTCGACACCACCAAGCGAGGTCGCGTGGTGGAACAGCTCCATCTTGCTCGGCAGTTTCTTGGCGCTCTCCTGATCCTTGAGCCAGATCGCAAACACGGGCCCGAAGCCCCCGGGCATCTGCTTCGCCACCCACTCCTCCTTCTGAAGGCTCGCGTGCACGACCTTGTCAACCACGCTCCCGACCACGCCCTCGGGGTTCTCCCGGATCTCCCGGTCCAGCCAGCGCACCAGGCTCGTCGCCGACTTGCTCTGCCGCTCCACGCGCAGCTCCAGCGTCCGGATCGACCGCACGCCGAGCCAGCCCTCCAGCCCGCCCATCACGCTGCCGATGTAGCACCGCTCCGCGATCATGCCGGGGACCCACTCGTCGGCGCGGGAGGGGTGGACGGCCAGCACGCCGCAGAGCATGTCGGAATGGCCGCCGAAGTACTTGGTGCCCGAGTGCATGACGACGTCGGCGCCGAAGTCGAAGGGGTTCTGCAGCGGGGGCGGGGCGAAGGTGGCGTCGACGGTCAGGTAGGCGCCGACGGCGTGGGCCCTCTTGGCGTAGTAGGCCAGGTCGCGGGCCTCGCCGGTGGGGTTGAGAGGGGTCTCGACGTGGAGGACGTCGCCGGCCTGGAGCTGGTCGAGGGAGGCGTCGTCGAGCTCGAGCTGCTTGAGGCCGTTGAGCTTGGTCAGGATGCGGATGACGCCGTGGCAGCCGTGGTAGCCGCCGCCGATGGCGACGCGTTTGGGGTTGAGGTAGACCAGCATGGCATGGAAGGCGGAGAGGCCGGAGGAGTAGGTGAGCGAGGGCCCGCCGAGGACGGAGGAGAGAACGGCCTCGAAGCGGGTCGTGTTGGGGGTTGAGTAGCGGGAGTAGATGTGGGAGTCGCCGGGCGCGCTCGGCTGGAGGGGAATCGGTCAGCTGTCATGGTTTCGTTTGACTCACTCACTCACTCACACTCCGCGCATGTTGCTCGAGAGGGTGAGTAAGAGGAACTTACATCGGTGTTCTCTCCTGACCGGAGGTCATCCGGGTTAGAGGAATACCTGTACGTCGTCGAGACGTGGATGGCCGGGGCGATGGCGCGGTGGGCGCTGATGCCGTCGTCGGCGTGGACGGTGCGGGTAGCTAGTGAGAGCTTGCGCAGGCCGTCCGCCGGTTCCGAGACGGGGCCGGCGCCGTTCGCAGGGTTGTCTACGGTCATTGTGTCGGGGGTTACGGCGGGGCCGATATTCTCACTCTCTTTCGGGGAACGGGCGAAGCCTGAGGTGAGGTTTCACTGAATGGAGGGGCAGAGATCGACGTCGAGGGCAGGACTTGGAGCTATTAATTCCTCTCAGGTAGAAAATGGTTGACATGGGTGCGATGACAATCGCCGGCGACGAGGGGTTGGTTCTCTGCCCCTCCATTACGTATCAGATGGTGGGGCCGTGACCAAACCCCGAAAATGGGTCCTGGTGCGACAAGTGCATGTTGAAAAGCAATCTTTGCGATATCACGCAAGCTAGAGACCGAACGATTGGAAAACGACTGCTGGTGTCAGCTCCGCTGGGCCTCCGGTATTCGGATCGTGTTGTCAACCGGCGCCCTTTCACCCCTTGGCATATCTGTTCCGTCTCCGATTTGCGGGTTAGTCTCCGCGCTGACTCTGTTGGTTTGGAGCGTCGGTCACGAATGTCACATGTCGAATTGTCCATGTGTAAGGTTGTTAACTGTTATCATTATCATTAAGAGCTTGTTCGCGAGACAACCGGTCTCAACAAGCTCTACTCGCCAGACCTGTTTCTTGCCGCCCGTATATGCATAACGCGGCCCAGCCCGATAAGCTTATAAATTGGCCCAACTCTAACAATGTCATAGCGAATGCGTCCCATAACCCGGGCCGCAAACCAGCCAATAACGCCAAGACCCTCTGGTCAAAATCTCCAACAGGGAGTTCGGTATGTACAAATCGAGAACCAGGTGCCGCGCATGATTAGTGAATTTCTGTCGTCTCGACTGAGGCCGCCGACTTTGGCCGCTCAATGGTGCCCAGTTCCTGACCGCCGCTCTGTGCGCGCTTTCGTCCGGACAAGAAGCGTGTTACGCTCGAGTTGGGGGAGTTGGCGCTCGGCTCCTTATGGTCAGAGTCGCCGAAGCGCGAGAACAGGCCTCGCTTACGGTTGGGCTGGTGCTTATGGTCATCCAAACCGACTTCTTCGAAGCCTTCATCGGCCGTGGGCAGGTCTCTGTCGGACCGCCTGTCAATGGCGGATCGAGGCAGACGCGGGAATCGTGCTGAGTCGAGACTTTGGCGCGGGGGAAGATCGGTTTGGGTGATTGGGGACCGTGCCGAGATGTCCTGCACATAAGCTGCGGTCAGCGATAGTGTTACGATAACCTCGCATGGAGAATGCAACGCACGAATGACCGCCTGTACGAGTCGAACGACTCCCTCGAGATGGAGAAGTGCTCGATGTCGCCGCTGTCGGTGCGAGTGTCTGTTGAGTTGCGACCCGAGCCGAGGTACTTGCGCGGCCAAAGACCCTTTTCTTCAGTTGGAGACGGCTGCGTGTGTGCATTAGTGATGTCTCAGGCGTACAAGATGGGTTGGAACATACGGGAAGGTAAACTCCGCTGTCGTTGACGACTGTATGGTTGGTCACAGTGAGTCAATTGATCTTGCGAGGTCCGACTGCAGTAGCGGGCAAAGGCACATACCGCTCATCTTATACTCGCCATTGTCCTGGCTCTTGGAGGTCCCGATGCTCAACGAAGACGAGGCCTTAGAACCGACAGTGTCCTGCTTCTCAAAACCAGGGTGCGACGGGTTTTGAGCATCTGGTTGCGAGTTTCCGTCTGCAGAGAGTGCGCTCGGGCCCGGACGGCGAGCAAAAGGGTTGCGGATGGTGGGCATGATGGGTGAAGGATGGCGGGAGTGTCGGAAAGACCTTTGAAAAGAGGCGATATTGAATCTGAGGCGATAGAATGATAGTAAGGCCTTGGTGCTTTCGTGGTGATTGTTGGAGGGAGAAATTCAGAAACGTTTGGTAATGTTTTCGAGTTTCGAGGTTAATGCCGGGACCGTTGACAATGGAAGAAAGCAATCAGTGGATCCTGAGGGCGGGGTTGGTGGGAAGGATGGGCGGGATGGCGATGAACTATATGGACGAGTCTTAATCGTCGGAGCTAAGGTAGGGTCTTATGTATGGTTGGTCGAGAATTCTGAAGTGTCTTGGTTCGGTGTCTCGTGTGGATGTTGTATAACTCGTCCGTTGCAGGGTCTCGACTTAGTTTACAGTCAGACGGTGGCTTGGTTGGGCGAATCGAGGTTGGATTGGCCTTCGGAGCAAAAGGGATGCGATATGTGGAGGAGAACAGAGGCGCAGGGCAATGCTGATGCAGATTGCAGATGCAGGTGCAGATGTAGAGATGCCAGTTGGAGAGACACGGCTGTATGTAAGGTAAGGAGAGACAAGACAAGACGAGACGGGAGTGACGATGACGGGATGACGGGAAGTCGAGCAGGCTTCGGAGTGGAAGGCGGTGCGCGGTGCGCGGTGCGTGGTGCGGGCCAGGGCAATATCATGGGGCGGGAAGGAAATCTCGTGCTGCAAGTTTTGGGCTGTGCTTTCCGTTTCTCCCTTGCGGCTTGCCCACTTCATACCTCCAGCTTCCATAGGTATGTTCCTTCCCTTTTTTCCCGCTCTTTTTCTCTTGGCCTGTCACTGTAAATGGCAGTTGCATCCACCTACTTGAGTGAGGTACGCACTACAGCCGGTACATTTCTAGCGCATCTGCCATTCAGGATCCAAGGTGACGAATGACCCTCTTGCAGATGCATCTATTGGATCATGAGGAAACGACACCACTTCGAACCTCACCACTCGCATTAATCGTCAGGGCAGAGTGGGCACTTGGGGGCTGGAGACCGGTAGGGGACCTACCTAGTGTACACCACAGAGTAAGGTATCCGTACTGATGAGCAAATGGTGCAGATTCACTGCCGCGGGATCACCGTCCAACTCCCCACCGCCACCAACATCTTACAGCACCTGTGCAAGGTACCTAACGCATTACACGTAAGAGCGGCAATGTTCATCACCTCAGTCTCCCATCGTCTTTGGGCGGAAGAAAGGCGCATCAGGCAAGGCAAGTTTGCTCAAATAGATGGATGGGGATTCGGCAAACCGGGAAACTTGGAAGTCGACTCGTCGTCGTCAACCGCCAATGGACAGACCGCCCGGTCACACCGAACTTGCTGTGAACCTTGAAGCTTCTGCTTTGGCAGGGCAAGGGGGCCTTGGTCGGTAAGGAAGGCACAATGACATGTGTTTGTCCCATGTTTTTTTCCCCGTCCGACAGCCGCCAACTGATGCTAAAATCTCTAGGTTCGTCGGATCGTCACGAGATGGTACGCGGTGCGCCACCTTTTTTACACCAAAACGGATGTACCTACCCATTATGTAAGCCAGCTCTCGGGGAACCCTGCGGCCTGCACTGCGCTCCCGCCCGCGATGATGGGGTGACGCTTGCCGTCATCCACCTCATGTGTTCAGCGCTATCCCCGCTACGGTCGTCCTTCCTGCCCGCCCTGAATTATCCTGGCTCCAGCGGTTAAATGGGCCCCCACCATTGAGAGTTGAGAGTCGAGAGTCAAGTTTTGGTACTCTGTAGAGGCCGAGACTTCTTTCGATCCTGGCTGCGAGCTGGCAACCTCTGATCCAATGGGTCACAAGTCTTGACGCAAGAACCAAACCCGACCATCGTGGATGGAAGGGCCGTCTTTGATCAATCTTCACACGGAACATTGTCCCTTTTGGTCGACTACTGCCCTCCACAGTATCATATTGTTCACCCATCAACCCGCAGACGGTGCTGGTCGGATGCCTCGGCACCGGGTTGTAACGACTTCGCGAGATCGGCATTCCGATTTTCCTATCTGCCCCCAAAGCCACCGCGGACCTGCATCATGTCCGTCCAGCCGTCCCTGATTCACCGCATCGGAGCGTAATGTGCACGGCGCGCCTGTCAGATGGATGACGCTCTCAATTACTCGCGACCGACTCAAGCTCCTTACCACTCAACCACTCCCCCGGACCGGGAACCTTTCGACCTACCACGGGGAACGGCATCTTGCCGGAATCCACTCACCCTCCGGCTGGAACGGCAGTCTCCGTGACATTTGGAATCCTCGCATGGAGGGCACGTGTAGGATACGCCGGCCATGAGGGCGAGCTCCGGTACCGCTTGCTGATTCCTCATCTCGGCAATCATGATGAACCCGATGATGGGAAAGAGCCCCTCGTACCGACCAAACACCTGCGTGAAAAGGTCAGGGAATTCGGTCGTGCCGTATCGCATGAGTTGAACTTGGTGCACAGTAACTCTCGTCGGGACAATCTCGCCTTCTTAACCAATTTGTCGGGCTCTAGGACGCTGCAGGACGGGGAGCGCCGTCGTCATCGCCAACTACGCCAAGGCACGAATGCGGAGGTAATGACTCCGACACGCAAAAGGTTGACTCGCATTGGAAACGAACAGCCATCGCCCGCCTTTCCACCTCCATGCCAGCGGTCACCGACGATGGCTTCACTCGACTGTGAAGGCGCCAGCGCCACGTTCGAGACGTTCGAGTTTGAAGAAAGCTTGAACAAGTCAGCATGTGTATGGAACTTCCCCCTACAAAGATGCTCGGCTTGAGTGGGCTTGGGAGTTTGAGAAACGATTAAGCCATACCCGCCGGATTGGGTATCGCGATCCAGCTGCCCCGCGTCATTGTCACAATTCGGTTAATCGGAAGGGTGGGCGCTCCAGCTGTCTCGGGGCGGACGCGGAGTGGCTACACACCTCCCGCCATCGACACAGCTGACAGCGGAAGCTTCCCTGGTCTGGAAATCAATGATGCCAAAAAGGTTGGTATGACGAACAGCTTCTACACGAAAATTGGAGCATATTCACGCGATGCTGAAATCGTGAGTTGGATATCCATATTCGCCCCTGTTCGATAATTCACTAAAAGGTCCTACTGTTTCCGCCCCCGTCAACTGAGAGGATTTGTAACTCGATTGTCGACCAAATACGCCGGATGTGGACAGATCTACCGTTTCTGTCTTGGAATGTTTCTTTGTCCAAAGATGATCTCTTTCGGCGAGGCGGCCTCGGGAATGATTTCGCAACGTCGGACCTTCGAGGAGAACCAGCGATCAATCCAGCGCTTGCATATCGCCTTTGTTACCTTGAAAGAGAGGAACCGCCTGGCTGCGATGATCACCAAAGTCGCTGTCAGCGGCTCAGGATCTGACGATGGCTCGCTTATGTCGGGCACCAAATAGACCAACCACACCCTGGACGTGTCTTCATAACACCATCTCGATCGATTTGCGGGCAGACAAAGAAAGTCAGCTGTGCTCTCGAAACCAGCATCGCCCCAGGCTGAGGTGCCCAATGATGTTCGCGCGAGGTGGACAGCATGGCCGGTCTAAGTGTTGAATATGGATTCATGAGCTGGCGCATCGCAGAGAACCGGCAATACTCCGTACATATAGTCAAGCGGAATTCGGGACTACCCTGACGCCGATCTGGTATCTTCGGGGCCCGCACTAATCGGCGGCAGATTGGCGAGCTGCAGCAAGCATTCTTCTCGGAGATTTTCGTGGAAGCATCCCAGAATATCTCACCAGCAAGTATTTCGTGCTGGTTGGTGTTCATGACATGCTGAAGCATGGCCGGCGGAGGCTTGGCAGGCGAGCGGCCTCGCAACATGTCAATTTGTCAACCTCCAACGTCGACTTGCAAATTCAACAGGTCTACGCTGAATTATCGGCTACAGTGGTGTCATCGCGTTGAGACGAAGGTAATTTCCAAGCGTCCGTGGGAAGGATGAGCCACGGGCGCAGACCAACCGCTTTGACATCAAGCGTGAAATCAAGGTAACTCGAACCGTATATTTTGCGCGGGAGGCCTTCAGGTCCAACATCTCACTGTGGTAACGAGGCGACGTCTGTTCTCCCCAGTCCTCACCTTGGGACCATATGGCGGCGTGCTAAGCCGGCGCCATGGTATCTAAGCAGCTAAGAAAAGAAGCATATGATATGATCGGCCGTCGAGCGTCCGAGCAGTTCGGACGATATGCACTGGACTGCTAACGGCCGTCACAAGAAGAGATGCTCAAACACTCCTTCTGGCCGCTAGGGTCGCACTCGATCGTACATTGCCCATCATTCGCCAAGGCCTATGGTTGTTTTCAGGTCGATGCCGCCATTCTCCACACGCAATGCGATGCTATGTAAAGCACATACATTCCCGCATGCTTCGATATGCGGGAGTCGGACGGGGATCATCGCGACAGTGAGATCTCCAGGGGTACGGCGACCGAAGCGGCATGCGAGGCTGTGCTTCGCGTCGACACCGTTCCTGCATTAACTCGTCGTCCTCCATTGCGGGAGGAAACCGCATGCAAACCTGAGGCATGCAACATTGCAGGACGGCTACACGAAATATGCATCGAGGACAGACTGAATGGTAGGCCAAGTGACGCTTAAAGACAATAAGGTCCCAGACCCAGAATCTCGGGAATGCAAAGTGTCACGAGAAGCTTAGAATCGACCACGTTCACGTCAAGACATGACGCACGGAGCCGTGGCAGCCAGCGAACAATACCGAGCATCACGAGAACGTGGCAGAGAGTGGCTTGACTCTCGCCGCGAGCATACACGAGCAAACAGAGCACACCGAAGCAACTGGGCAAAAGCTCGACTTCCCAAGATTCCCGGTCTGAAAATCAGGTGTGGCTTGTCTGCCGAGCTTCCTTCGGCGCTAAGCAAGCAAGCTAGGGTTACCCGTCCCGTACCTTGCATTCCGCAAACAGCCATTCAAGACTTCTTCCGTGGTGGCATCGTACCTTGGAATGTACCGTCGGTCGGATTCCCACGGCTCTCTAGAGTGGCGTCACACTACGCACTTGCTCTTCGACTCAGCAGTAAGCGCCCATCGTGCCAACATGGCGGCAGCAGGGCTCACCACTGTGGGTTGAGTAAGAGCCTCTCCCAGGCGCCATGGACCAAACGCAAACAGGAATAGTGTCTTGTTCCGATCCGCAACATAGGATCTAGATGGAGGAGCAAAGATGATTCAGACTTCTGCTCTGCAGTAGGCCATGAGGGCGGGAGCATTGCTCGGAAACTACCACGGTAATCTCAACCTCACTACCACCACACCCGGTTCCCACTGCCCCTGGAAGGTCTGGAAGGAAGACGTCGACAGTCGTGGTTGTACTCAAGCTCGCACGTCCTCGGCCGGCGCTCTTTTCGTCCATACACTCGATAATCCTCCCATCTCCACTTAGACGATGGAGGTCGACCCGCCACAGTCGACATACACTGCCCGAGACGGACGCTGGTTCACGGTCGTCTTCAGTCTAGTCCCAGTCCAGCTTCTCTCGAGGACTACTAGGTCTGGGCCTTCGTGAAGTTGTCCATCGTGGGTGTGTGGTAGTGTTGTGGTGAGTTGTGTTTGCTGCAGTTATCCGTGTACCTTGTTTCATACAAAAACTGCTGCCATCCGTCCAACCACTCACACCCTGTGTTTTGCCATCCCACATGGGTTTGTTTTCTCCTCTTCACCGCCAAAGGCTTTTAATATCTTTCACTCTGCCTGTGGTCTTCTGAATACGAGGTTACTTCACTTCGAATTTTGTTTGACTAATACTCGACAACGTCGCAGTCCTGGCTCGGTTCGACCACCAACCGTCCTTCGAATCACGATACGAAAACAGGCCTCAGTAATTATAATCCAACTTACAGTGTCTCCAAAGTGCGACTGTTTTTCCCGATTGGAATATCTTTCGCCAAGCGTCAAAGAGTGCTAGGTTGAATCAAGAACTTGCCACTCAAACCGTTCATCCGAACCGTCCCTGCCGCTTTCGATCAAGACCCTGGCCGAAAACAGACGACAGAACGTCACACCTCAGGGCAACGAACGACTTCAGCACTCAGAAAGACTTTTGCTTCACTTCCTCCGTTGCCTCAAGTAGACGGAGCGGTGCTCCGCGGCACAATCACATTGGCCATCTTTCCTTCGACATCACGCACCTTCCTCATCTGCCTGCTCAGACCTTGAGTACGCTTCTCATCAACCAACCACTACCCCTCTAAAGAGTCAAACTTCACAATGGAGAAAGTTTTCTTCAAGGACTGGGAGCTGTGGCAGCAGATGACCTTCGTAAGTTTTGTCCATCTCCTCGCCGTCGCATCTCAAGCCTGACATGTTGCTTTAGGTCCTCGCCTGCGCCATCGTCATCGTCTTTATCATCGGTTTCATCAAACTATGGTGGACAAATCGCTACATGGCGAGGATCGAAATCATCGACGCCGAGAAGCGAGCACATGCCTCTGAGATGGAATCGACCGGCCTTCCTCCCCCGCGAAAACAATCAGACATTCCCTTTGGAGTTCGCGCCATTCAATCTGGCATTGAGGTCGACGGTATCTGGATCTCTCGTCCTGGTACTCCTGCCAGTGACTCTCCTCCGAGTTCATCCAAGGGCAAGGGCAAGTACGTCGCCCAGGGACCCATCGAGCCATCCTCTCCCACCGACTCCGATCCTTTCAACTCTCCGACATCGTCCACATCTCGTGGCAACTACGGCCCGCAGACGTACCGACCTAAGTCCATGTCTTCGACGAACCGTGTCGTCAACAGTCAGGCCGATGCTCTCAGGCGTCTTGAGGGTGAGCCCACTGCTGCTGTCAACTACCAGCATTACCAACCTCAGCCCCGAGGAATTATGCATGACGATCAGTACGGCCCTACCGACCGCATCTCGACCGACTACGGCGTCGACGTCAGGGTTCCTATTCGCCCGCCGCCTGTCAACCGCCATCTGAACAACGCTCGCACTGGTGGAAGCTCCAACGCTCCCAAGACGACTGGCCACGGCGTTCGTTCCTTCAGCGGCAGTCTTCAGATTCCCAAGCAGGGTTACTCCAACGTCCCCCAGGGTTCTCCTGGTGACCACTTCAGCGACCCCTTCGCGACCCCGAGTCGCTCGCCGGTCACCACTCCTGGTGCCGACCATGCTCTTTTGCACTCCCAACATCAGCAGCACCATGTTACATTCGCGCCAGATGAGTACATACACGAGGAGGACCACCACCATGCCCACTACGGCAGCAGCGGCAGCCCCAGCGGCAGCAGCAGAAGCAGTCAGTGAAGCGGCGTGTTGGAGGAGAACCCTACTGGGAGGAAAATATACTAGGAATGGCATTGTTGGCAAAGCGAGTTTGCGTCTGCGTGCTTCGGCATGCCTTGAGACATCTTTCTTCACTTCTCTTGGAATTCAAATATCAATGTATCATTAGTAAACTGCCGAAAACGGGCTGAGTGGCTGGATAGGAACAAAGGGATTTCGTCGCCCAAAAAGAAGGCACGATGGCGTTTGAGGGCTGTAAAAACACGGACGGACTGAGCAGAGCTTAGACGGTAGGGCAAACCCCCCCGCAGGAGGAGGCCCCAAGAATGGAAGTAGAAACGCACTATCCTTAACTGCTCGATAGAGAGAATAAACAAGAAGAATTAAGAAGAAGTCAGATGGTCAAATGATTTTCGATACAGCCTTTCTTGAACAGAGTTGGTCAAGTTGGGTTTTACCAGGGGAAATTGAAGATGCACAACAAGCTTCCATAGGTAGCTCAGCATGCAGTAAGCCCAATACCCAACCTGCAATGTCATTCGCTCCCACGACCGCGTGCTCGGCTCGGACTGCTCCGTACTTCGGCGCAACCTCCGCGATTTCGGCACCGGCCGCCGGATATGCGAAACTCCCGCCACGCCTCTCATGGGTCCCATTCCTCATTGCCCCTCCCACCCCACGCCGCAATGACGTGCGACGGCGGAGGAGGAGGAGTTCTTGGCTCTGCGGGATATCATTCTGTGTTCCTAGGGGACATTTCCGTCTGCGCGATATCGCTTTCCTGAAATCGCCATTGCTTTTTTAGAGACCTCGGCTTTCGAACGCTTCCACCGGCGCCCAGCGTTTCGAGTCCCGTACTAGAGCGAGGTGATTACCACGTTGTTTTAATTGAACGACGAGACATCAACACAAGGCATACACATTCACACACAAACGATGGCGCCCACCGAACTCCACCCCGGCACCAAGGGCTTCGCGGACGCGGCCACCTACGACGCTTACCGGCCCTCGTACCCGCCCGAGGCGGTGCAGCGGTTCCTGACGCACCTCCGGATCGCCGACTTCGCGCACGCCAACGTGCTGGACCTGGCGGCCGGCACGGGGAAGCTGACGGAGGTGCTGGCGGCGCGGCACGAGGGGTTCGAGATCGCGGCCGTCGAGCCCCACGCCGAGATGCGCGCGGAGCTCGAGAGGAAGGCGTTGAGGGGCACGAGGGTCCTCGACGGGTTCGCGGCGAAGGTGCCGTTGGAGGAGGAGTGGGGCGATGCGTGTGTCGTCGGGCAGGTTCGTGGTCTCTTGTGGAAGCTGGGGGGAGTGAAGGCTGACTTTTGAACTTTGTAGGCTTTCCACTGGTGAGTTCGGATTTCTTGGGGAGGATGTTCACTCGATGAGGATCTAAGAAGATTGGTAGGTTCGCGAACGAGGACGCTCTGAAGGAGATCCACCGCGTCTTGAAACCGACGGCCGTCCTGGGCTTGATCTGGAACATTGAAGACTGTAAGATCCTCCCCCCCAATCCCACGTCGTTTCACGAATCTCACGAAGAACGACCACCAGACAACAAGCCGAAGCACTGGGAAGCCAGCACGCCGTGGGAACAGTCCCTCAACGAGCTCGTCTTCACGCTCGGCGGCGACGGGCAGCCGCGGTTCCGCGACTTCGTCTGGAAGGACGCCTTCGACCGGCAGCTCGACTCCAACCCGCTCCGGGCCGTGGCCGGCGTGGTCCTCGAGGGCGGGCGCAAGATGCCCCTCTTCAGCGTGCCGGTGGGCGAGGAGAAGGTGCCGTTCACGGTCTGGCTGACGCCCGAGGCGGTGTGGAACCGGCTGAGGACGCTGAGCCAGGTGGCGGTGCTGGAGGGGGAGAGGGCGAGGGGGTTTAAGGCGAGGTTCGATGAGATTCTGGCGGGGGAGACGGTGGAGAGGAATGAGAAGGGGGAGGTCGCGTTGCACGGCGTCACGTATTTTGCGTGGACTTCGAGGTTGTAGGTAGGTGTGAAGACGGAGTGGGTGGATTGAGGGTATATTTTCTTGCTTGAAACTGCATTTCTTGTTGCGAGTACATCATCCATAGACGACGTTGCCCAGACCATGAGTTGCCCAATTCTTATCCATCATTCCCTAAGAGTCGGCAGAGATGTACATCACTGCATCGAAGTCAGAACGTTGATACATCTCGAAGACATGAATGTTTGCTCACCGTTGTTTCCTCTTACGAACGCATCGCCGTACGCCCGCCTCTTGACGCCGTTGACGTACTCCTCAGTCTTTTCCAGAGCGATGTTCATGTAGCCATCGACGGACTGCAGCTCACCTATCGCGACTGTCAGCTCGACACAACACAGCCAGAGCTCGGCCATCATGTCTATATAGAGCTGATGACCAGGGTCGAGGACCACTCACCCTTGTAGACGACGCCCGAGTTGAGCTTCACGGTGACGGGGTTGCCGATGATGTCGCTGAGGAAGCTGGAAGGGTCCTTGCCCTCGCCCTGGCTGATGTTTCCGTTCTCCATCGCTCAGTTTATGGATTTCACGTGTAATGGGCGGGCTGTTTCGGGGGTCTCGTGTTTGCGGTGGTTGAGAGGTAAGTGAGTGAGAGAGTGAATGAGTGAGGCTGATGGATCTTGGTCCTCGATCGGTTGACGATGTTCGAAGATTGCTGGCAGCTGGCGTCGATGCCAAAGTGGGTCCGGCGAAAACACCCAACCAAGTACCTGCCCGTACCGTTTTAGCGCACCGACATCCCGGGGCGGCCAGGTCCCAGGGTGGTTCGCACTGTAAGGCTACCCGGCCGCCGCACACCCCACGCGCTGAAGCGTGCAACACACTGCGAGCAGCAATTGCTGGTGGTGGTGGTGGTGGTGGGGTCCAGCAAATCAATTCTTGCCCGCGCTTCTCTCACCACGGAAACACACCACCGCACCCAAAGGCAACCGCCCCCAACACAATGGCCGCACCTGCTTTCCCCAGTCGCATTGTCGTGATGTTCTCCTTGCCTGCCTCGTGTGTTCTGGCATAGCCCTCCGAACTTACCGAATTTCCTGTCGTTTCTATAAATCCATAGCCTCGGCTGAATCTCTCTCCCTTTCTCATAGAATTTCTTCCGCGGTCCCCCCTTGGAAGATACCCCTGCAAAACCCATCGCATTTCATCACGGCTTCTTTTTTTTCTGACCCCTTTGGACTAAAATACTGTCGCGCAACTGCAATGGCCGACGCAGCAAAACAAAAGAAGCGCTTGCCCTTCAAGCCAACCGCCTTGCGTCAAAAATCCGCTCCGAAGCCTGCCGTGAAGAGCGACGATGAAGACAACGATGACGGCTCCAGTCTTTTCAACCGCGGCGCCAGCGTCTTCGAGCAGGAACAGGAAGAGCGGCGCATGAAGCGCAAGCAGACCGAGAGAGAACGAAGCATACAGGAGCAGTCTTCAGTCGACGAGAAAAAATTCTCCCCTCGAACAAGTGAAGACCCTTTCCAGGGAAAGAGCTACCACGACAGGTAAACCGGCATTTTCGCAATGCGCTGCTACCCACATTCGCTAACAAGTCCATCGTCACGGCAGAGATGTAGATACAACACCGCCCTCCAAACGATCCCGCACAAGCGACGAATCCCCCGAGTCAAGAATCAAGTCATCGCCTTCCAAACGCGCCGCCACCGAGACGCCATCCAAGCGCATGACCCGCGCTGCGCACTCCCGAACGCCGCGTAAGCAGGAACCTGTGCCGTTGAAGCCCGTCATCTCCATCGACGATAGCGACGACGATGAAGACGACATCTACGACGCCTCCCCCGTTCGCAAACCCATCCGCGAGACCTTGGAACGCGACCCCACGCCGCTAGTCATCGATGAGGACGACGACGACCCGTTCGAAATCGATGACCCCGCTGCGGCGGATGACGAGGACGACGATATGGCAGCGTACGTCCGAGCGGCCAAGGAAAAAGCCGAGAGAAAGGCTCGAGAACAAAGTGCAGAAGCGAAGCACACCGTCATCGTCTTCGTACACTCCGAGATCCCCGGTGTCGACCCAAAGCAGTTCCGCTTTCCTCTCACAAAACCGATCCGCGTTCTACGCAAGGCCTGGATGGATTTCCACAGCCGCCGTATAAACCTCACGGATACAGAAATATCGGAGGTCTTCCTCACCTGGCGCGGCCACAAGCTCTACGACTTGTCCACCCTGGACAGCCTCGATCTCCCTGGCGAGTACCGCAAGTGCAAGGGTCAGCCGGAAGGATTCAAAGACGACGACTGGAAGAATGTCATCATGGAAATTTGGACCCCGGCTCTGTGGGAGGAGCACGAGAAGCAGCTCGAAAGGCAGCGGAGGCACGATCTCGGGGAGTTCTCCGAAGATGAGGGGGGAGATGATCAGGCAGAAGTGGTTGAGGCCGAGCCGGAGGAGAAGAAGATCAAGGTCCTCCTCAAGACCAAGACGGATGAGCCACTCAAGACTTCCGTGCGTCCGTCCACGTCCATCGCCACGATAGCGGAGCTCTTCCGCAAGATGAGGGGACTACCGGAAGATGCACCTATAAGACTCATGTTCGATGGCGACGAGCTGGACGAGGACATGACGGTGGCCGACGCCGACATTGACGATTTGGATACGATTGAGGTGTACCTTAGGTAACGTGGCCTCTTCGCCCGCGTCTGTCAATGTGTCGCGCCAGTGGTCGTACTCTTTGCTATGATCATCCTACCAACGGCAGGAAGATCGGGGTGGGATTTGTTCGAGATACCCTAGGAGTTTGAGCGTTTCTTACTTGTCGCGGGAACTTCTTGTGGAAACGGCCGGCGAGGTTACAAAAGTCTTCAATAATACCTTCGTACAAATCATTCCATCAATCCCCCGTCTCTTCCGGATCACGTTTGCTGTCAGGATTGGAGTAGAATTTTTGTCATTATGGACGAAGCCGGGATTTTCAGCTAAACTCTACACACGCCACAATCTCTCTGGGCCCCATCGAGCTGGGAGATTGGCGCCCCAATCGCAAGGACACAGGGCGTGGCAGCAACATCAAGCCATTGGGCCCATCTACTGCTGTGTTGGTTTCTGAGGAGAACCGGCAGGGTGAAGAGCGGCTTGCTCTTCGGGATGCATTTGCTTGTAAGCGAACTCCGCGAGCTGCCTCCGCGGTGACATCGTTTCTCTGCGCCGTTTGAAGTCTTCTTCGGACGAGTATAGCAGCCCCGGCCTCGTCCTCGCCTCCTCCGTCGCGCTGATGAACGTCTCCCATAAGGAAGCGTTCGCCTGCCGCCCCGTCCCATAGATCCCCTTATGGGGATCACCGGCCGGGGTATCCGTCAGGTGGAAGCGCGCCGTCAAGAAAGAGGGAAGGTTGCCAATTTTCGGGAGCAGGATATTGGACGTGGGCTCCTTGTCGGCCCTCGTGATACCCCCGTACACGTCTTCGGGCCAGGGGTCGACCAGGCCGTCGGGCAACTGGACCGGCTCGTTCAAGTCAGTGCCGTGCTCGGCCGCGCGACGCTCCTGGTCTTCGCGGTAGTGCGGGTTCGCGCTCTGCTTCGCCTGCAGCCAGAGGTACCTATGAGGGAAGACGGTGAGCTCGTCGTAGACGTCCTGGTAGTCGGCGACGATGCAGGTCATGACCGCCGAGAGGTTCAGCTCGGGACGGCGCCAGACCATTTCTCGCAGCGTGTCTCTCGTCGGCAGGTGCGGGTACCAGACCACGAGGGGGAGGTCCGACGGGTCGACGCGCTCGTCGAGGCGGGAGAGGTCGTTGTTCATGATGAACCGAGCGTGGACAGCCTGGCGGAGCGCGAATGCTTGGACCTGTTCTGCGCCGTACATCTCTTCCATCCGGGGCTCCAGCCACCTCGCGAAGGAAGTGTGGTGGTAGATGCCGCGGGCAACACAAAAGAGTTCGTTCATCACCCGCTTGGGGCGCCTCAGTCGAGCGTAACGGTCGATGCTGCCCTCGTAGGCGGCCATGTTGATGAGGACGTCTTTGTACGTGGTCGGGAGATCTCGCGGTAACGGCGAGTACAACAGGTCGACGTGCTCTGGGGGCATCGGCCCGAAGACTTCGCCGCCGTCAGCCTCCTCTCCGATGACCTGGTCCTCCTCGATGTCGAAATAATGCGCTGTCTCGCGTTGGGAGCCCAAGCCCAAGTAGGACTCTCTGTAACTGAGGGACGAGCGGACCGCGGTGTCGCCATTGAGATGCGCGCCGGCCGGGGGGTCGATGAGGCGGACGGTACGTGTGTAGTCGTCCATGACGTTATACCTCACGCTCTGGCTCACGATGGCGTGGAAGATGGAGGCGCCGCTCGTGGTGTTGTCCTTTGCCTCCTCGGCGATGGAGACGTCAGGAAGGAGGTCGAGCTCGTGGTACAGCTTGTTATAGCCCGCCACAGCGCAGGCGCGCCCTACATTATACCTCATTTCCGGGTACCGGCGGGCGAGCTCCCTATAAGTGTCCTCGCTGGCGACATCCGGGTGCCAGATGCAGTAGGGCTTGACGTCGTCGGTGGGCATGTCGGGGACGACGTTGCTCATGATGAGGCGGGCGTTGCGGGCGCGGGCGAATTCTTGGCTTTGCGAGGAGAGGGCCTCGACTTCGGGTGAGAAGGCGAACTTTTCGTGGTTCCGTATCCCGTGGATCACGGCGGCGTCCCCCCTCAGCTGCTTGGCCAAGGCATTGTGAATGACCTGCTCCATCTGTGTTGGGGGTAGCAAGTCTTTCAGGCTTTTGGCCTCGTCTATCATGCGTTTCAGCTTGTCGCGGGTCTTCCGCAATATGTTGCGGTCGGGTATGGCCTCACCGCGCAGGGCGGAGAGACACTGCATGTCCAGAGTATCTTTGTTCAGGTGGTCGAAGCCCAGATCGACATCGGGTGTTGCCTCGTCGGGCTGCTTCGTAGAGGCGTACCGTGTGGAACATCGAGAGGGTTGTACAGGCTTGTTGTTCTGGTGGTGACGAGGCCCGTTGCGAGGAACGCCTGTTGTCGACAACGTACGGATGGCACATCTTCTCGTCGCAGTCAACGGGTGTGAAGATGCGAGAGAGCTGCTACCGAGACATGGAGCCAACAGCTTCCGCGCGCGGGAGAATGATCGCATCGGCACTGTCACTGGAGATCTCTGAAGCGCTGTTTCTGAGGATGATCCAGAGCTCTTGAACACCAAACCGACGCCTTGAACGAACGAGAGAAATCAAAAGAAGACAATATGATGCCCGGACAGCTTGGGATATCTTAAATTACAAGAGAGTAGAAGAACGGCCCGGTTTCTCAAAGTGAACCGGTGTCTGCTTGGTTCAAGTACCCAGTCCAACGAAGAACGAGGTGGGCCATGTCGCTAGGTGAGGTCCCCAGTGTAAGTCCCTGAAAACCTCACCTTCCCGATTCGGACGGACCGTTGAAATGTTGACGATATGCCTGCTAGAGCCCGGAATCTGCTCCTACGTTTTCAAGCTGACGATGTTTCCTGCTTCATCAGCTTGCTCTATCTCGAGACTCGCTAGTCGAACGATCACGGAGCAGCGGCAAGTCGCCAGTTCGCCTCCGTCTGTTCCAACATCATAGCATCGTGAGCTCTCCAAGCCCGAGCGAGAACAAAATCTGCGGCAAATGACGGTGAAATTTCTCTCACAGGTCTTACTTCCCAACAGGAGCACATCTCATCCGGCACGTCCAGCCGGACTTGGCATGGGCCCAGAGAGCGCAGTCGTGAACCAACAACCTAAGATCCCTGCCATCTTTTGAGTGAAGCTAGGATTGGCCCCACGATCATGATCACACGGCGTCCCGACTTGGCAAAGCTTGTTGGTCTAATAAGCCCTGCCTGGAGCTTTTGACGAGTGGCGTGTCAATGTCCCGTCTGTGCCGCCGGTGAGCTTCCGGAACTTGTATGACGACTAGGATTTCTGCTCAAGGTAGAGTTCCTCCTTTTTTTTCGATTAGGTGGATTGCTGTGAGAGCTCATTAGTTAAGTGAAGTCTCTTGCTCTATGGAACTGACCTTCCATCCATGAACGACGTCTCTTTCCCTCCGGAATGTGTAACATGAGGCAGCGGAATAGATCAAGGCGGGGTTGTCCTCGCGGTCTTCATAAACCTAAGGACCGCATACGGGACATCACTTTCAATCAAAAGCTCCTCCTCACCAACATCATGAGTAGAGCTCGACAACGTCTCAGCAATCATGTTTGGACTAGAAAGCTGGTGACTTGATCGCCTACAGATGCTAGGCGCGTGAGCTCTATTGAGATGTTCTCAGTGAACCAATCGGTTCGAATAACGTAGAAACCCGAATTGTCAAGTTAAGGTTCCGTAGGAACGCGCCGGACTCTAACGTATTTCGATGAAAACGCTGTATAGCTTACGGAACGAAGGAATACGTCTCCGTTTCCAACATACCTTTGACGAGCAGTGTTTTCCCGTCTGAATCGTTCCACCGGTACCTGAGCCTGGCCAGACCGCACAGATGGCCCGGCAAAGCACGCCATCCCTTGCGCATAAAGTTTCATGACGCGAGAAGGGAAACACATTCTGGTTGGGACGGAGGCGAATCTCCCATCAGCTTTCCACGTTTTCCACTCTTACCAGTGCGACCGCTTCAGCTGATGACCGTCTCATCTATCGGATTCTTCAATAGGGACACATGAGATCCGCCAAGCTGCGATCCCGCGCAACCGAGAAGTATAACAATCCCAGGAAGTACGAAGAATCGAGGCAAAGAGTCTGAGCGGTCGTCAATGGGGCTCAACGGCCGCCGGGGTTAAGTAAAGCAACGACATCTCGTGGGATGCCGCGGGCACCCCTGGGGGTCGAGGATCATCGAGCAGGGGGGGTGCTGTCTCGGTGTCTGCCTCGAATGGTTCTAGAATGAAGCAGACGGTGTGGATGACTAGCGACACAAGAAACGTGGTTCATTCATGCGCTTTTGCAGGATGCGGCCGCTTTAGCTCTGCTGGATATGGGAGATGGCCATTGACCTCGATCTTTTTCTCGCGGTAAGTCACTGTTATTGAAGATCGCACACTGGAATATGAAGCTGTCGCGGTCTCACCTTAAGCTGAATGATTCAACATTTTCATATTCGATCGCCAGAATTCGTGATTGGCGCATGCATTTCCCACAGCCCAATTACATCCCCAAACGCCATGCCAAATCCCAGACTTCGTTTTCATGTACAACCACCCGCTTTCCATAATATACACAACGAAACAGTCCCCCCCCCACGCAATAACACCCTCACCACAAAACCCACGGCGGGGGAGGCATCGCCAACATCCAGGCATCAAGCCACCTCGACGCCGCGAACCCCGCCACGAAACCCCCCACCGCGATCGCAAACATCACGCCGGCCGTCAAGCTCGGACTGACGTCGTGATCCAACCACGTCTTCCGGAACCGCAACTTGCCCACCCTCATGTGGAACATCTCCTCCACGTCGACGACCCCGCGGTAGTTCGGTATCAGCTCCGTCGACGCGCGCTGCGTGTAGTGCTTCCGCTGGACCCTTTACGTTGCATCACCCCTCGCTTTTTAGTCCCGTCTGGTCAGTCTCTTCAGCCATGCACCATTTCCCACAGGGAGAAAAAGGCTAGGTAGGGGGGTGACTTACAGCAGAGTGAGGCAGATGTCGCCCTGCAACCTCGCCTTGAGCTCCAGCTCGGCGTCGAGGTTCAGTCCGATCTGGAGCCTCGCGGGCTTGGACTCGGACAACCGCGGGATGACGTTCGGGGGCGGGAGGGTGCCTTTGGAAGCGGCGGCAGCGACCTGCTTGTTGCGGTTGCGGCGGCGGCGACGGCGCGTGCTGCCGTCCGAGGAGACGCTCGAGGCGCCGCCTACGCTGGAGGCCGAGTCGTCTACATGTGGTGTTGTCTGGATAGTTATACGTTAGGCCGGCGGTTTCTCTAACACGAGGAGCTTGCTGGCGGCGGTTTGGCTCACGTTTGTGCTTGTCTTGGTCTTTGTGTCTATTGTGATGTTGCAAGGAGCCATGTTGTTCTTGTCGTCTTCGGCGTCTTTCTTCTGCGCTCTGGGGATGTAGTAGGGGAGCATCGATCGGTTCGGTGGGGGGAAGGCTTCGGATGTCGATATTCGAAAGTCGAGTTGGGTTGTCGATGAGATGGAGAGAAGGACGAAAAACTGCCAATGTATTTCGAGATGCTGCAAAGACTCTCGAGATTATTGAGCAACAAGAAACGCGTGTCTACCGAGTTTGGGACGACAACTCTCATATACCCTCTCCCCGACCCGACTCGACTCGCGACAAACCGCCACCCAGACCACCTCACAACACCCCCAGCAACTTCTGAAATCCGTTTCCGATAATGCCTGTCCCCATCCCCTCCAAAATTCCCATCCCAAGATGTTTCAATATTTTGGCTTGTCAACCTACACTTACACGGGCCCCTGTTCCAAGACGCGGTCACGTGATGGGCCGATGGTGGAGCAAAACGGATCGAGACCTCGTACGATGCCGTCCAACGCTGAAACGGTAATGCAACCTCCTCGACGGACCAACATGCCCATCCCATTCCATCTAGGGGGTCATCTCCTCCACAGAGGTGTGTTCTGGACACTTGAGAAGTTGACATTCGCCTTACCTCAATATCTTCCCCAGTCACACCGTTATCGAAGTGCCCCTTCGTGCGACGATCAGGGTCTTCGTTACCGAACCGACATCTTTGAGGGTTGAAGAGGGTCAAACACTCTGTCGAGAACCGCGCACAGATCGTATGTCACCACTCCTTTTCTCAAGGCAAGGGGTTGGTTGTATGAACGTTTGTTTGTATTACTTTTCCCAAAGGTCGAGTGGTGAACTCGACCAGCCAGTCATATTACCAAAATCTCGCGGACGGTTTGTCCCGCCTTATCTTGTCGACGAAGCCGACGACAATAATGATAATGATAAATAACACGAAAACTCCACTCGTATGCGCCGCGCAAAACCAACCGCCGCCCATCCATTCATCCCATCTGATGAAATCAAAACACAACCCAGGTCGATCCACCAGATGCCGCTGTCACCCAGATTTTCCTCGGGAGAAAAAAGCCGAGCCCCATTATCGAACCTCGACTCCAAGGGCAAACCAGACTGGACTTCTCAATCTTTCTAGGAAAGAAGTTCTAGACTCCTTCTCCCGGTCGCTGCCTCGAGCCGGTCCAAATTTCGGGCAGCTCATCCATGCAACGCGTTTCGAATATCAGGCATGGGGAAATCGTAGTCCGATTTCCACGTCACATTTCCATGAGCCACCGACGATGTGCCCTTGGCCGAATGCCCAAAAAAGCTTTTGCGTGCACGAGACCCCAATTTTGGTCTTCTTCATCTCTCCTTTTCCGGTAATATCTCGCTCTCACGTACTCAGCAGGTCTCTCACCGACATACCCCTCCCGGCCCCACGCGCGGCTGCCGCGCCGCCGTCGCCCGCGCCTCTCCGGTCGTTATTCAGCATCAAAAGCGCTGCTGTCGCTTCCTGATCCAGATCTCTCTGCGGCGCCAGCGCGGGACTCGTCAGCGCCGAGAGCGATCCGGACGCGAGCCCGCCGTGGCCCGCGTACGGATATGTCTGCGGCCCGAAGGCGGGCGACGTCGTCGCTGAGGAGTAGCTGTAGTGCCGCGCGTGGTCTGTTGAGACGGAGGAGTACGAGTCGTGGCGGTGACGCGAGTCCTGTGCGAGGAGCGCGGGAGAGGGCGAGACGGAGGGCTGCTGTGAGCGGGAAGGGTAATCCGGCTGTTGGTGTGGTTGAAGGGGCTGGTGTTGATGTGGGTGTTGTTGGGCGGGGAATGTGGGTGACGGAGCCTCGGAGTCGGTCATTTCGACGTCGTCGGCTTCTTGTTGGTACTTGGGAACGAATTGCGGAATGGTGCCCCACGGGTCCCGGCCCGAGGGGGTCTGGAGGCCGGACGCGGTAGGTGAGACGCCTTCCGATGCGTCGCGTTGGGCTTTGAGCTTGGCGACGCAGTCTTCGAGATATCGCACGTATTCGATGGAAGCCTGATGACGGGAAAGGGTTAGTCTCTCTTGCGAACGAATTCCCAAATCATGATGACAAGACAAAAACGCAGTGTACTCACTTGCAGGATGGCCAGCTTGTGCATCTCCCCGGTACATGCCGGAATCATGCCTTTCAACACGGCGAACTCCTCGTTCATCTTGGACCGGCGACGGCGCTCAATCAAGCTGTGGGCCGTCTTCCTCGCAATCTTGCGTCCGGCAGCGCTCGTCGCCGACGGCTGTTTCTTCTTCCCCTGCGCCGAAGTGGACGCGGCGGCGGTCCCGGCAGCGGCGCCCCCCTTTGCGGAGCCGGACTTGGCCGCCGCGCCAGCGGTGGGGGCCGTGTCCTCCTCCTCCTCCGCCGGCTCCTCCTGCGGCCGGGGCTTCATCTGAATGATTTTGCGGGACCGGGTGGGCGGCGGGGGCAGCGCGAACTTGTCCTCGTTGGCCGTCTTTTTGGCGGCCGACGACCTCCGTCGGGATTTCACCGTCTCGCTGGGTTGCACGGGGTACGGCGTGGTAGCCTTTGACGGCGAGATGGGCTGGAAGTTGGTGTTATTTCTGCTGCTGTTGAGCGACGTCCTCGTGTCGGTTGGCGAGATTCTGGAGGCGTCTTGCGTCAAGGCGGGCGGGGGCAGCTCGAGTTCGAAGGCGACTTGTAATGAGGCGAGGTTCTTGGAGCCATCTTGGCCCTTTATGTCTGTTGAGGACGCCGGCGTGGGCGGTAATGTAGGACGCGGCATGGCTGAGTCTGTGTGGGTTTGTGAGTGTATGAATGGGTGTGATTTGTACGCGCGAGCGGCCGCGAGGTTGAGGGATAAAACCGAGTCTCCAATGTCCGAAGGGAATTAGTAGAGTACGGCAGGCCGATTGAGGAAACTCGAACGCCTAGGCTGGACGAGTAATCGGTTGACGTTTGTTGTGAGGCTGTGTCGGGAAGTCGAGCCCGGATGGTTGAGGGAGATGTAGTCCAAGTGCCTTTTTGGTCTTGGCGTTAATAAGAAGCGCCCGTCGGAGGGTTCGTCAGGCAAGAATGACAGACTACAATGTCCGGTCCGTACTCGGGCGTCACAGTACAGTGTTGTGTTTGTACAAGAAAATGAGGGCACGCGAGTGATGAGAATTTGAGGATATAGCTAGGTAGGGGGGAGGGGGAAGAAATGCTGGAGGAGGAAGGGTAATATGTGGTTAGAGGGATACGGAGCACGACTTGAAAGCGGCAAGCACACGCACACGCACACACACACTCTTGCTGTAAGTAAACCGACTGACTCTCAACCTCACCACCCTTGGCGTGGTCGTTTCTCCTTCTTCCGTCTATCTACAACCCCGGACTGTGGCCACAAATCTGTTAAAGCACCCGCCTCAGATAACGTCCAACCTCTTAGCAAGCGTCTGGCAACCCACGCCCCTCCCCAATCTCTGTGCCAAGGGGCCGATCCACGTTTCTGTACGACGGCCTACCTGGTGGTCGCGGTAGTGGTTGGTGAGGTTTTGGGGGCAACCGGCAGCGAACTAGGAAGAGGGAGAAGGGGCACGCGACTCCAAGCCAGAAGTTGCCAGTAATAGTAGACGGGGGAACCCCGTAAACAATGGACGAAGAACAAACCTCCCACACCCCCGGGCACAGCCTGATGACGAAAAAAAGAACCAATGAAAACGGCAGACGCAGGCTCCTGGGCGAAGAAAAGGGCAGGAGAGGCATCATCGAGGGTTCGAGAGAATGGACCAATCAGAGGGCCGGAATCGAGCACATGGGGTTCGTGAATGGTAACTGCGCGCCCGCAGCAGGAGATGGGTTTTATCTTTTTTTCGAAAATTCCCTACACAAAACAGAAACGTCAATCAAGACGGCCACACAGGCCACATGGATCATCGGCAAACCCCTTGATCCTATTTGCCCACGCCTTCGTTATATGGACTCTTCTTGGTCGCGCCGTCCGGGGGCCTGGATGGCTGGCTGGGCCTCGAGGCTTGAGGAGGGACGGTATGGGGAACATGGGTGGTGCGGACGGAGAACGAGCCAAGAGCCAGAGGCACGAGACATGTGCTCGAGATGCGGTTGGGCGAAGTGGTTTTCTGATGGATATGGGTTGGGGAAGCGTTTCGTTGAAGCCAAGCACGCGTACTCTTCCGTGGGTAGTAACGATGCTGATGGCCTTGGTACGGCGATCTGAAAGTCGAGCCGGATGACGGACCGCGTCCACTCGACTCGACTCTCTGGCCCGCAGCACTCGTCAATGGAAGTGAGCACGTGGGCAATGTATTCCATTCCACATCTCCAAAGGCCCTTCTACTTCATTGCGCAATTCTTTCCTGACTCGGCCTCGAGCTGCCGGTCTCGTGCGTCGGCCATTGTCCGGTGCCATTCGTAAAACCACAAAAGCGCTCTGGTATGGATTTAGGTGAATCGACGGGAGGTATTGAAGAGGCCGCCCGATTATGAAGGGTTATGAGCGAATTCATCGTGGTGACTTGGTGCTGCTGGAGCAGACGCAGACGCAGGGAAACGGGCTAAGGTGAGCTGTCATGATCCGGATTGCCTCTTTCTGAATTCCGGCCCAGTTGGAGACGCTCCTCCTCCCTCTGGGCTATTTCTCTTTCTCCTCAAAAATAGAGTTTGGTCCCGATTTTCTCGTCGAGGTGGAACACTGTGAAGCTCTCGTGCCTCGTGCCTCTCGACGACGTGGACCTGTCTCCACCCCCGATTCGGTCTAGCGCCCGAACTGTGAACCCTGGAAACGGGGGCAGGCATCGACATGGAGTTGGGGTTGCAGGGGGCCAGTTGGAGGAGGACTGGACCTCTTTTTCTGTCCAGGAAGCTTGTCGATGTCCTCCTGCTCCTCCTCCTCCACTCAAACCACAATAGGGGCACGTGACGGTTCAGTTGGGTATCACAATCGCCAAGTCTTGGCACACAAATCACTCATATACACCAAATGTCTCATCCGGCCCAGATGCCAAACTCGTTCATGCGTCCTAAAAGTCCCATTCTTACTTGACTAACCCAAAAGAAAAGGCGTTGCTTTCATTATCATCGTAGCAAATGCGCGTGAAATTCCCTCATGCAGTGGTGTGGGTTATCCAAACAACCAAACAGATTCCCATGTCGCCAAACACACAAACATATACAAGTTACACCCTTTTCACCATCATGTTCGTCCTCAAACCTCGTTGCTGGGGTACGTGACCTTGGTCGTCGCGGCGAACTCCTCCTTGATGCTCCTCAAGCTCACGAATCGGCTGAGCAGGTTCTGGCTGCCCGCCTTGTCGTTCGTGCCGCTGGCCCGGCCGCCGCCGAACGGCTGCTGGCCGACGACCGCACCTGTGCTCTTGCAGTTGATGTAGAAGTTGCCCGCCGAGTTGCGGAGCTTGTCCTCGGCGAAGCGCACCGCCGCGCGGTCCGCCGCGAAGATGGATCCCGTCAGACCGTACTCGCCCGTCGAGTCCACCAGGTCGCACGCCTCCGAGAAAGCCTGCACCGGGCTCGCCGTGTCGTCATACACGTACACGGTGAGGATGGGGCCGAAGAGCTCGGTGCTCAACAGTTTGTGGTTCTTGTTGGTCGTCTCGTAGATGGTCGGGTGCACGAAGAAGCCCTTGGACTTGTCGTACTTGCCGCCCGCCACGAGCGAGAGCTCGCTGTCGTTCTTGGCGTCGTCAATCACGCCAGACAGCTTCTTGAAGGAGGCCTCGTGGATGACCGGGCCCATAAAGTTGCTGTGGTCGGCGGGGTTGCCGATGGAGATCTTGCTAGCCTCCTCGACCAGGCCCTCCTTGAACTTGGGCCAAATCGACTTGGGAACGTATGCCCTTGACGTCGCACTGCACTTCTGGCCCTGGAACTCGAACGCTCCGCGAATGGTCTGCTTGACGGCGTTGTCGATGTCAGCGGACGAGTGGATGAGGTGGAAGTTCTTGCCGCCCGTCTCGCCAACGATTCTCGGATACGACTGGTAACGACCTTCGGCCACGCCGGCACCGATCTCGCCGTACAGCTTGCGGAAGACGGCAGTGCTGCCGGTGTAGTGGAGGGCTGCGAACTTCTTGTGCTCCAGCACGACCTTCGTGACCTCTTCAGGGTTGCCGGGAACGAACTGAACGACATCGCGCGGCAGACCGGCCTCGAGCAGGATGTTGTAAACCAACCAGTTGGACAGGATGGCAGAGTCACTGGGCTTCCAGACGACGACATTGCCAAGCAGCGCGGGAGCACCAGGGAGGTTACCGGCGATGGCAGTGAAGTTGAAGGGGCTGACAGCGTAGACAAACCCCTCGAGAGCTCTGTACTCGACCCTGTTCCAGACTCCGGGGGAGTTGTGCGCGGGCTGCTGGGCGTAGAGCTCCTCAGCGTACTGGACATTGAAGCGCAGGAAGTCGGCCAGCTCCGCAGCGGCGTCGATCTCGGCTTGCCATGCGTTCTTTCCTTGTCCAATCATGGTCGCAGCCATAATGTCGTAACGGTATTTTCCGGAAATCAGGTCGGCGGCCTTGAGGAAGACGGCGGCGCGGTCGGCGAAGGGAAGGGACTCCCAAGCGGGCTTGGCTCCCAGGGCAGAGGCGATGGCGGCCTGGACATCGGATGGTGATGCCTGGTGATACCTCGCGACGGTGGTACCGTGGTCGGCGGGGTTGAACTGCTGTCCGATGTTGCCAGTCTTGATCTAGGGTTCGTGTCAGTACGGCAGCATTGACGATATAAGCTAGCATTCGTGGCCTACCTCCTTGCCGCCTACGACAATAGGCACCTCCAAGGGCAACTTCGTGTTCAAGTTATCGATTGCAGCCGTCAGTCCCTCGCGCTGGGCAGAGCCTTTGGTGTAGTGGTGCTGCGTTCTTGTCAGTCAACTATCCCTCACTTACTACCCCCAAAGCTCTCTCAGTCGGATTGGTCACTTACGTTGGGCTCATTGGCCACCTTGGGCACCTTGAAAGCAGCGAAAGTTGCCATTCTGGCCGTCGTTTTCGTCGTGGGAATAACCCGTCGCGTTGATAGTCCGATTGTTGGTGCGGTTGCAGCTCTGCGACCCAGGGTGATGCGTGATGCGCTCCGAAGCTGGGAGTTCAGCAAGCCAGAAGCTCGTGTGGCAGACATGATGGGCAAGATGTTCCTAGGGAGAACGCCTTCTATAAAAGATCAAGTGACCGAAAGGAGTGTCCCTTCCAAACGCACACAAAACAATGCGACAGGTCTGAGCAATGGGCGAAGAGCGGTTGTCAATGGCTCGATGAAGGAGGAGCAGATGGATGGGAGTGGGAGGACAGCAAACGACTGGCTATTAAACTTCCGTACTTCCGTGGCGCAACGTAATGGAAAGTTCGTGAGTCGTGAGACATGCGCTTTCGTTCCCAGATGCTGGCAACCATCAGCACGCAAACCACGGGTTGCCGCGGGTTAAGAATGCGCAGGCGGCAGCTCAAGGTCGGGAGCTCATGAGGGGCTGCGGGGCCAGATTTCAGAGGGATGGCTCTCCGGAATCCAATGACGTCGGGTCCCGGAAGGGTCCAGCTGCTTATCACGGTTTGCGGGGTAAGAAACCACCAATCACATCCGTCAATTGTGCTGCAATCTTGTCCTGGGGTCGAGATAACGGTGGACTCGGTCGGCTCACCTTGGTGGGCCGGACGATAAGGTAATCAGCTCTCCCGATCCCGACGTTGCACCAGTCGGCATCGGAAGAGGCATCCGACGTGGAGACGGAAGTTTGTAATGCGGCCATAATAGCATGTTGTCACAGACGCAATTGTATTGGTAGTAGAAAATCAAGGTATCTCCATCCCGATCGAGGATTTGTCGTTATTAGTTGCCGCAGCGGATGCAAGAAATTGAGAAACAAGAAGCAAAAAATGCACAGGAAGCGAAGCCCAAGTGAGTACAAGTCCTCCAGTACGAAGCCGCTTCCATATTTTGTGACCAACTCAACTTCCTCCTCTTCAAGGGTATATCATATCATTATGTAACCGTCCGCCTTCGGACGGCTCTTCCGACTATGCCGAGCTCCCGCAAGTACCGCGTCGATTTGAGCACGAGATACCTACTCTCCGGCTCCGTTCGGGCGCTCTTGCTCAGGGAACGGTTTTACCGGCTCCGGCTGGGCGTTGTATTTCAGCAGGGGCACGGTAAGGCCGTATCCCTCCGTGATACCCTCAGGGTTGTGCTGATCTACCTCGACGCGGATGCAGATATCCAAGCTGCCGTCGCTACCGGTTCCGTGCTGCGTCGTGGCCGCCTTGTGCTTTGAACCAGATTCGAGCTCACCGAGGTGGAGGTAATCGTGCCCACCCTTGCCCGAAATCGTCGATCGCGCATCACCATTGACCGAGGGTGCCGCAAGGCCGTTGTTGGGCGAGTTTTCCGTCAGGATGGCGAAGTTACGGCTAGGCATGGTCACGTGGTTCGAGCTTGACGTCTTGTTCGAGTTGCCTGGATCCTTGTCGAAGAACTTCAGAAGAGTCTCATCCGTGTCATGGTTGAGGTGATGGATCTTGTTTCTTCTCGCCAACAGGTTGGCGATGGCTGCCGGAGGCGGCTTGTTGGTGATGGCAGATGAGATCACGTTTGCCATGTAACGGTGGTCGTTCTCGGTGGCGATGTTCAGGCGAGGATTGGAGTAGAAGCGACCCAGCGCAGCCAGATGCACGTCGCCACCCAGGATACTGATGCGCACCGAAAACTCCGATGCGATAGCCTGAAGTCTCTCGACCAAAGCTCCACGCTCCTTCTTGTGGGTCCTAGCCGTGTAGTGGTCGTCAAGATCATCGAGCAAGTCGACACTGCCGTCGAAGTGGTTGAAAACGCCGCCGGCTAATTCTGTTAGCAGAAAAGATATACGTTGGCGGCAACGTCACTCACCAAGGCCGAATCTCCGGTTCAAGAACTTCACAGGGCCCATGATGGGGCTTCTGAAGACGTTTTCAAGCCATGTCAGGCGCTAAAATTTGTCAGCTCGTATTTCCACGACGGAAGCTTTCCAGTCACTCACAGGGTATGCGATGGGAATTCCCAGCAACAGAATCAAGTGCTTCAGCGGTCGTCCCGACTCCGCAGCTGACTTCAGTTCGTGTCGAAGGCGGCCGAATATCAGGTCGTACGTCTCGGGGTAGTTGATTTGGTGCCGTGTGCGCTACGGCTGTCAGCTAAAACAATCTAGTTGTCATGTCTGAGACAACCATACCTCGGTTCGAGCGTCAATACCAAGGAAGGCAATACGCGCACCAAGTCGGGCAAACATGTTGTGCGAATGCTCCGCCACATACGGCTGGGACAAGTCAGTATCCAGCCTGACGGCCTTATGAAGAGCAAGCTTACACCAGGCTGTGTTCCAACGATGTAACTGGGATCAGACTTGGCGGGTGCCACGTAGGTGTCCATGAGCTGATTGGGGTCCAGTCCCTGTCCTTCAGGTGTTGTCGTGCGATCTATGATCTTGTGAGTTGAAAGTCCCATTACGTGTCGTTAAACGCTACTAACCCGTGGTGTAGGTCGAAACCGGGGGTGGGAGGTGGTGCTGGAACAGCATGTAGTACTTGTGGGCGGTTCCGCCAATGCCCCTGAAAACGTCGCATCGCATGAAGTCGTCGACGTAGGAACCGAACCCGTCGATGATCTGTGGCTGGTCAGCAAAACCCCTGTTTATTCCGCGAGTTCAACGTACGTCGTGATCGTCCCAGATGTTGAGCTGCGGGATCTGGCCGTTGGCAGTCGCAAAGGGCTCAGTGGAGTACCTGCAACCCGTCAGTGTGAGATTCACATTGGGAGCGCTAATTCAACTGACCATCTAATGTAGTTCTTCAGGTAGTAGTCGTCGCAAGCCTGGCGAAGCTTCTCTGGGAAGGGGAAGTGCTTGCGCTTCTTAGGGTTCGAGATTTCGGTCCACTCGCGCAAGGGTCCGTCGACTCGAATACCATCGTTGTAAATCTGGTCACCTCCGCCAAGCCTACACAGCAGTTAGTAACACAGGTATGCATTTTGAGCTGAGACACTTAACGCACATGACATGGAAAGGCCGCTCCTTGTGGTGTCTGTTGACGTCGTTCCACAAGGCAGGTCCGCTCCACGCGTCCTCATCAGTGCCGACACTGAATCCGTTGCAAGAGTGGAACATGATGCGCATCGACTCGTTGATAGCCGGAACGAAGAAGTGGTAGCGGTCTGGTCTGATGCTGGAGTATCGCATGTCTGGGATCAGGTACTCCCACTTCTCCTCGGCCTGCGTGATAGGAACCGACAGGTCGAAGGCCCAGAACGTGTTGCGCGGGTCGGAGTAAAGGCATTGGCCCTGCGTTTGAGTGCCGTTCGGGCCCGCTCCGTTTGCGCCGCTGGAGCCCTCGCCGTTGACGGCACCGTTCGTGGCCTTGACTCCATTCGCATCGGGAGCAGCGTGCTGGTTGTCGGCAGAGCCAGCGGGACGTATGATGAGGTTCGGCGCAAAACTTTGCGTCTTGCCGCCACCCTTAGTGACGATCAAGACGCTCCCGTACCAGCGGTCAGCGTCCATCCTCCGGTAGTTGAGCAGCGGGCCGCAGATGATCTCCCTGCCATCGGGGGCATCCGGTTGCTCGTAGGAGTGGGCGGTTGTCGCGCGAGGTTGCTCATCGCCGGTGGCCTCGCCGGCGGCAATCATGATCGGCTTGAAGTTGGGTGCAGCGTTGGGGTTCTCGGGCTCGACGCGGTCGCGGTTGAGGAAGCTGGCAAGATCGTTCGTGGATCCACGGTCCTGGGGGTCCCGGGGCACTCCATGAGCGTGGGCCTGGGCAGCATGACGCGCGAACGCTGAGCTCTCTTGATGGCGCCATCTGTTGGCCGACGCATGAGGATTGTGGGCGACATCATCGAGGGCCTGTCCTTCGGGGTGAGACGCCATTTTCGATTTCTTTTGCGAAGCTGCGATTTTCTTGTCGAATTCTATGATTTCTTGTCTTCGCTTCTACTTAGAAAGCAGTCAGAACATGCAAAAGTCCAGAGATTCGTTCCGAGCAACGGTGGCTCCTCACAATGTCTCAGCGCAAAATTAGCCTGCCAGGGTCTGTTTGCGCGCCGGTTAGCTATCGAGAGCTAACCTGGTCTGCCGGGCTTTTCTTTGTTATCTGCGATTGCGCAGCAACGGGGGTATCAACAATCGGGTATCTCATATAACGGCGGAAGGGACAGTTGCACGGCGATCCTGAGGTCAAAAGGTAGGAGAAGAAAAAAAGTTGGGAAAGGAAAATGGAAAAGGGACGGGCGACAAGAGGGTGTTGTCGAATCCCACCACAAATCGCACGAGAAAAGTGTGTTGTGTTGGATTGGATGCTTGTTTGGCCCAGGTAGTGCAAGGTGACGCGAGCTAGGAATTGAAATGGCAGGGATTGTCGCTAGTGGGTAAACCTCCGCTACGCAACCGCTGCGAACAACGCGCTAGAAGCTGCCTGTCGGGCTGCACAGTGAACCGGGGTAATTCTAGGGGTGAACCTGGGACGGACTAGCCCCGAGATTGAGTTGGCCGAGGAGTCGTCGTCGTGGTTGGGACTGAGACTGAGGCTGGGAGAGGGATTCTCTATTTGTGTCTCACTCTCGTTGATTCCGTTGCGAGATGGCGTCGACTCTGATTAAATCCAAGAAAGGTAGATACCAGCTGGCGGTCGGCCCCCAATAACAATACTTCACAAACCCATGATGGATTTGATAAGACTCGCACTGCAGCCACGCTGTCTCCGAGTTGGCTAGTGCTAGACCAAGAGAACCGGACATTCAACCCAGTCCGAGATCCTTGTTCCAGATTAGCAGTACGAACACTTGCCGTCCTGCTGACTCCATGCAGACTGCAGTCAGGCCAGGTAGGAATCGGGTCCGAGTCTCCCTCTCTTACATCCCATCGGCTCCTATTCGTGTAAGCATCCGAGTCTAATACACGTATCCATCGTAATACGCTTGCGACTTCGGGTTCAGCGGTCGTTGGAAATAAGTCAGCATCGTCCCGTTCTGCATGCCTCACCTCTCATCCCTCTCCAGCTGCCAAGCTTCTGTTGGCGTCTTGAGAGATGGGATGATGACGAGTGGCCAGAGCTCCAGCCAGCTTGCTTTTGGCAAACAGACCGTTCCATGCTTGCAAGCCAGCCCCGGGCAGCGCACCAGTCGGAGACAAGACAATGTAACCATGTCTCTGTGCCTACTTTACATAGTACATAACACAGAGGCTACTGTCGCTACTGCATGGTAAAGCAAACAAGTCGATACTCAATGGTCAACAAGAAGGTAGAATTTAGGGCCGTGCTAGTGCCGGGCATGGGAGGCCTGCGGAAGTACACCAAAGCTGCCGCGGCAAGCTGCTGATTGATTATCGTTTGAATGAGATGGTGATGTGCCCTGCCAGATGTGGCCTGGTCTGGCGGGTGAAATTGGTCAACTACGTCAGGACTTGTGGCTCTAGGAAATGAAACAGGAATGCCCCCACAAGGCCAAGACTAACATGACCCGCCGGGATACAACCTTGTCGCCCATCAGCCCCCGGTCAGCTGCTGCAAGACCTTCGCGCGAAAGCTATTTTGCCTTGGCTTCGCCGCTTCGATGCTGCCACATCCCGTGAAATCGGATCACGGCTTCCGGCGGATCTCTTGGCGTCCCGGTCCTTCTCCCCGATAATCTCCACCCGCGCCGGGGATCCACATCCCGTCGTTCTTATTATGCCTTGCTAATTCTCCTGTTCTTAACGTGCGTTTTCTCCGCCATGCGACAATGCTCCGTGTCTGACGCCGGTTCTTGGCGTCCGACCGGCAAAAGTGGGTGTCGTGATACGGAGGGTTGCGGGCCGTCGTCGCCGGCATCTCATTTCGAAATGAAGGTCCGCAGCCGGGTTCCATGACTCCATATGGGTCGAGGACCCGTGCAAAAGAGCGTTCCTGCTAAGAGCAAGTGGAGTGAGCATCTGTTTTATATCATGAGTGAACGGGTCTATTCGGAGTATTCTCATACAGGAACTGTAGGACATCCCTGAACCAGAATCAAGCATCGCGCAATACTACAGTCCTCCACGGTTATTTTTCCCTTGCAAATACTTTTCGCTATCTCTATGCCTATCCTTTCTGCTATTAGCTTTGGTATTCTCCTTGATATCCGGTGTTACCCCTAAAGTATTCGACCAGGAGTAATAACCGTGGAGTAGTGTACTTAACGTATAATACCCCTTTTTGGCTCTGAGTGATAGTGAGCTTCAGCTTGCGTGGGTCTCTGGTGGTGAGCGGAAATTCGAAGCAAGTTGATCTGCGAAGAACCTGGCAGCCTCGTGACCACATGGCTCGGTGAACATGTACTTTTCATAGTAATGAGATAGCATTGGAGATTATTTTATCAAGATGTCTTCCTTGCAGACTGCTGCTGATGAGTGTATATCCATGTTCGCTGGAGTGAGCAGGTTGGCGATCTGTGAGCATCTGATGTTGTTTATTTTTTATAAGCCCGATGGTCTTGACTACTCACCGTCTGTCCATTGGTCGGTCTATGTTGTTTCGCCATTTTTGAGAAAACCCACGCTCCATCTCATCAACGTTTACTAGATATCGAGCCATGGCCTGGGGTCTCGAGCCTCTGTTCTGCCTAGCATGACGGCACAGTTTGGTGAAAATATGCAGTTGATCAAGCGATCGTCAAACTCGGGCCTCCAGGACGGGCAAAGTAATTGTGAGCATTGACGATCTCATCCTACCATCTTAGGCTACAGCCAGTTCATGATGTAGTTTATGAGGCTCGAATTGAGATGAAATCTGTGGTTGAGTCAACTCCAGGTTGGGATTTCACCAAACAGGCAACAGCGGGCTCTAGCGGCCCTCGGCAGCCAAGTTTCAGTGGAGGTCCCTGTAGGTCACTGGACTTCGCGTCGAAAGGACCCCGCGACTTAGGCAGCATACCCCCCGGTCGCGCGTCGTTCCTCTTTGTGAGGCGCGTCTCGTGCCTGTTGTGGCGAGCATGTCAAGCCACCGGGCGACAGCTTCATGCACCAGCTTAAGGCAGTCAAGCGGCCCTGTCAGGGTATGACGGCTTGGCGCCGCCGCCATTGGAGGGGCTGAATTCCTTTCTCAGGAGCGATGTCGAGAGAGCCACATGCCAGGAGTACCTACCACAGACGCATCCGTCAGCTTACTGGTAGTATTGCCTGTTGTTTTCTTCGTTTGCCATGCACGAAGTGTACCTTTCACGGCAAGGTAACTCGAGCTAGGCAAACGATCCCGCACTTCTCCTCATGCTAACAAACGGTGAAGACCTGAGCTGAAGCGCGGGGAAGCAGGATGATATAAGATGGCTTCATGATCACCTTCACACCTCGCTCAATTTGCCCTCGTAGACATTCATCCTCTTTCGTCCTCTTTCCTGGGTCTGCCTCTTTCACGTCTTTCGTCAATTGACACGAACTTGAGCCCGCGAGTTCGTTTGCTCCTTCCCACCCCGTCTGGTTATTTTCCTTTGACACCCAAAGCCACTCTGAGAAAGCCCTCCATTTTCAACTTTCGCTTCCTTCAACTGCTTGGTGAGCTCACGAGCTTGCATACTTTCTCCTCAGCCAATCTCACAACCGAGGAATCAATAGACCAAAAACAACATCGCCAAGATGTCTCCTCCGGAGCTGCAGGAGCTTCCAGTTCCCCATGGGGAGCTGGTGAACTACATCCATGACCATCCAGAGAAGAAGATGGTCGAAATCATGGAGCCTTACCGCAAGTACGAGGCCCAGCTTCGATCCGTCTTCGCCCAAGACCGCCAGAATCCAGCTCTCAACGAGCCTCACATCAACCTCGTTCCGCTGTTTACGGAGAACACCAAGAACATCAAGATCCGCGCCCGGTCGGTGGAATCCGAGTCCCAAGAAGAGAAGGACCGCTACATCATGGCTCTCCCCGACGATAAGCGCCGACCTGACGGCTCTCCTGCTGTGGTATCTTCTGTGAAGGACTTCCAGAAGAACTTCAACATCTTCTCCGAGTCCTCGCTTGTCGACATGAATTGGAACAACGTTGTTGCCGCTGGGTCGTCCGTTGTGAACACCCTGTTGCCTGTCCCCCCGGAGTTCAATACCACCAAGCGCAAGCTACGCGAGTACTACCACGAGAAGTTTTGCCCGGCTTCTGACGTCGATCTGTTCCTTTACGGACTCACGCACGAAGAGGCCATCGAGAAGATCAAGGAGATCGAGACCGCAGTCCGTGATGCCATCCTCACTGAGGTTACCGTTGTTCGTACGAAGTATGCCGTCACGATTGCGTCGCAATACCCTACCCGTCATATCCAGGTAAGGACATTGAAAATCACGCTCAATTTCCAGCGACTGACATGTATACAGATTGTACTGCGCGTGTACAAGTCCATCGGAGAGGTTTGTCGTCCAGATCATCGCATTACCCTTGCAGATGACTGATTAGCTGTCTGTAGATCTTGACTGGCTTTGACATCGACGCCGCTGGCGGAGCTTACGATGGGAAGCAGGTCTGGATTACTCCCAGAGCCTTGGGAAGCTTCATCACCCAGATCAATCACATCGACCTCACCCGCCGAAGTCCCTCTTACGAAAACCGTCTGTCCAAATACAGCCACCGCAACTTTGAGGTCTACTGGCCAGAACTCGATCGCAGCCGTATTGATCCTACCATCTATGAGCGAAGCTTCCAGAGAACTCTTGGCCTTGCCAGGCTTCTGGTCCTGGAACGTCTCCCTACTTCTTCTGTCCGCGAGGAATACCTGAACAAGCGAAGAGAAGAGCGAGGCCGGCCTACAACAAACCGATATTATGCTCATCAGTTGCACGGCAACATCAAGGACCAACACGAGGATGAGGTTGCCGACTGGGTGGACGAGACTGACGTGTCTAACTATCACACCTTCACGGTCCCTTACGGCCAGCAGTATGCTCGAAGCAAATGCCCTTCATTAAAGTAATTAACTAATTATTATAGCTTCCACGCCAAGAAGATCGAGAAGCTCTGTTACACCCGAGACCTTCGTGAGTGTGTTTCTTTGTCAACTTACGCTTATCTCGACTAACTTCTGCATCCAGTTCTCAACGCTGAGTGGAATCAGCCCAAGGAGAGAGAGGTGTATCTTCACAGGCATCCTGCGTTCTTTGGTCGCGTCGAAGACGTGATCGAGGATTGCTGTGGGTCATGCCCGAAGCCAACAACCCCAGACGAGGTCGAGGTTGCCGAAAAGGAGGCCGAGATCTACATTTCCGGCAAAGTCTCATTCCTCATTGATGACCCCGGTCGGCAGCAGATCGGCTCATTCAATCCTCTTACTCAGGACGACTGGACTGACATGGCTTACGTCGGGAACACTGCACGACTCTGCCAGAGCATTGTTGACGGCAATATCGACGGAGTCCTGGATTGGCTTTCCCAGGAGGATGCCGACCCCAACAAGCGTGATTACACTGGACGCACCCCTCTGCACCTCGCGGTCATCAGCTCAGTCCCCGAGATCGTGCGCTGTCTCGTCGAGCATGGATCTAGGTTGACGGCTCGTCTTGCCGACGGCCGGACTGCTCTTCACCTCGCTGCTGAGCGTGGCAGCGTCGACATCATCAAGATTCTCATGGAGAAGAGCATTGCAAACGAGGAACAGGAAGAGGAGAAGAAGGACCGCCGCCGGAAGGAACGCGAGACGAAGCTGCAGGGCAAGCCTGAGTCGGAGAAGATGGCGGAAGACGGCGAAGCCATGGATGCTCAAGATGATGACGAGCAACAATCCGACGATGAAGACTCCGATATCGATATGGTCGATGCCGGCAATACCGAAGCAGATTCAATGGCTACTGGATCTTTTGTCAAAGTCAAAGATGACGAAGAGAAGAGCAACGAGGACATTGTTCTCGATGATGCCAAAGATGAGCCAGACTTCTACAAGTCTGACGTCTTGGCTTGGGACGTTCCTTGCTCACCTCTCCACCTGGCCATTTCCGAGGGACACGAAGATGCTGTTAAGATTCTCTGTGAGTTCGGCAGCGACGCGCTTCTTCCTGTCAAATTTCTCGACTCGGAAAAACAGCCAACCGCGGCCATCCTCACGCTTGCTCTCGCCTTGTCGCTTCCTCTCGAGAAGGCCAAGTCCATGGCTCTGCTCTTGTTGAAGCTTGGTGCTACTTCATCCCAGGCCGACCTCAACGGCTGCACCGTATTCCACCGCTACGTCGAGAACGGGAACTCAGAGATGATCGACACCCTCTGGGAGCATGACAAGGCCGGTCTCAAGACAGCTCTGAACCACTTGGTTTTCGGAAAGCAATACTGGAATCCTCATGCCATCGCCCCTCTTCACACAGCAATCGAGAACGGCGATGCGATCCTTGTGCTTAAGCTGCTTGAAGCTGGAGCAAACCCTCATATTGACTTCGACACATGGCTGAAGGCTTTCAAGTTTTCCAAGTCATCGCACCGACTCGGCTCCTACGAAGACAACAAAAAGATGTTCCATCAATCGGTGATCCAGCCTCTCATCGTCGCCATCAAAGGTTGTTCGAATCCTGAGGTCGCCCTTAGACTTCTCGAGAATGGGGCAGATCCGAACGCTCTGACGGAGCAGTCTTACCGGGTCATCGAGGACGAATGGCAGCGGAGATACAACAAGGGAGAGTCGATTCTCGACCTTGTCCGGGACCAGCTGAAGAATCTGCGGGAGTACAAAGGCGAGAAACTTACCAACAAGAAGCCAACCTTGCCTACTGCGATGGACGAGCATCTCCAGCAGTTCAAAGAGGGTACTTATCAGCACTGGATGGTTTCCAAGGCTATCGAGTTGCGCAAATGGAGCTACAAACGCGACCTGAGGGAGTACGAAAAGGAAAAGAAGAAGCACGCGGAGATGAAGGGCGCACCGGAAAAACTAGAGGCTATCAAGGATGTCATTTCATCGCTTGAAGCGGTTGAGAAGGCTATCATCGCCAAGGGCGGCAAGACCTTCAAGGAGTTGTACCCAGACATCAAGGGCCCCGACAACCATTCCCCGAACCGATCTTTGTCTGAGGAGAAGACCGATGAGTTTGAGCACAACATCTCTTTCAAAGGTGTTACTGACGTCACCGAGGCGAGGAAAGATGCGTATTTGGAATTGTGAGTTCATCCAGTTGCCGAAATTTGTGTGCCATCTACTAACATCAAAACAGGTTCGAGGCTTCTTGGGCTGGAGACATCGAGAAGATCAAGACACTCACCTTGCAGGCCTGGGGTAAGGATCAGGACGAGCCGCCGCTCAAGATCTCAGTCACCGACAATGCGGACAATACTCCTTTCTCCTTGGCCTTCGTCCACGGTCGGTACGAGGTTGCATCGGCAATCCTCGAGATCGTCATGGCTCAGTATTCCCCAGAGGAAAAGGAGGCGACTCGGTACAAGTTTGACACGGGCGACTCCGAAGAAGAGGACGAAGAATCGTACGAGAGCGATGCGGATTCAAACGATGACCCCAAGATCATTTCCGAGATCGTTGACAAGAAGTTCACGATCGAGAACATTGGTCAGGTGTCGATGCAAGTCAAGTCTACGGTCAAGCCCATCGAGTTCTTGAGCCAGGTCGTGAATACCTTCGGCCCCGGAAACAATGAGCGCTTGCGTACTAGGTATCAGAGTCTGTTCTCGTTTGTTTTAGAGAATGATGACCACGCCGGGTTGAAGGCACTTCTCGACATGGCGACTCATTTCGCGGGTCAGAAACTCGTCGACGGCAGCCAGGGCGAAGAGGATGACGACGCCGGTGGACGTTTCACCTTCCCCGAGAACGAGTTCCTCCAGGCCGTCACACAGGGAAAGACAACTGCACTGGCTGAAATCATTAGCCGGACTGGCGCAGGAATTCCTCTCGATGACCTTGTCAAGAAGAGCGGCGTCGAGATGAAGAGGAAGCCGAGATATTACCAAGGCTTGACGGTCTATGGCAAGAAGAGGTACGTCAGGTCGAGACCGCTGGACGGAAAACTCACTAACGTATTTTACAGAAAAGATTGGGCCACTGCTGGACGCAACATGGTCGTGCGATCGACGGGGATGAAGACACCGCCACTCCTTCACGCAGCGCTCGCAGGCAACATTGCCAGCGTCGAGTGGTTCCTCAGCGATGCTCCTCATCGACACTACACGGACTTTGGCAAGTCGAAGGCAGCGCGCGAAGACCACAGGTTGAAACACCTCAGTCAGTCGCCTGGCGGCTTCGACCGTGCCATCTCGAGGTGGTTGGGTATCCAAAGTAAGTCCACATCCAGATCATAATCACCAACCTCTCGCTAACACATTCCCAGACGAGCTGGTCCTCCACTGCGCCGTGATGGCGTCTCCATCCGAGCAAAGCACCAGAACCGTCGAGTACCTCATCAAAGCCTGCCCCAACTCACTTGAGTACAAGACGACTCATGGCGACACGCCCCTCTGGCTCGCCTTCTACTTTGGCAGACTCGACATTGCCAAGTTGCTCATCAAAGCCGGCGCGAACCAGCTGGTGAGGAACAATTCAGGCGAGAACATCATCCACGCCGTTTTGCAAAACGGGCCCAAAGCCTGCGCTCTTCGCCCCATGCTGGAGCTCGTCGACTCGAGCATCGTCGCCCACCTGTTCCAACAACGCAACAACCTTCACCACAGCGGCCTGACCCCCTTGCACTTCTGGGTCTGCAGACGTTACGGTGGCAATTACGACGACGATTACATCCTCGCGGTCCTGAAGTTGATCCTGGACTACTCCAAGGGCGACGAGCTCGACACCCTAAACGGGCTGGGCGACTCGGTCCTCCACACCGTGGTTATGAACACCAACAAGCTCCTCACCAAGGCCTTGCTCGAGTACAAGCCGAAACTTCTCTACCGCGAGAATGCCGTCGGACGCACCCCCGCCGAAATCGCCCGCGAGGAGGTCACAAGCGAGAAGTTCGCCGAGCCCGATAACATCTCGTTCTCTTTCAACGAGTACAGCAACTCCAGCTCACCCGCCGGGCTCGTCGACCGCGACGTCGGATCCTTCGCCCCCAAGGACGAGGAGGAGAACAAGAATCCCAAGCCTTTGACAGACAGCCAGTACGTCTGGGAAATCGTCCGCGCCGCGCTCGAGAGCCATCCGGACACCAAGCGCCGCCTCGTCTCCCTCAACGAGGCCAACGACGTCGCCAAGCGGCTGGGCGAGCAGTACAACGCCAGCCGCTACTTCACCATCCACGCGCGCAACGACGAGGACGCCGACCCCGAGGAGCAGGAGGCCAAGGAGGAGGACCAGAACGACTTCGCGGCGCAGTCCAAGTGGACGGAAAGCTCCAACTCGTGGGTTCCCAAGAGCAGGAGCAGGCCTTCCGTGTCGTCGGACGATGAGGATGAGGAGGATGAGAAGACGCCCAAGTGTGCTGAATGTGGTGAGAGGCACGAGTGAAATCAGAGGGTCTTGATCAATATGTGAGGAACCGTATACGAGATTGTTCACCGAGAAAGGACGATCGGGAGGATATAGTGTGCGATTTCTTCTGGAAAGGCCCGGCTCATTGGGGGATTTCGTTTCATGACCTTAACTACCACAGAATGAATTAGCTACCAACAGAATGACGATATTATTGCTCTTACAGAAAACCTTCTCATGCGAGCGGCCGGATGAAGGCATGCTCGACCTTTACCAGCGTCGATCCCCAACCGTTCCCCTCAAACCAAAAAGGCCCGCCCCGTCCCGTTCCATATCACCACACCACCAGACTCCCATTGGCCATCACCCACCTAATCAGATCCCACAGTCGAGATCTCCGCCGTCCTATGCCTCGATTCCAACAAAACAGATCAGCGTTCTCCCACACACAGCCTGCAAGCCAAAACCACATTCTGTCCAGTTACACGAATCCACGACAGAAACCGGGCGGGCAGCCATCGACAGCCCACCCACCACCACCACCGTGTTCGAGGTCATACACGCACATGATTCCGAGCGAGCGAAGGAACCAAACGATAATGTGATCATATAATTTCTCATTCCCGGGGTATAACTATGCTAGAGTTATGCTGTTTGTGTTTGCGTCGTGTGTTTGAATCCCATACCTACCTACTCCAATCCCATCCTCTTTTTTCTCGTTTCCGTTCAAAGATCGTAATCCGCGCCGCCGAGAACAATGCACCGGACTTTCCATCCATCCCAGGAGATGATACAGTAAACAACAACAATGTTTTGTGGATTTTTCTTATCCCTAAGTTTGAAAACAAATTGCGGTAACAGGCTAACAAGTATGAAGTTGTGTGTAAATGGATAGAAATGGTAACAAAGAATCGTAAACTGAAATCAGGGGGAAAAGAAGTAAAACACGCTTTCGTCACTCGCTAAACATCATTCATACAGACATGTCGTATCATCCAGTCAACTTCCGCCACCAGCTGCTGCGCGGCGTCGCGTCGGAGAACATGGCCTGTCGCCGGCGCTCGTCACTGCCCTCCGACCCGCCGCCCGCACCGCTCTCGCCGTATCGTGCGCGCTCCTCGCGCCGGGCCTTGCGCCGGCGATTGTCGGCCTCGTCGGCGGTGCCCTCTTCGTATCTGGCCCGACGGCGACGCTCTCGTCGCTCGCGACGGGCCTCGTCTTCGGTTTGCGGGACGGCATCCGTATGTCCGACGTCCTCGGGGGGCGGGCCCGCGTCGGTGTGTTCCTTGACCCATGACGAGGTTCCGGAGTGAGGCCACGCCGGTGTTCCTTCGTCGCGACGATACCTGTGACGGGAGGAGGGGTACATGGCCTCGTCGCCCGACTCCCGAGTCCGCCGGTGGCCTCCGCGTTGCTGCATTTCTTCGGCCTCCGCCGCGTCGGCAGCACGACGGGCAGCGCGTCTCGCTTCTTTCCTGGCAACTCGAGCATCCTCTTCGTCGGCCGTTGCCGTATCACGCTTTTCACGAGCACGACGACGTTCTTCCTTGGCGGCCCGTCTAGCCTCTGCATCGGCCTCGGCAGCGGCGGCAGCAGCCGCAGCTTCACGGTCCTTTCGACGTTGTCGTCGCTCGGCTTTCTGGGCTTCTCTTTCACGTTCTTCCTCGTCGCGTTGACGAGCCGCACGTCGTTCGGCACGCCTGGCCTCCTTTTCGTCCCGGCGGCGGGCCTCGACGTCTTCCTCTTCTCGTCGGCGACGGCGCTCACGTCTTGCCTCGTCCTTGGCGCGGCGTGCATCGTCGGCCTCTTGTTCAGCGGCCCCAGCAGCTTCGGCTTCCCGGGCGGCGCGACGAGCACGACGAGCAGCGCGGCGGGCATCCTGGTCCATGTCGGTCATTGCTGCGGCTTCGACCTCTTCCGCATCGGCAGCAGAGCCCTTGCGTCGCTCGCGTCTGGCCTCGTCGTCGGTTGCATATGTGTGCCGCCGCCGGGGTTCTGGGCGTTCCGCCTTGGGTGTCCTAAGACCACTGAAGAGACCGCCGAGACCCTTCTTGGCGCTGGATCCAGACCGTTTCATGGGAGGAGGTTCACGGACATCACCCATGGAAATGTCATCGTCCTTGGGGTAACGCGACCGGTGGCGAGAGGATTTGGGAGGCATCATGTCTTCACCTTCTCCGTTGCCTCCCATCATGAGGACTTCATCCTCATCTACGGGATCACGCTTTCGTCGCCGGCTGCTGGACTTGTCAACGCCAAGGACTTTGGCGGCCTTTGAAGACATGCGAGGTGTCTCCTCCGGAGGTGACATTAAGCCGGCAGCGTCAACCGAGTGACGGCGAGATGTCCGTCCAGATGCGTGTCGTCGGTCTCCCGAACGAGATATGGGTGGGGTGCTGAACATAGACGTCAGTTTCGGGCGTGCCGGAGGCTGCGCCTCCATCGAGCGGTCGGCCTTGTCGGAGTTCGAGGCCTTGGAAGAGCCCTTGATTTCTTCTTTCTCGGCAGAAGAGTGCTTCCTCTCGCGCCTATCGGACTTGGACTTAGGCTTTCTTTCCCTGTCGCGATCCCGATCCCGATCCCGCTCTCTGTCCCTTTCCTTTTCGCGGCCAGTAGAGGCGCCCCACACTCCCCACGAAGAGGAACCTTCGCGGTTGATCTTAGCCCTTTCCTTCTTCGAAGGTTTTGGCTCTGGCGGAGGCTCCTCGATAGGCTCCTCGATGATAGGCTCCTCAACTACAGGCTCCTCCTCGGGTTCGACGGCAGGCGGCGCCTCAGGAACGGCTGGCGGTGGTGGCGGAGCGGGTGGAAGTATGTCCTCAGGAGGGATGCCCCTGTCCTTACTCTTCTTGCTCTTTTTCTTCTTCTTCTCAACTGGCGCTTCGATCACCTCGATGATCTCGTTCTCGTCCTCGTCGGCAGGGAACGCGCCGGGAGGCTCAGATGATTCTTCCGGTTCAGCTACTGGTGGAGGCGGTGGTGGTGGTGGTGCAGCGGCAGCTTCAGCTTCAAGACGTTTCTTTTCCTTCTTGAGTCGCTTTCTCTCTTCCTTTGTCAGAGGAACAGCTGGCTCGGGAGGGGGTGGCGGGGGAGCTTCCTCGACGATTGGCTCAGGATCGTCCACGACATCGTCGATGTCGTCCTCTAGCGGGGGTGGTGATGGCGACCTCGTTTCAAAGGCTTTCAATCTGTCAGCAATCGTGCTTCCCTTGGCCTTGCGAGCCATGGACGATGGCATCCAGGCTGGAGCATCGTTGGTGGAAGAGGTGTTCGTCACATTCCAGCCAACATTTGCATCATCTAAACAAAGATGAGTCAGCACCCTAATTTCGGGTGACACCCGCGGTGATGAGGCGTCTCAATTCAATGGTCTCGGTGAAGCTTGGTGATGTCGTTGTACGGTAAGGAGTGACATGAAGGAGACTGGCGTTCGCCTGATACAACGTACCTTTCATAGCCAATTTTTTGGTACCAAGTCCAAGGCCCCAGAAGCTGAAGGCGTCGTTGGCCTTGGATCCCGGGACGGTGGGCGGTGGCGGAGGTGCCGGGTCGGCCAGAAGCTCTTCAACTTGCTCCTCGGTGAGCTCGATATCGCCTAGGTCGTCGTCCTTGGGAGTATCCTCGTCGACTGGTTCCTCATCCTCGATTTTCTCCTCGTCTTCGTCCTCGTCCTTATCCTTCTTATCCTTACTCTTCTTCTCCTTCTTGTCCTTCTTTCTGTCCTTCTCTTTCTTCTCTTTCTCCTTCTCCTTCTCCCTCTCTTTTTCTTTAGACTTGGACTTGGACTTGGATTCCTTCTCGGACTTGGAACTCTTCTTGGCCTTTTTAGCTGCCTCCTCGGCTTCCTCGCGCTCCCGGGCCGCTTGCTCTTCCGCCAAGGCAGCTTCTTCGGCCTCCTGGGCAAGCCGTTCTTCTTCCTCCTTTGCAGCTGCCTCCGCCTCCGCCTCCTCCGCCTCCCTGGCGAGTCGTTCCTCCTCCTCCTTCTGGGCGGCCTCTTCGGCTGCGGCGGACGCCTGGTCTTTGCGCTCGTCGATGGCCTCCTTTAACCTGTCGTAAACGGCCTGGTCCTTTTTGGTCAACTTACCCTTCTTGAGCTTTTTGGCCTCCAAGGCTGCGAACGTGTCGTCTTCTTCGGCCTCTCTGGCAAGCCGTTCTTCCTCCTCCTTTGCGGCCGCCTCCGCCTCCTCCGCCTCGATCCGGGCTTGCTCGGCAGCAGCCTCTTCGGCCTCCCGGGCAAGGCGCTCTTCCTCCTCTTTTGCAGCCTCTTCGGCGGCGGCGGCGGCGGCCTCTTCCTCTTCTCTGGCTTTCCGAGCTGCCTCCTCCTTCTCGGCTTTCCTCTTCTCCTTTTCGAGCTTTTTCAGCTCCTTCTCGCTCAGCTTGGGCTCTTTCTTAGACTTCTCCTTGTCTTTGTCCTTCTCCTTGTCCTTGGAGGATTTAGACTTAGAAGATGTCATGTCGCCCCAGAAGCTGGATTTCTCTGGTTCTGGTTCTGGTTCTGCTTCAGGCTCAGTCATGTCCATCGTGGGAGGGGTGGGAGCTGGCGGTGGAGGGTCGGCGAGTGGGTCCTTACGGTTCTTGTTCTTCTTCTTCGAGGAACCCCAGGCGGCCCAGTCGTCCTCGTCCTTGGTTTCCTCGACGGAGTCCGGTTGCATGGAATCCAGATTGGGCTCCCCGTCCATGACTTCCACTGGCTCGTTCTTGGACTTATCCTTCTTTTTCTTCTTTGAAGAGGCAGTTCCCCATATGTCTTCTGCGGGCTCTTCAATGGCGTCCGGCCTCATAGAAAAGTCAGATTCGCTCTTCTTTTTCTTGTCCTTTTTGCCAGTGATCCACGAGCTGAAGAAACCTTCCTCTTCAACGGGGTCCGAGACATCAGGAGCGGCTGGTGGGGCCTCCTCTGCAGGCGTAGGCTCATCCTCTACGTTGATTTCAACCAGGGCCATAGACTCATCCTTCTTCTTCTTTTTCTTATCCTTCTTTTGACCCCAGTCTGCCCAGTCGTCTTCAGCTGCGGCCTTGGGTTCTTCAGCTGGCGAGACCTCTTTGCTTTTCTTCTTCTTGTCCTTCTCCTTCTCCTTCTCCTTTTCTTTCTCCTTTTCCTTCTCTTTCTCCTTGTCTTTCTTAGAAGAAAGGCCCCAAATGCCCCAGGAATCAGCTGGCTTGTCTTCCTCTTTCTTCTTCTTCTTGTCCTTCTTAGAAGAGTCGAGGCTGGCGAAGAAGTCGTCATCCTCCTTCTTTTCGCTTTTGGTCGATTCGGGCTCCGGCTCCGGCTCGCTGGCCTTCTTCTTCTTCTTGTCCTTTTTGGAAAGACCAAAAGCCCAGTCATCGTCCGCTGGAGGATCTGGCTCCTGTTCAACTAGGGGAGGTTCGGAGGCTGGCTCAGGAATTGGCTCTGGCTCGGGATCAGACTTGCCCTTCTTCTTCTTTTTGTCCTTCTTGGTAAGACCAAAGGACCACGAATCGTCCAGGAGAGGCTCAGGTTCCTCCTCAGGAGCTGGCGGTTCAGGGACTGGTTCAGGGATTGGCTCGGGCTCGGGGTCAACTTTGCCTTTCTTCTTCTTCTTGGAAGTCGTCATGCTGGACCAGAAGTCATCTTCGGCGGGCTTCTCCGGTTCGGGTTCGGGAGCGGGAGGTTCCGGTTCTGGTTCTGGCTCCTTCACAGGCTCTGGATCAGCGAGAAGTCCCTTCTTCTTCTTCTTTTTGTCCGTTTTCGACATCGATGTAGTGAAGCCCCATGGATCGTCCTTTTTCTCCGGTTCGGGTTCCGGTTCAGGGGCAGGCGGTGGGGTAGGCTCCCGGATAGGTTCAGGTTCAGGCTCCTTTGCCTTTTTCTTCTTCTTGTCCTTTTTGCTAAGGCCCCATGAGAAACCCTCGTCCACCGGCTCCTCCTTGACTGGCTCCGGCTCCGGTTCTGGCTCCGGTTGTTTCGCAGCCTCAGCTTCTGCGGCGGCGGCGGCGGCCTCGGCGGCCTCAGCTGCGGCCTGTTCGGCGGCGAGTGCGGCGGCAGCCATCTCGGCCTTTTTCTTCTTCTTCTGCGACTTATTTAGGCCAGCAAAGGGGTCCACCTCAACCTTGGGCGGCTCCGGTTCCGGTTCCGGTTCGGGGGCTGCGACTGGTTCAGGTTCAGGTTCAGGTTCGGGCTCGGGAGGAGGAGGTTCAGGTTCGGAGGCCTTCTTCTTTTTCTTCTTATCCGTCTTGGTAGCTGCGGAGCCCCAACTCCAGGGGTCAGCAGTAGCAGTAGGAGGAGGCTCGGGGGCGGCTTCAGGAATCGGCTCTGGCTGAGGTTCCACTACGGGCTCTTCCTTCTTCTTCTTACCGCTTGAGCCCCAACTATCCCAGATGTCATCTTGCTTCGGCTCTTCCTTGGGCGGTTCCGGTTCTAGTAGGTCAATAAGGCCTTTCTTCTTCTTCTTCTTGTCCGTCTTAGATAGGGAAGGTGTGAAGCCCCAAGGGTCGTCCTGTTTTGCCGGCTCAGGTTCGGGTTCCGGATCCTTTGGTGGTTCAGGTTCAGCATTATTCTTCTTCTTGGTCGTGGTTCCCCATGAGCTCCATGGATCATCAGCGGGTGTCTCTACCTTGGGCGGTTCCTCCTTCTTGTCCTCCTCTGGCATAGGATCCCAGACGCTGGCCTTCTTCTTTTTCTTCTCCTTCTTGGTCGTTGCCGTGCCGAAGCCCCACGGGTCTTCTTTCTTCTCTTCTACTGCCGAGGGAAAAGAGGGCGGTTCGGGTTCGGGCTCTGGCTCGGGTGGTTTGTCGTCATCACCGAAGCTGAAGCCCAGCGTGGTGGCTTTGGCTTTTATTTTACTGGTGGTGAGGCCCAGGCCCCAGGGATTCTTTTCTTCCTTCGTATCAGCTGTGGCTGGGCTCTTGCTACCGCCCCAACCCCACGATCCTGGACCCCAACCTGATCCCCATCCACCTCCGCCTCCAGAACTTGGCTTAGTTTCCGTTGAGCCAAAATTGATATCGAGGCCGCCTCCAGTATCATCCAGTTTGATATCTTGAAACGAGTCGATTGCTGGGGGATCATCGGCCTTCTTGCCTTTCTTCTTGGATTGTGACGCGAACCCCCAACCGTCGTCTTCTAGTGGCGGGTCGTCCACGGGCGGCGGGACGTACTTGTCTTTGTCCTTGTCGCCGCCGTCGCCGTCGCCTGCCGCACCACCGCCATCATTGGGTGCATTGCCGCCCTGGTCACCACCGTCGCCAGCGCCTTCGTCATCCTTCTTCGCATCATCGTCGTTGTTATTGTTGCTCATAGGGGCCCTGGCTGGTGCCGCCTTCTTCTTCTTCTTCGCCGCTTGCATAAAGCCTTCCTCGGATCCGAAATCGATGAGGAAATTGTGTGTCGGATCTTGGAATATGGTATCCCTGCCACGCCGTTCCCGCGTGTCTGTGCTCGACGCATGAGGTCGGATGAAGAATGAAGAGTCTGAGGGTCGTCGATTTGCGAAGGCGCCGGTGTCAGTCGGGTCCATGATTTGTTCTGGCGATTCAGATGATTCGGGTAATGGAGCGAAGCGTCGCGACCATCGCGGACGGCAATCTGGTGTTTTAAGCGGACTTGAGATGTCAAGCGCGGTTTTGAGAGGTCGACGATGGGACGAGACCTAAGAACGTCAGCCGATCAGCTTAGTCTGCATGTTCGTCCGATGGATGGGTGAGGCGTGTTAGTGGGATGGGGGGCGAGGCGGCGCACCCCTCACTCGTCCGATTTCCCGATGAGGCTTCCCCGAGGCAGCCCATAACGAGTAGCCGTTAGACTTGGGACGAGCGTTGAAGGCGCCAACGCTGCAATGACGCCGGCGCGCACAAATTTCCAAGGGAAAAAGGATGACGGGGGACGAAAATGTTTCGGGCCGTACCTGAGGATTTCGCAATGCTGATTCCCATGCGCGGGAGATCATGCGCAAGCGGATGCGCACATCGTCTTCATCCCACCCAGTTGCCGACTGTCGAGTCGTTCTACAGCCATATGCGCCCTCTGCCCAGCTTCCTGGAAAGCACGTCGAAACGGCGGCCGCAGCCATGTTGAGAATTGAAGCTCGTGATGCCGCTGCTGGGCGTGGACAGCATGGAAGCTACGTCGGGTTTGGGGATTTCGGGACCAAGGGCATAGACTGGGTGTTTATCGATGTTCGCGTTCGTTGTCGTGGTACGAGGGGTATCGGGAGGGGCAGCGGTTTGCGCGCTGTGTTCGTAGAATGCGGCGGGTCGATGAAACGAGAGACGGGCTGGCCGTGCGAGGGGGACGTCTCCCAATATACTCTCCGCGGGAGCTTGTAAGACCAAGGGCAGACGACTGAGACAGAAGTTGTGCAAGTCAGTAAAATGGAATGCGAATGAAATGGCAGAAGTAAATGGGCGGGCTGGGGAAAATGGATTCGGCGGGCAGAAAAGGGACGGAGCCACTTCCCGCAGCTCGACGCCAGGGACCTGCGAGGTAAAGTAAGGGTCGAAAGAGGCAAGGAATGATGACGGATTAGATACGGATAGCACAGGGCGGATTACCTCAGGTCGCCGCCGCTTCAACTTGGATTAATTGCCTTACCGTACTTTGGGAATGGTCGATAACGGGCCAGTTGCGAGCGATAGCAGGGATGGAGCTGTTGGTGTAACGATTCAAAAGTCGGCCGTCGTTCCCGTCTGGCTCACTAAAACACCCCTGGCACCAGTCTGACCGCCGTCAAGCTGCGTGAGAACAAGTCAATTCGTCGGTTCTTTTTTTTATGTTAACCTCGCGTTCTGAGTCGTTTGCTATTTCTCCTATCTCATTCCTCTCGTGACTCCCTGGCAGAGATGAGGTCGAGTCATATAGGCGAGAGAATGGACAGAAAAGGAGCAATAGGAAGGCTGGAAGCGGTCCAGAGAAAAGATTCTTACAAGCCACTTCCTGCACTGGGAGCCAATGGCCCGTCGCGTCGTCGCTGGATCGTCGCAGCGAAGTGTATTGTAGGATGACAATGTCGCAGACCGCCAATATCTTGCAGCAGCAGTCAACACACCCGCAGATGATGTGGACGTTCCGTTTGGCTCGCTGTCGGGTATGGCAGGACCGTAAGGCAACCTGAGTCGGACGGGTGTTGGGACGTCGTTCGGGATTGAAGCGATGTAATGCGCGAGTTCTATGCGTCGTCGTAGAGCCGCTCAGCTAGAATAGCGTTTGGTGTGTGATGTGCGAACATCAATGTTGCGCTTCCTCTTATTCCCCGCCTGCACCGCGCGTCGTGTTGTCGTGTTTAAGAAACTCGCTAGTCATGCGGTAGGATGGCGAAGGGGAAAAGGTGACAAGTCGGGGAAACCTGGGCAGTGTCGTCACCTTGATTCCCAAAAGTTGGTGGACGGGAGAGAAGCGGCGATAGTCAAAGATTCAAGCCAAGCTCCTTCAGTAAGGTGTCGCGAGGCAAGTCACAATAAGGTGAGCTAAGTCGGAGTAATAATTATGGATATGGATGTTGTATGTACGTCTTGCGATCCATTTTCCCAGCATCCAATCCATCCTATCGTGTCCAATCCAAATGCTCAATGAGTCTCGGCCATGTCCCAGCCATTGCCCTTCCGTCTCGTCCCACTCCTCTTCCTCTCTGTCTTCCCCATCTTCGCCTTCCTGTACGGGTGTGAAGCGTGTGTACATAGCAACGGATTCCGAGCAGCAACCCATGATAGATGCGAAGAGGCCACAGTCGGCAAAAGCGCCTTTAGTTATTCGTTCTCCAGAGGGTGTCGATCCCTGGCATCTCGCAGGTGGATGGGCGGCGGCGGAGAATCATTGGCCAGCCGGTGTGATATCGTCCATGCAAGTCCCGTCCTTTGATTCGATTCACACCACCGTAGAGCCCCTCCCATTCAGCCTGCCGCCCAGGTGATGCCATTTCTCCAGGATCATGTCCGCTTCAAGTGGGCATTCGGGCAGCACACACACACCACGCGGCAGGAGCGAAATAGGAAGTCATGGTCAGGAGGTTTGAGATGCTTGTTTGCCCATCACTGATGTCTCGCGTTGGTGTTTTTCCCGTTCTCTTGCGTGTCGAATAAGGCAAGACGGGACAATTGTCCGTGACTGAAAGAGAGAGAGAGGGAAGTAGTTGTAATTAGGACCTAAAGGAACGGGTGAGGGAAGGCCCTGGAGGGTTGAACGCCGTTGCCGCTGCCGCTGCCGCTGCTCCAGAGTCAAGAAGCGACCTGCCACTGCTCGTTTCCTAACTACCTTACCCAGCAGACAGGGTACCCCAATAATCAATCGATTGCACCTTCTCTTGGAGGCATCGGTATCCGCACCTTAATTACTTCTGACAGTTGTCTCTGGACTCCGGTTCCTGGACTAACAAGACCCTACACACCCGATTCCTTCAACCCTCTACCCTGCTCTCAACAGTGTGTTTGCACTCTTTTCTTGGATCTTCGCTGCTGACACACTTATATTTTTCTGTTAAACTACGATATTCCATGTTAATCACCACGACGCTCCAAAAGCAACCCATTGCTCCTCCATGAAAAAAGACGAGGAAAACTGTGTGTCGCAGCCTGTACCAGAGCCCTAATCCGGTCGCTCCCGATCGCCCATGTGCTCCTCGGAGTTCATCTCAGACACTTCTCTCTGCTGGACGTCCGTTTCGTTTGCGAAAACCGCTCAATGGCCGAGGTACAAATCTGTCCAGCCACTCTCACGACTCACCCATGTACCCACGCAAATGAACCCAACCCCGCCAAGCAAGCGAACCACGGACAGGAAAGATGCCTCGTTCAAGATGCCACGCCTACGTCCAAAAGGTCGCGATGGACGGACGGCTACAGGTGCAAATCACTGCCTGATTGATGACAAGCAGGCTCGACCATGCGTCTGCATCTGATGGGCAAAGCTTGGAATGCAAGTGTAACGACCCGGCGGGGACGACTGAGGCGAGAACATCACCACCATTGTCCTTTCACCTCACCTTCGGCATCTAGACCAACACTACTGTCATTGTACTTGGAGTGTCGCCCCAGAAGCGGTACGAGGCTTACAAGGGCAAGGAAAGGGAGGGAAGTGCCGTCGCCCGTGGAAACGCTGCCATGCGGACAACGGCTCGGCCAGCCAGTGAGGCCTTGATGGCGATGCAGCACTGCTCACTAGATGAGGTATCGATACATGGCCTGCTGGGCAGCCATGCACCTGCGAGCGTCGAACGACCGCCTACTGGGACTTGTATTCGTACCTCTTCGCACCCCGATGGCACTTTGGACTCCCGTCCGGTCTTCCCACGCCGCCGGAGCCCCATCTGGCATCTGTACGATGGGCGAATGCCCTTCCACTGATCTCTGGCCGGCGCCAGCAACCTGCATCTGGACGGGTGTGCTCGCAGCGCCGCTGGATGCGCATCGGGAGCTAGCATGGCCTTTATGCACCCCCCAAGCCTGGCCCTGTCTCTGAAGCAGGCGACTGGTTGCTCGTCTGGCTGTTCCACCTCCAGTATCGACTGGGCGCATCAATCCTCCACCCATCCCACGATGATGACCCAAAGCGGTATGGTGTGTCCTTCACCGCTTCAATATCTCAAACCACGCACCACGAATTCGCACCAACCAGCCACGCTGAATCAGTATGTCTGGGCCTTGAATCTGATGATGGGGCCAAGTTCTATTCCATCGTCGCCGTCGGTTGACCCAAACACCTGAATGTGACAGCTCAGCTCAGCTCAGGATAGGAGCACTCGGGAAATATCAGTTTGGGATGCCCGGTTTGATGCAGCGACACCGAACATACAATGGGGTTGTCCCATTCTGCATAGTTTGATACTGACAGACAAGAAGACGCTTGCAGGAACAATCAGCCTCTGTACATGTCATTCACGGATCCGTCTCCAAACTGACGGCCAAGTTGGAGGTAACACGGGTGTAAGCCTGTGGCAAGACGACAAACTATCCGCACCTCCTGGCTGTCGTCTTTGGCGGTCAGACCTAAGCCCGGGCAACAGGCGGCCATGAGGTTCATACCTAACGATTCGTTTAGGTCAAAACTATGGGCCGATGGAGAAGACAACGCAGCAGCTGCAATATCACCAACTTGGCTAGCTGCAGAGTCCAGTTCACCTGCTTGGGAATCCTATCGACGCTCTTCGAAGGGGACCCAGGAGTTCTCGGCTCCAGCTGCAAAAAACCAGTCCCATTCAATGACGAGCATCGAGTCATCGATCCCCCAGACGGATTTGACCACAACTCTGGTGGATGCATGGGACATGCATGTATCTGCTGTTGTACGACCTATTGACAAGTCGGCCGGTCAACATGCGAGAGCCCCAACCAAGCGGCTCGCATTCGACGAGAGCGGACGGCTGTAAGCGAGCGATGGCCGACAACGTTTGTCTTTCGTCTGTTTAGCGGTATGTCTCAAGTCGTTAATCTGGAATTCATGGCAACGAATACCGGCTGCCTGGAAGAAACAAGTCTTGGACAATCAAAATCCGGGGCCGCAGCTCGGGACGAGCCCGCCCGCCCATAGCTAGGCATGGAGCATCCGCTTCCGGCCGGAGCTGCATGTGCAAGTACGGAGGACGGCATGACCGGTAACAGGATATCACCCACCGGCGCCGAGGTGAAGGTGAGATTTTGGTCAACTATCGGCACCTCATTAATAGCACCAGCCCAACCACACAGCCACAGCTACTTGACCGTCATACGCGCCTAGGAGCTTCCGCCACAGGCGCAGAGGTCCGGAACTCGACCAGTCACACTGACTCCTGTCACGGTCCAAGATCGGCCTCTCCTCTATCCCCGGCTTGCGCCCCCAAACTGGAGGTTACCATAGGGCTCATTCCGAGGCACTGGCTCCTCCAGGGGTTAATTTTAGTATCACTGCCCGTTTCAGCGTCTCCTTCTCTCGGCATCGAGTATCAAACCTGCGGCGAAATGTCATTGATTCGACTTCAATCACACTCACCCAAATACAACCCGTTCAAAATCTCACGCAGTCTAGAGAAACCCAGAGCCGATGCCTCGGGCGAATCAACGCCACCACTCTCTACGGCTAACCCGACATTACTTGCTATGACCGGCAAAGCTGCCATCCGTGCTTGCTAAGGTTTGCTGACTTGCGCGCGCCTCTGAATCCTTCCGATGACGTCCAAAGTGCCGCTAAGGCCCATGCGACACTATCTCGGCATCAGGTGCACCCATCTCGTCCTCTTTGTTTTGGGGACAACTCCCCCTCAGAGAACAGACCATCAGACGAAACAAAAGATGTCGACCCCTTCCCCTGGTTCATACTTTTCGCAATATGCTGGAGACGTAATTCCCACTCCTCAGAGTCTGAACCAGGTTCTCTCCGGCAGCCGGTACTTTGGTCCTGAACCCGCGGGTCCCCGCTGATCCTCGAACGAGCAGGGAAGGAAGCTGACTTGAACTTGGCTTCACGCCGGCTTTCTACAGCTTACTACCTAGTCTCTAGCTCTCGACATCACTACTTACGTCTCTCTGCGAAGCTCCGTCGCCTCTTTGACTACATAATAACACAACCTCGATCTTAACTGATACCTCAACGAGCAAGTGAGCAAGTCCGAAAGGTCCCCCCGGAGGACCGCAAACCACAATGCCCGCCCACCACAACCTCACGATTCGCATCCCGCTTCCGGGCATGCTCCCGGCCGAAGCCGTGATCGAGACGCTCCAGTCCCAGTCCCCCGTCATTCGGCACCAACCCCTCATAACCCGCTTCGAGAAGGTGCCCGTCGCCCTCGACACCATCGTCGACGATGACTTCTTCCTCGAGACGGGCTTCAAGATCGCCTCGTACAAGATCTACGAAAAGGTCACCGTCGTACCCGGCGTCAAGACCGAGATCTCCTTTCCCGCCATCCTCCAAAACATCCCCAACGGCCTACGCTCCCGCGCCTCCGCACCCGGCGGCGTCCGGGTCTGGAGCGAGTGGCTCGTCGTCCCCCGCCCCGACGAGCGCTGGCCAGGCGAGCACTCTGCCCCGGGAGGCAAGCTCGGCGCCTACGTCGACGGCGACTACGACCTCGTCGAGAACGTCCGCGTCGAGACCAGCCGCATACTCATGCCCCTCGTCAAGGGCCAGATGGAGAGCGCGCACCGCGAGATGCTGAGGAAAGTCCTCGACGAGGTCGCGCAGAAGATTGGGCGCGAAAAGATGTGACGACGGACGTGTGAATTCTCGGAAATACGGCGTTTTGCGGGTTTCGTTCTTGTCTTAGATACCACAGTCGTTCATCGTTCAAGCGGGCCACCGATACTCTTTGCTCAAAAAGGCGCTTCAATATTAATATCTATATCAACCTCATTCCACATCCTCCAGTGCGCTCGCTCAGATGGTGTAAACAAGCTTGCCCGCGCTGACCTTGCCCTCCTTCAACTCCTTCAGTCCCACAATGACGCCCTCCAAGCCCTCGCCGCCGCGGTTCTTGATCACCCGGATCGGCTTCAGCTTGCCTTCGGCCAGCAATCCCCTGCTGAGCTCCCAGAACCGCTTTCCGAACTCGTAGTTCTCCGGCACCGCGTCCCGCTTGCCAAAGTACCCAAACTCCTCCCCGAACACGGTGTAATACAGACTCATCTGCACGTCGACCTTGTCGTTGGCCTCGCGCACCTTGGCCTTGTCGACGGGCAGCAGCGTGCCGATGAGCCCCTCCTGCGTCGAAGACAGCGCCTTGGCCACCAGCGTCGCGGATTCCAGGGTGGACTGGCAGTCCCACGCCAGCGTCAGCGCGTCGCCCGTGTGCTTCCGGATGTCCTCGGACACGGTGGGCGACTTGTAGTCGAAGACGGCCGAGGCGCCCAGCTCCTTGAGGTAGTCGAAGTTGTGCGGCGAGGCCGTGGTGATGACGTCGTAGCCGGACAGCTTGGCGTACTGGATGCCCGAGATGCCCATGGCCGTGCTGCCGCCGTAGATCAGGATCGTCTTGGGCTCCTTGGCGGGGGCGTCGGGCAGCGGGAGCTTGAGGGTCTGGTAGAGGCCTTGGCCCTGTTTTGTTTTTGCGTGTAAGTGGTTTTGTGGTCAAGTGGTTAAGAAAGGAGCGGGATGGAACGGGACGGGACGCGACGTACGACGGTGGTGACGGCGATGCCGAGGGTAGCGGCCTCCTCGTCGGAGATGTTGTCGGGCGTCTTGATCTGCAAGTCGCCCTTGACGGCGATGTACTTTGCGAAAGCGCCGTCGATCTCTCTCAAGGCGTTTCTGAACACACAAAGATGTCAGTCCACTTCCGCCAATTTTTTCACATACCAAACCATTGATCAAGAGGGGGGGATGCAAGAACAAAACTCACGATCCGTTAACGGGCCCGCAGATCCGATCACCCTTCTTAAAGTCCTTGGTCACGCCCGGGCCGACCTCCTCGACGACGCCGGCGTAGTCGCACCCGACCCAGATGCCGACGCAGCCCGCCTTGTCCGCGAGGTCGACGTGCTTCCAGTCCGTCGGGTTGATGGCGACGGCCGTGGTCTTGACGAGGATGTAGTCGTCGCGGGGCAGTTTCGGGACGGGCGCGTCGACGACCTTTGCGACGCCGGCCTCGATGGTCTTGACGGCTTGGTTCTGCGCCATTGTGTTGTTTTGCTGTTGATGTTCCTGTGTAGATGGTGGAGTGAGTACCTGTATGAGTTGACTGGTCTGCTGTGATACCGAGTTTCTGGTCAAGGACGGGCAATGCCTTCTTATATGTACATATGAGATACTACCTTTAGCCTCCTTTCCCCCCTCACATCGTCACAGCTTACAAATTGCCGGCCAAGCCCAAAACGCGGGTCTCTCTCCCTCTCACTGTTCAAGGCGGGGTGGACAGGGCGGGCGGTCAACGAGTTCGACCACATCAGACATCATAGAAAAACCACCGGCCCCGCCCGCACCAGCGGACCGGCCGGCCCTACAACAGCCATTACCGAGCGCCTGCGCGGATGTAACACCGTTCCTGGAATATTCCCGGCCAACTACCTAGAAGAAACAGTACAACGGCCCCCTTGGCTTATAAAAAGATGGTTTACTAATAACCGTACATTTTGCTCCCGTGCCGTTTGTCAATCCATGATTTTTCCTGAGACGGAGGGTGACCGTACGTCTGGGCCCGGAGGCTCTGTCTGACACATTGCCTTTCGGCGCCGGGTTTCCTGCTTACGGTACCAAAGTCCCGATCTCGTCAGCCCCGGGACGCTGGGTGCCTGAGATCCTGAGATTCGGCGCCGAAACAAAAGTCCATTTGTCAGATTGAAACGGCTTCGGCCACAAAAAAAAAAGAACAAAACAAAGTGGTCGCTCCCGCTGAATGATAAGCGAGGGAAAACGCCACGATTGACCCCGCGGCCCCTCGCCATGATGTAACGATATCGTTATCGCCGATTGGAACCCCTCGGAGGGGCACTACGACTGATTGCCTTGGGAAGTTTGGAAGACTGGACACGGGGCCGCTGAGCAATCCCGCTGCCTCGCAATCGCTCGACAACATTTACTCGTACACCAAGTCCTAACAGAGCAGACGGGTGGTGGGAATTTTAAATGTCATCATAATGGTATCTATAGCAATGCGTTCTAAACCCTGTAACCAGACCACCCGCTAATTACCCTTTTGACGGGCGTGTTCGCAGTGTTCCCTCACAACAAACGCTTGGTCATAAAGCGCTGTTCCCCTAGAAATAAATAAGATAAAACGTGTCATAGGCGTCCGCCGCACATAGAAGTCAAATAACAAAGGAAAATGGCAAAAGAACAGTGTACGCGACTACCTGCCACCGTAGTCGCTGGCGTAACCAACCTCTCCGAAGCCTTGGCTCATGCCTCCCTCGCCAAACCCGGTACCGGGCCCGCTAACATAACCGCCATCGTCGCCTTCGTAGTCGCTGGCGTCAAACGATGAGCGGCCGGATATGTCGTCTTCCAGGCCGCTGCTCGCGTCTTGCGCAGACCAGTTCATCTGTGCAAGCGCGGGGTATTGGGCAAGGAGGGCGGCAGGCAGCATGTACTGGCCGCTGGCATCCATGGGATAGCCCGGCTCCATTCCCATGGCACCTTGAGCGGCCATGTTTTGCATATTCTGCTGTTGCATCCGTTGTTCTTGCCAGGCGCGTTGCCTGTCGAGCATTTCTTCGTCCAACAAGGGTTTGATGCAGATCCGCCCCGCCTCTGACCGGAAGTGTCGACCAAGCGCATCGGCACGAGCGAATCTGCGACCGCATCCCCACTGACCGCCGGCTTTCAGGTCTCCCTTACACACAAATTTCTTCTCGCCAGAGTGCAGACCTTCGTGCCTCTTCCGGTCGTGTTGCCGAGCAAACGCCTTCCCGCAGACTGTACAAACGAAGGGTCGTTCGTCGGTATGTGTGCGCAGATGGGATCGCAGGTTGTACGCTCTGGTGAAGCGCTTCGGGCACAGAGTACACTGGAAGGTTGCCGGGTGCTTTTGTACACGTTTCGCGTTGCCATTGTCTTGAGAGTTTTGGTACTCAGGATCCGCCAACCTCAGAGCGATGACGTTGTTGGGCACAGCGGATGTTGACTGTCTTCTGCGGCTGGGGCTTGTGGCCTGTCGGTCGAGCGGAGAGAGGGATCGTGATGAGTCTCGTCCAGACAGATCGGAACCTAGGTGAGGCGACAAGCTGCCAACAGAGGTCTGGCGGACCATACCCTGGCCACCGCTGTTGAATGGGTCCGTAACCGCGCGCGGGCGGGATCGGGGTCGTCCTAATGCTTCTGTTAGCTTCAGTGTGAACATTGGCGAGAACCAAAAGTGCCATACCTCGATCGGGAGGGGTCAAAGAATCTTGATCCATGGGCGCCTTCGGAGGATCAAAGTTGTTTGATCTCGCCACGGGCGCAAACTCGATGTTAATCGCCGGGGCCACCTGGGGCATCTCGGGTGGTTGCTGCAACGTCGGGAACGCCTCCTGACCGGTGTAGCCAGCGCCGCCAGCGTACGCAGGATTCTGGGCACCGAGGCCGAAGTTTGGTGGCTGGTTCAGCTCGGGCATCGACTGAGGAAGAATGCGCGGGGAGATGGCAGGGCTGTGAGAGGGGCTCCGGCCATGAAGGTTGGGGCTGTTGAGCGCGGGGTCCGAAATGGTGAAGCTATCGAAGCCCTGAATTTGCTGGTACAGGCCGGCATCAGCGGGGCGCTGCATCGGCGAATGACGCTGGTCAATAGGCTCGAAGCTGTCGGCGCTCACGAGGTTCGGCGAGGGGGCGGCGGAGGAGACGTCCGAGTACTCGGATGGGGATCTCCGGTGACCCTGAAACTGGGGTTGACTCCATTCGTTCAGCTGGTTTGGCATGAGAGCAGCTTCGGGGCCGAGAGACGCATTTCTAGAGTGTCCGGAAGGCGGCGACGAGAACTGGTGCTGGTTGAAAGCGGGCGACTGATGCCCGGACGGTGTCTGGTGGGGGTCGGGGTTGAGGAGGTGGGGAGGGGTCGGCGAGTGATGACTCTGCGGCATGGCCATCATGTCCGGGTTGAGGCTGTTCTGATCGAAGACTCCTGCGTTGTACTGCTGCTCGCCCTGGGTGGAGGGAAAGAGTGCGAAGTCGCCGGAGGGAAAGTTGGGGTCGAGATAGCCGGGCTGGGCTCCTTGGTTCGGGAAGGCAGCGGCGGGCTGGTTGAAGGACTGGCCGTTCTGCTGACCGTTCAAGTAGTTGGGGCTGTTGTTAAAGGTGTTGAAGTCGGCGGAGGAGGGTCCGGAGAAGGGTTGAGTAGATGATTGATCCAAGGCGAGACCGAGGCCAATGTTTGCTGGGTCGGAGGTCTGGAAGGGATTCGGCGACGGGGAATGAGAAGGTTGTCTTATATGAGGCTGTTGATGCCCCGCAGACGGTGAGCGACCGCGTGAGGCTTGTTGATCCATGATGTAGACGGAAGCCGATTGTCGGGATCGGGATGGATGGATGGGGATGCGTGTGTTGCGTGTGTGTTTGTTTCTGTCTTTAGAACTGGGCGAGGCAGTTCACAAGTCAGCCTTTCAGGCACCGCACCGCCCTGGGGCTGTGCTGACGCGCGAGCTGACAGACCGCACCTAACTGGCGGCGACGGCGGGGGATGAACGTGTGCGACGAGCGTTTATTCGCTGTCGCAAAAAGAGTTCTGTGGAAACGGCAGGTAGTCGTATGCGATTTTGTACCGATGTAACTGAGCAACGCGATGAATAGCGGTGCCGAGGAGAAGAGGAAAGCCGTAGAGGTTTGTTTGCGGATTTTTGGGGGCGTCAGGTTGGATAGTTGAGTGTCGCAGTCAGAAGACGGGAGCTTCCTGTGTGTGAGGAGGAGTTGAGATGGGGAAGCGAGGGACTTGAGTCGGCGGGCGGGTGAGGGACCGACCGGACTAGAATCGACTGGACAGCTGGTAGGAGTGAGGTACCTTCCCGTACTGAAGTACAGAGCGCAATGGGTATCCGTACCAGTGGAGGGCAGTTGGGAATTGGGGTCTGTGGTCGGGTCACAGTTGGGGAGGGAGGGGGAAATGTGGAAGTGTGGTGGTGGTGGTGATTGGAAGTGTTGGAAGTGACACTGGACTGTGGACTTGGGTGCAGCGTGGGAAGTGACTTGTTGCTTGTTGGAGGGGCGCGTTGACAGGCGATGTGGTTGGTCGGAGTGAATCCACTCTGTCGGCCCAATCTGGCTGGTGCCCACAAGGCTGTGCACGTTTGAGGATGGATCTCTCTCGACCCGGCGGCTTTCGGTGTGGTAATGTCAGGACAGAACGCAGCGGATGGCGAGTCTGTTGTATCCGTACCTGACAGGTGCACCTGACTCTTAGGTACCTGAACCAGGTGTCTTGGTGTTGTGTCGAGGGAGATTGAGCGAGGCACAGAGTACTTGCAGCTGAAGTACCCCTGCCTCTCTGCAACGGCGCGCTTCGACTCGGATTGATGTGCGCTGGGCTGCTTGATTGCGGTGGAGGCAACGAGGACAAGTACCTTACTTCCCGGTCCTTTTTCCTGCACGATGCCCTGTGATGATGCGCTAGCAAGCTGCAGCTCCGTCTCCCTTGGAGTCTGTGATGCTCTGTGTCGTGCGCGTCTGTTGGTTCCAGTCGTGTACGAATCTTCGTACCGCAGATGAGGACGACTCGGCAGATTCTGGCTGATCAACTTTGTCGACTAACGTATCGTCCTTGGTCCAGTACAGATACCGGCCGCGTGTCCGTCAACGTGAAGCGATGAACGAAGCGAAGCGATGCTATGCTGCAAGCCTAGAAGTGTAAATCCAAAAATATCCTTTCCCGGCGCAGGGATATGGACACGACAGCTAGGCGAATCGACGAAGCTATCGTAGCTCTGGCTCCGGCTCTGCTTTGCGCTGCTCTCAGTCCGCGCGTGCTTGCCACCTTGGCCTTCAACGACGTCGGACGTGGCTCGGGGGTTCAGAGCTGAGGAATCGTTTCAAGCAGGATGGGCGGATTGCTGCTGGCGCTCTCGTGATTCTGGTTGGTCAAATTTCTTGAGCCGATATGTCGATGACTGTTCAAGACGGCTCGGTGCGCTCGCTGCAACGGGCGTGATACTATTGGGAATCGAAAAAGGCGGCGGTTGATGTGCGGATATTCGTTAGAGCACCGGTCGGAGGCGCTGGGTTCCTGTAGGAACCTAAGCTGAAGCTTGTGACTGTGACTTGCGACGGCGCGGTAATAAGGTGTGCCGGTCGGCGGCGTCGGGGTCGGGGGTCGGCGAGTACGCAGTAGGTAGGTAGCTTGAGCTTGAGCCTTGACTCTTTCTTTGCCTTTTTGCTTCGGTGATGTGGTTGGCGTCGCGGACATGTGGGCTAATAAGCGCACTACCAGGCAGCAAAGCAATCAACAAAAGTCTAAGGTACCGACTTACAGAATGCTAGCGCATAATACCTTAAACTCGTTCGCTTCCAGGGTAGGCTGGGAAGAAACGGGCGGGAAACAGCCCGCCGGAGGAGGGGCAAAATAGGGGTCCTATGTTTCGAAGACTGAGCATTTCAAGATAATGCCCTCACTTCCAAGGCTTGCTGTCGTATCTGTATGGAATTATGACTGTGATACGGTACCGAGCACGGCAAAACGGATTCACAGCAAACGGACCATTGCTTCCTGTTTTCCATCCTGACTATGGTCATGGTCTATTCCTGTACAGCTTATTATCCAGCTTACGGAGCACCTCAACTTACTTTACCTAGGGCGCCAACTAAAGCAACTGGACCTCTTTCATCTTACTCCTCTGCCAATCCATATTGCCATCTATCTTAGACCGTGGACGTCTCTCCATCGACTGGCCATTGTTTGGTTGTCCGTTCCATGTCCAATGGAATCCGGTCTCGCTGATGTCTTGTAAGTGTCAGGGCGATGTATCTCTCAGTAAAGGTTTGGCCGAAAGGTACTTGGCCAGGGGCCGGTTTCCATTAATGGAAAGTTGCGACTCTGAGTGTTAGGCAAGGCGTTTTTTGTTGCTTCTGAGGTCGAGTCTGAAGTCTGCCTTGAGGTGGGTTCCTGTTTCCCGTCCGTGTCCATGTCCACCAACCATCCAGATTCCAGCGCATCAGCATCAGCATCAGCATCAGACCCGATAATTTGAAATTACGCTGTTCCTCGCTTGGCCTTGGCATCTTGTGTTTCCAACTTCCTTCCATCATCCATGCGCGCCTAATCCATGCCACTCTCATGCTCACGCTCTGTGGCTCTCTCTCACAACGGTCAATGGCACTTTAGCATTTCACCGTGTATTTTTCCCATCACTCCACTAAGCTAATCACTTACTCAATGGCTTTAGCTTTGGCTTCTGGCGCCGGCTGGTCCTCATCTCTGACCTGGCTGTCATCATTCCGCCCCAGCCCATCATCTAACAATTCCAACCACCTGTGTCACTTTGACATTGTCACCGTCCGCCGCCTCGTCTGGACTCGATGGCCGATGCTGACGGGACCTGCCACATTCTGATTGACAGGCCCTGTCAACCCACTTTCCACTTCCAATATCCTATCCAGCCCATATGACGACCTGACACATGATGGAGTTGGAGCGGCCGCTATCGCAATCGTCAAGTCGTTGTCATTCCTTACTAAAACCAATCTAGCGGCTTCGCTCGAGGACCAACCGGGCATGAATTACCAGCTCCGTTGATCCTCCTTCATCGACGACATCAGATGGAAAAGTCCACCCGCAACAATGATGCGCGTCCGACATGAGATGAGAGTGGACAAGCCCAACGAACAATCTCATCAAACGCATGGCACCACTGTACCAGCCTCTACCGGCCCGCCAGAACTCCAACTTCCACAGAAGTTGAATCACCGAACTGGCGGTGATGAGAAACATGCAGGAGCATGCTGACACTCGTCACCACCACTTTCCTCAGCTGCACGCCCATTCGCCGGTGAGCGAAGCCAAGCAGCTTGTAAAGCGACCCTGCCCTTTCGCCTGCCTCAGAATATTGCAGTGCAAGTTCGGCACATGCATTCCTCCAAGATACGCTACAGATCGTCCAAGCCAGGGCTTTGTTTGACAGCCATGGATACAGACCGCTGGCGTGCCTGTCTCTTGGGTAGAATTGGCGGCATTCAGCCAATCAGCGCCATCACATCCACCTCATTTCATCTATTGCCAACCACTGCAGACCACCATTGCCTCGCTAGGCTGAGGGGAGCACCGCACAAAGCAGAAAGTCATCATCGTCAGGCACACAAGTCTCACCTTCCCGCGCCGAGACGTATGGCATTAGATGAACATGAGGTTCAACATGAAGACGGCCCCTCACATCTGCGTCAGAGTCACATCCCACCGAAGTGTGAATCCCGATTTCTCACCTGAATCAACATCTCGCGACCCCGTCATCGCGGACTTGATCATCCGGAGCCCTAGACCTGGCCGGAGCTTCTGGAAGGAGATCCAGAGAGGCGCAGTTCGTTTTGAAACAAGGGACCCCCATCACCAGAACTTCGACGACAACAACCACCGCCCTGCAATCGATATCGTCGTTTTTCCATCATATTCATCCCCCTAGTATCCGTATTCTCGCCCGGCAGCTTCCAAGACACGCCTGACTGCTACGTTTCCACGAAGCTTCCACAACTACCGGCCAATTACGATCCCTTCGCACCTGTAGCGCTGCAGGACGCGAAATAGCGTCCGACACAGCCACCCGAGCTTCGTGGCCCCCAATATCAGACCTTCCCCAAAATGACATCAAGCGCATGCCCTCGACAATCCACAGCGCGGCACGAAGAAGCTTATTCGAGAGAAGGTACGGATACGTTTCAGGGCCATCGAAGCCCGTGTGATTCGGTTGGGTCTTCACCTCCGCGGCCCTTTGAGATTCTCCACAACGGCGAGGGTCGGATCCATGCCGGGGCGGGCCCTTCGCCATTTCCCCCGCCTGCTCTCGACTCCCATTTTTAGAAAACGAGAATTTCGGAAATGCGAACCGTACCATACGCCTGGGTCTGGCATGTGCCCCAAGACGTCAAGCGAGGACGGCGGCGTGTTGGGACGTGTCTCTCCTCGGAGACGTCGGCGCCCAGCAATCATGATGACTTGGCGTTGCTTTTCCTAGACGAGGTCTCTGGCGCCATGTTCTCAGTCGTGGCATCAGACCACGCCGAGACTGACTTTAGGCAGCCACACATGCAGTTCGCTGGGATTTCGTCTGATGACATATCGTTCATCCAAAGATGAGGCGGCTTCGACTACCGAGATCGTGTCCTCTGGGTGGCTGTGCTCGTCGATCATTCTGGAGAAGAGCTGAATGCTTGAGCCCCGCCGAAACATTCGTCGTCCGAATCGTCACACCGACTAATGGCGTGCAGAAACGGGCGCTGCGTTCTTCGAAGTGTCTTTTCATCCCTGGCTACGATACTTCGAAGTCTTGCTGCTTTGTAGCGGCACTTGAGTTGTACATGCTGTCCCGAGTAGATGTGCTATGTTTGTTCCAGTGTTGCTGACAAGAGGCAGATTTGATCCCGCCTCTTGTCACTCAAATATGTCTCTGTTGATCAAAGTCTAACAAATGAAACAGAATCGAAATATAACAAATCCAACATGACCAAAGGCCGATGTCTTTCCCAGTATTGTACAATGAGTGGGGACCGTCCGTCTCCCAACAAACGCCTTTTTTGCGCCGGACAATCCCTCTTCTAATGGTATCATCGGTCTTTTCTATAAGTCGCCAAACCCAAGGAAACAACGACGATTGCGTGTAATCGTATCCGGAAATATCGAAACATGTCTGCCACTTCTTTCTGTGACGATCTTAGATGACTTCGGAGCGCTCGAAGCCCTGCGCCTTGAGTGCGGCATTGGGCTTCTCGCCGTCCTTGTACTCGCTAACGAAGGGGTTCGGATCCTCCTTTTGGTCGAGGTTACTCAACGTGTGGTTGACGCCGCGGTGGACAGCCTCTGTGAAGACATGCATCAGCAAAACAGATCTCTTTCTCCAATGAGCCACGTTGAGGGGGTTCTTACCGTCGGCTCTGATGTACATGATCAGGTCCTTCATCGTCCTCTTGCCCTCGGGGATCTTCCAGTACTGCACCGCGATGTCGGGGATCGCGAACTCCGGGTCGGACCACTTGGGGAGCAGGCCCTCGTCGATCTCCTTGATGCACCTGGTGTAGGTGTGCACGGCCTCCTCCTCGAGGTAGCCGACGAAGCGGTGGGTGATCTTGGGCGAGACCAGATACGACAGGAACATGCCGTTGAAGAAGACGCCCTGCGCGCCGAGAATCATCGTCTTCATGAACCACCCGGGCTCCGACATCTTCATGAAGGTCAGGACTGTGACCGTTTAGCTTGGTGACACTTCGCAAATGTATTTTGACATCGGGCAAACTCACGATGCATTCTCTCGTTAAATGACTCCTCAAGGAGCGTCTCGATCCAGCCGTTGTCGCGCTTCATGCGCCGCAGGCTGCCGAGGTGCCGAAGCATGCCGGCGACCATGCCGGGAACTATACCACCCGTCAGCTGTGTCCTCCTCTCGCAGATCACGGCAGTCGCAACCCACCTCCGGCAATACTCTCAAGGAAGATGAACCGCACCAGCCACTGCGCCTCGGTGAGCGGCTTATCGGCGACCAGCGAGGTGGTCGGGTTCCTCTTGTCGACCTGCTGGTCCGCGCCGAGCCCCGTGGCGCGGTCCATGCACCACCGCGCCAGCCGGACGAACTTCCACGCGGCCCAGTCGCCCACGGTCCGCGGCGCGCGGTGGTCCGGCACGATGTCGAGCATCTGCTGCTCCGTGTACCCCGGGTGCGGCCACGCCGGCGCCGTCGTGCGGATGTGCTCCGTCTCCCTGGCGGGGAAGAAGTCCCGGAGCCGGGAGGCCGGCGTCGTCGAGAAGTTGCTGTGCTGTTGCTGGGTGACGGAGATGCGGAGGCTCGCCGGGTAGAGGCCGAGGGAGCTGGTGCTGTTCAGGTGTCGCAGGGCCGCCGCCCGCAGCTGGGCCGCGCCGTGTCGTGGCGCGCAGAGTTTGGTCGTTGCTCGTGATGAAAGCATGGGTGAAGAAGCTTTGGTTGTGTGTTGAGTTGGCGTTGTTGTCTGAGTGTTCAGATGTTATGATGTCGTTAGTATATCTTGTTGATGATGATAGAGTAGTATACGAGAGACCTGCCTGACGAGGCTCAAGGCCGCTCCCACTTATATATCACATCTTGAAGATCGTATAGGTAGGTGGTGGGGGGCGCAGAGCTGTCAGATGGGATACACAAAACTGCGTAAAGGGTACGGACACCGGCGAGGTTTCGGTATCTCCAAGGAAGAGAACGGTATTACTCAAGCCCATGCCCAGCGCTACGAAGACAGACCGGGTTCCAAGTTCCCTTGGGGCCGTTTGCAATGCCTCAGGTGCGCGCACAGGGTCTCCATGAGTGGAAAATTTCAACGAGCAACAATGACAACCTAAGCACAAAGCTGAGGTAAAGTCGCCGAGGAGGCGTTTTTGCCGTATCCGCCCTGCGCTTTCAGCTTGCTTACACTTACACGTCTGCTGGGTTGGAGCCGGTCGTTGACGTCTCCGACTTGCCGACGTGCCCTTAATTTTTGGGACGAAGGAAAAACAAGGTGGGGACCAAAGCCCGCAGGCGGCGGCGGTGGGGGTCAGCTGGCCGGCGTCTGTCGGGAGGGCTCGGGATGGCCTGGGGCTCGTGTGTCAGCGGTCCAGCGCTCCTGCCAGCTTCAGCTGTTCCGCGAGATTTTCGTGGGGACGTGATTGGATGGTTTCCAGGTTGTCTTTGATGCTCGCCGATACGGGCGTGTGTTTCTATCTGACATGTGTTGGAATTCCGCATGATGACAATGCAGTGAACTCGACGTCTGCCGTGCTTGCTCAGCTTATCGCATGTTGCATACGAGAACGGTCTTGTTTTACTTGGGACTTGTGTTCCCTTGGGCGGTTTGGATGTGAGACGTCTTGTTTTCTTGGAAGTACGATACGGATGACATCGGGGGATGGCAGTCGCCGACCTCTCCGTACGGAATTGATAATGTCAAGCAAGAGCACATTCTTTTGCGGATTCTTGCTGTGAGAAGGATCCGAGACTCGAGTCATGGAATTTGAGCAAATTTTTGCTTTCCTCTAGAAACTCGGGCAGCTTTGAATAATTAGGACGGCGATGAACTCCACCGTGATACGTAGTGTACGATTTCAAATCCCGATCAATGCGCGGAAGAAGTTCCGGAGCGGGACGTCCGTCTGCCGACACTGCTCCGCCGTCTTCTTCGCCGTGGCTCCGGAATATCGAGGCAGAGCCAGGTTGCTGGTCCATGTGACCGTTCTAGACTTGACAAACTTGCAGGGCCAAGCAGCAGCACAAACCGGCCAGGGGTCCGTCCATGATCCTCGACGCAGCTCCTCCTGGACCCGGAGTACTCGATATTGATGACATCGCGAAGATGGGGATTCGTTGACTCAACGGGAGAGAAGAAAACTGCCTCAAAAAAAGGTGGGCTTTGCGTAGTAAAACACCCGCTTATGCTGTCATTTGAACGCCTTTCAGCCTTGGGAATGGAGCTGGGAGAAGGGCTTGATGGTCACGTTTGCGGTTTTGGGATTTTCGACCCGGGAGGGATCGGGAGAAGGCGGCTCTGCGCTTTGGGGCCCGTTCGCCCAGGCGGACCGATGATGGATCGTGAACGGATGTGTTGATGCCTCACCTGCGAGGCTGCGGATGTTTGGTGCCGAGCGTTCGGGGAGTCGTGAGTCACCAGCTTGGATGCGATACTGGCTTCAGCGCGCGTCGCGGGTTGTGGTTGGGCACGAGGAAGGGTGCACAGCGAATCAAAGGCCACCTCTTCACTGCATTGTAAATGCATCCAGAGGGACTTTAGTTGCGCCGCAGACTGACGACCAGGCTGCTTGACGACACGGCTACCTTTCACTGCATTGCAAACGGACCTTGAGGCAACCGTCAAATTTCGACGCGTCGGTAGGGCTATGTTTTCACTGCATTCTAAGAGCAACCCGAGGCAACGTCGGCACTAAAGTGAACGAGAGAATCACCAATTACCTCATATAATAACAGCGCACAATTGGTTTCCCAGTGATCGGCCAGCGTTCCAATGGGTCAGTCGGATGTCACCGAATGGAGAAGCCTCGATGGCGTCACGAGATGACCTTCTTCACCACGATCCACACGGGATCGCGAGCAATGAAAGAAAATGAAAAATCTCCTTTGCAGGAAAGCTTTGGGGTTCAAAAATTCCCTAGCCAGCCGAAGCCAACTAGGAGTGGTCATAGTTAATAGTTTTCAACTAGCAAAAACACGATCTCGGACGAATCCTCACTGATACGCGTAAAGCCCTTGCACTCGGATGAAGAAGAAAAAGAAGAAAATTAGCAAAGACCGCGGTGGGTGGTGGGCTTTATATAGATATTCGGGGTGGGCCACGGATCAGTAAAACGGTACGTACCCCGAGGGGCAGCAGGGTGAATTTTTCGCAGGCAGCAAGCGCGGGGTCGCCTTTTTTTCCAAGTGAGTCACTGCAACCGGAAGGCTCGACCAGTGAAGATGGGAGGTATTCGTGGGAAAGTTCACTTCTTACCTGGAAGTTTTGGCCTCGTTGATTCTATTGCGTTCTATCAGAGGCAAGCGCCACTTGAGGCCAATGAGGCCAAATTTCGAACCTTGGGAGACATCGGAGGGAGGCGCTAATACGATCTGAAGTCAGGATGGTGGGGTAGAGCTTCCATCATGGACCACATGCAAAATGCCAATGGCATCGAAGAACTTAACACAGATCCAGCAAACACAGAGTTGGAGATTCTGGTCTGTTTGGAGCACAGGCCGAACTGCGGTTTCTCGGTCCTTCTGTTCGTGAAATATCTCATATTCGTTCCAATAATCCTATTTCCAGGTTGCGATGTCCTTGGAGATGCGTTAGGCAGCCGGACCAAGACATCTGAAAGCTGCAGGCAGAAGTCTGACCTCGGAAGCCTGCCTTTTGGCATGATGTCTCCCAAGATCTCTAAGGTCCTCAGCTGTCTAACTATCTAGCAAGCGTCTAATGGGTATGAGTGTTATGGCGACGGCCTCAGCGCCATTCGAAGCAGTACAATCAATGCCTCCGATGCAAGTACATACCAGCTTGTTTAGACAATGTATGGCCTTGCTCTTGATCGAAGTGTCATAAAAGAAACACAGACAAATAACCTTGAGGCCGATTGAACTGTCCATTCCTTCTGCAAGCCTACAATAGGATTCCTCAGACGACAAGCGCGTTTGGCGTGCCACTGCGTGTGGACGTCAATCAAAAGACCAGACTTCGTCGGGTCTCCAGCGAATTCCCCCGCTAGGTACTGCCCGCTGCCGCGTTCGGCCGGGCTGGGTTTTCCCTTCCTTGGGCGTCCCTTCACTGCCCAACCACGGACCCCCCTTCCCTTCCACAATTTGTGTTTCTCCGAAGACCAAACTTCAGGCTGATAGGAATTTCTTTCGATACCATTTTCTTCCGCTCGCCCATACTCCTACGAGTTCTCGATTCCACGACCCCATCGTCGCCCCTCGGTTCCTGACTTTCTACCCCGCGTCTACCACCAATACCATCTGACATCATGCCTCCTAAGAAGTGGGGTGAGTTGCTCAAAGCCGTTGTCCCGCACACGCACACATTTTTCGAGGGCAAAATGTCGCGATATCTGGCCACGCTGGAAACTGCGATCATGACCGCCGATATGCCTCGGGACTCAACCGCGACCGTCAGTGTACCTTGCTGACAGTACGTTCTGATACAGACGAGGAAGAGAGCGGCGACGAGAGCTCCGGCCCTAACTCTCCCCCTGTTGCTGCCCTGCGCCGCACCAAGTTCGACGACGAGGAAGACGACGACGACGTATGTTCCCAAACTACGCACTTGATCCCGCGCATTTCCACTAATACCTCCATAAGGTTCTTGACTCTTGGGACGCCGCCGAGGACTCCGAGGTCGAGCGCGAGAAGGCCAAGAAGGCCGAGGAGGCAAAGCTCAAGGCCGCCGAAGAAGCCAAGAAGAACAAGAAGTCTAAGGGCCAGCGCATCGCCGAGATCCAGGCCGAGCGTCAGCGCCGTGCCGCCGAGGATGATGATTTCGAGGAGGAGACCGAGGCCGAGCGCCGTGAGCGTCTCCGCCGCACCGAGAAGGAGTCCGACATGAAGCACGCCGAGGACCTCTTCGGTGATATCGGTGTCCCGGCCGGCCGCAAGGCCACCCTCGCCGGTACTGCCGTCCAGATCGACCCCAACGACCCCACCAAGACGGCCAACATCGCCGAGATGCCTCTCTTCAACCCCATGACCAAGACCCAGTTCGAGCACCTCCGCACCACGCTGACGCCCATCCTCGCCAACAATGCCAAGAAGGCGCACTACGGTCTCTTCATGCAGGAGTTCACCAAGTCCTTGGCCAAGGAACTTCCTAGCGACCAGATCAAGAAGATCGCCTCGGCCCTCACCGCTCTCGGCAACGAGAAGATGAAGGAGGAGAAGGCCGCCCAGGGTGGTAACAAGAAGAGCAAGGCCGCCAAGACCAAGGTCTCTGCTGTTGTGAGCCGTGCTCCCGCCGCCGAGACCGAGACATACGAGGACGACGCCTTCGGAGAGTAAGTCGACTTGCTAGTGGCTTCTATCGCATTCATCTGCTAACATGTTTCTTAGTGATGACTTTATGTGAAGCAGAGGGCAGGGTCGCATCATTCTTCCACACCCAGCGTCCGGCCCCTCGCATCTCTGCGGGCCGGCTCCGTGCCGTCAGATCTGGCGCGCCTCCGCATCGAGACTTGCAGCAGCAGCGACATAACATACCATACGGACGTCGCTGCCGCGCACCCCGCTGCGTCATTCGCATGCGGGGAGCAAAGAGGGAGGGTTCGCAGGCTGTGAGTGGCCGCTGGTTAGTGGACAGGGAAGAAAAGTTTCAGTGGACTTATCAAAACGGCGTTGGGTCGCGCAGACGCTGGTAGAATCATGGACGAGTTTCATCGTCCAGTCCAGGTTGCTCGAGCATAGCATGCATGCCATACCGCGTTTCCCTCTTGGCATCAGGAAAAAAAGACCATTTATGAGTTATGGGCAATGGATTGTTAGAGCAAAACACGATAGATCTGATTCATAAAGGATACGTGAAGTTCAAGTTGGAAAATGACTAGGTGGTTCTTCGATGCTGTTCCGTGACTATGCGGTGAATTCAGCATGCGTTGAAACCAGCAACGGCCTTGGCTCCTGATAGTAACTGCCGTGGATAGGATTCGAGGCTTTTACGAGCTGACATAGGCAATGTCGACTGGTAGGAGGCATACCCACCATTTCGTCACCCGTCAGCGTACACTATCGTCCTCCGCTGTCAAGATCCCCGACCCTTTTCGGAGTTTCCTCCGACGAAGCCGTCGCAGCCTGTATCCTACCTACCCAGACGCATCGCACGCTACACGACTCAACAGGACCGACACGCCCGCATCACGCAAATTCCTCGCCAGCAAAGCCCGAAAGAAAACACCAAGCAAACAAGCTAGGCAAACCACTTAATGCCTCATCCCAAGAACACACGGGAGTTGTAGATAACGATGCCAGCGGTGCCCGGTTGGGCCCCTGAACCGTGCCCAAAGTCCCCTGTGAAAGAGCCTTGGACCCTGAACACGCCGGGGTAGCAGCCTATATCGCGCGTTATGCATAAGTTGAAGATCGTGTCGTGGGCGGCGGCGGGGCGGGGACGTTAAAGCACGAGCATTGTTTTGGGGGCCCCGGATCGACGACGTGGACGCCATGCGCAAACGACGGATACGCCAGGGTCTGGATGAGTCACAGGCGGAAGACCATGAAGAACCATCTAGGGCGGCAAATGTTTGGTGAGGTACGAGTTGTAAATAGGGGTATCATTATTTTTGTTTGTTCGTTTCCTCTCCCCTACCCTACCGTATTTTGTATCCCATGTATATCGTATTGAAACGCCTTGTCGTCCGAATAAAAAACATAACCCGCGGAGGAGAGTGAATGAGTTGGGTTTGTTGCGCCCGACCCTTTCCTCCCGTGAAGCATGATCCCCGTGATATGTACATATAGAACCCTTTCTATACAAGATGTACCCAACGCCTGGTCTTTTGAAATCATGTGCTCGTTAGAACAGCCGTAAGCCCTCCCTAATTGGAGCTGGAATGAGATGAGTGGAGAGAGTGAAGGAGGCTAGATGACGTTGCCGGCCATGCCCATGAACAGGGCGTGCACGGCAAGGCTCAGAGTCCAGAAGCCGACCTTCTTGAGCCGGCGGACGCGGCTTTGCTGGTCTTCGACGTCACGGGCGAAGGCCTCGTACGTCTCGGCGGACATGTCGTCCATGAGACCGCAGTCGAAGATGGTCCAGCTGCCGTCGAAATCGCTGGCGCGTTTCACTATACGGCAATTGATGGGGATATATGTCTTCTTGGCGTTGATGTAAGCCACGATGGGGCGGACAAGTGCCTGGTTGATGTATGTTAGATCGTTGGTGAACAGAGGCACGGCAGCCTTGACGTCGTTCATGTGTATGCGTAGGTCCATGATGAGATATCTTCGGTCCTCGTCGGTTGAGTCGGTCGACTCAGGTTCATCTGGCTCCATCAGTTCGGGAGCTTCCGGGGTGTGGCTCTCGGCGAACTCTGGCGTGGCTTGAGAGAGGTGGCCTTGTGTAGGAGTCGGGCCCAAGAAGGACGCAGGATTTGCGAGCAAGTCTTTCTGCAGCAGGCGCATGCGGTTGGAAATGACGGCGTCTTCCAGTTGATCGTAAAAGTCCGACATGACCTTCGTGATGCCATCATCCAAATCAGCAGGGAACATGACATCCGCGACGATGTCGACGTTGCCCTCGTATATCCAGCCGAAGGGACCCTCGACACCTCGGTTGAGATGATCAATCTTGAGGCCGTCAATGCGAAGGCGGCTGAATTTCTTCCAAGCCGACGGCTCTCCAATATCACTGGCAGCGTCTCCATTTCGCCCAGCCACAGCTCCGTGTACTTGTCGCGGATGAATCGTGAAAAGAGATCCATCAAAGGAGCCGGACATGTGAGTTGCCGAGAGGAAATCGTAGAACAGCCACTGTTTTCTGAGCTGCGGCAGCTCGCACGAGAAAATGCTGACCGAAAACGGCCGGAAGTTGTTTGGTTGGTGAATCGTTACGAGAAGATCTTCGAGTTTGAATGAATCAATCTCGAAATCCCCAGGCTGGTGAGTGTGTCGGTAAGAGAGCGGATCAATTTGCTCATCCGACCAATGTACGGACGTGCGATCCACGACACCCCGGACTCCCTTGACTTCTACATCTTTCAGGAAGCCCTTGCCATTCCACCACTTCAGGAAAGATAAGGTGACGTTGACGGTGGCGATCGTCAAGTCGTACTGCGTGTAGTTGCCGTCGTCCTCTTCCCCGTCTTGCTCGCCGTGCTTTCCAGCAGCTGCCACAGCCGCAGCGTTCGTAGAAGAACCCTTGCTGACGGAGGAAGTGGTCTGCCCAGGTCGTCTCGAAACGAAGACGTTCCTGAAGCTAATCACGCCATCTCCCCACTTGGGGACGATCGCCGACTCGAAGACGACGGTGACCCCAGCAGACTCGGTTAAGGAATCGCCAACCCATTTCGCGAGAGTTTCTGGATCACGTCATTAGTGTTTGCGAACAATCCTAGGGACCACAGGAGCGTACCTTGGGCAAAAACAGTGTTGATGCTGAAGATGATGATGGAGAAGAAGGTCGTGGTACCGACAAGAATCCAGACCAGATGCCCAAACAGGAACCAAGAGACAAATGCGCCCCATTCGTCAATATTCCACGGCCTCATACTCCGGATCGACGCCCACTTGAAGCGCACTTTCAGGCGTCCCAAGAAGCCGTTGGCGGCAGCCAAAAGTTCTTCCCGGGTGGGCCGATGCGGCATCTTCGGTATGTGAAGATATTTCGACATGGTAGAGGCAATCGACTCGGCGTCATGATCCGTTGCATCAGTCTTGCCCTGGTCGGCAGACTTCGGCGCATCTTGCTTCGATTGGGCCGTCGTGCCCTTTTCTTCGCTTTTCCCGGTCTTTGAACTGAGGTGCCTCCTCTCGGATGCGCTAACTCCCCTCGATTCGCTGTGTATGTCTCGTCGCCATGCCACGCGGCTAAGTCGATAGAGATTCGACGTCTTCGTCAGCCCAGCAGATTTTGCGGTGGCGGCGCACAAAGGCCGGGATGGCGAGAGGTTGGTGGTGAGCCCCACGAGGGGCAAGCCGGTACAGCTTCCGCGCGCATTGCAGACATTCGGTCGTGGAAGCGAGTTTTGCCCGGTGTGCACTGATCTTCGAGATTGAATTGCCTTATAAGCAGAATCAGCAGCAGGCTGGCCGGCCCGCAAACAGGTGCTCCATGGAGCGGTGGTGGTGATGGTTGTCCCTCGCAAGCCCAGATTCTGCGATGCAGATCCGGAGGCGCAGGACCAGAAGCGACGCCCGAAAAGAGTCGTCGAAGCGTTAGACATGTCTCCAGTTCATCCTGTCTCTCTTGGTTGAACAGAGAGACAGCGGATGAGGAAGAAGGACGACGACGGAGATTATCTACCTCAAAGGGCGGGAGAGAGGCGGGGTGAAGGGTCGCAACAACACACAACTCGCAAAGACTGTAAACAAGTCGAGAGGGATGGAGGGAAGAAAACGTCGTATGGGCAATGTTAGTACATTTCATGCGCTCATGCAAAAGTCACTGGAGCTGACTGCAATGCAAAGCTGGGCCAGGGAAAGGGCTCCTCTGACCTCTGACCTCAGCCTGTGAAAAGTCATCCATGACGCGCTACCGCAGCTTTACCTCGCTGAACCCGGCAGGACCCGTTCCAAGGGCACCTTACGTATGGGGCGTCACCTCACAGTCACAGCAGAGAGCGCCTTCCAGTGTTTGCGCAAGGAAAAAAAAAATCAGCAGAAAAGGCGACATGGCTCGTGCGTAAAGTGGCCTGGGCCCTTGCTCCCCACTCATGTAAGCAACGGCCCAAGCAATGGAATGGCCCCCCGAGTCCCTTATCCTCTTATCGATAAGCACAAATTTTTGGGAATTGGGCGAAATCGATATCGGTCTGCAATTCGCACCCGCCGCTTTTTTTCTCACGACCGCCCGACCCCCGCCGCCGTCGCCGCCAGACCGACACACAAACCCGGAGTATATACCTGACCTCAAAAAGATACCGTTTTCCCCGAAGTCCTCCTCCGCAAACCTCGAAAGCTCGCGATAGCCTCACTCACCCTCCGAAACCGACATCATGCCCGCCCCGACCGCCAAGCAGGCGGAGATCGCTGCCCCGCCGTTCGAGGCACCCCTTCTGCAGAACCAGGACGAAGAACTCCTCCTCGATGCGCCGACCGCGCTGCCCGAAGATCTGGATGCGATCATGCCCAGCGTCCCCCAGAACGGGGAGGAGGGCGAGATGGTTGTGGACGAGGAGAACCGCCCGCGCTTTGCGCCAGCCAGAGACATCGTGCGTCTCCCGCCCCCGTTCCTCGTCTCGCGCGAAGATACTTCTCGAAATCAGGGACTAAACGTTTGCCCCAGGACCCCGTTACCAGAATAGAGACCCGCAAGGTCCCCGTGCCTCCTCACAGGTTCACCCCCCTCAAGTCGGCTTGGCCCAAGAGTACGCATTCCCCGATTGCAGCAGCGAGTACTCTCCAGGAACTGACGAAGGCGCCTCCCAGTTTACCCCCCGCTCGTCGAGCACCTCAAGCTCCAGGTGCGCATGAACCCGCGCCGGAAACAGGTTGAGCTCCGCACGTCCAAGCACACCTCCGAGGACGGCGCGCTGCAAAAGGGCGAGGACTTCGTCAAGGCCTTCACCCTCGGCTTCGACGTCGACGACGCCATCGCGCTGCTGCGTCTCGACGACCTCTACAGTAAGCCCCGGGAATCACATACATGACGACAACAGAGTTGCTGACAAGCTGGCGCAGTCGAGACTTTTGAGATCCGCGACGTCAAGCAGGTCATGGGTAACGAGGCGCAAGGTCGTGCCATCGGTCGCATAGCAGGCAAGGACGGCAAGACGAAGTGTATGTCCTCCCTTCTTCAGGACCTGATGACTGAACAAAGACTAACCAAACACGCCCAGTCGCCATCGAGAACGCCAGCAAGACCCGTATCGTCTTGGCCGACAGCAAGATCCACATCCTCGGCGCCTACAAAAACATCCACATGGCCCGCGAGTCCATCGTCAGCTTGATTCTCGGAAAGCCGCCTTCCAAGGTCTACGGCAACCTGCGGACGGTCGCGGCGCGCATGAAGGAGAGATTTTAAAGACGAAAACAGTAAAAAGGTAAATAGAGATGGACCGAAAAAAAGGAGCTGGGATTGGAAAAGAAATTTGCAAAAGAATAGGAGAGATCTCTCTATCTCTTTGGTTGGTTTAATGATGGCATGAAACGACATCCTGTCATGGACTCTGGCGTTGTGGGCATTTTAAGAGATTCCAAACATCATCATAGGCACAGGGTAAATATGACAAAAAGTTCAAATAACCTTGAGCAAGATCGCCTGTCTCGGAGTCGTTGATGCTGTGAGATTGCGGAGGAGGCTCTCGCGAGAGATCGCCAAACGTGTTTTTCATTATGTCCGGAAAACACATTCAACCCTCTCCATGAGTACTCAAGCTCGGTGGCGGTGTCCCCTCTGTAATGTCGTGCATCTTTTCGAGCGAAGGGCCTTACTCGTTTAAATATCCTGCCTCGTCCTGCTTTGAGTCAAAATCCCAACACGAACAGGGTGCAACAGCAGCCGAGAGCCACGATACAGAGAGCCCTTTGAGTCCACATATTGAGCAAGACTTTCGAAGAGTCATCAAATCATCACGAATAAACTATCATCACACGCACAAAGTCCGAACGAAAGATGTGGTATGAACCATGTCCATAATGCGTTACTCCATAGACGTCTATACGTGCCTTCTCCGGTCGAAAACAACGACTTTTTACATCATGGCCGCTGCTGCCGCTCCCCGGCGACGGCGGCCAAACCTGCAAGCCAAGCCCTTATCCAGGCGCGGACTGGGGGTGAAAATGGGGTCATTGACCTTTCCCACTACGTTTCACTCTTCAACTTCGTCTCACTCGCGTTCACCAACTTATTTTAAGTGAATCAGAGCCCCTTTTTGGAAACCCCTGGCGTGGGGGGGGGGGGGGGGGGGGGGGGGGGGGGGGGGGGGGGGGGGGGGGGGGGGGGGGGGGGGGGGGGG